CAAATTCATTTGTCAAGGCGCCTTTCCTCCCCTATCCCAGCTTAAATATACGCTGCCAAGCTTGGTGGTGCTCATTGAGATGCTGTCTTTCCGACAGACCTGTTCTTCACCTGAGGACGGCTGCTTGCGTTGTGGCCGAAACGTCGTGAGAATTATTTTATTGTTTTATTTTTATTATTTCCCTTCTACGTGACTTTACCGAAAGAACCAAGAAGATGAATCCCTGCAGTCACGAAAGCTTTAAATTGGGACTAGCCATCATCGCAAGATTTCTTGTGACCATTTGTCGCAACGACCTTGCTTACTCGGAGTTAAGTCTCGTCTTGAACGGGCCGTCAATTCTCACGTGTTGCAAGTCCTTCTCTAATCTGGCCCCCGGTTCCGTTGGCACCATAGTGGCGATGATCATGTCGATGGCAGTGATGGTGGTGACGGTTGTGGTGACATGTGCTCGTTAACAGCACTTGTCCCAGCAGTCTGTTAAGGCTAAACGGGGGATATTTGTCTTGAGCGACAGGTAAGAACCCCATCACTGCCATCACCAAAGTAGCAGTGCAGCTCTGCGTGTTTTTGATAGAGGTGCCCTGCTGCACGCCAGGGCGTCTCACAACACCCGACATGCGATAAGCCCCTTACACCTCACGTCACATTTCATAGGGCACCCCCAGTGCCAGCGGTCCCTGTGCGTAGCACCTGGCCCACAAGGCATTAGTCTGCTGCCAATAGGCAACGATTTCTGCTGTGCGATCCCTAATAGTTGTTTTTGCAGAATATTTTTTTTCAAATTTGGACCCCGACTCCAGCACATAAGGGACCTCCCACTTACGAACAACATCACGGGATCTTTAAAGTCCACTGCAAGTTAAGCAGACCGAAGTAAATTTTAGTTAATGCTGTAAAAAACCACTACCACCACAGTATTAACCAGGGCTGCCAGCCAGATTGAACTGCGAACCTCTGTGACAAGCGGCACCACAAACACCAGCAACAAGTTAGTCAAGCCACCCGCTTTAAAACAGCGGCAACGCCACACTCACTCCTACGGTCCATGCATGCTCACCACGTGCGTGTGTACGGGGAGGGAGGTGGGGAATTACTGGCCATTCTCTAAGCTCAACACATGCCCTCCCTTGCCCTGCACTTCACTGACCTTAACAGAATGATCCAGGCCACTCGACGGCAATGGGAGACACGCACACGTGTTATGTACACAGACACAAAAACATGCGTTACACACACACACAGCGAATTACAATCACATGAGTGACACACGTCACGTACACACAATGTTACACACACACACTCGTGTGGAGAGTAAGCACGTTTAGACGTGCTTACTATTTGGATCTCGTTCAGGCAACTCAACTCCAGCCCCGGTTCAAACATTTCACTGGACATCTGTGAAAGAGCTTTATAGCGCATCGGATTCCTCCAGTATATTCCGAAAATTTGATTTCACTACCGAGTGAAGTTTTTAAACCCGAGTGGACTCAAGCCCAGGGATTGAAATACTCAGGGTATCGCGGTAAAAATTCTCCAACGATGCACGACAAACTTGACACGAGGGGGCGGATCATGGCGATATCAGTCTCCCGCATATTTTTAAACCGCGAGTCAAGGGTTGCCGTGTCGGTGCCGGACGCTTTTCCGCACACGTGGCAGGGACGAACATTTTGTACTCGACGAGTTCTTCACCTGCGGTTTTGCTCGCCACAAGCGGACGCAAGAGCCTCCCCCCCCCCGATCGCTCGCCTCGCACCGCACACGGCGCTGAGGTCGGGCGCGCCGTCAGTGGCACAAACACCGATTCGATAAATCAACTAAATTAGGAAGGTCGCGAGACCACCACGCAGCCCACGACTCCGGAACGCGCCTTAAAAAGCACCGCATGGGTAAATTGCACCGCATGGTTAAATTGCAAAGGCGCGGCCCAGCAATTGCACACGCTCATGCCACTGCTGTCGGAAAGGCCCCCCACGAGATCCAACTCGGTCTGGAGTACCAGGCCTACTCTTCCACGCTGACCAGACGTCTTGGAAGGAGGTGGGATTGCCCAGACTTTAGCCCACCAACACACGTGACCTGCCGATAGACTGACTGCGGTGGAAAGCGGAAAGTAGGAGAGGGTGGATTTAATGAATTTGCCCCACCGTTTCAACGGCCATTCCAGGAGATGGAGCCGAATCGGCAACGCGTGGATTTCAAGTCCAGCGTGCCGACCACAACATCAGTGGTGGCGGTGGACTTCTGTGGCCCCGGGGGCGTACCACACACACCGTAGGAGCAACACCCAGCATCACAACGGTGATGGTGCAGGCTGGCAAGCCGTGCACTTCAAAACAAAGACTTGTCAACAAACAGTACTCAGCCCTGGTGCAAAAACCATCAACAGTTCCTGAAGAACTGCATGTCCATCTCTGCACCACCGCGTCCCGTCAGTCGGTATTTTGATGGTGAATGCAAGGCAGTTCGCTTGAGACACAGGCGATGTTTTTTTTGCACAATTCACAAGGGCCCAGTGCTGTTTGTACACGCGCGTGCGTGTTGTTTGAACCCCTGGGAGCCGAGGCGCACTCAGGCATGGGTGACGCACGCGGGCACGGGCGACACGGTGACACGAACTTTATTGATCCATGAGCACCGACTACAAGATTCAGTGATTCAAACGGGAGGCAGGGGTCAGAGGGGGCAGGTATAGTGTGTACATGTGTATGCGTAGACGTGCGTTATCTGCGTGTGCGAGTGTGTGCACGCGAGTATGTGTGCGCGCAGTTAGGCACGTGTACGTGTGTGTGCAAGTGTTAGGTATGTGTACACGCGTGCGTGTGTGTGCGAGTGTTAGACGTGTGTGTGTGTTAGGCATGTGTACACGCATGTGTGTGTGTGAAAGAGTAAGGGTTGACAGGAGTATCAGGGCAGTGACTGCAGTCGTTAGAAATCACTTCGATATTCCACCGGGCGAGCCAGACCCGGCTTAGCCCGGCGCTGGGTTAGGGTTAGCGGTCAGCACCCGGGGCTAGACCCAGCCATAGCTGTAGCCCGGTTTGCCATCAACGTTATAACAGAAGCTTCCTTATGTGGTGCGAATCCTGGCTTAGACCCCCCTGTGGTTAGAGTCGAGCAATACCATAAATTATTATTATTAAATTAAATATTTACCCAGGCAGGCCTCACCGAGTCTCAAGTCTCTTTCACCAGGTAGGTCCTGGCAAGTTTTTTTTCAGGGGCACAGGGTTTAAAAATGAGGACTACTCTAACGGTAGGCGATGACCAAAACGCACCTGTTGCCAAGCCGACCCTTGGTCAGTGCCAAATAACATTGCCAATGGCCAGTAACGAAACTGGACAAATTATCTGGAGATGCTGCTGTTGTGCCGCATTTGTGCACACGCAAATGATATGAAAATCACCCAAAAACACGTTCCGTGTCTAGAATTCTGTGGCCTTAAAAAGGTGCCAAGACGACGCCCGTTGCCTTACATCGACCCTTTAACGCCACAGCGTCACAAACGCAGGCGTTTAATTTTTTTCGCAATGACATCCGGGACCGTCCGTGACGACAGCAACTTTTTCTGCGACTACTGCCCCCACAGTCTGAAACTCCCCCTCTTCCCCGCGGCTGCCCATGCTGCTGCCCCCCCCCCCCCCCCCGTCCGAACCCCATGCTCAGGACCTTCTCCCTCCGCCGCTACGAGTGACCGCCGATTCGCCACGACATCGACACCAACAGTCGATGCCACTGACTAGGTGCTGCACACATCACACCGTGTACAGCAGGCCCTAGCCGCAGCAGCCGTGTGAGATGTGCAATACTAATCGAAGGACTGTGTGGTGCTGTCTTGGCGGGGCGGCTGGTGGGGGACTGGATTTGTTGTTTTGGATGCCTTGCCCAAGCTTGCAATTCGTGTTGAAAAATCGACAGGAACTTATGCAATTTGCACTAATATCCAGGACTTGATGTATATTTATTTATCGTGACTCGCTTACCTTTAATCTATTTCACACTTCTGTAGTTTTTTTAAATTCCTTGTTATAACTTGCCGACCCGCCCCTGCACATCTGTCAACAACTTCATAGCTCGTCGGCTTCCTGAAGTCTAAATCGAGATTCGGCTTCCGATTCCGAGATGCTGTGTAATCCACAAGGTATATGCGATGCTACCCCCCCGCCGCCCCCCGTGTACAAGAACACTCCACAGAGCTCTAGGGGCAGGGTTACGCACTCCTTAAAATAGGCCCCGGTTTAGCGTTCGCTCCTCATGGGAGCGGCGTATGCAAACCCCTGCTAGAAGGAAGCACAGAAAAGTTTTCAACCAGTGCACACTGTCGGCAATGGCACATCGGGTTGACGGTTGTCGTTGTGGTTCTCCTCGTCGACTGTTGCTGTGGCTCAAAGAACGTGGGCGACTGTTGTTGTGGTTGCCACGGTCGACTGTTGTGGTTGCCACTCAGTCGACTGTTGCGGTGGTTGCCACCCGGTCGCGTGTTGTGGTTGAGACCCGGGCACCTGTTGTTGTGGATGCCACCCGGGCGACTGTTGTGGTTGAGCGACCCGGTCACCTGTTGTTGTGGTTAACACCCGGTCGCTAGCCGTGTGACATCTGTCAGGTCGGGTGCCCCCCACCCCACAGCATCCACACCGCCACGACCCCTTTGGCAGCAGCACTCGGCCCCCTCGCCGTTACTGCAGGTGGCTCCAGTGGGCCTCCCATTACCTCTGCGTCTACTGCTCTGAAGTTTGAGGGGAGTAGCCCCCCCCCCCCCCCCCCCATTATATCATGCGGCGGCAGTCACTCCCATTATTGTTGACGGCAGTGACCGCCCATTATCACGTGATCCCCATGAAGCGGTCGGTGCCCCATAAGCGGCGGCGTTGCCATGGCTTCTTCTTTGCCGAGCACGTCACCGACGTCGACGATCGATCCGCCCCCATTATCCCAGGTGGCAACAGTTGGGCAGCCCCCTCATCCCCCACCCCCCGCCCCCCCCCTCCGACCGCGTCTACTGCTTGACGGTGAGCATGTCGTCCAGCAGGCGGTCCCCGCGCTCCGAGAGCCAGTAGCCGGCGGTGGCGGCGGCGGCCCCGATGAACAGCGAGGTGTAGACCATGTCGCCCTTGGCGGCGAGAGTGGCGAGTGCGCACAGCACCACGCCCACCGCCATCTGCCGCAGCACCACCAGCTCGTCCTCGGAGATCTCGTCAAAGAGGCCCTGCTCGCCTGCACCGCCCATCCACCGTCACCGCGGCTTCCGTTGCTGCGCCGCCCCGCGCCGGTTGCCCGACCGTGCATTTTTGCTCTTCCCCGTCATCACATGACCACAGCTGACCACGTGGTCATATGAACTTACCGTCACCTGACCCTGTTGTCACGCGACCCCGTCGCCCTCTTTCTGTCAACGTCCGTCGCCTGATACCGTCATCAGCTGACCCCGTGGTCACATGACACCGCGATCTCGTGGCAGTCATCGCTCGATCCTGCCGTCACTTGACCACGTGGTCATCCGACTGGACAGTCGTCACGTGATCAAAAGACGCTGCTGCCGTTACCTGACCATCTCATCCGTACAATCTACAAACTGCTACATCGATTGCTATGAGCCTCACACTGCTAACCAACACCAATGCCCCATACTACAACACAAATGCCTAGTGGGGAAACCACGGCGACCATGTGTGATGCTGACCACATCACCCCTCGTTTGCCATGCATGCCTTAATAGGTGCTCGCTAACAGCACTTGCCTCAACAGCCGAAGTCGGCTATGTGGGGATCTTTGTCTGTTGTGTCAAGGACCGTGCCAGTGGGAGCACAGGTGGTTCAACTGCCAGCTACCCAAGTCGGTTTACCCATCATAAGGCCTGGGCCTATACGATGACCACCTGCTTGTGAACCTTCCACACTTCACACAATAGCCTCAAAGTGCACCTAGTCTGGCACAAGTGCTGTGAAGTCACGTCAGTGTTGAATGGTGGTTGTTGTTGTTAGGAAAGGGGCGTTGGACACACGCTCACACGCTTCCACAATCGCCACGACAGCCATGCTCAACGGGAAGATGCGTGCACCTCGCCACCGTCTCATTACATGTTTAAACGAGGACGGATACAGTCAAGGGATCTCCGCGGGTCCTCTTACACCCAGGACCCACGATGACGAGATGATGATTGGACACACGCTCCTACCCTCGCTCGCATACCCAGCTCGCTCACCCGCGCACACACGCCCGTTCACACACTCGTTCCCCTGCCAACACACCCCCTTGCTCCCTCTGCACGCACAGGCAGACACGTGTGCGCTACGCCACCGGTTCTCTCGCTCAGCAGGTGACACTGTACCTGGAGGCTTGACGAGCTTGCAGGCCCCGGCGCGGTCGTGGAAGCCAGGCCCACACTCGCAGCGGTAGCCGCCCTCGGTGTTCACGCACACCTCGTTCTCGCGCACGCACTGCGTGGCGAGGCCCTCCTCGCACTCGTTCACATCTACACACACGGGTTCATTGAACACACGGAGGTTCATTACACACTCGTCGTACATGTTCAGTACACGAACACATGGTCATTACACACAAATTTACTGGTCACACAGAAACGCACACAAACATTCTGAAACCGTTGTTGTTGTTCCACTAACTCAAGGTGTTGTGTTTATTGTTTGTGTGGTAGATGTTGTTTCACCAACACCCTGGTCTCTCGGGGTGAGAGAGAGAGAGCGAGCGGAGCGGATACAGGAGAAGCTACTCACCCACACAGACGCCGTCGCGCTCCGTGTATCCACGCAGACACTTGTGGCAGCTGTCAGGGCCCGCGGCCTTGCAGCCCTCGCACGCCGGGTCGCACACTGTGATGCGGTGGGGGGGAAGGGGGGTGAGGTAGAGGCAGAGGTGGCAAACGGGTTTTGATTCCTTACCCGTACCCGGCCGCACCAGGGTCGCAAATGGGTACCCGTACCCTACCCATACCCTACCCGAAATGAGTGACAAACGGTTACTCACCGGTGACTCACGGCCTACCCGTACCCGTACCCGGCCGCACCAGGGTCGCAAACGGCTACCCGTACCCGTACCGTACCCGGCCGGGTACAGGTAGCCGGGTATCTGGTAGGGTACGGGTATCGGGTACCCGGTTGCAACCTCTGGGTAGAGGTGATCGTTACCACGGTCCAGCACCGCGGGTCGTTACGTGGAAGTGGCGGTGGTCACCGTGGCGGTGGTCGCCGTGGCGTTACCTTTGCACACGTAGGAGCCGTCGGTGTTGGAGCAGAACTGGTTTCCATGGCAGGGGGTCGGCTCACTCGCACACTCGTCCACGTCTGCGTAGACGGACACACACACCGACAGACACACGATCAGTTGACTGGTTGCTCACAGTTGTGTAAATCGCTTGCTACCAGAAAAAGATGGACTCTGTTCAAGCGTTGATCTTGATGGGGGGGTAAGGGGTGTGGGTGGACCTCAATAAAAAAGGGGCAGGGCTCTGCTGTGAAGGGTGTGGCCAGAAACTTTAGCAACTCCGAGACACAGGCGTGTCACACGCAATTACTCGCTCAGATGTGAACAAAGCAGTTGGAGACGACGACTAATCAGCGCGATTTCATTGCGCAAGGGATCGCGTGCAGGTACGGCACCGACAACATAAAAATCGCACACGACACAAAGACGCGAAGAGCACAATCGGGACAACACTGGAGAAAACAGAGCCACAACAAAGTCAAACACCGCGACGGCCGCACGCGTGTCCGAGATAAGCTGGCAGTGGAAATCCGGCACACGGGCTCACCGACGCAGCCGCCCTCCTCGTCCTGCTTGGCGTAGCCGGGCCGGCAGTCCCCGCAGTCCGTGTGCTGTGGTCCGCTGCAGGTTTTGCAAGCCGAGTGGCATGCTGCCCCCACCCCCCACCACCCAACAGTAACAGCACACACACACAACAGCACTCATCAGTGGCACAACGATGTCGACAATGGGGACTTCAATGCGGGGAGATGACGCAGGTAGGCACAGTGGGTGGGCGAGCGAGTGAATGGGGGTCGGAGGGTGAGCGAGTGGAGGTGAGCGGGTACCGGAGCACAGCGCGTGCGTGTCGTTGTGCTGGGCCAAGTAGAAGCCCTCCTCCTCGCACTCGAGGCACAGCGAGCCCACGTAGCCCGGGTGGCAGACGCACAGCCCCTGTGCCGCGCCGCGTCCCATCGCCGTCGCACCGCCCGTTCCCCGCACACGGCCGCGTCGCTTCGCCCTGGCACTCTGGGGGGGGGGGGGGGGGGGGCACATATGTACAGGTGGCACTGAGAGACAGGAGGATGTGGGTTGATAGCATTGAGAGCGGTAGGGTGGTTGGAAGTGGTGGTGTGGTTGAGAGTAGTGGTGGTGTGGTTGGGCAGCATTGTTGTGGTGTGGAGGGGCCGGCACCCACGGTTGCAGTCGGGCCCGAAGGATCCGGCCGGGCAGCAGACCTTGGCCATCTCCACGCAGAACCAGCTGTAAAGGTCAGGGTGGGCACGCTGCCTGCACTCACAACCAGCACACAACCAACACACAACCCAATAAACTAATCAACACATAACCAATACACAACCGGAACGCCGTGCACAACTGGAGTGATGATTACAACGGGTGATGGGCTATAGGTGTGAGGTGAAGGGCTGTAGGTGATACGTTAGGTTAGAGATTGTAGGCGAGGGTCAAGGTGCACTGTACTAGCAACGAATTGGCATGTTCCGTTTACGTGACAAACCTTACTAATTGGCTATTTCGGGTGGTGGCGGATTTAACAACACATTTATATTTACGAGATCTAACCCCCAAAAAAAACTGTATTATGGATGATATTGGTCACGAAAGCCTACGCGTTAAACTGGTTAAGGGGTGGGGGCAAGGTTGTGGGTGAAGGGGTCGTACTTGTGGAACCACCACTTCTCGAGGTGCTCCTCGTGCTGCTCCAGCATGGCGTGGCACGCGTAGGCCGTCTTGTCGCACAGCGACTCCAGGATCTCCACCAGGCGCGTCTCGCTGCCACCGCATCACACCACGCCACACCACGTCACACCACGTCACGCCACGCCACGCAACATCACCACTCTCAACCCACACATCGCACGCACGCCGTTCTCACACTGCACACCCATTGCCCACAATGATCCAGGTCACCCCGCACCCCACTTCCCTTATTTATTCATGGCTCCATTTCAAATGTCTCCATTGGAAAAGCACTGCACAACCACATGGAAATTAGGCCACACAACTCTGAGAGATGGCGATAGATTGGCGAGGGGCCTCCATCCAGCGGCGGATTGATCGTGGCTGATAGTGATGAAAGTGGGGGGGGGGGGCTTAAGAGGCATGGCTATCGATTGGCCGGTGATGTCGGATCAGCAGTTTTGTTCATACAGCTCTGGGGAATGATGGGAGCTGACGACTTACCAAGTCTCATCTTACACGCACGCGCTCATTCATTATTTATCGTAGCCTACAGCCAACACACACACACCCATGCATGTTATATTTTACCAGCTGAGCAAACAGTGAAAGGCTCATGTCTCGCAAGGGAGACCCCTGAGCATCTCGGAAAAGGTACAGCCCTGCCATTTCTTACACGCCACAAGTGGTGGAAAGGCCTCCTCCGCTAGATTACAGCACGAGAAGGTATTTGGCCTAGTCGTTCACGCCGACCGGACGCGTTGGAAGAGGTGGAGGGAGGGTTGGTTGGGCGTACCCACACCGCTCGACTTGTCGAGCGACTGTGGGGAAACCATTAAAACGCACTTGAGTGGAGGTGCATTACAGCAATAACCGGCAATGCTTTCCAGTGCAGGAGAGAGGCGCGCCTCAATCCCTGATAAGTATAACCCGTAAAAACAAAGTTTTTCACTCTAAATCCTTTATATGCGTGGTGGCTAGAGTCCTCTCGTCCTCTGGCTTGAGATGGCTGCCACCTATAGGTCAGATGATTGTCTGCCAGTATTAAACAATTGGTAATTAAATATTTAATTTGTTTTCCCTAAACAGTGTAAAATTTTGGGAAAAAAATTTCACGAACATTAATTGTCTCGCACAACGAGTCTGTGTGCAAAATGTCAGTTCGATTGGATCACGGGAAGTGGGTTAAAAAAACGACCGAAAGGTTTGCACGGTCGTAAGCAAGCAAGCAAGGTTGGCCACTCGGTGGCACGGAGCTCTGCTCACCTCTGCTCGTACTTAGCCACGCGCTCCGCCTCCCACGCAGTGTTCCCTCCTCCGAAGTTCTTCTTGGCAGTGTTCTCTATGCCCTGCCAGGGTTGGGGGGGGGGGGGGGTACACATGGCACCATCGATTACAGAGCTCTGGTGGCGGACGTGGGTGGGGTCTATCTGTAAACCATAAAAATAAAGCAATAACAATCATAATGATCGAGTACGTTTGCAATTGGCGCTATTCTTCTTATAGCGCAAGGCACTGCTGTGTTTCGCAAAGACAGGCTGCAGGAGTTCTTCAAGTAGGGGTGATGTTGCTGCTGCTGTGCGCGATCCCAAATGAGCCACTTCCAGGTAATTTTTCTAATTTGGAACGTGACGTCAAATGACGTCAGGGCATCCTTTAGTGTCCGTCCAACACGAAGCAGACTGCGTGTCGTATTTTCATGGTTAATACGCACACCACCACCGCAGCAGCATTAACCAGGGGAGGCCTAGCAGATACCAACCACGAACCTTCGCACGGCTGCAGCTGGACTACCGCGCCACCGCCTCGGTTAACTCTCCATTAGCCGTGGACGGGCAGACCGTCCAGGTCGCACATTTAGCCGTGCTTGCGCAAAAACAAATAGAACAGCTTTACACGCGCACCAATTTCTATTATTAGCGGCTCCTCACCCACGTTTTCAAGTGCAGCGAGTCGATGGTCTCGATTCTAGATTTGAAGCTTTCGTGACTGCAAGGATTCATACTCTTAGGTTTTTTCGGTAAAGTCACGTAGGTAAAAATAAATAATAGAAGTAATAATAATGAATAATAATTTTATTTCTATTGTTACTTCTATTATTTATATTATAGGAATAATTAATTAATTTATATTATTACTTCTATTATTATTTTTTACTTTTACCTACGTGACTTTACCGAAAAAACCTAAGAGTATAAAACTAACTAGCGTGTCAATAATCAGAATCACCTAGTCATCAACACAACATCAATATTTTTCGATTTAAAGCTTTCGTAACTGCAGGGATTCACACTCTTAGGTTTTTTTCGGTAAAGTCACGTAGGTAAAAATAAACAATAATAAATCAATAATAAAAATATAGCAATAATAATATAAATAAAATAATAAATCACGACGTTTCGGAGGCTAACACAAGTCTCCGTCATCAGGTGGGACCGTCACAGCTGAATTTACTGGCCCAGTGAACAACTAAGCCCCGTGGGTCAGACCAATACCTGTGTCTGGTTGACTGGCAGTAGGTTAGGATGAAGCTCAGTCAGAGGCTACTAGAAGTGGCTGGTTGGTTGGGTGTAAGGTTACAGTTAGTGAGAAGGTGAGCATCCAAGTGTGCTCCCTCCTAAACTCCTCTCTGCCTCCCCTCATATGCTATGTAGAGCTTGTTTTGCACCGTACGTAGCTAACCGCGCTAATCGGAGATGCGGGGCAAGGACAAACAAACAAACTAAATGCAAAAAGCAGTTCACGCAAAAATCTCAACTAAAAGCCCCCTTTTGTTGGTTTGAAGCAGCGTTTCCATTCGCGGAGGCCACAGCTCCCACCTTCTTGAAGTTCTCCACGATTCCTCTGCACATGGAGCAGGGTTCGTCACCGTGAGAGGCGACAACGTGCCGGCCCACCACCATCAGGGCCGCGACGAGCAGACACAGCTGGGCACAGCGCGCCATCCCCAGTGTCCACCGCCCAGCGTCACACTCTGCAAGCCCCGCTGCTCCCCCGATGATCACTCCTCAGTGTCCACCTCTCCAGAGGCCACTCTCCAACATTCACTCGTCAGTGTTCGACTCTCCAACTCCGCTCCGCAATGTCCACTCTCTCCAACCTTCGCGTAAGTGCCCCCGCGCTCTCCAAACCTCTGCTCAGGTGTGTGTCCCTTGCAAGTCCTGGCCAGTGTCTCGTCAAAGCACAGACGGAGGGCTTTGCCGGCAGAGGGCGAGTTCACCTACGCACGGGAGTCAGACAATTGAAATCGTGTTTCCCGTAATGAACTTTTAACGGCAACACAATCGTAACATCAGCCAACGACGGGTGTTGTTAGGTGTGAAAGTTACCGAATGCTGGGCTCCTGCCCCCACGCAACACTGACCACTCCGCGTCGCCAAGTCGAGCAAGCGTCAGACAAACCTGTCAACACCTTGTCAGTGCTGCCTACCTCATTAGAGACCAATTCGGACCCTATTGGTTCACCCCGTGCCCTTATAAATCTCAACATTAGTCCTACAAAGTCCCATCACAAGAGAGAAACACAAACAAATAGACAAAAACATGTTTTGCCCGTATTGAAACGGCTGTACACCGTATGGACCTGAAAACCCAATTTCTCTGTACAGGAATACGGGGTAAACAGTTTGGGTTAACAGGTATGTAGTAGTGTATAGTGGTGTATAGTAGCGTATTGCATAGTAGCAAACCTGTCAACCCATACGGGTAAAAGGACGGCTGCTTGCGTTGTGGCCAAAACGTCGTGAGAATTTTATTAAGTTTCATTTTTATTATTTTCCTTCTGCGTGACTTTACCGAAAGAACCGAGAAGATGAATCCCTGCAGTCACGAAAGCTTAAATCGAAAAGGTATGTAGTGGTGTAGCGTATCGTAGCGTAGTGCATAGTAGCAAACCTGTCAACCCATACGGGTAGTGAACCCTATGGGTTGACAGCTTCGGAGTGAGACCACGCAGAGCTTCAACCACAAGCCACTCAACCAAGCCGTCCAGTCTGGGCGCAGAGTCAACGCGTGGTTGAGGTTCCAGTCGGAAAGCCACGCAGAGTCGGGAGAGGGTTTCCTGCCTTGCATTGATTTTTTGGGATGTTCGGTCAACATCGTTAACAACGGCACAGAGCGACAATTAAAAGAGAGGCAGTCGCATGCACGGCGTCAATGAACACGCAGTGACACAGTGACGTGTACAGTGTCAATGAACACGCAGTGACACAGTGACGTGTACAGTGTCAATGAACACGCAGTGACACAGTGACGTGTACAGTGTCAATTAACACGCAGCGACAGTGACGTGTACAGTGTCAATTAACACAGTGACACAGTGACGTGTACAGCGTCAATTAACAGTGACACAGTGACGTGTACAGTGTCAATTAACAGTGACACAGTGACGTGTACAGTGTCAATTAACACGCAGCGACACAGTGACGTGTACAGTGTCAATTAACACGCAGCGACACAGTGACGTGTACAGTGTCAATTAGCACGCAGTGTCACAGTGACGTGTACAGTGTCAATTAGCACGCAGCGACACAGTGACGTGTACAGTGTCAATTAACACGCAGCGACACAGTGACGTGTACAGTGTCAATTAGCACGCAGTGTCAATCACCCGGTGTCAATCACTTGCAGTCGGGCAACAGAGAGTCAGTCGCCTCCACGGTGTCAGCAGTGTCGATCGCCTGTCCAGTGTCAATCAACGCGCATCATCAATGAGGCTACGGTGCCAATTCAATTACAGTTCCAATTACCTGTACAGTGCGAAGCCGAGATCTGAGCCGATCGCTGCCCCGCCGCCGCCGCCTCTGATCGGCCAATGAGACCTTAACGCCCTGCAGCAGCAGTAGCCAGCGGGTAGTGTTGGTGTCGCGTTGGTTTCTTTATAATCCTCGAGCGTGCGTCAAAGTGGACGAGTTTCCCCGCTCTGCTGACTCCGCGACCCCAACAACAGCGGCGGCGGCAGTGGCTGTCGACTGCGCCCCCCTCCCTCCACCCCCTCTCTTATAGCCGCGGCGCCGCCAGCTCGCCAACCAATCAGCGGCCGCCTTCTGGCGCGTGCGGCAAATGCTCGCCGCCCATTGGCCGAATACGGGGGGAGGGGTGGGGACAAGGATTTCCATCCCCGACTCCGCCCCCAACGCTGCGGAACTGACCAATCGGAGGGCGCCACGCGCCCAGCCAATCGCGAGGCCACGTCTGGTTCCCTTTTTAGGTGCGCGGACGCATCGACATGCGGCGTCGCGTTGGTCGCTTGCAAGACAACGCCACCGACAACGTCAAGGTTCATGTGCCCCCACCCCCACACCCACCGAGTCGGCGAAGAGAGAATGCACCCCGATAAATCGTTTGCCCGTTGATCAATTATGATGGGGTTGGGTGACGTCGTGCTGATGCGTTGCGTGGGTTACACGTGTGTTGAACTTCTTTCGCACCGTACGTAGCCAAACGTGATAACGTAGCTTGTCCAACCCATACGGCTTACCCCGTATTCTTGTACAGGGACATTGAGTTTTCAGGTCCGTACGGCGTACAGCCGTTTCAATACGGGCAAATAAATAATTTTGTCTATGTGTCTTTCTCTCTTGCGATATGACTTTGTAGGATGAACATTGAGATGTATAAGGGGCACGGGGTGACCACTAAGCTCTGAATTGGTCTCTAATAAGCTAGGCAGCACTGATAAGGGGTTGACAGCTATGGGGAAGGACACGTTCCGTGCCAATGCGACCCCGTGTGGCCTTACATGGAAACAATTACATAAAAAAAATAGGCGACGTTTCGAGCAGTGGCCAGTAAACAGAGAGCACCCGACACTATGACTCCCTGCGCTGTGCCACCCTGCACCGTGCCACACGCGTGGCTGATGTCGATGTAGAGGACATTTCTGTGATTTTACATTGAGGTAATTGCGTCAGCTCATTGTGGCAGGAATAGCGGATTGCATCGCTGTGATGATGCCCTCTGCGTATTTGTGAATCGAGCATTGAGTCTTCAACTGTATGTTGAACTTATACTGGTAGGAACGAAGTGGACCAGACCACCAATAGATTAATGTGTCCGTCCGTCCGTGGGAGGGGTGGTGTTGAGGGTGGTGTTGGAAATGAAAGACTACGAGTCTTTAAATCTCACAGCGTTTCTTGTCAAAACAAACACTTTTAATTAACGTTACACTAGAATACAGTAATTTTTTCTTTAACTCCTCTATACCCGGTCGATATCTCTGTACCGGTACTAAGTATTATTCCTACCAGCCCACCCCGCAGGGTCCTGTTACTGGTAGTAACCTCCTGGTTACACCAGCCCACAGGGGATTATTGTGTCCGTCCGTCCGTCGTGCATCCAAAAAAGGGAGGGGTGGGACTGGGTGGAGAGGGGAGGGTGGGGAGGGGCTGGTGGGAAGGGTGGGGCTGGGTGGGGAGGGGAGGGTGGGGTTGGAGGGTGGGGAGGGGCTGGGGGGGGAGGGTGGGGCTGGGTGGGGGGTGGGAGGGGTGGGGCTGGGTGGGGAGGGGCTGGTCACCACGTGGTGCCCTTATAAAACTCAACGTTTAACCTACTCACGCCGGCTTGTGCCTGCCCTCACAGTCGGCCATATTTGCGGAATACACCACGCCGCCGTTGACCCTGGCCATTGACCGAGCAACCCAACGTTCCTACCAGCTCCCTCCGCAGGAATGTGTTTTCGCACCGCACTTTTGCCAACCGTGCTAATCGAATGTGCGAATCATCAAACGTACGGGTCTGCCATGGTTTGGCTTGAACCTCCCATTTCCAAAAATATCTCTCAGTGGCGTTTAGGTCGCTGTTCAAGGTGGACTTGATGTATTTTAAGGGGGCCGCTTGCGGTACCAGGGCACAGTCATCTGCATATGCAAATTTTCAACACAGCACTATCGGGAAATGACTCTTCGTCATAGCACACGACATTCAAATAGCTCAAGTAGCGTATCTATATATACTGTATATAAAAGGGAAATTTGTGAATATGTGTGTCTGTTCGAAATGTTTAGCATACTTCCCAACATGCAACAAACTTGAAATTTGGCGTGTTTGGTAGCTTCCAGACTCTACACAATGCAAAAAGTATAAAAATATACTTTTGTATTTTGGGGGGAGAAGGGGGGCGCAATAATGGATATATTTTGCACGGCAAGTGAGCGGTGACGTCACATCTGTGATGTCACCCGCATGCGGCAGCGTTACGCAGTGTGCCTGCTGACGTCGCGCATCCCCCCCCCCCCACCCTCCGCGTAGGCCGTGTACTCATCCAAGACAAGAATCCAAGTCTCGGGCGAAGCCGGGTAGTAAAGCCAGTTATATATAATTGAAGGCAAGTTTTTATTATGCGAATGTGTTTAGGAATGTATAATTAATGATCCTAAAAATGTGTCCCATTGACCTCACTGCAACAGGTCCTCCCATGATGCAATGTGCCAGCAAATGTTAATATTTTTATACTGGTAGGAACCTCCTGGTTACACCAGCCCACAGGGGATTATTGTGTCCGTCGTGAAGGGAGGGGCTGGGTGGGGAGGGAGGGGCTGTGTGGGGAGGGTGGGGAGGGGTGGGGCTGGGTGGGGAGGGGCTGGTCACCCCGTGGTGCCCTTATAAAACTCAACGTTTAACCTACTCACGCCGGCTTGTGCCCGCCCTCACAGTCGGGCATATTTGCGGAATACACCACGCCGCCGTTGACCCTGGCCATTGACCGAGCAACCCAACGTTCCTACCAGCTCCCTCCGCAGGAATGTGTTTGATACTATTAGGTAACTATTAATGCCAAATAAAAGCCTTCATTAGGAAACATTTTCAAACTATATTTTTCATCAGGGCCCTATTGTGTAAGCTAAACGTTTACTTAACAGGTCAAGCCTACTGAGCTAATCTAGCTCTTGTTCAGAGGCGACGTGGCAACACATAAGTTCATCGAAATGATTTATTAAGTGGGAATTTATAGCGATTGCCAAATCCAAACGCATGCTTCTAAATGTGGAGTGGAAACCCGGAGGACTCGGGAGAAAATGCCACGCGACCACGGTGAGAACACACGAACTCCAGATAATGCAGGCGTCAGGGTCTCAGGATCGAACCCACGACCTCGTGCAAACCGGCACAAGACCATCAGCACCGGTGACGATTACACTGGTCAACAAAAACAAAATTCTGGCCTGGACTTTTGCAGACTAATTTCAGGGTGCAGATTCCAAATCTGATCTCAGATTTGCTCTATCACATCTCATTTTTATGCTATCGGCATACCCCATTTTCATTGATTTTACCCGAAATTAACTCTTGTCACTTATGATTGCAAGTTGTTGCGAGTCAGCGCCTGCTTTAGTGTTAAAATATGGTGCTGTATTTTTGGTATAGTGTGTTTATAATATCATTTTATCTAGATATCCACATTTATTTAATATTTTTCTTCTGCAGTTTTTATTGAAAATGCAATATTTGATATCTAAAAAACCTGATGTGATAGACAAAAACTGATGTCAGATTTGGAATCAACACCCCAAAATTACATTAAAACCGTTGGAATACCTTATGCCACAAAAAGTGTGTTGACCAGTGTTATCCGAATCGGTCCCGGGCCTCCCCCCTAGGTCGACTCGGCCTCAAATAAGCACCTGGTGCGATGTGTAAACATCGCAACTGGGGGAGACAAATACGGCCGGGTGTGGTGTTGACCATCCACCCTCTCGCGTGCCGTGGCGGCCTTAATAGGTGCTCGCTAACAGCACTTGCCCCTACAGTCTGTCACAGGCTACACGGGTGGGGAGGGGGTCTTTGTCTTTGTTTCATGTCTCGTCATCAAGACTGTCGGGCCGGTCACGTGCTCCACCCCCTCCCCCCCTGCAAACTGATGACTCCGCGGCGGCCATCTTGGCTCGGGAAAGCGAACAAAACAGCGACGGCGGCGACGTCTCACGCGACGTCATCGCCACGCGCGTCGGACCCCGGCGTAGACTCTCGTGACCCCACGTGGCGCGGGTCTCCCCTTAGCAAGATGGCGCACGACTAAACATCGGCGTCGCGTGTTTTTAATGACGTTGAAACGCGTACGTCACTGTTGGCTCCTCACCCCTCGCCCCCGCCCCCCCACCTCCTCCCTCCCCCTCGCCCAACCGCCCCGGCCTGGCCATTGTGCGCGGGGCAGGAGGCACCACGACATTTCGGGGGTCCTCACTATCGGCGGCCCCCCACCCCCCTTCCTTAGACTACCCCCCCACACACCACCACCAACAACAACCCCCCCACCACCACCACCACCCCCGCGAGACATTGAAATCGCCGAGATCCCCCGCGCCGACATGGCCGAGGCGCCGCCGATCAGCGGCTTCGTGCGGCTGCCCGGGTGGGGGCCTTTCGGCGCGGCAGGTGCGTAAGGCCTGGGCGAGAGGGCCCGAGGTGGTTGCGGGGAGCGAGCGAACGAGCGAGTGAGGCGTGGGTGGGTGGGTGGGTGGACCACTGTGGGGGGTTTTCAGGTGACCACTGTGGGGGTGGGTGGGTGGAGCACTTGTGGGGAGATTTCCACGGGACCGGGGTGGGTGGGTGGACCACTGGGGCGGTTTTCGTGGGTCCAATGTGACCCTTGGCTACGTTGAGGGCTTTGCAAACCGTGAAAAGCTCATGGTTTATGGTCCTTGTTGGCGGCTCCGGGTATTCAGGGTCTTTAGTTCTTGGATTATTTGGGGAGGTTATGGGATTTTGAGGTCCATAGGGGTTCCGTGGTTGCTTGGAACCATGGGATTCATGCGGTCATTGGGGTCTGCGAGCACGGAGTATCTGCGGTGCTTTGGGAACTCTCGCATCTTTAGATCCCCAGGGTCTCTGATTGTGGCTAGGAGATGTTAACTACCTCGCCTGCTGCTGTATAATTGGAGTCGGTGTGTTCTCCCCGTGGTCGCGTGGATTATTCTCCGCGTCCTCCAGTTCTCCCCCCTCTTAACATTTTTGGCTGCTATACATTTCAACTTGATAAGGCTATCATTTGAGACCCGGTCGCTTATGAAAACGAGCTCTGTATCTCAGTGTGCCTTACCTGCTAAAGTAGGTTCGTTTCAGGGGTCCTGGTAATCTGTGGGTTTCTGGGGTCATCATATCACTGGGATTACTGTGTCGGTGTTCCCGGGGTCTTGGGATATCTGTTTTCCGGAATCGTAGAGTTTGTGGTGTTTTGAGGTGGCAGATATTTCACGGGGTCTTGATGACTCAGGTTACTCGGGTTTCGGGGGTTCCCGAGGGGGGGTGGTTTTTGGGGTCTTGAGGTATTCCTACTCATGGTTACACACTCGCGTTGCCACGAGTTGGTGTTTGGCACGGGACATTCCGAGAATTGGCATCAGTGTTCGGCTGGCAGGAATTAATTTGCGCCGAGATCTGATGTGGCATTGTGTTGACCTTAACACAATACTGCAGTGTTGATAATAGACCAAGGCTAACGGATAAATATATCCGGTTTGGTCAAAACATTAGTGGAAAAGTTGGCCACCCTACTACACTCCTAGACTGCGTTGTTTTGCCTTTTAAACGTGTTGTGAAAAAGAGGGTCAATTTGCATAACATTGATTTAAATGTACCCCTCTTCGCTTACATTTGAAACTCAGAGGGAATGAAGGGAAATGACACTGAAGATATTCATGGCAACTGACTTTTAGTGACCTTCACGTGCTCCATGTTGACGGTAACGTCACATTAATTTTCTTTGGCCCGTGACTGATTCATTGAATCTCCCAGGATTTAAGAATGTTTGAGCCTGTAAAGGTTGCTTGGGTGGGTGAACACCATAACGTGACAGGTGTTGAGGCTGTGTGTGGTTCGGCGTTGAGACTGTGGGTCGGTGTTGTTTGCGTTATACATTACCAGTTCAATTATTTTTGGGTGACATTAAAACGGAAACATGAACTGAACGTGAAAGAAGATCATACCAATTTCCTGAGTTCAGAATATGTTCCTAGTCATCGATACTTGCTAGCGAGTGATAGTACTCGTGACATCAGGGCTACAGTTAACGATAACGTTTAGGGATATAGTTGTCATAGGGGTTATCTCCATTATCATCATCAGCCATGAACAGTCCACTCTTGATGAAGGCCTCCCGCAAACGACAATTATTTCCAAGGCCTCATTTCAGCTGGGTCTGCCAGGTTTGGCAACTCAGAATATATTTCCTCCCCTGGCATATCCATTATACATCCAGTGTCCATACCTCTTGCTGTGGCTGTGGTTCTTCTTACAGCATTAGTCGCGTGCCACCTCCTCCTCCAGTCTCCCAGCGACCCAGAAAATATTGATTGGGAAATCAAGCCCTAGTTAAACCAGCCAGGTTACTCAAGAGGGAACCATCAGCGTTCATTATCCCTCCACACACAGAGAGCCCAACGCTGCAGTGCATACGGCCCGCGGTGGCCACAAGAGGCCCCAACACATTTGAAAGGGTCCCGCGGACGATGTTTATACGTCACTGCAAGTAGCATCTTTGTGGCGCTCATTGGGTAAAAAATAAAATTTAAATAAATTAAATCACGACGTTTCGGAGGCAACACAAGCTTCCGTCTTCAGGTGGAGGATCACGTGATACAGTAATTCTCCTGCGACGGTGCCACCTAAAGACGGAAGCTTGTGTTGCCTCCGAAACGTCGTGATTTAATTATTTTTTTTCACCTACGTGACTTTACCAAAAAAACCAAAGAGTATGGACCCTTGCAGTCACGAAAACTTCAAATCTAGGGGGGTGAAATATTGTCGACCCTGGTAACATTTTAGCGGATTGTTGCTCTGCGTTCTGGGTGTTGTATTATTTAAAAAAACCTATATACGAGTTGCTTATGAAAATAACGTTTTACGCATAATAATAATAATTCGACTCGGCAATTGCGCTGCACACCGAGTCTGATTACACGCTCGGTGGTTCAGTGGCCGTCACGTGATCCTTGGCGGCCCATGAGGGCACGTTCGGTCATGTGTACTGCGAATCTGGTGTGTGGTTTAGCTTCCAATTGGAATTTAAATAATAATGATGTTTGGAAGAATTAGAAATATGTAAACGTTCTCATTGAGAATTTTTTTCGGGGTTTTAAGACCAAAGTATTTGTACGTTTTGAACACGTTTTTGTTGCACTTTGAGTGTAACGCATAACCCCATGAGTTGGCATAAACTATTGCATAGCATTTCTAATTTATGTTAATATACATTTTTAGCTAATTTACCGTACTCACGATTTCAAGAAGGTAATGTTTCATTTTGCAACGTGAAAATACATTTTAGTCGGTGCCAAAATTAGGTAATGGAAAAAAACTGGGAATGTGACGCGGTGTCAAGGTTTGCTCGGTGGACTTGCAAATCAGAGGTCACCGGTTTAATTCAATCTCCTGGTGCGGCAGTTAAACTATGCTGCAATATTAATAGCTTTTTGCACTTTCATCTGGTACAAAAACTGACACCTTTTTACAAGGGATCATGTTTGCAATAACCGCAACACAAGCAGTCAAAAATGCAAACAAAAAGAAACAACTCTGATAATGATAATGATATGCACTGTCCTTGAAGTTGATTGGTCCACACCCGAGACAGCTTTTCTTGGAGCCTAGTCTCCATTGGTGTTTGACCAGATGAAAAAGGGGTCCAACACCAATGGAGACTAGGCTCTAAGAAAAGCTGTCTCGGATGTGGACCAATCAACTTCAAGGACAGTGCATATCATTATCAGAGTTGTTTCTTTTTGTTTGCATTTTGACTGCTTGTGTTGTGGTTATTGCAAACATGATCCCTTGTATAAAGGTGTCAGTTTTTGTACCAGATGAAAGGGTAAAAACCTATTACTATATTTTGCCACTGGTAAAGGAGGTCTCATAGTGTACTATGCTGCAAGTTTCGTAATGCCCTCTCGCCCCTACCTCTGTCCACCAAACAGCAGTGTAAAAGGTTGCACTACGGTAAGTCCATCGGCAGGGCTCGTGTGGTGGGGTAAAGGGTGGGTCTTCAAAGATGTGGAAGAGTAGGCCAAGCATATCCTCGGGAGGGGCTCGTGGGCTGAGTAGGCAGGTAATTTCAGGGCTGCACCACCTTGACTGTTTTACCTTGGGATGGTAAATTATTGAACGACCCAAATACATCTGAAAAATAAAAACATATTTGGTGATAACACAGTTGGCAGGAGTGCACAAATGCAAAAAACAAAAACTCATTGCATCTGTCAATCATAAAACACTGGCCAAAGGATAAATTGTATGAGAGGTGACGTCTTGGATAATTCTTCATGTCAGCTATCGTATATATTAGGGCTGCTAAACGATAACCGGTAACCATTTTCAGAATCGGTCACCGGTTCCGAAAGTAAACGACCAGTAACCCTTTCCAGTGTCATTTTAATAACGGAAGCACTGATTTAAGACATGTACGACATTTTTTAAACTGCCTCACCAGGAGATGGAATCCAAATGCCGACCTCTGCAATGCTTGCCATTACTCCACTGCGGCAACTTCTTGCGCTACTCGGTTGAAGAGTTAAATAATAATAATTTTGTTTATTGCTCTGGACGTGCTTATTGTGTGCGGTTACCGGTAAAGCAAGAAGAGCTTTTAACATCCAAACCAATTGAAGAAATATGGGCCACGTTGCTATAGGATAGGCGACATTTTGAGCAGTGCCCCTTCTTTATAGCTCGCGAACAAGTGCCATTGCCTGAAATGTCACCTGTTATATATTTCCAATGCTATCTGCAACCGCCGTCGCTCCTGCTAGTGGCAGGGGCGACGGCGGTTGTTTATCCCGAGCACCGCCGCGGTTTACCCACCGCCTCTGGCGCCACAGCTTTAACCGCGCTTTCACCGCGAGCGTGTCGCCACCGCCGCCACCCAACCGCCACTAAAGCCATCGCCCGCGTTGCGTTATATCACGGCAGGCTGCGAGAAGATTATGGGAATCGGGGCTGCTAAGGAGCGCGACCCCAGTCTGCATGTCCCTAACAGGTTTTTGTATCAAGGTGAGCCTTGCTGACGATGAGCGGTGGTGAGCGATGGTGAGCGGTGGTGAGCAAGAGGCCTGGTGCTCGCCTGGTCTCTTCCGCTCGCCGCTTCTCTTACCTACGTAGCCCCGGCCCGTGTCACTGAAACGTCGGACAACCCACGAGTGCCTCCACTCATCACCTGGAGTTCCTCCCACTTAAAGCCGGCTCCACACCTCCGGCGATCGGTTGTGCCACTGAATTGCTTGTGTGGATGTCTCTACAACAATTCCCATAATCGGTTGCTCCCAGTCGAGCTAGACTCTGCTTTTTAGCTCGGCGATTTGTAGCAACGTGCTGCACGTTTGCGAACTGTGATTGGTTGTGGCAAATGTGGGCGAGGGGTTTGGAACAAACCAGCACAAGGGCAGGTGTAGAGACATCATTGCTGCACAACTGATCGCTCGGGTGTGGACCCGGCTGAAGCCTTATATACCCCTTCTCGATTGGCACATCTGAGCCAAGCCAGAACGGGTCCCTCGTGGTAGGGGTGGTTTTCCACTAGCTGTTTGCCGAGCCGAGCCAGGACCAAACCATGCTACACTGGCCTCACAAGAAGATGTCTGAATCTGGCTCGGGGCCAAGCAGGGCCAGGGGTGGGGTGTTATTGACGCATTGAATTGGTGGGATGTCAGTCCACTGAGGACGACGTCACCGCGTGTTTTCCCACTCGTTCATTACGTGTGACATTGGCACCTCAACTCGGTTACTGCTGTGGAAAAACAACCTTGCGCCTTCTGAGCCACGCCGGGCCGGTTCGGCACGGCCAACGTGGCTCGGTTGTGCAGTGTAAAAGAAGTAGTGGATGCTCTATCCTTCTTGCACTGTTTGGTTCCAACCATATTGGCGGTCGTCTTCTTTGACCATTTTTCTGAGACTTTGCAAACGGAACTTCATTCAGCAGTGGATTGACATAAGGACTGTACATAAAGGCCTTGCTGTACCCGTCTCTCACCTATACCATGTGGAATGATCATAAAAATAACAGCATTAATCAGGTTCGCCCACTGGATTTGAATCGCGAATCTCTCCAACAAGCGGCGAACGAACCATCAACGCTACGGCCATCGCCACAATCGCCAGCAACACGGTTAGTTGAGCCAGCCGCCCGCTTGAAAACAGCGGCAACGCCACTCCTCCTTGGGTGGCGGTCTTTGATGGCCCATGTGATCAGCGGCCGATTGGTCCGGCAAAACACCTCCGCGTTTGTTTGCCGTGTCCTTTGGCGGTTCGGTTAACTGGCGTTGGAGTCGCGGCCAGGGAGGTGGTGGTGCAATGGTGCGGAGAGGCGTTGCTTGTTGCTCGTTTTCCGTCTGTGAGTGAAACTGCCTCCAATATTTCCTGCTGCTCCCTGTGCAGATCCATCTGGTGTAGAGAGATGCACGCAGCTCTGACACAGCCCATAGCTGGACATAGCCTAAAGCCCTGATGCAGCATATAACTTGGACACAGCCCAGACACAGCTCATAGCTTAAGATATAGGCCAAGCATTAGTGTACCCCATAAACTCAACTCATGAACGTACCCTTAATCCTAAGCCCTAAGCCAAATACCTAACCTAACCCATAACATGAATTTCATTATCGTTATGCGAGGGTAAACAAGTCTAAAAATAATGTTAATAAAATGATGAAGATCTGCCTCTAAACACAATTGCAAACCTAGTGTAAATTTTCATACAAACATTAAAACACAATTCCTGCAAACTCCATAACCCCACTCTTCACCAAAACCCCACTCCTTATTACGACCCTACTCCTTACCACGACCCCACTCTTCACCACGACCCCACTCCTCACCACGACCCCACTCCTCACTATGACCCCACTCCTCACTATGATCCTACTCCTTACCATGACCCCACTTCACCATAACCCCACTCCTCACCACAACCCTACTCTTTACCATGACCCCACTCCTCACCGCAACCCCACTCTTCACCACGACCCCACTCTTCACTTTGACCCCACTCCTCACCACGACCCCACTCCTCACTATGATCCTACTCCTTACCATGACCCCACTTCACCATAACCCCACTCCTCACCACGACCCCACTCTTCACCACGACCCCACTCTTCACCACGACCCCACTCCTCACCACGACCCCACTCCTCACTATGATCCTACTCCTTACCATGACCCCACTTCACCATAACCCCACTCCTCACCACGACCCCACTCTTCACCATGACCCCACTCCTCACCGCAACCCCACTCTTCACCACGACCCCACTCTTCACCACGACCCCACTCCTCACCACGACCCCACTCCTCACTATGATCCTACTCCTTACCATGACCCCACTTCACCATAACCCCACTCCTCACCACGACCCCACTCTTCACTATGACCCCACTCCTCACCACGACCCCACTCTTCACCACGACCCCACTCGTCACCCAACCCTCCATACATAGCCCCACTTCTCACCTTAACACACCGAAGCTGTCCAAATTCCTCACCTCACCTCTAACCTGACCTCTCGCTTAAGCCCTCGTCACAATTCTGACTCCACGTTTCATTCTAACCCCACTCTTCACCCCCAACTCTTCATCCGCTGTGAACCCCAAAACCGCCCCCCTTTCGTCCACCGCCCCCTCCCCCACCCCCCAGGTGAACCCGAGCCCCCCGCTAGGAGCGGTCACCGCTGCATCGCAGACAGCGCGAACCTCTACGTGTTCGGGGGCTACAACCCGGACTTTGATGAGTCGGGTGGGCCTGGAAACGCGGAGTATCCCCTGTTCCGTGAGCTGTGGCGCTACCACCTGGCGACGGGCACGTGGCACCGCGTGCCCACCGACGGCTACACCCCCAAGGAGCTCGCCTCCATGTCCGGTGAGTGAGGAGCGAGAGCAGGGGAGGGGGGGCAGGGGGGCGGGCGGGCGGGCGGGCGAGTGGCAGGGAGTGTTGACGGCTACCACTGCCGCCTTGGGTTAGGCGGCCGGCCTGCGGGGGGCTACGTGTATTTTGTGTGTGCGCGTGTAATGGTCCTACATGGCAATAGCCTGCTGATGCCTGGTGTGTGTGAGTGAGGATTATCTGAACCGGTCATGGGAATCCCCTATGTCGACTCGGCCTCAAATGAGTACCTGGTACGGCGGTGTGTAAACGTCGCCACTCGGGAGACAAAGACTCGTGTGCTGTGCCGGCCTCCATCGGTGACGGTCGCTAAAAAACAGAATTTGCCCTAAAAGTCTGCCAACGCTGTACGACGGGGGGCAATTGGGGATGTTCTGTCTTTTTAAATCCTTTATATTAAGTTCGCTTGCTTGCTTAGGACCGTGAAAATCTTTCGGTCGTTTTTTAACCCACTTCCCGTGATCCAATCGAGCTGACATTTTGCACAGACTCGTTGTGCGTGACAATGAATTTTCGTGAAAAAAAATTTCCAAAATTTTACATTGTTTAAGGAAATTTTTTTCAATATTTATTTACCAATTGGTTAATGCTGGCACACAATCATCTGACCCATAGGTGGCAGCCATCTCAAGCCAGAGGACGAGAGGACTCTAGCCGCCCCGATGCCACGCATATAAAGGATTTATAGTGAAAAACTTTGTTTTTACGGGTTAATTTTTCTGCGTCGACGTGTGCAGTCGTCCTGCATGGCAGCAGCCTGCTGACGTTCGGCGGCACGGGCGTGCCGTTTGGCGAGAGCAGCGGCAACGACGTGAACGTGTGCAACCTGCGCTCGCGCTGCTGGACGCGGCTGCCGAGCCGCGGGCGCAAGCCCAGCAAGATCTACGGGCAGGCCATGGCCATCATCCACGGCGCCCTGTACGTGTTCGGCGGCACCACGGGCTACGTGTACAACACCGACCTGCACCGCCTCGACCTCGGCACGCACGAGTGGGTCAAGCTGGAGCCCTGCAATGGTCGAGACGAGATGCCCGGCGAGAGGTGAGCGCCGCCGGTGGCGATGGTCAGGCGTGGGGGTCTGGCGGTAAGGGGGGGGCTGGGCTGTGTGGGAAAGTAGAGGGGTGAGCGTGGCGAGCGTGGTATGTGGGTGAGTGGGGAGCGGTACTGTCGCGGTACTGTAGCGGTAAGCGCGCTGCGCTACGGATCTGGCGACCCGAGTACGAATCCCGCTCACGGCCAACACCAGTGACGATTATCTGAACTGCTCCTCGGCCTCCCAAAGGTCGACTCGGCCTCAAATGAGTACCTGCTTTGTTGTGTAATCATTTACACTTGGGAGACAAAGGCGGCCGGGTATGGTGCTGGTCACCCAACCCCCTCATGTGCCGTGCTGACGTTCATAGTTGCTCGCTAACAGCACTTTAGGCTATACAGGGAATCTTTGGCTTTGGATGGTGAGCCGTGTCATGGCTGAGACGAGATGCCTGGCAAAGAAGTGGGGATTGTGGTGTGTGGTTAGTGTTGGGGGTTAGAGCCAGTAGCGTTGTGTTGCCTATGATGTGTTCCTAGCATTGTTGCTTTTATTGTATTTCTAGTGCCCGTGTTGTGTTGCTCGTGTGGTGTTGCTCACGTTGTGTTGCTCGTGTTGTGTTGCTCACGTTGTGTTGCTCGTGTTGTGTTGCTCACGTTGTGTTGCTCGTGTTGTGTTGCAGATTTTGTGTTGCTCACGTTGTGTTGCTCGTGTTGTGTTGCTCACGTTGTGTTGCTCGTGTTGTGTTGCTGATTTTGTGTTGCTCACGTTGTGTTGCTCGTGTTGTGTTGCTCACGTTGTGTTGCTCGTGTTGTGTTGCTCACGTTGTGTTGCTCACGTTGTGCTGCTCGTGTTGTGTTGCTCGTGTTGTGTTGCTCACGTTGTGTTGCTCACGTTGTGTTGCTCGTGTTGTGTTGCTCACGTTGTGTTGCTCGTGTTGTGTTGCTCACGTTGTGTTGCTCGTGTTGTGTTGCTCACGTTGTGTTGCTCGTGTTGTGTTGCTCACGTTGTGTTGCTCACGTTGTGTTGCTCGTGTTGTGTTGCTCACGTTGTGTTGCTCGTGTTGTGTTGCTCACGTTGTGTTGCTCACGTTGTGTTGCTCACGTCGTGTTGCTCACGTTGTGTTGCTCGTGTTGTGTTGCTCACGTTGTGTTGCTCGTGTTGTGTTGCAGATTTTGTGTTGCTCACGTCGTGTTGCTCACGTTGTGTTGCTCACGTTGTGTTGCTCACGTTGTGTTGCTCGTGTGGTGTTGCAGATTTTGTGTTGCTCACGTCGTGTTGCTCACGTTGTGTTGCTCACGTTGTGTTGCTCACGTTGTGTTGCTCACGTTGTGTTGCTCACGTTGTGTTGCTCACGTTGTGTTGCAGATTTTGTGTTGCTCACGTTGTGTTGCTCGTGTTGTGTTGCTGATTTTGTGTTGCTCACGTCGTGTTGCTCACGTTGTGTTGCTCACGTTGTGTTGCTCACGTTGTGTTGCTCACGTTGTGTTGCAGATTTTGTGTTGCTCGTGTTGTGTTGCTCACGTCGTGTTGCTCGTGTTGTGTTGCTCGCGTCGTGTTGCTCACGTTGTGTTGCTCGTGTTGTGTTGCTCACGTCGTGTTGCTCACGTTGTGTTGCTCGTGTTGTGTTGCTGATTTTGTGTTGCTCACGTTGTGTTGCTCGTGTTGTGTTGCTCGCGTCGTGTTGCTCACGTTGTGTTGCTCGTGTTGTGTTACTTATTTTGTGTTGCTCACGTTGTGTTGCTCGTGTTGTGTTGCTCGCGTCGTGTTGTTCACGTTGTGTTGCTCACGTTGTGTTGCTCGTGTTGTGTTGCAGATTTTGTGTTGCTCACGTTGTGTTGCTCGTGTTGTGTTGCTCACGTTGTGTTGCTCGTGTTGTGTTGCTGATTTTGTGTTGCTCACGTTGTGTTGCTCGTGTTGTGTTGCTCACGTTGTGTTGCTCACGTTGTGTTGCTCGTGTTGTGTTGCAGATTTTGTGTTGCTCACGTTGTGCTGCTCGTGTTGTGTTGCTGATTTTGTGTTGCCCTCGTTTGTGTCGCTCGCGCTGTGCTGCAGGTACCGGCACGAGATTGCGCATGACGACACTGAGGATCTACGTACTGGGGGGGGGCACCTCGTGGATGGCCTACCCCCTCGACAAGGTGAGAACGCCACCTCCTCTTCCTCCGCCTCGTCACCTCCTCACCACCACCGCCCTCTCACCGCCACCTCATCATCCTCCACCCCCCCACTGTCCCCACTGGGTACGTGTGTTTTATAATAAATGTGTGCCCATGTGTCTGCTTGGGGAGCGGTGGCGTAGTAGTTGGCGCACTGCACTTCGAACCCGGTGACCCGAGTTTTCTGCCCTCTGATAGGCAACATTAGTGGTAAATATTTGAACCGGTCCTGGGCCTCCCCTAAGATCAATTGATCCTTATGGCAGTACCCCGGGGTAACAAATAGTACCAAATGGCCGAGACAATTAAATATTTTAATTCTGGGACACTATTTTTTCCAGGGGTGTACTAAGGTCCGTGACTGGGGTACCAATCAATCCGACATCAGTGCTACTCCGCTATGTCGAAACGCAGCGAGGACGATTGCGCTGAAACCCTGAACGCTCGTACGCACCGTAGTGGTGCATCGTGAGTACAGCTCGTCGAGATGAGTCGATGGCCGCATCGCCGACCATCAACAGACTAAAAATGACTGCATCACGGACATTATGCGAGAGCCGAGGTACTGTGGTACCCCAGGGTACCGCCATGAGGTTCAATTCGGCCTTAAATTGGTACCTGGTGCGGTGTGTAAACATCATCATTCGGGCGTGGTGCTTGCCCCAACAGTGGTTAAATCTATATGGGAGGTCTTGTCTTTGTTTTATCTGCACGTGTGTGTCCATGTCTGCAGATCAACGCCTACAATCTGGAAAACAACATGTGGGAGGAGATCATGACCAAGCCTCATGATAAGATCGGTGAGCTCACTTCTCCGTAGCACACCTTCAGTTTGGTTTGTGGCAACGTTAGTTTGAGGTGAGGTGATGACGTGAGTTTGTGACGTCGTGTCCGTGTGCCACCAGGATTCCCGGCTGCCAGGCGATGCCACAGTTGCGTGCAGATCGGCAAAGGTACGGCCACCGTTGTACCGAGGTGTCACCACCGCATTGCCACCAACACCAACTGCAAACTAAGACTAAGATCCCCCCTATAGCCTTTAACAGGCTGATGGAGCTTGTGTTGTTAGCAAGCACCAATTAAAGCCGGCATGGCACACCTTCACCAAGCCGCACTGACTAGCCTGGTGAAGTATGGCCATATAATCACCGTGTGGGGAGGCCTTCCTCCAGTAGTGCATGTGTTGTGCACGAGTGCATGGCCACTCTGCCGTCTCGTGGTAATGATCACCTACACTGGTCTACCAGCGACCCGGAGAATATTCGGCGAGAAATTAACACCTGCCTGTACGTCTGTTTCTGTGAGTGTATCCTCATGTGTGTCTATCCGTATGTCTCTGGCTGTCTGTCCGTGTGGCTGTCTGCCTGAGCGTACGTACGTGTGTCTTTGTGCGCCAGACACTACTCACGAACAGCACTTGCCCCAGCAGTCTGCGTAGGCTATAAGTGGGATCTTTGTCTTTGTCCCAGACGTGTTCATCTGTGGAGGCTATGATGGAGAGAGAATCTTTGGTGACCTGTGGCGGCTGAATCTGGGGTCCTTCCAGTGGACGAAGCTGCCCGCGGAGATGCCTGAGCCGGCGTACTTCCACTGTGCTGCTGTCACGCCGGTAAACTCCCCGCCCGTCCGTCACATTGCCGTGGACCAAACGCCACGTGGCACTGAACCTTAACCATAACCTAACCCTAATTTAACCCTAACCTAATTCTTAACTCTAATCTAATCCTCACATAACTCTTAATCCTACACTAACCAAAAGCTAACACTCAACCATAAACTAATCCTCACCTTATTCTTAATCATAAACTTACCCTAGCGTAACTTTAACCTAACTGTTAACCATAACCAAATTCTAACCTAACTCTTACCTCTAACATAGCTCAAACATAACCTCACTGTTAATCCTATCCTAACCCTAACCATAAATATAACACTAACATAACCAATACTGACCATCCCTTTCCTTGCTGTGAACTAAAAGCAACGTGGTACCTAACTCTGTATGTCTCAACGTGTGTCTGTACGTGTAAATGGGTGCTCGCTAACAGCGACTTCCCAAACATTCTGTTAAGGGCTACGCAAAATATTATTTGACTCGTTTTCCACTCGCACATCCGAACCGTGCCAGCACGGGGCCAGGACGAGGTCGGGATGAAGCCAGCACGGCACGGGTGGATCTTGGATTATTTTGTTCGTGTTTAGTTGGAGCCGTGGTAACCGGGTTGCATTGCCCAATGGTTTTGACCAGAGGCAAAAATAAATCGATAAAACAACACTGGCATTTGATCCTTATGGCGGTACCCCGGGGTACCAAATAATACAAAATGGCCGAGACAATAAAATATTTTATTTCTGGGACACGATTTTTACAGGGGAGTACTTAAGTCCGCGACTGGGGTACCAATCAATCCGAAATCGGTGCAACTCCGCGATTTCGAAACACAGCGAGGATGATTGCGCTGAAACCCTGAACACTCGCGGTACGCACCGTAATGGAGCATCGTGTGTACAGCTCGTCGAGATGAGTCGATTGCCGCATCGGCGACCATCAACAGACTAAAAATTACTGCATCACGGACATTGCGCGAGAGCCGGGGTACTACGGCACCCCGGGGTACCGCCATAAGGTTCATTTTACTGAGCCCAACTGAACTGGTGGAACCAAACCGTGCTATGCTGGCCCCACGAAGCATCTAAATCAGAAGTGCGAGTAGAAACAGTCTGCATCAGTAGCAGGCCATGCTTTCCCACCTGATGATGGACGCTTGTGTTGCGCCCGAAACGTCGTGATCTATTTTATTTCATTTTATACCCACGTGACTTTACTGAAAGAACCAAAGAGTATGGATTCCTGCAGTCACGAAAGCTTCAAATCAAGATTGGAAGGAGATATTTATCTTTGTGCATTTGTGTCTCATATCCACGCGTCCCCCGTGCACGCGCGTGTGCGCACGCGTGCAGGCTGGCTGCATGTACGTGCACGGCGGTGTGGTGAGCATCCAGGAGAACCGGCGTACGCCATCGCTGTACCGCGCCTGGCTCACGGCGCCCAGCCTGCTGGAGCTCTGCTGGGAGCGGCTGCTCGCCAGTGCTCCCTGCCTCGCCCACGCCTCCCCACGCCACCTGCTGCAGCTCGGACTCAGCTGGCAGCTCATCGATCGCCTGCGCGACACGTGAACTCTCCCGCTCGCTCGCTCGCTTGCTCGCCCGCTCGCCCACTTTCCTGGCGAGCGAGCGAGCCAGGAAAGTGGGAGGGCGGGGTGGAGGGGATGAGATGGGACGCACACAAACCAGTCTGCAGTGACCCGTGAACATTCCCACTCACCCATTTGCTCACCTACTCACTGGGTGAGGAGGCGAGGAGACGGGTGTACAGTGAGGTGAGGAGGGGAGACACGCAATGGCAGGCTGTGTGACACATGATTTTGTCTATTCGCTCGCCCGCTCATTCACCCGCTCACCCCACTCAAGTGTCCACTCGCCGGGATGGAGGGAGCTGGGCAGGAAGTGGGTGGGCGAGTCACGGGGTGGTGGACCCGTGAACTCGCCCACTCGCTCACCCGCCCGGTGAGCATAGGGGGCGCTACCGTGGGGTGTAGGATGGTGGGGGGGGGGAGTGTTGTTGTGTGTGCGTTAAGCCAGCTCCACACGTGAGCGATGAGTTGCTGCAACTCGGTTGGGTCCTGGTGTGCAACGGAACCGCTGACGTGTGGACATCTCTGCAACTCTGTTTTTCGCAGTAAAGACCGAATCCAGTATGTAGCGACGCGTTTAGCCTTGTGCCACACATTCGCGAGCAGCGATTGGTCAATCGGCCATTAGGATCCTGATTGTCTGAAGCCGTTGAAAGTCCTCGTCGCGCAACTTCTCACCCAGACGTGGACAAAGCGGCTTCGGACGCTGATCGATCTGTGTCATTTCCAGAGCAGTTTGGTTGCATAGCCGATCGCTCGGGTGTGGAACCAGCTTTACTCAATAGTGGGGCGAGTGGTGAGCGGAGTAATTTGGCAGTCGAGGAGCGTTGTCGTCGTCGTTAAAGTGATGGTTTAGACTTTTTAAAATTTCTTTTGCACTTTTCGGGAAGGGAGGGAGAGGGTGAATTGTGACTACGCATGTAGATTTGATTTTAAAACCAAAACAGGCGATCGAAGAGTGTGGGGGGGGGGGGGGGGGCAGCCATGGGAGAAGTGGAGGGCTGGGGGGGGGTGGCAGAGACCCCCGCCACAGAGACCGCCATGCTTCCTAACGCTTCCTGTGCTTCCCTCACACTTCCCGGACGCTCCTTCCCACTGCTCCACCGTCTCCAGCATGCCTTTTCCACTGCACAACCGAGCCGCACCAGGGCAGGGCCAAGCTGGCCCAGCGTGCGGCTCAGGAGGCGCCAGCGTTGTTTTTCCACTGCAGGAGCCGAGAGCCCCGTGCAGATGATGAGGCGACACGTCTTTTGAGTTCTACCAAACGATGTCACGGCCCTACTTTGCCCCTAGCCAGATTCGGATGTCGCTCCCAAGCCATTTGTCCTGTTATGGGCGCATCGCATCTAAGTTGTTGTGAGCCCGTCGTAGCATGCTTTGGTTCCGGCTCGGCTCTGCAAATAGCCGGTGGAAAAACCACCGGTGCTGCGAGGGACCCGTGCTGGCTCGGCTCGGATGTGCCAGTGGAAAAATTGGTAAGAGAAGAGCAGGAGGAAGAGGAGGAGGAGTAGTGCAGCTTAGGGTCAGTGTCGTGTTGCATGGTTTTGATTTAATTGAGCTGCGATTATAATTAACGAACTCATTATTTAATGGCTGTGTGATGTGCGCGTGTACATATATACATACAGACACAAGGTGTGCGCGTCAATAGTACATACCCACCCACACGAGTGTGCGTGTGGCAGCAACGCGGTGATGGCCTGGGAGCCTGAAGCCTTAGGTTCCAATCCTTGTTGGGGAGGCTCAGGATTGACACCATCGTCACCATATAGCAGTTATCGGCATCATCGGTAGCACCATCATCATTGGCGTCATCTAGCAACTGCCATCATAATCCGTGGCACCGTGGGTAAGCTGGTATCCGCTTTTATTCTCAGTCGTTTAGACATCTGCAACTCTGCGCTCGCTGGTTTTCCCAAATCTACAATCGCTCCCTTACAGCCAGGCTGCTTATGGGATTTCTCACCTTCCATGACCCCAAGTCACACCAGCGCTTCAAGAGTTGCTCTGGCTCCCAGTGCACATCCGGATAGTTTATAAACTCTTGCCTACTTATGCACACGGCTTAGATAAACACATTTCCAGCCTTTTCCAAAACTCCAACACACCCATAGAAAACCTCATCACGGGGCTGGTCTTGACTCTGCATACAGCTCTGACTACAACGGCCCACGTGTACAAAACGCATTTGGGGAGCGCGCCTTTTCGTACCCTGGGCCCCAAGGCTTGGAATTAACTTACCAGCAAACTGCGTGTAGATAATAAGTATAACCCGTAAAAACAAAGTTTTTCACTCTAAATCCTTTATATGCGTGGCGGCTAGAGTCCTCTCGTCCTCTGGCTTGAGATGGCTGCCACCTATGGGTCAGATGATTGTCTGCCAGTATTAAACAATTGGTAATTAAATATTTAATTTGTTTTCCCTAAACAGTGTAAAATTTTGGATTTTTTTTTCACGAACATTAATTGTCTCGCACAACGAGTCTGTGTGCAAAATGTCAGCTCGATTGGATCACGGGAAGTGGGTTAAAAAACGACCGAAAGGTTTGCACGGTCGTAAGCAAGCAAGCACGTAAGCGAACTTAATATAAAGGATTTAAAAATTAAAATACGTTTCGGAAAGCGTTTACAATGTTATCTTTTCAACCTGGCTTTTAATTCTTGAGCTCATAATTAATGTGATGCACTGCTGGTCAATATTGTAGTCGGCACAATGCAAGTAACGTTCGTATATGGCAGCGTCATCACCATCTGCAGCATCGCCATCGGCAGCATCATTTCACAATTGGTATTATCATCGAGCATCATCAGCAACACTCTACCTACTCTCTTTGGTTTTTTCGGTAAAGTCACGTAGGTAGAAAAAACCAAAGAGTATGAATCCTTGCAGTCACGAAAACTTCAAATCTATAAGCAACACTCTTAATAATAATTACATTTTGAGGCGCATTAATCCCAACGCACCATGTATGAAAAGCAGGAAATAAATAGAACCAGGGAAAACATCCAGAACTTGGCGGGGAATTAAGGCCAATTTAAAGAGGCGAGTTTTCAAGACATTTAAACCGCTCTAACAACTCTTAATTCTTGATTGTCTTATTACCGAAGGCAAAGCGTTGCCCCACAGTCTGGGAGCTGCACTGGCAAAAAGCCTGGCCACCCCAGGAACAGAGCCTTGACCTCGCAGTCCTTAGAAGAAGGCGATGAAGATCTCAGGGACATCATTGGGGGTGTAAATATGGATAAGCTCCTGCAAATGTTGTCGGGCTAAGCCATTGACAATTATCTGGCTCAACCGCCTCCAATGTAAAATTAGAGTTGCTGCGCCACACCAACATTAGCCACGCGAAGAAGATCGGCGTCGTTAACTTCATCGTCGTCATCATCGGCATTCTTACCAACAAAATGATCATCGCCACCTGCAGCGTCCGTATCATTTCTCCATCGTCGTCGTCGCCGCTGCCATCCTTGTCGTCGTCGTCTCCAAAAGAGGACCAGAGAAATTCTCGGCACCGGGTGAGGCTGTCGCAGGGCTGTCGCAGGGCTGTACCAGAAGGTCGACTGTTATTGTCGCCGTTTTTTGTCGATTCGCTCGGAATCTATCAGAATAGACTGGGCCCTGCCATACTCATGTGGAATGAATCACTGCTGGCTCGGGAACCGGCAGGGTGAGATGAGCCGCGGCATACATCCATGCGTTCTCTTGATGTGCGCCAAGAACACACGGGGCCTGTATTATGGCTGTTTTTATCGTGATGATGGTGACCTGTATATAGGAATGCACGTCGCATAGGCATGGGGGTTTTACTACTGCCTGAGTTCTCGCTGTTGTGCTGCTGTGTTGCTCTCCCCCATGTGTTTTTAGGTTGTGCTGCTACGTGTTGCTTGGCATGCTGTCTGACGTTCTGCTCCCGCGTGCCGGGATCTTCTTTAAGACCTGCACTGAGTTCCAATTGAAATGGAGTTCCAATTCGATTGTCTAACGCTGCCTCCGATCTATTTCTAACACTGGCTCGTATCGCTAACGAATCTTATCTCGAACACTCTTCTATCCCTATCACTGCCTTCTATCTCCAACCCTGACTCAAATCTCTAACCCTGTCCGCTATCTCTAACGCTGCCTCCTATCGCTACCGCAGACTTCTGCTGTTGCGGTTGTGCTGTGTAGTTCTCTGACGTGCGTTCGGGTCGTACCGCGTGTTGTCCTTCAACGATGTCCGACGATTTGCTCCGTGCGCTCAGAGCTTCCGAAGTTTCTACGGAAGCTCCCAAACGCCTCGAGCGAAACATCGGAGATTGCGACGGACGACACGGTGCGACCCGAGCCGCAACGTTGGAGTGCTGGGCCCCCCCCCCGCGGGCTTTGTGGAAATCAATGCGAGTGATAATTGTTTTTTTAGCCTTCTATCTGGCAACAAAACTGACACTTTTTTTACAAGGAGTCATGTTTGCATATACCACAATACCTGCAGCAGCCATAATGCAAACAAAAAACATGCTTTATGGCTGCAGGTATTGTGGTCTATGCAAACATGACTCCTTGTAAAAAAAAAGGTGTCAGTTTTGTTACCAGATAGAAGGGTAAAAAAACAATTATCATTTTTTTTTACTGGCAAATGAGGTTCCAATGGTATCAATGCGAGTGTCGAGGTGTTCGACCCGTCGAGCCGTGGACAGTCTTCCACGTCCGTCGTTCCTCGTGGCGTTTGGTGGTGGAGGAGGCAACTATCTGGGTCTCGTCATTGAGCTGAGGCCTCGCAAAAACACAATGCTGTGCAGACGTCAGATAATCCCGGGCTGAGTTTCGACTTTGCCGACACTCATCAGCCAATTGAAGCCTCATTATTATAATTAGTCTGTATTTAACCAGAATCAGTCGCACGCCCAGGTACAAACATTGAGAGGGTGCGTTATTTTGGGGAACTGAAATTGGGCGTTTGTAAATGGCACGTTCACTCTGTAAATGATACGAGAAATGCAATCCAGAGGTCGCTGGTTCAATCTCCTGGCGTGGCAGGTGAAATAATGGAGCGAGTTTTTTTCAATCCACCAACACCGCTGCTGGTCACCCATCAGCGTTAATTGGTTCACAGAAGTCGATCGGTAGGCCACGTGGGGTGGGGCAAAGTGTGACCATCGTGGAGGAGTAGGCCAAAAACACTCTTGAGAGCGCCATCCACCAGCAGTAGCGAGAACCAGCCAATGCAGGGCTGCACCTTCACCCATCTGTAAAATAAAATATACATCTGATCAGGATACAACCCCTTGAGATTCACATCCCATTGTGAAAACGTGTGCCATCGGCCCTAATGCTTGGCAAGAGCTAAGTCTGGTTTGTGTCTCGCGTGTCTGTGTGTGCGTGTTGCTTCTAGTTTTGAAGCTTTCGTGACTGCAAGGATTCATATTATTGGTTCTTTCGGTAAAGTCACGTAGAAGGGAAATAATAAAATAATAAAAACAGCGCTTGCGTTGTGGCCGAAACGTGAGAATTTTATGATATTTTATTATTTCCCTTCTACGTGACTTTACCGAAAGAACCAAGAATATGAAAGAAAACTAGGTAAAACAAAGTTAAGTCACGTAGGTAAAAAATAAGTAAATAATAAAAGAAATGAAATATTTTAATAATAAATTAATAGAAATACAAATATTTATTTTATTTCTATTATTTCTATTTACTTATTTTTTCCCTCCGTGATTTTACCGAAAAAAACCTGAGTATGTGTTGCTTCTGTTGGGTGCAGTGGTGCAGCAGTTAGCGCACTGCACCGCAAACCCCGTGTCCTCTACTCGATTCCTCGCCACGGCCGTCATCGTCGGTGCCGAATACCTGAACCGGGTGCTTGGCTTCGCTTAGTTTGAGTCTGTGAATTAACTCGAAACGACTGAATTCATCACTGCGCCCCGCCACTCCCCACAAACCTTAAGCGGCAGGTGTTACCTGGTGCGGTGTGTAAGAACATCGGGCACTCGGGGAGACAAAGGCGGCTTGCTTGCTTACGACCGTGCAAATCTTTCAGTCGTTTTTTAACCCACTTCCCGTGATCCAATCGAGCTGATACTTTGCACACAGACTCGTTGTGCGAGACAATGTTCGTGAAAAATTTTTGTTCCAAAATATTACAGTTTTTAGGACAAAAATATTATATTTAATTACCAATTGCTTAATGGTGCCATGCAATCATTGACCCATAGGTGGCAGCCATCTCAAGCCAGAGGACGAGAGGACTCTAGCCGCCACGCATATAAAGGATTTAGAGTGAAAAACTTTGTTTTTACGGGTTAATTTTGTATTGATCACGTGCACTGTACCGACATAACCCCCCCCCCCCCCTCTTGAAAATGGTAGAATTGCATTGGCGATTCGCCTTCTGGGTCTCTCATCAGCAGCGTCCGACTTGTTAAGCAGTCGCGTAAAAAAGGCGAGGGAGGCTCTGGACACGTGGCGAGAATGAATGAAGGCAGGCGGATCCTGGGCCCGGGAGATTTGACGAAAATGTGGAAATGATACAGGAGGGGAAAGACGGAACCGGATTCATACTCTGAGGTTTTTTCGGTAAAGTCACGTAGGAAAAAAAATAATACACATAAATAATAATAAAATAGAAAAAAAAATCACGACTTTTCGGAGGCAACACAAGCTTCCGTCTTCAAGTGGAACCGTCACAGCACGATTGCTGTATCAAGAGAAGTCCCAAGAGACCCGACCTTGTATATATACTGGTTGAGGGGGGGATGAGTTGTGCGATGATTAGTGCGGCTGCTGGAACTGAGCCTTTGTTATGCCAGGGCTATATCATCTCGAGGAAGGTGATCGAGACTGAACAGAGTGGTGTTGCTGGCCCCATTGTCGCAATGGAGCTGATGGAAGGAACATGATGGAGAGAGACCCATAAACTTCAGAGACCCATTGATTCACAGACAATAGATTACCGTAGAGACTGATAGCTAGTCACACGGCAATAGATTCATAGAGACAAAACCTGAATAGACCGATACTCGCATAGAGGTCAATATATAGATTCACAGAGAGACAAATAAGATGTCCTTTGTGACCGATACATTCACATAGCAATATATTCACATAGACATCCATAAGGAGTAGGGAAAGACAGAAAAGCAGGTAACAGATGCAGCCGTAAAAGATGACTTAAGAATTGAGACCACATTAAACAGTCATCGAAGAGCGTCATTTGGCCCAATCGTTGCTAATTACGGTCAACCTTCATTGACCCAGGAGAGCCTCGTTGAGACTTTAGATTGTTTTCAGGAGGGTCCTGCTAAGTTGTGCGGTGGGTGCAATGTTTTATCTTCCCAATTGAGTAAAATTGACGGAATTTTTTCATGTTTGGCAATCGCGTGGACCGCAACGCTTGCACGCATGGCCTGCTACTATTTTTAAACGAGTCGCAGCATCAACGTTCACTGGAGAGCAAACGGCACGGAGTATTTTTGGTTGATTCGCCGCAGTATTAACCAGGGCGGCCGCGGCTACTCGAACCGCAAATCTCTGCTCGGCCGTGTCACACCGCCCTTTTACGATCATCATCATCCATGCTCTCAATCCACTGCTGGTTTGCATGACCCATCAATTAAAACATTGCCCTAGAATTAGCTTTGTTGGGTTAAACCACGTGGCAACATCGCCTCTTCCTGGCACAATGCCCGTCTGTGAGACGCTGCATCTCCGTGACGGCTTTGCGCCGTAGGAATGGCCCAAATTCCAAATCTGAGTACGTAACAAGGCCATGCTGAGGTGGCCTGTTCCATTGCGTTGAAAGCTGTACACACTACGCTTGGGCCCGCATTCTTAGTCACGGCTCTGGCTCAAGTGGTTTAAGCTGCGCTCAATGTTTACATGAACGCAGCCGAGCCACGGATGAGCCCGCTTGCTGCTGCATCTTTTGAAGCAACTCAGCGGCTCAAGCCTGAGCCGAGTTTGTGACTCGGAATGCGGCGCTGAGACAGCGCATGCTTGGGTGATGATGCTGCTGCTGATGATGATGACAATGGTGGTCATGGTGATGACGATTTTCTGATGGTTATTTTTATTGTTGCTGCGTGTGGGTTCTTGTTTACAAAATGTGTGCAATGGTCATAACCGATGACCTTGCCCTGGTCCTGGTATCCAACTCGGCCCCCGTGGCTCCCAGGACCCCCTCTGCCTTCCTCCTCCCCGCGCACTCGTGTCGTGGAGAACGATGTAAATGCACGCCACTGTGGGGTTTTTTTTTCTCCTGAAATGAAAAAAAAGAGTTTTACGTAACCTGGGGGTCTGGTCTCACGTCGATGCTAATGTACCACCTCCTGGTGTGGCCCTGCGTGATGAGGTGTGAGTGAGTGGGTGTGAGTAAGGGGAGCGGTGGTGCAGCGGTTAGCGCGCTGCGCTACGAACCCCGTTGTCCCGAGTTCGATTCCCGCTCACGCCAACACCGGTGACGATTATCTGAACCGGTTCTGGGCCTCCCCTAGGTCGACTCAGCCTCAAATGAGTTTCTGGTGCGGTGTGTAAACATAGCCACTAGGGAGATGAAGGCGGCCGGGCGTGGTGTTGGCCACCCACCCCCTCGTGTGCCGTGCCGGCCTTTATAGGTACTACTCGCTAACAGCACTTGCCCCAACAGTCTGTACAGGCTATACGGGGGATCTTTGTCTTTGTGAGTGAGTGGGTGAGAGTTTGAGGCCGCCGGCAGCAATGGGGGACAGAGGAGCGACGCTCACAACAACGAGCGAGAGCACAGGTGATGATGCCTCTGCCGGTCAACCCATCTGTCTCGTGACCTGCCAGCGGGCCTTCTACACTTCACGTGGCCTCACAAGTGCACCTAGCCTGGCGCAAGGAAAGTGGTGACGCCACTGCCACTTCGTGGCGAACAGCGGTTGCTTTGCAAGAGATTGTGGCTGATGAGGCAATGCCGCTTATCTCCCTGGCCCCTTTGTGCTATGAAGGCTCATTTCCCGAAACGTTGCCTATTATATATTTTCCTCTTTGGGCCACGTTATTGACGAATGCATTTTTGTCGCATGAGCTGGCAGGGGTACTCTTAGGTTTTTTCGGTAAAGTAACGTAGGTAAAAATAAATAAATATTTAACATTTATACAAATAAATAATAATAGAAATAAAATAATAAATCACGACGTTTTGGAGGCAGCACAAGTCTCCGTCATCAGGTGGGACCGTCACAGCCAGATTTAATGTATCAAGTGAGTAAATCTGGCTGTGACGGTCCTACCTGATGACGGAGACTTGTGTTGCCTCCGAAAGGTCGTGATTTATTATTTTATTTCTATTATTATTTATATTATTTTTATTATTCATTAGTATGACTTTTATTTTTACCTACGTGCCTTTAACGAAAAAACTTAAGAGTGTGAATTATTGCAGTCGCGAAAGCTTCAAATCTAGAATTAGCTGGCAGGTGGGTGATTTGGCACACGTACGGTGCGAAAGAAGTTCAACACTGCCCCCCCCCCCTGCCACAGCAAACGAGGACTCTTCACCGGTGGCTCGGACCGTGAGAACAAAACAAGTATAACCCGTAAAAACTAAGTTTTTCACTATAAATCCTTTATATGCGTGGCGGCTAGAGTCCTCTCGTCCTCTGGCTTGAGATGGCTGCCACCTATGGGTCATATGATTGTCTGCCAGCATTAAGCAATTGGTAATTAAATATATTTTTGTCCTAAAAAGTGTAAAATTTTGGAAAAAAAAATTTCACGAACATTAATTGTCACGCACAACGAGTCTGTGTGCAAAATGTCAGCTCGATTGGATCACGGGAAGTGGGTTAAAAAACGAACGAAAGATTTGCACGGTCCTAAGCACGCAAGCAAGTGAACTTAATATAAAGGATTTAAAAACGAATGGAAATCTGAAAAAGTTCGCATGGAGAGATGCACGCTTTGAAAACTGCACGCAGTGGAGAGAAGAGACGACAGCGGGTGATCGAGTCCCTGGTTTGTCGCGAGAGCGTCCACAGGAGATGGGAGAGCGATGCAATCGGCACGTGCGATGCAGTCGAAGTGAGACGGGCGGTAGCAGCGATGGAGTCTACGAGGGGTGGGGGGGGGGCGCTCATCCAGCAGTAGATAGACCACGGCGAGGTCACCTTCACTGATAACAGCCGGCGCCTCGCAGCAAAAGGCGACTGAGTTCGAGTACTTACTCTGGCGCCGCTTGCTGTGCGGAATTTATATCTTCCCTTGATGTTCTGCGCGGGTTTCCTCCGGGTTTTCCGGTTTCATCCTCCCATAGCTAAAGCCACACACGCAGTGGAACTGCTTTTGGTCGAAATATCCCAATGCTGCCAAACTTCCTAGGTCATCGCGCTCGGCATCTCACAGCGACAACAACTATCGCTGCCCCCCCATCCCCCCCCCCCGCTACTGCGTAAAACTTCTTGACAAGAACCTCCAGCAAACGTCTTGAGACTCGGTGAGGCTTTTCTTGGTAACCAAACGAAAGAAAATCAATTTCGATTTGAAGCTTTCGTGACTGCAGGGATTCATATAATTGGTTCTTTCGGTAAAGTCACGTAGAAGGTAAATAAAATAATAACATAATAAAAAGAACGCTTGCGTTGTGGCCGAAACGTGAGAATGTTATGATATTTTATTATTTCCCTTCTACGTGACTTTACCGAAAGAACCAAGAATATGAAATAAAATTAGGATAAAAAAAAGTTTCATTTATACTGCACCCCCCCCCCTTCCCCCCCCCCCCCCCAGTTTTACTCCCCCTTATTGGCACCCCCCCCTGTTGACCCCACCCCTTGTTGCCCCCCTTCTCCCCCCCCCCTTCTTGCCCCCCCTTCGCCCCCCCCCCCCAATATCCCCCCTCCCCAGTTTTACTCCCCCTCCCCCTTATTGGCATCCCCCCCCCCCCGTCGACCCCACCCTTTGTTGCCCCCCTTCTTGCCCCCCCCTTCGTCCCCCCCCCACCCCAATATCCCCCCCCCCAGTTTTACTCCCCCTCCCCCTTATTGGCACCCGTCGACCCCACCCCTTGTTGCCCCCCCCCCCCTTCTTGGCCCCGCCCACGTTGCTCCCATCTCAGGCCGCGCGCCGTTTCCGTCCCGTCACGCGACGCCCGGTGTGGGCGGTGACGTCACGGACCCCCCCCCCCTTCCCAACTCCCCTCACGCGCGCGTTGTGCGCATGCGTTGACACGCGTTCACTTGGGTGCGTGGATCGATGTATATAGATTCTCTGTAGGTTCGTAGGCCAATTTAAACATAATCGTGCGTGCAATGATCGAACCCAGCGGTAAGCTGTAGTCTCCGCACGTCCCGTGAGAATAGATTCCGAAATCGAATTGTAAAAACGGATTCGAGACGTCTGTAATGTATCGTGGACGTGGGATGAATCGCTTCAGTTCACTAATCGATTCTCTCGGTTCAGATACAGTACAGTAATCGAATAATCTTACTGCGGCACGAATCGATTGTTTTCGATTCGTGGCAAACAAGTTCCTGATTATAAGACGCACCCGGAAATGTTGTTATACAAATCTGGTAACTTCACGCGTACCGATTCTAGATTTGAAGCTTTCGTGACTGCAAGGATTCATACTCATGTTTTTTCGGTAAAGTCACGTAGGTAAAAAAAAGTAATAAAAAATTAATCAATTTTTTTTATTCATTTTTATTTAATTAATAAAAATATTTTTATTAATTTTAATTTCATTTTTTTACCTACGTGACTTTACCGAAAAAATAAGAGTATCACGCGTACCGGATTATAAGACGCACCTCGTAAAGTTATACAAATCCGGTATCTCGTACCGGATTATAAGACGGATCCGGTAAAGTTATACAAATCCGGTGTCTCGTACCGGATTATAATACGGATCCGGTAAAGTTATACAAATCCGGTGTCTCGTACCGGATTATAAGACGGATCCGGTAAAGTTATACAAATCCGGTGTCTCGTACCGGATTATAAGACGCACCGCCAACGTTTCCTTTCGTCACGGGGGGGCGGGAGGGTCTGGGGATAGTGCGACTTATAATCGGGATGACTACTGTATACACATCCCTGTGGAGGGAGCTGGTAGGAACGTTGGGTTGCTCGGTCAATGGCCAGGGTCAACGGCGGCGTGGTGTATTCCGCAAATATGCCCGACTGTGAGGGCGGGCACAAGCCGGCGTGAGTAGGTTAAACGTTGAGTTTTATAAGGGCACCACGGGGTGACGGGGTGACCAGCCCCTCCCCACCCAGCCCCACCCCTCCCAGCCCCCACCCTCCCCACCCAGCCCCTCCCCACCCTCCCCACCCGCCCCTCCCCACCCTTCCCACCCAGCCTCTCCCCACACTCCCCTCCCTCCCCACTCTCCCCTCCCCACCCAGCCCCACCCTCCCCTCCCCACCCTCCCCACCCAGCCCCACCCTCTCCACCCAGCCCCTCCCCACCCTCTCCACCCAGCCCCTCCCTTCCCCACCCAGCCCCTCCCTGCACGACGGACACAATAATCCCCTGTGGGCTGGTGTAACCAGGAGGTTCCTCCCAGTAATATTTGTTTTACGCAAGCGTGCCATCTGTGACTGTGCATCGGTTCGATTTACAACAAAAATCGAAATGTACAATTTCGAATTCCATCCTCGGATCCCAATGAGCAATGCATGGAAATCGGGAAACTTAAAACCGACCCAGGGAACAGCCGAGCAAACTAAAGATGGAAGGCTCAGTTTAAAGAGATGGGTTTTCAAAGCAGACTTTCAAATATATCTACAGACTCTCCGTCAACACGTGTGCCGCTGGACGGGAGGTCAAGACGGGAGAGGGGCTTTGCGGACGTCACCGGAATCGTCACAAGGGGGTTGCCAGCCTTCTCTGAGTTGCCATTGGTTGTGGTTGAATAGGGAGGGAGGCTGCGGGGATGAACGACCATCGATTACGAACTCGTGCACGGGCACAACATCACGGCACAGCATCGACCACCAGCATCTCTGTTGTTGATGTGCTGTTGTGTTGTTAATGCTGTTGTGTTGTTGATGCTGTTGTGTTGTTGATGCTGTTGTGTTGTTGATGCTGATGTGTTTGTTGATGTGCTGTTGTGTTGTTGATGTTGTGTTATTGATGCTGTTGTGTTGTTGATGCTGATATGTTGTTGATGCTTTTGTGTTGTGTTGTTGTGGATGCTGTTTTGTTGTTAATGTTGTTGTGTTTGTTGATGTGCTGTTGTGGATGCTGTTGTGTTGTTGATGCTGTTTTGTTAATGTTGTGTTTGTTGATGTGTTGTTGTGTTGTTAATGCTGTTGTGTTGTTAATGCTGTTGTGTTGTTGATGTTATTGTGTGTTCATGCTGTTGTGTTGTTGTTCTGCACAACTGCCCACACAGGCCCGGTTGTTAGTGGTTGTGCTCTGTGAACCGTGTTCTTGTCGAGTTGGGTCCACGTTAACTGCCCTTTTTTAAAATTTCTATACTTCTAAAGTGCACTTCAAGACTGTTCAGTGTTTTATGTGGAGGATATGATTATACACGTAGGGGTTCGCGACCGATATTTTTCATTATAAAGGTTTTTGGGTTCGATCGCGTAAGTATAAATGATAAATGTGTCGTAACCCTCCACCACCCGACACAGCCGATTAGTGAGTGGTTGGGTTCTGTGATGACGTCGCCCTGCTGCTGCTGCTCCATTGAAGACCTGAAGCAGGTGGATTGCTTCACTGTTCTAGCAAATCGCCCGATGATGCTGGATGTAATTACCAGCGAAACGTCGTAGGGGCCGTCCATAAATGACGTCACGCGATTTTGGACGATTTTTCACCCCCCCCCCCCCCATTCGTCACACGGCGTCACAAAAAGTCAGACCCCCACCCCCCCGTCAAATATGACGTCACAAAGCTCTGCCCCCCCCCCCCCCCCCAATTTTTTTTACATTCTCCAAATCGCTTTAAACTGTTGTCATTGTAGTGCGTATTTAATGTGGCGCTGCACTCTGATGTTGTAGGAGAAAACATTTATCAAAAAGTATATTTAATTAAGTAGAACGTGTTGTCTATATTTATTTAAAGTTGCGCATTTTGATGTGACGTCACATTTCTCAACCCCCCCCCCCTCGTCACACATCGTCACAAATGTCTGACTCCCCCCCCCCCCCCCCCCCCCCCCCAGGTGCGTGACTGAAATTGTAAATGTTGTGGATTTACTCACCAACACACCGGTGGGCTGAAGTGGTAACTAATCGGCGTTTTGTTCACGTGGCAAATCCCTTACTAATTAGCTGTGTCGGGTGGTGGAGGGTTACGACACAACATTGATACTTAACGCGATCTAACCCCAAAAACATTTATTATGGATCTGATTATATATTCATACACTGCTGAATTTAGTGGCAGATTTGTGCCAGAAAGGCGAAAAATAAAATTTTACTTGACTATCTTGTTTCTAAGACATGGTCGAGATGATTAGTCATTTGAGTTTTAAGGTGAAGGCACAGACCCTGAAAATGCTCGCTCACGCCACTCCGGAGTAACCTCGTGCTTGCGGATATGCAATTTTAATTCCCAATGTAAAGGACGTGTCACTTAAACGTTCTTTCAATACTCAATTTAAAATTCGACATCCACATTTCAATCACCACGTGTATATTCAAACGACACCTGTGATTCCCCGTTTGAATTAGATGCGCAGTAATTTTAAATGTAATAAAAAAACTAATTTTAGCGCACGTAATTCAAATGACAACTGACATTGTGTGTTCGCTGCTGCCCATCTCTGCCGGTGTGTTTACGTGTGGTTATAGAGTGATGTGCTTGTGAAGATAGTGTTACCCTGTGAGTGGATCGTACCATAGGGTTTACCCCGTATTCTTGCACAGCGAAATGTGTTTTTTATATCCATAAACGGCGTACAGCCGTTTCAATGCGGGCAAAACATTTAAATTGTCTATTTGTTTGTGTTTATCCCTTCGTGATGGGACTTTGTGGGATGAACTTTGAGATTTATAAGGGAGACGGGGTGAGAAATAAGGTCTGGATTGGTCTGTAATAAGGTAGGGCACTGATAAGGGGTTGACAGGTATGTAGTGGTGAGTGTAGTGGTGAGTGTACTAGTTAGTGGTGAGTGTAGTGGTGAGTGTACTAGTGGTGAGTGTACTAGTGGTAAGTGTACTAGTGTGCTAGTGGTGAGTGTACTAGTGGTGAGTGTAGTGGTGAGTGTACTAGTGGTGAGTTTACTAGTGTGCTAGTGGTGAGTGTACTAGTGGTGAGTGTACTCGTGGTGAGTGTAGTAGTGGTGGGGAGTGTACTAGTGGTGAGTGTAGTGGTGAGTGTACTAGTGGTGAGTGTACTAGTGGTGAGTGTACTAGTGGTGGTGATTATCTATTTGTGTGTTTCTCCCTTGTGGTGGAACTTTGTAGGATGAACGTTGAACGTTGAGATGTATAAGGGGCACATTGTGACCACTCAGGTCTGAATTGTTCTGTAGTAATGTAATGAACACTGATAAGGGGTTGACAGGTTTGATGTCAACTTATGTAAAATCGCGTGTTGTGTTTGTTTAAAGCAGCAGTGCTGTTACACACTTCATGGATTGTGCATTCATATTGTGTCGTGCGTGTAATAACGGGGGACTGTGATTTGTGTACACACATGAATCATAATGTGCATTGTGTAGTTTGTGTCCTATAGCATTCACGTGTTTGTTTATCAATGTCGTGTTTGTCACGCGGCACTCATTCAGCAGTGAATTAACAATAGGCCATGCATGCACACAATGTGGTGTACCTTATAGTGTACCTCTAACACAATCATGATTATAATATGGGAATTGTGTGTTTGTGTACCATACAGCATTAGGAGCTACCTGCAGTGTTATTAGAGTGCATTATCACCATTCAGCTGTTTTCTCTACAACAGCACACCGATACCAGTTGCAATTGTGCTGTGTGTGTGTTGTGTACATGTTGTGTATATTATTCACAACGTGATAAAGCGATTACGTTTGTGAACGTCTGTTGTTGTTGCTGCTGTGATAGCAGCAGAGTGGTGAATGTGGAGTGTGTGGTGGTAGGTGGTGGTGTGTGATGGTGTGGTGTGTGGTGGTGGGTGGTGGTTGGTGGTTGTGGTTGCTGGTGGTGGTTGGTGGGTGGTGGTGGGTGGTGGTGGTTGGTGGGTGGTGGTGGTTGGTGGGTGGTGGTTGGTGGTGGTGGTGGTTGGTGGTGGTGGTGGTGGTTGGTGGTGGTGGTTGGTGGTGTGTGGTGGTTGTGGTGGTTGTGGTGGTTGGTGGTGGTTGTGGTGGTGGTTGTGGTTGGTGGTTGTGGTGGTGGTTGGGGTTGGTGTGGTTGGTGGTGGTGGTTGGTGGTGGTGGTTGGTAGTGGTGGTGGTTGGTGGTGGTGGTGGTTGGTGGTGTGGTGGTGGGTGGTGGTGGTGGTGGTGGTGGTGTGGTGGTTGGGTGGTGGTGGTGGTTGGTGGTGGTTGGTGGTGTGTGGTGTGGTGGTGGTGGTGGTAGTGGTGGTTAGTGGTGGTGTGTTGTGGTGGTTGGTGGTGGTTGGTGGTTGTGGTGGTGGTGGGTGGTGGTGGTTGGTTGTTGGTGGTGGTTCGTGGTGGCGGTGGGTGGTGGAACGAGCGCCACCTCGAGTCCACATCTCGCATCGCCGCCGCTCTCACGGCGACTGCGGGAGAGAAGCAGCAGCAGCAGCAGGAGGAGGGTGAGGGTGGTGGTGGACGTGGTGGTGGGAGACGGAGCGCCGTTGTCAACCACGGAGTCAACACGCGCTGACAGGAGAAGGAGGAGTAGGAGGAGGCCGGGAGACCCCTGCCCCAAGACGCAAGGCGACTTCAAGAGGACGAGGAGGAGAGAGGAGAGAGACGCGGCAACGGGGGCCACATCTTGACAAGCTCAACATACACAAGTCCGCGCGATCCTTCTCGTCGACAGAAAGCCCCACTGTGTGGACCCCCTTTGGGACCCTTTAAAGGATCACCAAGGGGTCACCAAGGGGGTCACCAAGGGGGTCACCAAGGGGGTCACCAAGGGGGGTCACATCGAGTCCCCCCAGGGGAGAAGGCGACGCCGCCTCGACCCGGGGCCATGCGGCCCTCACTCAGGGCAGCAGGAGGAGGCCCCTGAGCGCCGCCCCCCCCCCCGCGAGGTAAGGGGGGGCCCCACCCCCCGGGCTACTGGGGGGCGGGGTGGGGGTCTCGGGGTGGGGGCGTCGTGGGGGGCCCTGACCCCCCCCCCCCCCCCGCTGTGTGAGAGGGGAGGGGGGAGGCCGCGCTATGGAGTCGGAGCCCGCGGCTAGGGCGTGGGCGGTGTGGGGGGCAGGAGGACGAGTTTGGTTGTGGTGTTGTTGTAGTTGTTGTGTTGTTGCGGTGTTGTAGTTGTTGTGGTGTTGTAGTTGTGGTGTAGTTGTGGTGTTGTGAGGGGTGTAGTTGTGGTGTTGTGAGGGGTGTAGTTGTGGTGTTGTGAGGGGTGTAGTTGTGGTGTTGTGAGGGGTGTAGTTGTGTTGTGAGGGGCGTAGTTGTGTTGTTGTGAGGGTGTAGTTGTGGTGTGAGGGTGTGGTTGTGTAGTTGTGTTGCTGTGAGGGTGTAGTTGTGGTGTTGTAGTTGTGGTGTTGTAGTTGTGGTGTTGTGAGGGGTGTTGGTGTGAGGGGTGTAGTTGTGTTGTTGTGAGGGTGTAGTTGTGTTGCTGTGAGGGTGTAGTTGTGGTGTTGTAGTTGTGGTGCTGTGAGGGGTGTAGTTGTGAGGGGTGTAGTTGTGAGGGGTGTTGTTGTGAGGGGTGTAGTTGTGTTGTTGTGAGGGTGTAGTTGTGTTGCTGTGAGGGTGTAGTTGTGGTGTTGTAGTTGTGGTGCTGTGAGGGGTGTAGTTGTGAGGGGTGTTGTTGTGAGGGGTGTAGTTGTGTTGTTGTGAGGGTGTAGTTGTGGTGTTGTGAGGGATGTAGTTGTGTTGTGTGAGGGTGTAGTTGTAGTGTAGTTGTGGTGTAGTTGTGCTGTAGTTGTGCTCTTGTGGTGGTGTAGTTGTGAGAGGTGTAGTTGTGTTGTGTGAGGGTGTAGTTGTAGTGTAGTTGTGGTGTTGTTGTGGTTGTGTTGTTGTGAGAGGTGTAGTTGTGTTGTGTGAGGGTGTAGTTGTAGTGTAGTTGTGGTGTTGTAGTTGTGTTGTGGTTGTGTTGTTGTGAGAGGTGTAGTTTTGTTGTGTGAGGGGTGTAGTTGTGGTGTTGTGTGAGGGTGTAGTTGTGTTGTTGTGGTTGTGTTGTTGTGAGAGGTGTAGTTATGTTGTGTGAGGGTGTAGTTGTAGTGTAGTTGTGGTGTTGTAGTTGTGTTGTGTGAGGGGTGTAGTTGTGGTGAGGGGTGTAGTTGTTGTGAGGGGTGTAGTTGTGAAGGTGTAGTTGTGTTGTGATAGGTGTAGTTGTGGTGTAGTTGTGTTGTTGTGTGAGGGGTGTAGTTGTTGTGTGAGGGGTGTAGTTGTGTTGTGTGAGGGGTGTAGTTGTGTTGGGTGAGGGTGTAGTTGTGGTGTTGTTTGAGGGGTGTAATTGTGTTGTGGTTGTGTTGTTGTGAGGGGTGTAGTTGTGTTGTGTGAGGGTGTAGTTGTGTTGTGTGAGGGTGTAGTTGTGTTGTTGTGTGAGGGGTGTAGTTGTGTTGTTGTGTGAGGGGTGTAGTTGTGTTGTGTGAGGGGTGTAGTTGTGTTGTGTGAGGGTGTAGTTGTGTTGTTGTGTGAGGGGTGTAGTTGTGTTGTTGTGTGAGGGGTGTAGTTGTGTTGTTGTGTGAGGGGTGTAGTTGTGTTGTTAGGGTTGTAGTGAGGGGTGTCGTTGTGGTGGTGTTGTGTGAGGGTGTAGTTGTGTGTTGTGTGAGGGTGTAGTTGTGTTGTTGTGGAGGGGTGTAGTTGTGTTGTGTGAGGGGTGTAGTTGTGTTGTGTGAGGGGTGTAGTTGTGTTGTTGTGTGAGGGGTGTAGTTGTGTTGTGTGAGGGGTGTAGTTGTGTTGTGTGAGGGTGTAGTTGTGGTGTTGTGTGAGGGGTGTAATTGTGTTGTGGTTGTGTTGTTGTGAGGGGTGTAGTTGTGTTGTGTGAGGGTGTAGTTGTGTTGTGTGAGGTGTAGTTGTGTTGTGTGAGGGTGTAGTTGTGTTGTTGTGGTTGTGTTGTTGTGAGGGGTGTAGTTGTGTTGTGTGAGGGTGTAGTTATAGTATAGTTGTGGGGTTGTAGTTGTGTTGTTGTGTGAGGGGTGTAGTTGTGGTGTTGTTGTGAGGGGTGTAGTTGTGAGGGTGTAGTGGTGTTGTAAGGGTGTAGTTGTGTTGTTGTGGTGGTGTAGTTGTGTTGTTGTGAGGGGTGTAGTTGTGGTGTTGTAGTTGTGTTGTTGTGAGGGGTGTAGTTGTGAGGGTGTAGTTGTGGTGTTGTGAGGGTGTAGTCGTGTTGTTGTGAGGGGTGTAGTTGTGGTGTTGTGAGGGTATAGTTGTGGTGTTGTGTGAGGGTGTAGTTGTGTGAGGGTGTAGTTTTGTTGTGAGGGTGTAGTGGTGTTGTGAGGGTGTAGTTGTGCTGTTGTGGTGTTGTGAGGGTGTAGTTGTGCTGTTGTGAGGGGTGTAGTTGTGTTTGCGTTAGAGGTACAATTGTGTTGGGGTTAGGGGTGTAATTGGGTTATGGGTATATTTGTGATAAGGACAGGGTTATAGTTGTGTTTGTGTTAGTGGTGTAGTTGTGTTAGTGATATTGTTATGTTGTGGGGGGTGTAGTTGTGTTAGTGGTGTAGTTGTGTTAGTGGTGTACAGTAGTTTTGTTAGTGGTGTAGTTGTGTTAGTGGTGTAGTTGTGTTGTTGTGAGGGGTGTAGTTGTGTTGTTGTTGGGGGTATATTTGCGTGTTGTGACAGGGTTAGGGGGTTAGGGGTCTGTAGGTAGAGCTATGGTTATAGGGTCGGACTTATCCCATATCCATAACGCTAACCTTTAGCTCTAATTCTAACCTAGCCCCACTGTACATATAATGCTGTGGTTAAGTCAACGTTAGGACTACAGCGTTAGTGTTAGGGGTATGGTGGTGCTGGAGTTAGAGATATAGGGCTAGTATCAGCGAATTGGGGTTAATGTGTGTGCTTGTAGGGCCAGCGTTGTAGGCTGGGTAAGGTTCGAGCCATATAGTCCAGGCTATAGGGTAAGAGTTATGGGGTCGGGCCTGTATGCTGTGACTCGAACCTATAGTGTACCAGGCTAACCCTACCCTGGTGAACATGGTAGTCGCTATTGGTGCGGCAATCGCCAACTCGGTTTCACAAAACTTTATTTAGTAACAAACAAAAAATGTTGCATACTCTTAGTTCTTTCGGTAAAGTCACGTGGGTAAAAAATGAAATTAAAATTAATAAAAAATAAAAACAATATTTATTTTCATTTTTATTAATTTTAATTACATTTTTTTACCTACGTGACTTTACCGAAAGAACTAAGAGTATGAATCCTTGCAGTCACGAAAGCTTCAAATCTAGAAAAAATGTTGCACGCAACGACAGTTCGGGTTAAAGTAGTGCATAGTTGTTTGGGTCTATCGGCGGTGTGTAGGCCTATGGGGTTAAGGTTATTGGGACTGTGTACAGCATTAGCGTAGTCATTTCCCTAACGTACCGTGTGGTCGGCTGAGGGGTACGGCAAGGTGAGGGCACTAGAGGTAAGGGCTAGGTTATAGGGTTAGAGCTTTGGGTATGGCAGGGCTGGGTTATAGGGTTAGAGCTTTGAGTATGGCAGGGCTAGGTGTATAGGTTATGTGTATGGCAGGGCTAGGTATATAGGTTATGTGTATGGCAGGGCTGGGTATATAGGTTAAGTGTATGGCAGGGCTAGGTATATAGGGTATATGTATGGCAGGGCTAGGTATATAGGTTATGGGTATGGCAGGGCTAGGTGTATAGGTTATGGGTATGGCAGGGCTGGGTATATAGGTTATGGGTATGGCAGGGCTGGGTATATAGGTTATGAATATAGCAGGGCTGGGTATATAGGGTATATGTATGGCAGGGCTAGGTGTATAGGTTATGGGTATGGCAGGGCTGGGTATATAGGTTATGGGTATGGCAGGGCTAGGTATATAGGTTATGGGTATGGCAGGGCTACGTATATAGGTTATGTGTATGGCAGGGCTAGGTATATAGGTTAGGGCTATGGCAGGGCTAGGTATATAGGTTATGTGTATGACAGGGCTAGGTATATAGGTTATGTGTATGACAGGGCTAGGTATATAGGTTATGTGTATGGCAGGGCTAGGTATATAGGTTATGTGTATGGCAGGGCTGGGTGTATAGGTTATGGGCATAGCAGGGCTAGGTATATAGGTTATGTGTATGGCAGGGCTAGGTGTATAGGTTATGGGCATAGCAGGGCTAGGTATATAGGTTATGGGTATAGCAGGGCTAGGTGTATAGGTTATGGGCATAGCAGGGCTAGGTATATAGGTTATGTGTATGGCAGGGCTAGGTGTATAGGTTATGGGTATAGCAGGGCTAGGTATATAGGTTATGGGTATGGCAGGGCTAGGTGTATAGGTTATGGGTATAGCAGGGCAAGGTGTATAGGTTATGGGTATGGCAGGGCTAGGTATATAGGGTATGGGTATAGCAGGGCTAAGTATATAGGTTATGTGTATGTCAGGGCTAGGTGTATAGGTTATGTGTATGGCAGGGCTCGGTGTATAGGTTATGTGTATGGCAGGGCTAGGTATATAGGTTATGTGTATGGCAGGGCTAGGTATATAGGTTATGGGTAGGGCTTGGTATATAGGCTATGGGTATGGCAGGGCTAGGTATATAGGGTATGTGTATGGCAGGGCTAGGTGTATAGGTTATGGTATGGCAGGGCTAGGTATATAGGTTATGTGTATGGCAGGGCTAGGTGTATAGGTTATGTGTATAACAGGGCTAGGTGTATAGGTTATGTGTATGGCAGGGCTAGGTGTATAGGGTATGGGTATGGCAGGGCTGGGTATATAGGTTATGGGTATGGCAGGGTTAGGTATATAGGTTCGGGTTATGGCAGGGCTGGGTATATAGGTTATGGGTTTGGCAGGGCTAGGTATATAGGTTATGGGTATGGCAGGGCTAAGTATATAGGTTATGAATATAGCAGGGCTGGGTATATAGGGTATATGTATGGCAGGGCTAGGTGTATAGGTTATGGGTATGGCAGGGCTGGGTATATAGGTTATGGGTATGGCAGGGCTAGGTATATAGGTTATGGGTATGGCAGGGCTACGTATATAGGTTATGTGTATGGCAGGGCTAGGTATATAGGTTAGGGCTATGGCAGGGCTAGGTATATAGGTTATGTGTATGGCAGGGCTAGGTATATAGGGTATGGGTATGGCAGGGCTCGGTATATAGGTTATGGGTATGGCAGGGCTAGGTATATAGGTTATGTGTATGGCAGGGCTGGGTATATAGGTTATGGGTATGGCAGGGCTAGGTATATAGGTTATGTGTATGGCAAGGCTAGGTATATAGGTTATGTGTATGGCAGGGCTGGGTATATAGGTTAGGACTATGGCAGGGCTAGGTATATAGATTATGTGTATGGCAGGGCTGGGTATATAGGTTAGGGCTATGGCAGGGCTGGGTATATAGGTTATGTGTATGGCAGGGCTAGGCTATAGGGTTCGTGTGTGCGTGCTCTTTGGCTGCCAGTCTGAGGGTTAAGGTCCCTGATAAGGGGTTCTTATTTGGGTCCCTGTGTGTTTATGTGTTTTGCGTTTTTACGTAGCTGTGTTTTGGTGTACTTTTGAATGTTTTTATATTTGTGCCTGTGTTTGTGTCCTTGTGTATGTGCGTGTGTACAGTACTTTAGTTTGTGTTTACATGTTGATGTCCTTGTGTTTATGTCTGTGTTTGTGTCTTTGGTGTTCGTGTCTTTGTGGCTATTTGTGTGTTAACATGTTTGTGTATCCGGTTCTGTGACCATGTATGTTATTATTTGTGCCTCTATGCTTGTGTCTGTTTCCCTGTGTTTTGTGTTCCTGTGTTTGTGTCTCTCTGTTTGGGGAGCTGTGCTTTTGTGTCAGTGTGTTTGTGCCCCTTGGTGTTTACATTTGGTTCACAGACCCTGTGTGTTCATGATGTGTACGCTATTATGTGTGCTTTGATGTATTTGTACTCTGGTGGAAGTATGCACTATAATGAGATGTGTACGCTTGCCATCCACACGGCTGTCACAAACAATGGCATCTCGTACTCTTAGGTTTTTCGGTAAAGTCACGTAGGTGAAAAATAAATAATAAAAATAGAATAGAAATAGTAATAGAAATAAAAAAACTTTTTTCTTTCTATTATAGAAATAAAAAAACTTTTTTCTTTCTATTATTATTGCAATTATATTTTTATTATTTATTTTTTACCTACGTGACTTAACTGAAAAATAAAAATAACTTTTTTTATTTCTATTATTATTGCAATTATATTTTAATTTTTTACCTACGTGACTTTACCGAAAAACCTAAGAGTATGAATCCTTACAGTCACGAAAGCTTCAAATCTAGTGGCATCTCAACCTCTGCCAGGTCACCTCAGCCTAGGTGTATAGGTTATGTGTATAACCTATACACCTCAGACACGGAACGAAGAGAGAATCCTTGCAGTCACGAAAGCTTCAAATCTAGTGGCATCTCAACCTCCGCCAGGTCACCTCAGCCTAAACCCACTTGCATCCACAAATACATTCGGCATTACGAAAACGCCAGCGTGCGTTTGACATCCACCAGCAGCACAGTGGGAGATCGAGTGGCCGGATGTGCGCGTGTAGTTTTCGACACACACCGCTCTGACGGATGTTGCGCTGACCTTAATACCTTAATAGATGTTCGCTTACGGATTACCGTCTGCAGGGCGTTGTGCGTTGGGTACCGTTTGCATACCGCCTACTCAATTAAGAGATTCTGTGAACCTGAACGGGGTTTCTATGGTGATTCTTTATTTAATGGTTGCTGTGGTGATGGTCCTGCTGCTTGGTTTGGTTGCTAAGGTGATGCTCCTTTGCTTTTTTTCCCCACGGTGACACTGTTCGGCATGGTTGCTTTAGCGTAACTCGTTGACGTCGTTCCTACTGAGATACTGCTTGGCGTTGTTGCCATGACGACGCTCCTTGGTTCGGTTGCTATGGTGTTGCTATTTAGCTTGGTTGCTATGGCAATGCTTCTCGGAGCGGTTGCCGTGACAACGGAAAGGGAGGGAGTGTGTGACGTTTCAAGACGTCATCGTTTCAGCCGACCCTGAACACCACACATCGTCACATCACGTTGTCCCGCATCATCATACTTCACAACAATCTAACATCACATATATATCATTATCATAACACACATGTTTGTGTATCTGTGTATTTACACTTGGCTAACATACCCTGTGTGCCCACGATGTGTACTCTGCGAGGTTGACTCAGCCTTAATTGAGTGCCTGATGCTTTGTGTAAACAACACTGGGAAACAAGGTGGCTAGGCATGGTGTTGGCCACCCACTCCCTCGTGTGCTGTGCCGGACTTCATAGGTACCCACAAACAGCACTTGCCCCAAGAATCTGTTAAAGGCTATATGGGGGGTCTTTGTATGTTTTTTGGGAGCGGTGGTGCAGTGGTTAGCCCTCTGCACTTTAAACCTGGCGACCCGAGTTCGATTCACACCCATGGCCACCATCAGTGACGGTGAATATCTGATCCGGTCCTCGGCCTCTCCAAGGTCAGCTCAGCCTTGTACAGAGGTCGCAACGGGTTTTGATTCCTTACCCGTACCCGGCCGCACCAGGGTCGCAAACGGGTACCCATACCCGGCCGTACCCGGCCGGGTAGCCGGGTATCGGGTAGGGTATGGGTATCGGGTACCCGGTTGCGACCTCTGGCCTTGTATGAGAACCGGGGGCGGTGTGTAAATATCAGCCTTGGCGAGGCAAAGGCGGCTGAGCGGTTAGCTGACCACGCCACCCCGTCGTGTGCCGGTTCCGGCCTTCAAAGACGCTCGCTCGCAGCCCTTGCCCCTACATTTTAAGTGAGCTTCAAGCGGGATCTTTTATCTTTGTGTTCTTGTGCGAGCAGTGAGACCCCCACTGCCGTGGGGGGCGAGGGGCCCCGCGTCCAGAGGGAGATGACCGTGGGGGCGGTGCCCTGAGCAAGGGAACGGTGGTGCCCCGGTTGACGCCGATGGGAGCACCACCAGGGCTGCCCGGATCGCGTGACTCCGCTCTCAGCGCCGGCCCTGTGCAGGTGAGCTTTGATCGGTCTCCCACTGGATGAAAGCCTCTCCAATCTGTTGCTATGTCTCACCCGAGCACCTGTACACTGAGCTGATTTCATCGCTCCATCTCCACGGCGGCCCTAAACTTATACGTGTTCCATTCCTTGGCTGGCACTGTGGTCGTTTGTTTGCGTGTGTCTGTGGTTAATCCGGTGCATGTACGTGTTTGGGCAGGCATGTGTGCGTAGTTAATTGTTGCGTGTGGGGAGTGGTAGCTCAGTGGTAAGCGCACTGCTTTACGAATCCGGCGACTAAGTTTGATTCCGGCTCGCATCCAACACCAGTGACGATTATCTGAACCAGTCCCAAGGCCTCCCATAGGTGGACTCATTCTTCAATGAGAACCTGGTGGATAAACATCAGCACTGGGAAAAAATTAACCCGTAAAAACAAAGTTTTTCACTATAAATCCTTTATATGCGTTGCGGCTAGAGTCCTCTCGTCCTCTTGCTTGAGATGGCTGCCACCTATGGGTCAGATGATTGCCTGCTACCATTAAGCAATTGGTAATTAAATATAATTTTTTTTTCCTAAAAAGTGTAAAGTTATGGAAAAAAAATTTCACGAAAATAAATTGTCACGCACAACGAGTCTGTGTGCAAAATGTCAGCTCGATTGGATCACGGAAAGTGGGTTAAAAAACGACCAAAAGATTTGCACGGTCGTAAGCGCGCAAGCAAGCAAGCAAGTGAACTTAATATAAAGGATTTAAAAAATAGGGAATCAAAATGCGGCCAGCACTTGCCCCAACAGAGTGTGTGTCTGAGTAGGGATGGATTCGACCATCACACTGTGGCAGTTCCTGCTGCAGCTGCTGCTGGACGTGCGGAACCAGAACCTCATCGCGTGGACCTCGTCGGACGGGGAGTTCAAGCTGCTGCAGGCCGAGGAGGTGGCGCGCCTGTGGGGGCTGCGCAAGAACAAGACCAACATGAACTACGACAAGCTTAGCAGGGCGCTGAGATACTACTACGAGAAGGTGGGGGGGGGGGGGACACGGGGACATGTCACAGGGAGACACAGGAATACTGGGACAGGGAGATACAAGATCAGAGAATGAGACCGTCGTGACAAGATGGTAGGGAGACACGGGTACACTGGTGGGACATGAGGACAGGGTTACATGGGGGTACACAGAGACACGGTGACACATGAAGAACACACAGATAGAGTAACGTAATTTATGAGCCCGTGAAATTCAATTTGTTGAGACAATTAATGTCCAACAACCAGAGGGTCCAAGGCTACCACTAGCAGGGCACGTGGTGGCACACCAGCACAATGGGTGAACTGGGCGTGTCAGTGTGGTGTGTGGAAATTTAAGCCTGGTGAATTTCGAGAGCTGTGCGTGCCATGATCACTGAGTCAAGCGCCGTGTGTCGTGTCGCGTAGAACATCATCAAGAAGGTGAACGGTCAGAAGTTTGTCTACAAGTTCGTCTCGTTCCCCGAATCGGTGAACCTGGATACGGCGTCGCTCACGTCTGCCGACGCCGAGCGTGTCACGACCCTCCTACTGGAGGGCGCCAGCAAGACGGGGCCTTCGGGGCCCTCCACCGTCTCCTCCAGCGCCGCCGCCACAGCGACCGGGCCCGCTCAGCCGTCCACCGTCGTCATGGGCAACGGCGCGGTGACGGTGGCTGGGGTGGCGGCGTCCGCCGGCGTCACCGACTGGGGGGGCGTGGTGGACGGAGGGGCACGGAGATCCGGCGGGAAGGTCGGTGGGGGTGCCGTCGCGTCCGCCGGCGGCGGCGGCGGTGGCGGTGGCACCTCCGGCTCGGACTACAAGACGTCGGGGCTGTACTCCACGTTCACCATCTACTCGCTGCAGGCGGCGCCCAACGCCGTGCAAACCGGTGCCGCCCAGCAGCCCGCCGCGCCGACGCCAATGTCGCTCCCGGTGCAGCAACCGGCCAAGACGGTGCCGCACGGGGTAGTGCAGTCCTCGGTGGTGCAGGAAGGCACCGAGCGGACCGAAGGGGAAGCGCCCCTGCCGCACGGAGCCTCCGTGCCAGCTACAGTGCACTTGGACGCTCACGAGGTGCAAGGCGAAAAGAGGGTAAGGGCACGTTGATTCGCTGTAGTGGTTGTGATGTGGTCCTCTGTGATGGTGTATGAATGTGGGTTCGTGTTGCTGTGTGTTGTTAGGATAATGATTATGTAATGGGGTAGAGGTTGTGATGTTTGTTGGTGGTGGTGAGGCGGTGATTACGTAAAGATGTGTTATCAATGCGCGGAGGAGATAGTATCGACGTGGATCTGATTGTTATGCATCATCGCAACCGCTCGTTGTGTTTTTTCGCCTGTTGTTGACTGCGTTCAGAACCCCAAGGAGGAGGAGGAGGTGGATGCGGTTGACGTGGAGATTGTGGTGATGCGGCCTGAGTCGTCACCGGGTACCCCCGAAGAGGAGGTGGGGCCGTCGCTGCCCATGGTGGTCGTGAAAGAGACACCCTCCCAATTCTCAACGGGCGCCCAGCTGACTCTGGTATCCGCGGCGAGCACGCCCATCACTACGGCGACACTGCAGTCATCCGGCATCTCCCAGGTAAGGGGTCGCCATGGCAAAGCTTGCTAAGTGCGGATACCACCTCGCCCCCCCCGCCACCACAATTACAAGCGTATAATAATAACGACAACACAACTCAACACCTAGGTTTTCCCAGCCAATATTCTATATTTTGTCGTAAAATCCCTTCACTACCCAACACAGCCAAACAAATCACGTTGTCGCGCGGTGTGCAAGCGTTTAACTACACGCCGATTATGAGCGTTTTAGCTCACGCACCGCGGGCGAGAGAGAAATCCTCACGGCCAGATCTCGAAATTAGATTCGACTTTTTGCATGAAACTGTGTCAAGCATCTTCCAGAAAATCCATAAGTTATGGATTTTAGTCTCAATGTTTTTCTTTTACTGTGATTTCTATTCGCTTCATTGCATCGTAACTGCTGTTGTTATTTTAGCGATCCAGGCCACTCTTGCAAATGAGACTCATACTGGTCTCTTGGGTGAGTTTATTGACAACAGAGAGTTTATTTGATTTGTTAGCCAGTTTCCCCGGCTATTTTAGATGGGAGATCTGAGCAGTTTCATGAGAACAGCAGCAACAATCAAATCAAAGATAAAAAACATCAACGTTTGCCAAGAACAAGTACGGGGAGTCCTCCAGCGATATTGCACAACCAACAAACTACGGTCGTAAACGAAACGCACGCAAATCAAAAGAACAGTGCAAAATACAGGATGAAAGCAAGAGGTGCCAGAAACAGTTAGGTAAAGGTGCAAGCAAGTATGGCGCCTGGTTAAACGAGATCAACTTGAACACTTGGACATGGGTTGATTTAGATTTGATGGGTCGTTAATTGCATTGGTAACCTAACGCACTCACCCCCCCCCCTCCCGGTAACCGTCGCCATGTTGTCGCTGTCGCACCGCAGATGGCGATGAGCCCATCGTCCCCAGAGGGGGGCGAGGCCCCCCGCGTGAAGAGGCCCAAACCCCCCCAGCCCCCCCTGCTCATCATCTCCGAGTCGGATTCGCTGAGTCCTGGGGGGGTCCTCACCAGCACAGGGTGCCGAACCCTCGACATGATCCCCAGCCCCCTGATGCCGTTCACTACTGGGGCATCGCTGCTGGGGCAGGTCAGAGGGCAGCGCTGCCCCATCACACTCACCACACTGACCACCACACCACCACATTACCACACTGACCATACTCACGACCACCACACCACCATCACCACACTCACCAACATACTGACTACAACCACCAGACTCACCACCACACTGGCCACACTCACTACCACCTCACCGCCATCACCACATTCACCACCACACTCACCACCACACTCACCACCACACTCACCACCACCCTCACTGCACTTAACACTACCCTCAACACACTCAACACCACACTCACCACGCACACCATGCTCACCACACCAGACCCACCGCTGACGTTTGAAAGCTGAAACCTGAAGTTTGGATCATTGTGGTTAGTGGTGCTAGTGGTGGCGACTGATGATAGTGGTCGATGACTGACTGTTGAGATGGTGGCGATGGCATGGTGATGGTGATGATAACAGCGGTGATGATGTTAATGTGATGGTGACAATGGCAGCGGTCACGATAGAGGTCGAAAACGGGTTTTGATTCCTTACCCGTACCCGTACCCTACCCGAAATGAGTGACAAACGGTTACTCACCGGTGACTCACGGCCTACCCGTACCCGGCCGCACCAGGGTCGCAAACGGGTACCCGTACCCGGCCGGGTACAGGTAGCCGGGTATCGGGTAGGGTACGGGTATCGGGTACCCGGTTGCGACCTCTGGGTCACGGTGGTGATGTTCCTGTGTGTGCGATCCTCAGCCTCTGTATCTGACGCCGTCGCCGCTGATCCCATCGGGCAGCATCCACTTCTGGAGCACGCTGAGCCCCCTGGCCCTGCAGAGCCCCGCTCGCACGCAGGCTGGCAACTCCTCCTTCCAGGTGAGCGTTCACTCACCATTGAGCTCGCCACGCAAGCCACCAGCCGTCAATCACCCGTTCGCCACACGCCACTCGTTGGACGCTACGCACGCTTCGCACGCACGCGGTGCATCGCACACAACACAGCTCGCACACGGACAGGGAAATCCCTCTAGGTGAGCGTTCAATCACCACTCAGCTCACCACCTACACACTATAATACGCTACACGCACACTCACCACTGTCTCACCTCTGCCTCACCACCCCCTCCCCCCCCACCGCCGCCATGTGAAGTTTCCGTCTGCAGGATCCATGGCGACCATCCCCCTGGCGACGCTGGATGGCCTCTCTACCCCCGTGGTGCTCTCTCCTGGGCCGCAGAAAAACTAACTTCGTCGCACCTCACCGTCATCATCATCATCATCACCACTACCACCACATCATCACCGTCACCATAATCACCGTACTCACTTATCTTCACCTCTTCACCTCTTCACCGCTACCTGCTCGGCCAACTTTTTGGAGATGTCGAAATGAGGTTTGGGGATATCATGAACCCTCATCATTGTTCTCACCGACATCATCGTCTTCATCATCGTCTTCATCATCGTCAGTGTCTTGTGCCACCGACTCCCCCTCCTCCTCACGGCTCCGTCTGTCGCCCATAGAAGGCGGACGTCAGTCATGGACTTGCCGCTGACAATCCAGTTCTGGGTTTGAGCCGGAACCCAGGCTCTTCTGAGAATCCGGTTATGGGTTTGAGCTGGAATCCAGGCTCCTCAGAGAATCTGGTTCAGGCTTTGAGCTGGAACTCAGGCTCTTCTGAGAATCCGGTTATGGGTTTGAGCTGGAATCCAGGCTCCTCAGAGAATCTGGTTCTGGCTTTGAACCGGAACCCAGGCTCTTCTGAGAATCTGGTTATGGGTTTGAGCTGGAATCCAGGCTCCTCAGAGAATCTAGTTCTGGGTTTGAGCTGGAACCCATACATCTTTTCCACTGCGCCACCAAGCCATGCCAAGACAGCCCGGCTTGGCTCAGAAGGTGCCGGGTTGTTTTTCCACTGCGGGAGCCGAGCCGCTGACGTCTTGTGGCTGCGCACGCTCCACGATCCCAGGCCTTGGCCCTGCTTGGCTCCGAGCCAGACGTCTTCTGGTGAGGCCTGCGTAGCACAAGGTGCCCCGTGCTGGCTCGGATGTGTCAGTGGAAAAGGGGTAATTAGGTTCCTCTTTGACAATTCAGTTCTAGGCTTAATCCGGAACCCTGGCTTCCTTTGACTGTGGTCGCACCTCTCCTGTCAACTCAAGGAAGCTTTGTGTTGAGAAGATGTGGAGACGAAAAGTGAAGAAGGGAGCCGCTTTGTGACTCTACTGTGGACAGCAAGCAGAGTCTTTGAAGAAGGAGTTAAACAAATTCATGTGCCAACGACAACGTATGTGTCGCCTCAGACATTGAGACCCAGTCCAGAAGAACGGGGGACGTCTGGTGCGGAGATGGAGTAACATTGTTGGGGCCCACTGTAGAGTGACACTGCTGTGTGTCTGCAGTGCTACTGCGGTGGTGTGTGTGTGTCTGAAGTGACACTGTGATGTGTGTGTGTGTGTCTGGGGTGACGCTGGTGTGAGTCTCCAGTTAGACTGGGACTCTGCGAGAAGTGACACTGGTGTCGAGTATTCAGGGTCGTTGGGCCCAATGTGTGACGTGTCACTGAGGACCCATTGTAAAGCGACGGCAGTCACCGAATTACAGAGATAACCCTTGGAAGAGATGGCCATCAGGTTAGAGGGCAAGGGAGGTCATGGTGGGTGGGGGGGTGGGGAGGTGGGTGACCACCTTGGGTTTGATTTGGAACCGAGTGCTACGGTGGGAATCCGTGTAAAAGGGTAGAGAGGCACAGGCCGCCCGTTTCCCTCCGCTGGTAAGAAGTGCTGCCCCCCCCCCCCCAGGCGTGGCGTCGTCTACGTGTGCTGGGGGGCGGGGTTAGGGGCGGGCACGGTTTGGGTTTCAGAATCTATGAGCATGACTCCGTGTGCCTCAAATTGCCACCACCACCACTGTCTCCACCACCACCGCCTCCTCCACCACCGCCTTCACTGTGAGGGAGATTGTCAGGGGCAGGGCAGTGAGCGTGTGCCTCATTCCAGCGTGCTTGGTGTTCTAGCAGTTGTGTGTGTATGTGCGTGCCGGTTCTAGAACGTGTGTTGTTCCAGAGTGTGTGTGTTGTTCCAGAGAGTGTGTGTTCCAGTTCCAGAGAGTGTGTGTTCCAGTTCCAGAGAGTGTGTGTTGTTCCAGAGAGTGTGTGTTGTTCCAGAGAGTGTGTGTTGTTCCAGAGAGTGTGTGTTGTTCCAGAGAGTGTGTGTTGTTCCAGAGAGTGTGTGTTGTTCCAGAGAGTGTGTGTTGTTCCAGAGAGTGTGTGTTTCAGAATGTGCCAGTTCCAGAGTGTTGTGTATGCCAATTCCCGAGAGTGTGTGTTTCAATTCCCGAGAGTGTGTGTTTCAGTTCCAGAGAGTGTGTGTGTGTGTTCCAGAGAGTGTCTGTTCCAGAGAGTGTGTGTGTTTCAGTTTCAGAGTGTGTGGCAGGGGCGGTTTCTTCATTAGGGCGATTGGGCGACGCACCACCAATGTCATTGAACCACAGAGTCACGCTAGCCGTCACTGCAGCCTCTGGATATAGTCCAATCAGCGTCATGTCACGTTCTGTGGAGTACCGCCTCTTTTTGGGCGATTTCACTCCGGCTGAGAATCGCCCCGAGTGGCCCCATAGACTTACATTCAAAGATGTTTTTTTTCGACCAGGGGGCGCTGCAATGCATTCTCTATGGCTTCCGGCAGGGCTCGCCCTAACGTGCTTACGTCATCATACGTGCTTACGTCATCATACGTAAGCACGTTTCATCCAACAATATAATTTGTGGCCACCTAGTGGAATCTTTAATAAAATAAACTTGAATGGTTTGTTTTAATAGTATAGAAACAAACAAGATGTATTGTAAGAGTCACTTTATTTTTCATTAATATTAAAGAAGTAAAGTTGCCTTTACATGCTTAAGCTGTTAATTTATCCATTGCATGGGTGGACCTTATCCTTATCAATCATCCAGACATTTGCCCCCCCTGAGAGATTTTGCAGGAGCCGCCACTGGTGTGTGGTGTTCCAGAGAGTGTGTGTGTTTCAGTTTCAGAGTGTGTGCCGATTCCAGAGAGTGTGTGTTCCATCTCCGGAGAGTGCGTGTCGCGCGAGATGTTCCAGTGTGCGTCTTTTTACGGAACGTGTACATTATTCTCTTAAAGCGCGCGTTCCAGATTATGCGTCGTCCCCCTCTGCGGTCAGATAGAATGCCCGTGTACTACGCATTGTGAGGATTTTTTAAGTGCGCGCGCGCGTTGTGTCCGTGCTGTTGGGAGCTCGCGTGTTCACTCGACGCGTGCGTTTCTGTCCCGGTGCCCGTGTCCTGGTGTGTGTTGCGTGTGTGTTGCGCGCGTGTTGCGTGTGTGTTGCGCGCGTGTTGTCCCCCAGTGTCTGTGTGTTGCAGAGTGTGCGTGCGCGCGCGCGTAGTCACAGCGTGTCGCACGCGCGTCGTGCAGCCGAAGTCGATACGGCCCCGGCGTCCACTGCTGTTCGTACCGGCCGCTGTGACCCGGCGTTTTCTGCCGCCCGTCAGTTGGTGCTGCGTCCTTGACCCTTGACTTCTGCCTTATTACTCTGACCCCCCCCCCGTGCCCTGAACCCGCCCCTATCCGATCGCACTGACCTGTGACCCTTGCACCACAACCCCAATCGTCTGCTCTTCTGCCATGTGACCCTGTTGGGGGGTGGAGCGGTGGCGCAGCGGTTAGCGCACTGCACTTAGAAGCCGGCGACCCGCGTTCGAATTCCCGGCCACGGCCGATGCCGGCGGCGAACACGTGAACGGGTCCTGGGAGGGCGATTATCCGAACTTGGGTCCTGGGAGGGCGATTATCCGAACTTGCGTCCTCACCCCCCCCCCCCCCCCCCTTTTCAGAAATCCGCACTGACCAGCTTGGTGAAGTATGATCAAACAACACTCACGACCCGCACGGCATGGGCAGTGGCCTGTAGCGTAGACGTGAACTCTCACGTCCCAACTCTACAACCATACCAACTCCGGCAGCATTAACCCTCTGACCCCCTGCACTGTCACACTTGACCTCTTGACACCCACGAAGCCCTTCCTCCACACTCCTACTGTTTAGCCCCCCCCCCCTTCACCCCAGTTGTGACGCTAATTTAAAGAGGTAATGCGTAACTTCAGAAGTTTCCTACGATGATTGTGAGGAATGAGTGCGTGCGTGGGTCGGTAGTGTGACCCCCACCTCTGAGGGTGGGGAGGGAGTGACCAGGTGACCCCTGACTTAACCCCCCCCCACTCTCGTTGAACTCTGAACTCACCCAAAGTCCAGGTCATTGGGTCACGTGTGTTTTTGTCTAGGACTGGGAGATGCGTGTGGGGGTGGTTACTTGGGTGGGTTCCGTGAGTGACATACTGACGCTCCGTGCTTGCTTTACTGCACTTAGCAAAATATTTTTATACACAATTTGCATATATACAAATACACGGTATATATATACAGTATATATATATTTTACACAACTACGATCAGTGATAACGATGTTTTTATTGCTCTTCCTCGAGCGAGTCGGCGACGTTGCGTCTCGCCGTGCTGCGCCCACATTCGGGACGCGCACGGAACCCCCCCCCCCCCCTCGAGTCCCCCCCCCCCCCCCCTCGGGCCCCCCCCCCCTCGAGCCCCCCCCCCCCTCAAGCCCCCCCCCGAGCCCCCACCCCCCCGAGCCCCCACCGGTCATTCGCAGTCCTCGCAATTGTAACTAAAGCTAGAGGCGCGGCCCTGCAAGTTTTCGCTCACGCTGGCAAGAAAGAGCCTCCGCTAGAGGGAGCTCTAGAAAGCACCACCACCAAGAGAGGGTATTTGGTCTACTCTTCCACGCTAAGCAGACGTCTTGGTAGAGGCGGGCGTACCCACACTTTACCCCACCACACACGACCTGCCGATCGACAGAGAACCCATGTCCACTGCTGGATGGACTAAGGTGGTGGCGGTTGGGGGGGGATGTATAAGAAATGTGCCCAATCTTTTTAATTTCCCCGCCGGAAGATGGAATCAAACCGGTGCCCTCTGGATTGCAAGGCCCAGTGCTGCTGCTGAGCATCCCACCACAGCGGCGGCTTCACTAAAGTGTTGTCGTTATAATTGTAGCTCGTGCTTGACCGTTGTGGTGATGCGGTGGTAAGTGCACTGGGCTCTGAATCCGGCCGGTTATGACGGTGGCGATTGGTACTATCAACTGGTCCTGCGTGGTGGAGTTTGGTCAAACAACCACGCACCTTTGATCGGTGACCTATACACAAAACTAAGCAGATACGCCTTCCAGATTTGTCTCTGCGCTTAAGAAAATGTAAACATTTTACACATCCCCATCAGCCACACGCACGGCCTTCTGGTGGGAGTGTAGAACTTCAGCCGCATTGGTTCAACACGAGAAAAACTCAGAATCGGTTTCCACGTTCAGTGTCTCATCAGCAGTGTCGGGCTCGCTTGAGCCAACGCTGCTGAACTGCCGGATATTTAGAGGCAAGGGCTGTCTCGCTCTCTCTGTCAGACATGGGTCCTAGTTGGACGCAGATCCAAAATCGAATCCGCCCGTTGGGTTACTGCCCGTTTGCCTCCCAGTATTGGCAGGCTCCTCGTCCCGGACACTTGGCACTTGCTAGTTTATGTTATGTTTGTTTTATTGCGCGCGCGTTTGCCCGCAAACAGGGCGCGGGTTATTCGTACTTTACTATTAATACCGATAATTAAGTTCCGTCGGGTTTTTTGTTTTGTTTTTTAAAGATTGTTCGGGACGGTTTCCGTTCGTACTTTGACGGTCGGTGCGGCGGAGCGGTGCGTTGGTGCCATTGCTGCCGAGTTCGAGGTACTGTTGTCGTCGTCGTCGCCGCGATTGGTCGCAGAGTGATTTCTGGTTTTTGTTGTTGTTGGTTTTATCTCTTTGCACCCAGCGGAAATCGTCGAGTAGGGGGCCGGCGGAAGTCCCCGCTGTAGCTGAACTTCGCAGCTCTTCTAGAAATCAAAACGAACCAAAGAGAAACGGCATCGCGTGCGTGCGTGGGTGGAAGGTGAACGTGGATTTGTGTCGTGTTTTTTTAATGGAAATGTAAATTTGTGTTTTTGTCGGGAGCGTAGCTGTGCACGGGACGATGAGGACCGCGTGAATTGGGACCCTGGTCAGGACGCACTTGCTCCCATTGTCACCGTGTCCGTTGCTCAAACTTAACAGGCACCTTTTTCGCAGGCGATATCACGGATTCATTCCTGAATTTTGGGTTCGGCCACGCAATTATGTTGTCAAATGTATGTCGCAAGACCCTCCGCCACCCAAACATATGAGCATCGTGTCTAATTGGAGGGCTTCACGACAAACTATTTCCCAAGTTATTTTATGGCCAAACGCAAAGAGCCGACGATGAATTGTAATAAGTCAAAATCGACGCCGCGTGTCTCGGTTAGAGAAACCGAGCCCCACCAAATCGGGTTGTACAACATACCAGAGGAGTAACACTAATAACAATTGCAGTGATGCAACCCTTCGCCATCGACCATGGTCAATCCACTGCTGGATGAATGCCTCCAAAATCCACGGCCACCTCTCGCGTTCCAACCGCGCATCTGCACGCGAACTTATCCCCGTCGCGACGTCTCCGATGTCGTCAGGAGCCGCTCCGTTGCGATTTTTGACCAATACAACGTGAGCGTCGATGGTCATCGCAGAACTTGACTCGCAAAACCAGGACTGGCGCCACCTTCACCCAATCGTCGTCTTCTTTGCCGGGTTGCTAAAAACGAGTGCCACGTGGTGGGAAGTCGTTCGTGGGTGTCAATGTGTCTGCACCAGTCCGCGCCTCGATAAGGTCAAATTGCCAACAGGATTAGGACTTGCAAACTGATCGTGACGCTCGGTTACGCAGGCAGATACGACGTGAATTATGATGATGATGATGATGTGGGTAATGATGACGATGGGAAGCCATGGGGAAATGTGCACGTTTTGACGCTCACCCCGAAAGCTGTAGTTTCTCCCCGTGTTGGAAGACGCGTGTAGCTTGTGCGCGGTCGAGGTCCGGCCCAGCGGTGACCTTCGCCAACCTGTCTACTCGTGTGTAAGCCGTGGGTGTACATACTTCCCCCTTTGCTGCTGCCTCGTTCAGTGGCGAGGCGGCGCGACACCCCCCCCAAGCCCCAAGCCCCAAGCCGTTCGTTCTTCTCTCGTAGCCGCGCGCCGTCTCCCTGCTGCTCCTGTGCACGTGGTCCCGTGTGTCGGGGGCGTTGTTTTGACCATACCTCACCGCTTAATTTGGAGCTTTCGTGACTGCAGGAATTATTCTTTGGTTCTTTCGGTAAAGTCACGTATAAAGATAAAATAATAAATTAAATTAAATACTAGCATACGACGTTTCGATTGCAACACAAGCAATCATCATCAGGTATAAATTAACTAGGAACACAAATCTAGTATACAGTACTTAGAAATGTAATGTAATACAACAGAGAGTCGGATAACATAACAGGAACATAGCATGACTGTTATGTTATCCGACTCTCTGTTGTATTACATTACATTTCTAAGTATACTAGATTTGTGTTCCTATTTAATTTATACCTGATGATGATTGCTTGTATTGCAATCGAAACGTCGTATGCTAGTATTTAATTTAATCTATTATTTTATCTTTATACGTGACTTTACCGAAAGAACCAAAGAATACTTCACCGCGCTCGCTCGCAGAGACGCGGTGCCCAGGACCGGTTCGGATTCCGCGCTCACGACTCGTGTTGGCCGTGGCTGGGAATCGAACCGGGGTTCCGAACCCCCCCCCCCCCCCCCCCAATTCGGCCGTGAGTCCCAGCGTAGAATTTGTTTTGGCTTTCCCCGATCTTGTGGACCCTACGGATCGAATGTTCCCGACATTTTTGGTTTCCCTCCACCTATTTGTGCCTATGACCACATTTCACGGGGAATGTTTCCCATCGGAAGCTAAGTGGGGTAGGGCCCCCCCCCCCGGGTGGTACGTGCCCCCCCCCCACGCACCCGTCGGGTGCCACTCCCCGTGCACCGCGAGGGGGCGTAGACGCCGCGCGTGGCAGAGGAGAGCCGTGCAGCACGTGCCATTTGTTGTGCTGTGCACCAGAGGTCGCAACCGGGTACCCGATACCCGTACCCTACCCGATACCCGGCTACCCGTACCCGGCCGGGTACGGGTAGACCGTGAGTCATGGTGAGTAACTGTTTGTCACTCATTTCCCAACGTCTTGTCTCTTCTCACAATTCAAGTTCCTAGAATCAACCCACCCGCGCCTGCAACATGGCTTCATCCCAGAGGTCGCAATGAGGTACCCTATACCCGTACCCTACCTGATACCCGGCCGGGTACGGGTACCCGTTTGCGACCCAGGTGCGGCCGGGTACGGGTAAGGAATCAAAACCCGTTTGCGACCTCTGCTTTGCACCATGTGTAGCGAACGTCTACGTCTGGCCTCCCCGTCTACTTTCAACTCGCACTGACCAGCGTGGTGAAGTATGGTCAAACAGCCCCCCCCCCTCCATCGTGACCGTCGCAGCGTGGGGAGGCCACCACATTTTGGGAGGTTTAAAAATGTACAATTTTTTAAAATGTTTTAGTTTTTCTAACTCGGCATCCAAATACAACCATTCTGTACGCCTAGTTTCATGAACATAAAAAGTGAAATTAACCCCCACCCCCCCCTCCACATTTTTGGGGGCCCTAAATAAATAAACGATGGTTGTAGTGCACTGAGTATGAGCATCGGCTTGACTCTTATCTGTGCCAAACTGTGGCTGTGTAGCCTCGCCTAAGAGCGTCGCTCAAACTCGCATTGAGAACATCGCCATGCAGTGAGACCGCCTCGGCGTGATGTCCCGCGAGGCAGCCGTAGGCGGTGGTGGTGGCGCAGGAAGAGGAGGAGGGGACGGTCCTGAGCCGGGATCCGTAGAGTGGCCGGGTGTCGACAGCACGGACGGCTGACATCCGAGAAGAATGGGGCGACTCCTTCCCGGCGATCACGATTCGACGCAGACGAGCGCCAAACGCGCTGGGTCCTTACAGCGACCCGTGTCGCAGCTACGCGAGAAGGGATGTCGGTTTCCTGGCTCGCGTCTGCTGCACCCGAGACGAATGAACTCTTTGACGACGACGACGCGAGAGACGCGAGGGGGTCCTTCTCTGATTTGTGTTTTTTTTTCTATCTCTGTGGGCGCGGGGGGTGCACCCCGCCCGGCGGCTGTGTTCCAATAAACTGCGCGACCCGCTCGCCCACACGCGTCGAAGTGTCTCTTCCCACTCCTCTCTTCCCCCGCAGCCCTCGAATTAGCACGGGTTGGCCTACGCACGGTGCGAAAGAAGTTGAACATACATCCTGTGCACATCACGCGTTCGCTGTCCTCCTGTGCTGCTCCCTCTTCCCCCAGTCCTCTGCCTTTTTTTCCTCTGCTCCTATTCGCTTCTCACCATCTCTTCTCATCACCCACCGACTCCTCAACTGCCCTCTTATTATGTTGAATTTTTATTTTTTTATTATTTCCCTTCTACGTGACTTTACCGAAAGAATCAAGAAGATTCCCCTCTCCTTTTCGTCTCCTCTCACCACGTTTCGAGATGCGCGTGGTTCAGGTTCACGTTCAGGCCTTGGTTTGGAGCCATAGAGATGGTTTAGTGGGTGGTTAAATGAATTGTCCGAGAACTTTTTGGATACGTGTATGGTTGGACGCGGGTGTTGTGAAATGTACAGCTATTTGTACCAGAGTCCGATATGGCTAAGGTTGCTTTTACGCTTAGGAATGTGATGTTGGGTTGTTGTTGTGTTGAGTGTACGGCTTAGAGATATGGTTAGGGTTGTGTGACCGTGGTTCAGAGTTTGTATGACTCGTAATATTATAGCAATCCACCAGAGCCACACAGTCATTCGATTCTTTTTCAAGAGGGGTCCTGTATTGCATTCTTATTTTCGGAAGTTTTCAGCCAATGAACGAGTGCTCATACAAGTGGGGGGCAAACGGAACACCCGGACGTGTAACCCCCACGCGCGCGAGAAAGGACAACAACTCTATCCCCGTACAGATTGAATCAAATGGCGATTAGCCCACTTGATGCGCTTCCGCCTCCTGGCGAGCCGGAATATGGCAACATCCTCGACGCCACCCACGGCGAGATTGGGAGTTTCACAACAACAACAGGATCTGTATGCGCGCGGTGACCCACCAACCCTCTTACCTGCACAGCGCTGGAGATTACCGGCGAGCCCCACCGTGTGAGCCCCCCCACCCAACGCCTTGAAAACTAAACCCTAAACTATTACATCTGACACCGTGACATCGAAGCGTGGGCACCCCCCAAGGCGCGGGGTCCGGGGCGGTCACCCCTCCCTCCAATTCACCCCCTCCCATTCCCCCCCCCCCCCCCCCCCCCATTCATCGTATCCGAGGGAAGGCATCTCGTAGCCACTACCACCACCGCCCCTTTCCATGCAGCGCCATTGCGATGAGATCTCACCCCGTATCCATTGTGTAACCCTCCCCCCACATATTTGAATGTTTATTTTAGCCGAGGTCACGGGACGTGGGAGGGGGACGCTGTGTAACGCGACCTGCCTTACAGGGGGGCGGGCTGGATGCAGCTAATTAGAGCTCAATTAAGCACTTGCTCCATCCGCCACCGGGCCGCCTTCATCTCCCCAGGGCTGATGTCCACACGCCACGCAGGCAATGTACCCACGTGCTGTCATGTTAAGGCCGAGTTGACCTATCGGCGGCTCAGAGGCCGGTTCAGAAATCACTTTGGATGTGAGCCGTGGCCTGGGAGTCGAACTCGGGCGGTCGGGGTTCGTTGAGCAGCGTGCTCACCACTGCGCCACCCCTCCCCACACACGCGCGTTCGGACTTTAATGTGAGAGGGGGGCGGATGATGTCATCCGTTGTACCCCCGCTCTACCTCCACTCCATATATGGGCAGTGACGAGGAGGGGGGGGGGGTTCCCTCCCCCAGACCCCCCCTCCCCTTCGGATCCCCCTCCCCGCCCCCGGCTATAAATGCCCCCCGCGCTCCTCCACTCGTTGAGATAATCCGAGGAGGGAGGGAGAGAGAGGAGGGAGACGTGGTGAGACGTGGAGCGGTGGAGACGGAGAGACACACGCACACATAGCAACACACATTTATCCGCACCCAGATACAGACGCACAGACGTGTACAGGGGTAAAGACGTGCACACACACCACACCACACACACAGCCACACCTTCAAATACATACAAAGATTATTATCCCTCGTATAGCCTCTGACAGACTGTTCGGGCAAGTGCTGGTAACGAGCACCCACAGACACGCGCATAGCTACACAAATATAGCCACACGAACACACAGTAAGACGGAGACCTACAGGCAGCGCCTCTGTCACAAGCACATTGACGCAGTGCCACTCGACAACATTGACACCGAAGCACTGATAACAGTGACACACTAATAACAGTGACACACACCGACACATTTACTGACACTGACACAGGCTCACTGCTGACACCCGAATGCACACTCGCACGGATGCACGCACCGACACACTCGCTGACACACACATTGGCACACACACACACCTCCACCACCTCGCATCTCTCTCTCTCCCTGCCACCAGAGGAAGAAAATCTGCTCCTGGGACCCACAATGGTCCTCCCCCCATGCGGGCAACGCGGAGGACGGGGGCAGCCGGGAGGGCACGTGGGGCAGCAGCAGCAGCAGCAGGGAAGGGGCAGGGAGGCCCTGGGAGGGAGGTACACACTTCTGGGACCACTGGGGAGCGGCACGTACGGCAAGGTTCACAAGGGCGTGGAGCGACTCACGGGCCGACAGGTGAGTGCTGGCCGTGAACTTGGCCGTGAACCTGGCCTCGGCGGTGGCGCTTGGCCAATTGGGCCAAAAAATCAGATATTGGGTACCGCTCGGGGTGACGACTGCTAACAAAGCTTTTGTTGAAGAATTGCATCTTTGGATCGCAAATATGTGTGATAGCAAGATTGAGGCGGTAGTGTGTGTTTTTTCGGAGAGAATATCACTTTGGGCGTGATCTGAAACGTCTGGGGGAGATTTGACGTGCTCTGAATGGGAAGCCGCACCGAGTCTGTTGAACGCGGGCTTTGTGCACGACCCAGAGTACCGCCCCGCCGGACACCGCTGGCATTTGCCACCTCGGGCGGTTACCGGCCATCGTTGACGGGTGGAGTTTTGGTGACGAACGCGCCGACTGCCAACGCGCCAATGGACAAACCGCACGGGGTCACGTCGCGGGCTCCGATGACGGGTGAAAGGTGCAGGCCCTGCAAGTGGCTCGCTCGTGCCACTGGCGGCGGAAGGGGTCCTCCTCTGGAGGGGGCACTTGGTCTACTCTTCCTAAGTGGGCAGTAGCCACGGACTCTCACGCGATCTTCCGATGAGAGCCGTAGCTGTGGTGAACACGCGTCTGCTGCTGGGTGGACAGGGGGCGAGGGCGGCGGGGATTTAATAAACTCACCCCGTCGTTTCAGCTGCAGCGCTGGGAGATGCAATTGAACCGGCGTCCCTCTGGTTGGCAATTCGCTTGGTGCTGCTGCTGCTGACCAATACACCACAGCAGCATCTCGAGACGTGTCTCAGTTCACAAGGCACCTTTACATACATTTCTGTATGGGCCACAAATCGGTAACCGGTTTTTACCGGTTTTTTTCATGCGGTTACCGCGGACGCAAATAGATCGATTTCAATTACCCTGGTTCATGCTTCACAGTGCAGTGTTAACCGGCACCGCTTCCCACAACCACCACTGACACCACCACCGACACCACCACTGACACCACCACACCACCGCTCCCCACCACCACCACCGACACCACCACCGACACCACCACCACCACCGACACCACCACCGACACCACCACCACCACCGACACCACCACCGACACCACCACTGACACCACCCCACCACCACCACCGACACCACCACCACCGACACCACCACCGACACCACCACCGACACCACCACTGACACCACCACACCACCGCTCCCCACTACCACCACCACCGACACCACCACCACCGACACCACCACCGACACCACCACCGACACCACCACTGACACCACCACACCACCGCTCCCCACCACCACCACCGACACCACCACCGACACCACCACCACCGACACCACCACCGACACCACCACCGACACCACCACTGACACCACCACACCACCGCTCCCCAGCACCACCACTGACACCACCACACCACCGCTCCCCACCACCACCACCGACACCACCACCACCGACACCACTACCGACACCACCACCGACACCACCACCGACACCACCACCGACACCACCACACCACCGACACCACCACCGACACCACCACCGACACCACCACACCACCGACACCACCACCGATACCACCACCGACACCATCACACCACCGCTCCCCACCACCACCGACACCACCACCGACACCACCACACCACCGACACCACCACCGATACCACCACCGACACCACCACCGACACCACCACCGACACCATCACACCACCGCTCCCCACCACCACCGACACCACCACCGACACCACCATCGCCCCACAGAGAGAGAGAGTACCTTTGCTGTAATCATCATCTGGCAGTTCACCAACGTTGGCTGAAGGCAGCCTGACCGCTGATGAGACGTCTGAATGTCGAAACCGGTCCAGAGAGTTGTGCTGGTGTTGAAGCGATGTTGCTCAGACGTGTGTATGTACGGTATGTTGAACTTTTCGATTTAAAGCTTTCGTGACTGCAGGGATTCATCTTCTTGGTTCTTTCGGTAAAGTCACGTAGAAGGGAAATAATAAACTTCTTTCGCACCGTACGTAGCCGACCATGGTAATCGGTGCGTTTACCAGGTAAGGTCTCACTGAGCTATGTAGCTCTTTTTCAGAAGCGACCTGGCCACAAATGATAGCGCAAAGAAGTGAGCGTATCGCGTGGACATGTATAGTGCCCAAATACTCTAAACGCGTGTTGTTAATTATAAATGTGGAGGAAACAACCGGAGCACCCGGACAAAAATCCACATGGTAAACACAGAGAGAGAGCGAGAGACAAGAAAATTCCAAATATACAGCAGCAGGCGTCAGCGTCGGGATCGTACCCACGACCTCCTGCGTACTGGGCGAGGCAGTCAACATCTCCTAGCCACCGCGGCGCAATCGGACAACTTGCGCGAGTTATTTGTCAAATTTGGACCGCGATGTCGGCACGCGTCCGGCCCACCCCTTCGCGTACAAGTGGTGGCTCCGGAAAGAGCCGCCGTGTCGTGATTTGCGGGCGGAGTTGAGCCTCGAGACGCGCTCGCCACGGATGCGGCGGGCGGCCTGCAATTGATGCACTCCCGGGTGGAGAGCCGTGTGTGTGTGCGCGTGCGGCTGATGTGATGGGTGTGTTTGTTAAAGGATGGAGGAGCAGTGTCGGATTATCCCAGTAGCACAAGTAGCTACATATGCTACATGCCCCGCAATTTCAAGGGCCCCCGCGCTAAATGCTTTCAAGCTATCAATTCCGGTTCAGTGAATCTGCACTTGCTCTATTACTATAGTACTATACCGCCTTCAACTTTTATTAACGACTGGGTGTTTAAGTGTAGAGAATTGTCGTTTTAGCTGGCTGTATGAAAAAATACAATTACTTTACTGTGCAAGGGACAAAATGTGTGTTTTAATATTTGTGTTTTATTTATTTATTTAGGGCTCTTTTATAACAACAATATGCTACAGGCACCGCACTAGCTTCATCCGGCACTGTGAAGGAGCCGAGGTGCTGCGAGCTGCGAGCTGGGTGATTGTCGGCCTCCTCCCCCCCCGCCCCTCGCACTCCAGGTGGCCATCAAGACCATCCGCAAGGACAAGGTGCCGGGGGACGATGGCATCGCGCGCATCCGCAGGGAGATCCGCCTCATGGCCACCCTGCGACACCCCCACATCATCGGGGTCCACGAGGGTACGGGGACCGTGGGGGCCCATGAGGGGGGGGCCCATGGGGGGGGCATTGGGGGGCCCATGGGGGGGGCATGGGGGGCCCATGGGGGGGGCATGGGGGGCCCATGAGGGGGGGCATGGGGGGCCCATGGGGGGGGCATGGGGGGGCCCATGAGGGGGGGCATTGGGGGGCCCATGGGGGGGGCATGGGGGGCCCATGGGGGGCCCATGAGGGGGCATGGGGGGCCCATGGGGGGGGCCCATGGGGGTTCAAAAGTGGATAGCGATGGGAGGATAAAAAAAAAGTGGTGACTGAGGAAAGTGTGAGGGGTGGTTGTGGTTGTGCTGGTGGTTGTGTCTGTGTGGGGAGCGGTGGTGTAGCGGTGAGCGCCACGCTGCACTTCGCACCCGGCGACCCAAGTTCGATTCCCACTCACGGCCAACACCCAGTGACGATTATCTGAACTGGTCGCGGGCCTCCCCAAGGTCGACTCGGCCTCAAACGAGTACCTGGTGCGATGTGCAAACATCGCCACTTGGGGAGACAAAGGCGGCCGGGCGCGGTGCTGGCCACCCACCCCCTCGCGTGCCGTGCCGCCCTTCATAGGTGGCTCGCGAACAACAACTTGCCCCATTTGTCTTTGGTGGTCGGTTGACGTGGTGATGGTGGTGGTGATGGTGGTGGTGATGGTGATGGTGGTGATGGCGATGGTGGTGATGGTAATGGTAGTGATGGTGGTGGTGGTAATGGTGATGGTGGTGGTGATGGTGGTGATGGTGGTGCTGGTGATGGTGGTAATGATGGTGGTGATGGTGGTGATGGAGGTGATGGTGGTGGTGATGGTGGTGGTGGTGATGGTGATGGTGGTGGTGATGACGGTTGCTCAGTCCTGGAGAGCCGGGAGCGCCTGGTGCTGGTGCTGGAGCTGGCGAGCCGTGGGGAGCTCTACGACCTCGTCTCACACGAGCGCAGGCTGCTTGAGGACGAGGCCCGCCGCCTCTTCCGCCAGATCGTGTCCGCCGTGCTCTACTGCCACCAGGTGAGCGAGACGCCCACCACGGGCTGGGGACGTCAGCCACCCAGAGGGCGCTTCGACGAGAGGTTTTTTTAAAATCCTTTATATTAAGTTCGCTTGCTTGCTTGCGCGCTTACGACCGTCTAAATTTTTCGGTCGTTTTTTAACCCACTTCCCGTGATCCAATCGAGCTGACATTTTGCACACAGACTCGTTGTGCGTGACAATTTATTTTCGTGAAAATTTTCAAAATTTTCCACTTTTTAGGGAAAAAATTTTTCATATTTAATTTCAAATACCAATGTGATAAAAATGAAACTCTTACTCAAGAAAAACAGAAATGAATAATAAAATAAAACCGATGCCACGCATATAAAGGATTTATAGTGAAAAACTTTGTTTTTACGGGTTAATTTTTATCATCGCCGGGTGTCAATCGCGCCCCCATCACACGTCGGCCCCTCTGTTGCCCACCCCCCCGCCCCCCCCGGCAGAATGGTATCGTCCATCGTGACCTCAAGCTGGAGAACATCCTCCTGGACGAGAGCTACAACGTGAAGGTGAGAGGTGGAGGAGGTGGGAGAGGGGGACACGAGGGCGTGCGATCCAGGAGATTCATTTCAGATTTTCAAATCGCAGGGGGGGGAGGGGGGCAAAGGTAGTGCAGCGGTGGGCGCTGCACTGCCAACCGGGGCGACCCGAGTTCGATTGCCGGTTATGGCAACGTCAGTGGCCCCCACCCACCCTTCACCTACCCACACTGACCAGCGTGGTGAAGTATGGTCAAATGATCCCCCGTGACCGACCACGGCTTTTGGAGGCCATCGCCCAGCAGTGGTTCGATCTTGGCTGACGATGATGGTGATACACAGCGCTTGAGGTGGCGGTATTCTTGTGGTCAGTGACCCACCATGTGCGTAGTGAACTAAACGACCTGTAGATTGTAAATCTTCCCAGCCTCGGCACGCCACATCCAGTATATCTCTCACTGTGGCTGTGGCTACCAGTCACGTGCATATTCCTGGAATTTCTACTACCCGGAAAACATTTCGGTGAGAAATTCAACCCCGACTCTCCCAGCAGCAGCAGCAGCAGCGATTGTGCGGGCGAGAAAACTCTGGATTGGTTTCAACATCTTGGGTCTCTTTGGCAGGGTCTGGCTTGTTAAACATATGCTACTGGATTACCATGTGTCATTGGCAGGAGCACTCAATCCAAACTACGGGGCCCTGCTCCATACGAACACGGTGCGTTGCTGTGGGGCATTGCGTCTCCTTTGGCCAGGATTGTCTGCGTTAGAGCGCGGAGAGTTTGTCTGCTCTGCGGTTGTTTTTCCTCCAATTTTCTGTTTGCTTCATCGTTATGCGTGGCGTTTACGTGATTTTAGCTTTTTTGTCGTTTTGGTGACCCAGGTCGGCCACGCTTGGCAGTGGGGCCTATCCACGAATCTCTGGAATTCTCATCTCCACGGTTGAACCAAACTAACCCAGAAACCTGTCGATTTTCGATTGACGCCTGCCACTATTCTAGATTTGAAGCTTTCGTGACTGCAAGGATTCATACTCTTAGTTCTTTCGGTAAAGTCACGTAGGTAAAAAATTAAAATTAATAAAAGTAAAATAAAAATAAAATGAAAAATAAAAATCACGACGTAAAAAATTAAATTTAAATTAATGATTTTATTGTTTTTATTTTTAATTAATTTTTATTTCATTTTTTACCTACGTGACTTTACCGAAAGAACTAAGAGTAAGCCTGCCAATATCCCTACGGGCGCCTCCCCCCCTAGATCGCCGATTTCGGCCTCTCCAGCGAGTTCGGGAACGGACGTTTGCTGAGCACGTTCTGCGGGAGCCCCCTGTACGCGTCGCCCGAGATCGTCAACGGCACGGCCTACCTGGGGCCCGAGGTACGCGCCGCGAAAACCCCGGTGACCCCCCACCACCAACCCCCGCCGCCGGGGTCAGAACCAGGGTCGGAACTGGGAGGCCCTCGGTGGTGCGGGCCCAGAGAGAGCTCAGAGCTCCGGATTTAAACCGCGCGGCACAATGAGGCACGCGCACAGATCTCATTACCGCGTCTATATTGGTTTCGCACTGTGTGCGCGCGCGTGTGATTGTGCGTGCGCGCGTGTGTGCGTGTACGCATGCCTCCGCGCATGTGTGTATACAGTAGGGTGTATGTAATTGTGTATGTAGGGGAGCGGTGGTGTGGCGGTTAGCGCGCTGCGATATGAACCCAGCGACCCGGGTTCGATTCCCGCTCACGGCCAACACCGGTGACGATTATCTGAACCGGTCCTGGGCCTCCACTAGGTCGACTCAGCCTGAAATCAATACCTGGTTCGGTGTGTAAACATCGCGACTGGGGAGACAAAGGCGGTCGGGCGTGGTGCTGGCCACCCAACCCCTCGTGTACCGTTCCGGCCTTCATAGGTGCTCGCTAACAGCACTTGCCCCTACAGTCTGTTAAGGCTATACGGGGGATCTTTCTCTTTGTATGTAATTGTGTGTCTGTGTGGGGGGAGTGGTGGCGCAGCGGCTAGCGCACTGCGCTACAAAGCCAAAGATCGACTCCTGCTCACGACCAACAACATCAGGCACAAATGTCTGAACCCGTCCTCGACCGCCCCTTGGTCGACTCAGCCTTAAATGAGTTCCTGGCGTGGTGTGGGAACATCACCCTGGGGAGACAGAGATGGCCGGGCGTGGTGCTGGAGACACCACAACCACCGCCCTCTTGTGCCGTGCCGTGCCTTCGTAACAGGCGCTCGCAAACTATTCTAGATTTGAAGTTTTCGTGACTGCAAGGATTTATATTCTTAGGGTTTTGCGGTAAAGTCACGTAGGTAAAAAATTTAAATTAATAAAAGTAAAATAAAAATAAAATGAAAAATAAAAATAACGACGTTTCGGAGGCAACACAAGCCTCCGTCTTCAGGTGGAACAGTCACAGCACGATAGCTGTATCAAGTGAGAGAAATTCCAAGAAACACAGTATTTGTATATATACTGGTTGAGGGTGGGAGGAGCCAAGGTAGGCCCTGAATATTATTTTTGTGAGGTTCGGTGCGGCTGAAGCACGATCAACTTACCCCGACAGCCTGTGTGGGCTACACGGGGGACCTTTATCTTTGTGCGCGCGTGTTCTCCGACTCAGCCTATCACGGCTTCATCTCCGTAACGCGCGCGCGTAATGAGAAACGTTATCCAGAGGCTCTGCAAATCCTGCACCACGTGTCCCCCCCCCCACCCCGTCACGCCACTCTCCCTCCCTCCGTCAGGTTGACAGCTGGGCGCTGGGGGTGCTGCTCTACATCCTCGTCTACGGCTCCATGCCCTTCCACGGGCGCCACCTGAAGGCGCTGACACGGCACATCAGCCGCGGAGAGTACGCAGAGCCGGCGCAGCCGTCAGGTGACGCCCCACGTGATGCCCACCCACGGGGACCCACAATGCACCCCCGCGGAGACCCACAATGCACCCCCGCGGAGACCCACAATGCACCCCCGCGGAGACCCACAATGCAATGACAAGCAACGGCCATTCGCCACTCAGTGGCGGTAACGTCACCACGGCGCTTGTGCCAGGCTAGGTGCACTTTAAGGCCACGTGAAGTGTCGCGCGCCCGCTGCTGGCTGGAGGTCACGAGACAGGCCCAGGTCGCTGAGATGACTGGACGATGCACCACCGGTGTCCCCTACTGCGCACCGCCGTCGAGATCCAACAGTGCACCTGGAAATAGCAAGAATGTCGAGTTCCGGCTTCTGGGCGTATTTTGTGAGAATTCGAGAGGCAAGGATGAGAGTCGTTTTCAAGAGTGACGCTGGGTCAACAAAATGACAACAGCAGCAAAATAAATCGGGGCGAGGTACACCAATGACGCGAATATAAATCTTCAAGTGACATATCGAAAACATTGCACAAGCATAAATCACTGTCATTAACCTCCCCGTAGCGCGAGGCGGCTCGGGCAATGATGTTCAGGCCGATCACAGCACAATTACAACATAAAGTCACGGAAACTTTCAACATAAATCGTGTGACTATATCTTCTGCTCCGTGTCAACAGACCAGGACATATCTGGTATTTGTCCCATTCTTATAGCGCCGGGCTTCACCGTGGACCCGAGACATCCCGTGACGCCACTCGCGAGGGCAGGCACATTGAAATGCGACACAGCAAGTTACGCAATCGGGCTGACGCACGCACAGGAGCATCGGCAGCATCGCCCGCCACGTAGTCCACTGGAGGCCGTGTCTCGTGTGCAACCAGAGCGCTCGACGCCCTTTGCGATTATCCCCTCCCACCCCCCCGCGCTGTAAGAACGACAGCGCCCATGCCACCACCCGTACTCGACTGTGGTTTTTTAAATCCTTTATATTAAGTTCACTTGCTTGCTTGCTTACGCGCTTACGACCGTGCAAATCTTTCGGTCGTTTTTTAACCCACTTCACGTAATCCAATCGAGCTGACATTTTGCACACAGACTCGCTGTGCGTGACAATTTATTTTCGTGAAAATGTTTTTCCAAAATTTTCAACATTTTAGGATTTTTTTTTTATATTTAATTACCAATTGCTTAATGGTGGCAGGCAATCATCTGACCCATAGGTGGCAGCCATCTCAAGCCAGAGGACGAGAGGACTCTAGCCGGCACGCATATAAAGGATTTATAGTGAAAAACTTTGTTTTTACGGGTTCATTTTTTATGGTTAGTATCGCACCACCCCAGTATTTACCGGGACGGTCGCCGGGCTCGAATCGCGAACCTCTGCCTCTTGGCCGCGTCACCACCCCACAATGCTCCGGCAATCCCCACGTGGCGCACACGCCTCCCACAATGCATCGCAATCACACCCACAATGCCCCCCACCCCACCCCTGTCATTCCAGACGCGTGCGGGCTCATCCGCTGGCTGCTCATGGTGAACCCGGCACGCCGGGCCTGCGTGCGTGACGCCGCCGCTCACTGGTGGGTCAACTTGGGCTACGACACGCCGCTCGGCACAAGCTGCGACGAGCCCCCCACCGTCGCCGCCACCGCGCCGCCCACTTCTCTCACGCGGTGGCTCTCCGACAGGGACCTCGGCGAGACCGGTAACCCCGAGGACTTAGGCGACCCCAATACGGCTGCTGACCCCCAACCGTTGGTCGGAGATGGTGGCTCCCCCTTGCCGGCCTCGCCGATGCCTAACCGGCAATGGAGCGAGGATGACGACACTGCTGCCGCCGCCACCACCACCGCCGCGGCCCCAAGGCCTCCCATGCAGTGGATATCTGACGGGGACCACGGTGAGACCCCTAAAAGGGGCCCTGGGGACGTCAACACGGCTCCTGGCCATCAGACGTTCATCCGAGAGGATGGCACCTCCACCTTGGCCTTGTCGGCACAAGAACAGTGGTTACACATTGCCACCGCCACCACCACCAACGCCACCACCACCACCGTAATCATCGCACAGGGACATTATGGGTCATCACCGGTGGGCGACGAAGCCCGGCAGCCCCCCAAAGGGATTCTCAAGAATCACGGAGGTCTCCTGCCAGACCCCGAGTCCTCCGAGGATGCCGCGTGGACCCCAACGGCACCGATGGGGGTGGCGATGGACGGCGGTGCCCGGTGGCGGGGTGTGTCCGCGAGGGCGCTGGACGGGGCGGGCGCGGTGCCGCGCTGGCGCACGAGGGGGTCGTGTCACGCGGCACCACGGCGAGCGTGCTGCCCCGAGGGCAGCTGCCCCGCGTCCTCCTCCCCCACCATCCCCGTGCTGCCCCCGCCGCCCAGGAGCATCCTCAAGGTCAACGGGAGGTGTTCGACGATCCGGGACCCGCAGCGCGAGCACGGCCGCGAATTCGCGGTCGAGGACGACGAGACAACGGCGGGGCCTGGGGTGGTGACCGACACCGACAGAGGAGGGACCGGGCACTCGGTTCAGCCCAGGGGACCCCGACCTCTCCTGGACCCCCACTTAAGTGACCTCGCAGCAGGGCACCTGGCGGAGGGGCGAGGGGCAGCGACGTGATTGGATCGTGGTTGTGGATTTCCGTGGGTGGGTGTTCGGGTTGCCTTACCCGTAAGACCGGGACACAACGCGGGAAGAAGATTAAATCGCAGGAGCAGAAGAGGGGAGACCGACAACGTGGTGAATTGCGTCGTCTCGAGTGGTGCGGTGCTGGTATAATTATTATTGTTGTTGTTGTTAGTCAACCGACAAACACTGGGACTTTGAATGTCCCCAGAAGACTCCGCACAGATATCTCCACACAGCAGCTGCCTCGACAAAGAGGACCATCCTGGCAAAACCTGAGCACGAAGCAATCGCTCACGAGATTACGCGTCGAACAGAACAAATGAACGCGCGTCAATAATAAAAAAGTGTATTTTTATTACACGTCTCATCGGCCATACGGCCTTCAGGGAGCACATAACTTCAGCAGCATTGGTTCGAGCAACAGCCTCGACTGGTTTCGACGTTCAGTGTCTCATCAGCAGAGTCGGGCTTGGCTTAAACAAATGCTGGTGAGGTGCCATGACGGTTTGGCATCTGGAATGGGCGTGGATCGTTCAGGAGCGTGTACCTGCGTTGGGGTTTTCACCGTCACAGTGTCACGTCGCAAATCTGAGACCGTTCATATTTGCCCCATTCATATTTATTCCGTAATCTTCAGTCGTAACGTTGCTGTGAATCGCCTTGGCGACAACGCGCGCCCGTGCGCGACTCCCGTGTCCGACACGCTACTCTGTGCATGCAGTCCCAGAGTAGACGATCTCGCTTTGTTCACGACCCGTATGGTTTATCTAAATGAGTATTTGTTTTATGAGCCATTTGTTTGTGAAAACCGTATCTATGTCTCCCGAGTGAAATGACGTTTTCTCGTCGACAAAGGGCAGGCCGTAAGGGTGTTATCCTCGTGTGCTGCCACCACAGGCGTCCGTTTGTCGCGTATGGGGCACACTGATGACAATGATGTATGTATGTTGAACCTCTTTCGCACCGTACGTAACCAACCGTGCCAATCGGAGGTGCGGGTGAAAGATGACAAACTAAACACGCACAGAACATGATGCCGTGGTCTGGTCTGCAAGTAGCTCTGGGCGAGGTTCTCGAGTAAGTTGGTATATTTGTTATCACGCACTCTTACGAGTTCCACTTTAAGTGTTATCCCTCTTAGGAATTCCTCAGTGTTATTTATCTTAGGAATGGCACTTAGGAATATCACTCAGGTTGCAAAACTCGCTCAGACTCGGGGACGGATCCCGAACATCTGCCGCTCAGTAACCGAGTTCTTGGTCTCCGTGCCGGAGACCCCGGTCAAGCTGGGCTGGCCGTATCACCGCACGAGGCTTGCACGTGGGCAGCAGCAGCAGAGTCACCACGAGGTGCGGATCTTAGCTCCCGTCGACTGGGCCCCGCGATAGGATGGAGCAGGTTGATTACGGTGGCTCTTGCAGCCGTGCAGGCGTAGTTTGTCGGCGTTGATGTGTTTGTGCTGGAAAAGTAATTAGTAATAAGTCTGGTATCAGGTGAACAAGACACGTTGTGTACTGGCGTTATTACTTCGTCCTATAAAGGGTCATTGTCCGAAACGTCGCCTTATCTACACTTTTCATTTTGAGGCCGCAGTGCAATTGACGATTGGCTCGTGTGCAGCACAGAGGTCGCAAACGAGTTTTGATTCCTTACCCGTACCCGTACCCGGCCGCACCAGGGTCGCAAACGGGTACCCGTACCCGGCCGGGTACGGGTAGCCGGGAATCGGGTAGGGTACGGGTATCGTGTACCCGATTGCGACCTCTGGTGCAGCAGGAGTGAGACGGATCGTGGCATCTCGAGACAACGCGAGCATCCAGAATAAAACGAAACAAAATAAACTATTTTCATTTGACCAGGTAAGGCCCACTGAGCTGTATAGCTCTTTTTCAGAAGCGAATTGCCACAAATTATAGCCCAATGAAGTGGCTTATCATGTGGAAATCTATAGCAGCCGAATATTCTAAACGCTTGTTTCTAAATGTGGAAGGAAAACCCGGACGATCTGGAGAATAATCCAGGCGACCACGGGGAGACGCGCAAACTCCAAATATAGAGCAGGCATCAGGGTCGGGACCGAATCCACGACCTCCTGTATAGCAAAGGCAAGGTATTTACACCATTGGAACCTCATTTGCCAGTAAAAAAAAAATATGATAATTGTTTTTTTACCCTTCTATCTGGCAACAAAACTGACACCTTTGTTTGCCTTTTGGCGTCATCTGGTCCAACCCATGTGAGACTAGGCTCTAAGGAAAGCTGTCTCGGGTGTGGACCAATCAACTTCAAGGACAGTGCACATTATCAGAGTTATGTTTTTTGTTTTCATTATGACTGCAGGTATTGTGGTCTATGCAAACATGACTACTTGTAAAAAAAGGTGTCAGTTTTGTTGCCAGATAGAAGGGTAAAAAAACTATTATCAGAGGTAAGGTAGTTAACATCTTGCCACTGAATAAACACATTCAAAATTGGAACGTCACCCCTCCTGGCTTTGACATTCCTCCTCCTTGAAGACACTGGTGGTGAAGCCATCAGAACATCGCCAGAACACCACTGAGCCAATGCGCGCATCTTCATGAATGGAAAACTAAAGACACAAGCCACAGGAGTGTGACTGGCCATGCAACCCAAACTCCAACAGAGTGAGTCATAGGAAAACGACACGAACTCCCTCCTGAAGCCCTCTCGTCCTGGCGAGCAGACCTCGACATTGGCATCTACTCGTCATCTTTCTGCCATCATCTTACGCAGGAATAGAACTGACGAACGGGTTGAGTGTTGTTGTTGTTGTTTGCGTCTGCGCGCCACTGCCAATGCAGGAGCAGCACCGAATGTTTTCGTGTTCACTTCAGCTGCCTCTGGCGACTCTGGGTGGGCCCTCGGATGTATGTTGAACTTCTTTCGCACCGTACGTAGCCAACCGCGCTAATCGGAGGTGCGGATGGCTCTCCGCATCGAGGAGACGACATCCATTGGGATATCTCACTCAGCAGTGAATGAATGTCTTACTCCACGTCAACGGCAATTATTTATGTTTACTATCATTATACAGCAACATTACATCTGAATATACACACAGTACACAATTGCTTAGAGTTATTTGATGCTGCAGTGGTTGTTGGCGGTCCTCCACAGTCGACTGGCAGGTCCGCGTGCGGTGGGGCAAAGTGCAGGTAGCTCCCATCTCTTCCGAGCAATTGCCAGACCGCTACGTTTTGTCACCTTGGGCGATGACAGTTCTTCATTGAAAACCACCGCCACGGTCTTTCACGACCTCCTCAAACTCTGGCATTCGTTCATTCCCAGTTGCCCGCGGATCGCAGGGTCATTGAGAGCCCCGCGGCGGAGGCTTGGGTAGGAGGAGGCCTTCATCCAGCAGTGGATTTAACTTTATTTGATGAATACTATGCGTGACTATTGTTACTCTCCTTCACCGAGTGCCCTATCTGCGAATCCAAACAAGGACCTTCATCTGTAGCCTTCAACCTGCAGCGCCCAAGCCACTGAAAGAGATCAACCCTCTGTTCACTCCGACTTGAGGTCCTTCCCGAAGGCCCATTTCTCTCCAATCAACCCTACCGCACGTCCTTCACAAGGGCCTTCCCGAAGGTCGGTCTCTGTGCAACCCCACAACGAACCTTCACAAGGGCCTTCTTGAAGGTTGGTCTCTCTCCAACTCCACAACGAACCTTCAAAAGGGCCTTCCCGAAGGTCGGTCTCTCTCCAACTCCACAACGAACCTTCACAAGGGCCTTCCCAAAGGTCGGTCTCTCTCCATTCAATCCCACCGCGGGATCTTCACAAGGGCCTTCTCGAAGGTCGGTCTCTCTCACTCGAGGTGCCTTCGCTCGGGTGACGCCCCCCCCCCCCAGAATGACGGCCCCCCCCGAGCGAAGGCCCCCCGAGCGAAGTCCCCCCCCCAGCGAAACCCCCCCCAGCGAAGCCCCCCCCCGAGCGAAGCCCCCCCCCCACGAGCGAAGTCCCCCCCCCCCACGAGCGAAGCCCCCCCCCCCCGAGCGAAGCCCCCCCCCCGAGCGAAGTCCCCCCCCCGAGCGAAGCCCCCCCCTCCCCGAGCGAAGCCCCCCCCCCGAGCGAAGCCCCCCCCCCCGAGCGAAGTCCCCCCCCCCGAGCGAAGCCCCCCCCCCCGAGCGAAGTCCCCCCCCCCGAGCGAAGCCCCCCCCCCCGAGCGAAGCCCCCCCCCCGAGCGAAGCCCCCCCCCTCGAGCGAAGTCCCCCCCCCACGAGCGAAGCCCCCCCCCCCCGAGCGAAGCCCCCCCCCCGAGCGAAGCCCCCCCCCCCGAGCGAAGCCCCCCCCCCGAGCGAAGTCCCCCCCCCCCCGAGCGAAGCCCCCCCCCCCCGAGCGAAGCCCCCCCCCCGAGCGAAGCCCCCCCCCCTCGAGCGAAGCCCCCCCCCCCGAGCGAAGCCCCCCCCCCCACGAGCGAAGCCCCCCCCCCCGAGCGAAGCCCCCCCCCGAGCGAAGCCCCCCCCCCGAGCGAAGTCCCCCCCCCCCGAGCGAACCCTCCCCCCCGAGCGAAGCCCCCCCCCGGAGCGAAGTCCCCCCCCCCCGAGCGAAGCCCCCCCCCCACGAGCGAAGCCCCCCCCCCCCGAGCGAAGCCCCCCCCCCCCGAGCGAAGTCCCCCCCCCCCGAGCGAAGCCCCCCCGAGCGAAGCCCCCCCCACGAGCGAAGCCACCCCCCCCGAGCGAAGCCCCCCCCCGAGCGAAGTCCCCCCCCCCCGAGCGAAGCCCCCCCCCCGAGCGAAGTCCCCCCCCCCGAGCGAAGCCCCCCCCACGAGCGAAGCCCCCCCCCCCCGAGCGAAGCCCCCCCCCCGAGCGAAGCCCCCCCCCCCGAGCGAAGCCCCCCCCCGAGCGAAGTCCCCCCCCCCCCCGAGCGAAGCCCCCCCCCCGAGCGAAGCCCCCCCCCCCGAGCGAAGCCCCCCCCCCCGAGCGAAGCCTCCCCCCCAGCGAAGCCCCCCCCCCGGACTGAAGGCCGGCCTCTGGAAGCCCGGGGATCTCGCGTGAGTCACGCGCCGGAGGTGACGTTGGGAGCAGCAGCAGGAGGGGGGAGAGGGGGGAGGAGGGGGGGAGAGGGGGAGGAGGGAGGAGGCTTCGCTATCAACACGGAGCCCCCTCCCACTCAGCAGTCTCCTCGCAGCGCGCGACCGCTCGCCCCCTGCCCTGGAGCGCGTCCGTGTGAGCAACGAGGTGAGACCACCACCACCATCATCATCACCACCAACAACAACATTAACATCATCGTCGTTACCACCACCGCCTTCATCATCATCACTGTCACCCCGAGCCGCGATTCTTAGACCGTCCGCTCGCCTCTTTCTCCTCTTCGCACGCCTGCCGTGGAGTGCGTCATCACCATCGTTAACATCACCATCATCATCACCATCATCGTTACCATCATCATTATCATCATTACCATCACCACCATTTATACCATCACCACCATGTATACCATCATCATTACCGTCATCGACGACTATTAAACATCATCATTATTAACACCGTCACTCTTCATTACCACCATTGTACAACACTGTCGTAACACTCAGAATCATCGTCGTCGTCGTCACCTTAATTAACATCACCATCACCACCACCATCATCATCACCATCAATCACCACCACCACCACCATCGTCACTCTCGGCAACCCCCACCGGGGAGCCGTTGCGTTGTGCGGCCTTCGAGTGCGCGGAGACGGCGGAGAATCCAGGCGAGGGCGAGGCTCGGGCGCCCATTTTCACGCACTAGGCCCGCCCGTCGGAATGCGTTCGGCTCGCGTCTCACCGCGGCCGAGTTGAATCGTGGCCCCTCTGTGGGCCCTCTGTGGGGCCTTTGTGGGCCCTTTGTGGGCCCTCTGTGGGGCCTCTGTGGGCCCTCTGTGGGGCCTCTGTGGGGCCTTTGTGGGGCCTCTCTGTGGGCTCTCTGTGGGCTCTCTGTGGGGCCTCTGTGGGGCCTCTGTGGGGCCTTTGTGGGGCCTTTGTGGGCCCTCTGTGGGGCTTGTGGGGCCTTTGTGGGCCCTCTGTGGGGCCTCTGTGGGCCCTCTGTGGGGCCTCTCGCGTGCCAGCGAGCTCCCACAGATCACAACCGAGAGGGCACGGGGTGGTGGTGATGGTGTTGGGGGAGTCACTGTGGCCTCACGGTCGATGCGTTGGTGGAAGTTGAGATCTTGCACGTGGTGCTCCGATCGCAAGGTAGAGGATGATGAGGCGGTGGTTGTGGATTAAATATGAAAGCAGGAGACGGAGCGGTGAATTGTTACTAGGGTCGTGGGGGGGGAGGATTTGATCCATTCGGCAGTGGATTGAGCAAGACGGCTGATGATGATCGCGAGAAATAATACCGGCGTAGGGAGGCCTTCAATCCATTCAGCAGTGGATAGATGATGTTGATGGACACATCTACGTCCTCCACATTTGGCGGTCTCTTTATAGGAGTTGGTTTACCGGTTGTTGGTGATGGTGGCGATGGGGTGATGGTGGTGGTTTTGTCGTTGGCAGACTGCTTAGGTTTTCTCAGGTGTGTTTGTACCGAGTGTAATTCGACTGTGTTCCGACGTTTCGCTCCCACTTGCTGTATTGGGAGCATTAAGGCAACTCTTGTGTACATTACATTTCATTCGGGTACACGGCACTCGGTCGAGAACAGAACTCGGCGTTCCCTTGCGTTGATTTTCAGAGCGAGGTACAATCCGATGGCTTTGATTGGGTCCCCCTTTGTGTGAGCGACGACCACGAATTGGCCATCGTCATTCACTGCCGGCGCGTCACAGCCGGGCAAACACAATGGCCCAGGACTTTGAACGAAGGCCGCCGCCACCTGCTTCGGTTTCCACAAGATTCTCACAATGAACCGGAGGCCTCGTGCGACATTGTTGGGCCCCATCATGTCCCCGCGGTCTGGGTCTCACGTAAATTAGTTTGTTTTCTTCTTCAAAATCGCGGTTACGGAGCACTGGCCCCTTGGAGGATTCAAACGCCAAGCTGCCAGCAACAACCAGCACTGTTGGATTATTTTCCGTGGCCTAGTGGCAGGCCCCCCAGTTGGGGCAGGCCCCCCAGTTGGGGCAGGCCCCCCAGTTGGGGCAGGCCCCCCTGTTGGGGCAGGCCCCCCTGTTGGGGCAGGCCCCCCTGTTGGGGCAGGCCCCCCTGTTGGGGCAGGCCCCCCTGTTGGGGCAGGCCCCCCTGTTGGGGCAGGCCCCCCTGTTGGGGCAGGGCCCCTCTTGAGGCGGCTGTGAAGAGTGGGTAATGTTTTTGTTGTTCAACCACTGAAGGCGATGGGAACTGCACGAGGCCCATGTGCCAGGCTACTATAACGAGAGGTGTGAAATTGGACAACGGGGGATGGGGCATTTTAATTACTCGTACCTGGGCACATCCCAACCTCGCCACCACACAGGTCTAAGGCGTCATGACTCAGCTGGTTTATTAAGAGAATATCCGACGGCTGCATTTAAACTCTTGTTATCGGTGTTAAAATGCCTGCAAAAAAATTGACGGATTAGGTCCCCTCAAACCTCACTGAAGACTTAATTGTTCACCGCATGGCACTGTGATTTTTGATAATACAATTCCAAATTCTCATTGTTAATAGACGATGGTGTCTGGTGGCAGGTGAGGGGTGAGTGTCGCATCACCCACAGTCGTAGGGCAGCCTGACCTCAAGTGTACTGTCAAGGCAATGTCACTGTCGTCAACAGTGCTATATCCACTGCTGGATGAAGGCCTCCCCCAAGCCATCGGCATCTTTCACGGTCTTGCGAAGTGGCGGTCCACCCTACTCCAGCCGCGATGATGATGGCCTGTGGTCTGGACTACAGGCCATCATCATCGCCATTCTTAAAAGTCCATTCCAGTGTCTAACATTGTCCTTTGATCCCTGATCCACGTGTTTTTGTAATTACAAACGTACATCTCCCCATGCTTCTTTTCACACTTTTCAGCTTTTTCCCATTTTCCTTGTCACCATTTTCACATTTTTGATCCATAAGTGATAGCGGGTAATATCAAATGTTAGAAACGCATTATTCTTTCATTGCATTGGCATTTTGCTTCTTATCAGGTTTAGTTCTTCTCGAAGCACTCTAACCGGAGAATGACTCTACAGATGCTGCCCCCAGTAGACTGACAGGCATGTATAGTTGCTTAAATAGTATTTATAGACGGTAAAAGCGGCACTAATGTGGCTTGGGGTGCTCGCTGGGTGCTGGGCGTGTGATCGTGGGCAGGGATTGTGTTCAAGTTCAAGTTCATTTATTAGGTATAGCCCTGTGAGCCATTCAGCTCTTGAATCGGGTGCAACCGCAACAAACAAAAACATGAACAAAAAACATCTTAAAGTGAATATGTGACTAAGTGCAAACAGAAAATCCAAGAAAAGACACCGTACACCAACGCTAAGTGATGTGGCCAAGCTGTAGTGCCGTTTGCTGCTCATTGCAGAGGTTTGCTGTTCGAACCCAGATGTCCGCCCTGGTTAACACTGCGGGTGTATCGACTAAAAAATAGTGCGCGCCGTGTGCTTCACAGTGGATGTTACATTTCTCGTGACGTGATTTGAAGGAGAGTAGGCACGTGTGAGGTGACCTCACTGGCCCAAATTTGCCGAGCTTTGAATAATTCTGAAGTTACTTTCAGTTTCATTTATTAGGTATAGCCCTGTGAGCCGTGCGGCTCTTGACTCGGGTGCAACCGCAACAAACAAAAACATGAACAAAGAAAAAAACAGGAAAACAGCAAAATCTTTCATAAAAAAACACCGTATATCCACTTACAGTGGGTAGAAGCCACATTAGCAACATCGCGCACTACTGGTAGACGGCACTTGTCTGTGAAACATCGGCTTTTGTGATTGCTTTCGTGCGGTAAGATTGGTGTGAATACCAAATGTCAGTGCTTGGTGCTGTGGGCGGTGGTGTGTGACGGAGGGGGGGGGAGAGTGAGGAGCGGTAGCGCTGCGCTACAAACCTGGCAACCAGAATTCGATTCCCGCTCATGGCCACCAAACACCATTGAAGATTCTCTGAGCCAGTCCTGGGTCTCTCATAGGTTGACTCAGACTTAAATGAGTACCTGGTTCATTGTGTAAACATCAACACTGCAGAGACGAAGGTGACCGTGCGTGGTGCTGACCACCCACCCCATCATGTGCCATACCGGCCTATCATCGGTGCTCGCTCACCACACTTGCCCTAAAAGTCTGTTAAGGCTACACTGGGGGATCTTTGTCTTTGCGGGGAGAGTGGCAAGAGAGTCGAGGTGCTCGCTGGGTGCGAGGTGATGGAAGTGAGACTTTGGGGGGTGGAGAGTGGAGGAGAGAGAGGCAGACGAACTGGCTAGCCGAGAGCCCTCCCAACAGCGAGCAGCAAACATCGTAAAAAAAAGAACGGGCTGCCCCCCTTGAATGTTTACAGCGGCACCGGAGTAAACACGGCGCAGACGTGATTCGCGGTTTTTAAATCGCAGTTGCTGAGCACAGGCCCAATGGTCCCAGGCAGCAAGCAACAAACAGCACGATGAAAGATGTAAAAGATGAGCGTTAGCGCGTTTATTGACTTGAGCAAGGTTATTGTGAGCGCTTGGGGAAAACAGAAGATGGGAGGGAATTATACTGTGGAGCGGTGAGAGTGGAGAAGCGGAACGGGGGAAGTGTTTGTGGCCTGCAGTGTGGTGGGTGGGTGAGTGGATGGGTGAGTGAGTGGGTGAGTGAGTGGGTGAGTGGATGGGTGAGTGAGTGGGTGAGTGAGTGGGTGAGTGGGTGGGTGAGTGGATGGGTGAGTGAGTGGGTGAGTGAGTGGGTGAGTGGGTGAGTGAGTGGGTGGGTGAGTGAGTGGGTGAGCGTCTTGTTGCGATCCTGAAGTGTGTTGGTTGAAGAGTGTGAGATGAAACAGCCCGGTAGACAGAGTCCTCAACATGGGTGAGTTATACTGGTAGGAACCCACTGGTTCCACCAGCCAACAGGGGATTAATGTGTCCGTCCGTCGTGCAGGGAGGGGCTGGGTGGGGAGAGAGGGGCTGGGTGGGGAGGGTGGGGTGGGGCTGGGTGGGGGGTGGGAGGGGTGGGGCTGGGTGGGGAGGGGCGGGTCACCCCTTGGTGCCCTTATAAAACTCAACGTTTAACCTACTCACGCCGGCTTGTGCCCGCCCTCACAGTCGGGCATATTTGCGGAATACACCACGCCGCCGTTGACCCTGGCCATTGACCGAGCAACCCAACGTTCCTACCAGCTCCCTCCGCAGGAATGTGTTAGTATGTCAGAACGGTAACCGTGGTAGTAGTCGTAAGGATTAGAAGAAAAGTGATAACGAGGCGACTGACCACCAAATGTGTGAGTGAGGACCGAGTTAAGTTGGTGGGTGATTAGGTAGGTGAGTGTCAGTTAATGGGAACGATAACAATGGTAGCAGCAATCAAAGAGTAACAAGGAAGGGACTGTCTGCTTGTAAGCGAGTTTACCAGTGAGCGAGAGGGTTGGTGGATGAGTGGAGTGGGTTGTTGAGTGTCAGTTCACGGGGAAATTTATCATTGTAGTAGCAGTAGAAGAGTGATGAGGAGATGACTGGCCGCTAGTGAGTTACTGGACAGAGTCGGTGAGTGTGCTGGATCCATACTGGATCGTCAATCGATCTGACTGCGTTCCGTTGAGGTCTATCGCTACCGACAGCCCAGAGTTTAGGGTTTTCACTTGGTACAAAGTCAGCATTGAGTTTGCCCAACTTATTAAAGTTTTCATTTTCAAATGCATCTAAAAATTAATGAAATGGTGGTTCAAACTCTTAGGTTTTTTCGGTAAAGTCACGTAGGTAAAAAATAAATAATAAAAATAAATAATTATAGAAAAAATAATCGAAATGGTTCAAAGCTGCAGCCCTGCAATTGCTCAGTGACGCCGCTGCTGTCAGAAGGGCATCCACGAGATGGAGCTCTGCTTTAGGGAGGTCCTCTGGAGCGTGTTTGACCTCCTGTACTCTTCCACGCTGTGTGGGTACAACCACGTTTTACCCCGCCACACGTGACCTGCTGCTCTGCTAACTGTGCTGTGTGCATTTATACCGCTGATAAACTTTTTTCCACTTGCTACAACTGCCGCGCCGGGAGATGGAATCAAACCGGCGGCAACCTCTCGATTTCAAGTGCAGTGTACGCTGTTGACCCTCGCACCACGGCAGCGTGCTACGAACGTGAACACAACTTTGCATCCCCTTCGAGGCGTACGCAAGAAGATCTGTGTTGTTGTAGCCCTCGTCGTTGCTACAGCACATTCCACCGCAGTGACTCAGTGCCGGAGGGTCTAAATTTAGCCGGCTGAGAGGCAGATTTATAAGGCAAAATAAAAAACACATGCTTCCCGACAGGCCACTCTGCACGGCACCACCACCACCCTACTCGTGTTTACATCTTCACGGGCGAGAGAGGTGCCGCCGCTAGTTCAACGCCGAGCTGCGGTGAACGCCGCGACCGACCGACGATGGGACGTGTTGTCGGTCGGTAGTTTTGTGGGCAGGATGAGATAAATCCGACCTCGGGTTGTTAACTGTGATGAACGGTCGAATAGCCCCGCATGTGCAGAAGAGATTGCCTACTCGTGCAGGCTTATTTTGGAATTTTGCTTTTGAATATATATATTTTTTTCTGAGGTTACGGGAGTTGAAATTGCCACGGGCTGGGCCTGCCCGGCCTGGTTTTGATGAAGCTGTTATTATTGTTATGGTGGTCGTGGTGGTGTTGATGAAGATGTCGATGTGTTCATCTGCTCATGGTGTTGATGATCACATTGAGAATGATGTGATATTATTGCACATTGCTCGTGTCTCCCGGGCGGATTAAATAGCCAGGAATTGGTTTCAGTGGTTGTGCGGTTGACTGATTTTCACAGTGGTTCACTTTTTTTGTCGTGGTTATGATTATAATAATTCTGATGTTGCAATGCCGTTGATAGTATGATCTGACTAAGGTAACGTGATGATGGTGTTGACTATGAGCGTGTTGTTAATTTGATGATAATAATGATGGGACTGATATAATGATGATGGTGATGGTGTTGATACGTATGTTATTGACGCAGTGATGTTAATGTTAATGATGATAATGTTGATTTGACAATGGTGATGATGATGGTATTGTAATGATGTTAACTGTTGTGACGGTAATGAAGACAATGATTATGATCGTCTTGTTTGGCTGATGTTGTTGTAGAGCAACATTTATGATTTTACTTTGATTTGATAATAGAAGTGATAATTGCGTCATGAGTGTGTCGCCGTGACGATGCCTACTTTGTGTTTGTGAATCGGACAGCGAGTTATTATATTGTTCCATGGTGTGTTCTGGGTGACCACAGTCGCACACTGGAGACATTTAAATTTGGTGAGAAAAACAATCGGCATTACCCTTTCCGAAAATAATACATCAGTTGCGAAGATGTTCAACCATCAAATATTGCAAGGCATACGTGTCTGCATTAACGACACAAAGCACACGTGCTTGGATAATAATGTGAGCATTGTCTTTGAAAATGATTGGTCTACACCCAGAGATAGCCTTCTTTATGGCTTACACTCACCAGTGTTAAACCAGGGAATGCCAAAAGGTGAACAGCAGAAAGACAATGCTAAGTTCAAAGCATCAAAAGCTCGGGTTGAGTAGTTGTATCTAGGGGGACCCCTTTTTGCCGGCATCAAATGTTTTAAAAAATAACAACACGCTTTACCCTTCCCGGCAATAATACAGGAGGCGTTAGACGCCATATTTCAAGGCACCGGATGAAACATTTTCCATTTGTGCATCGTCAGGTATCCACGTCTGCCGTGGTTTGTGCGCGGATGTAAGTGTAGGGTTGTGGCCGATAAGCTTCGCCAAAGCCAGTGATGTTCTGCGTCGAATATTTTACGAGCTTGTGTTGCCTCCGAAACGTCGTGATTTTTATTTTATTTTTACTTTACTTTTATTAATTTTAATTTTTTACCTACGTGACTTTACCGAAAAAACCTAAGAATATGAATCCTTGCAGTCACGAAAGCTTCAAATCTAGAATTTTACGAGCTGTTTGTGACTTCTTGTGAACTCCTATTTGGCTTTCCAAGCATCCGTCATTGTGGTGGTGTTGATGTTGATGATGTTAATGATGTTGTGAATGACGCTGGCTGCGCTGTGCGGTAGGTGTGCGCGGAGCCAGTGAGCGAGGTGAGCGAGCCGCCTTGCGGCGCCATGAACAGTCAGGGCTCGGACCTGAGCGAGGAGGAGGATGCAGATGGCTACGGGGAGGATGAGTACGAGCAGGTAACTTGCCTCCCTGCTCCCTGACTCGCCCACTCACTCGCCCACTCACTCGCCCACTCACTCGCCCTCTCACTCGCCCTCTCACTCGCCCTCTCACTCGCCCTCTCACTCGCCCTCTCACTCGCCCTCTCACTCGCCCTCTCACTCGCCCTCTCACTCGCCCTCTCACTCGCCCTCCCACTCGCCCTCCCACTCGCCCCCTCTCTCGCCACCTCACTCGCCCTCTCACTCGCCCTCTCACTCGCCCTCCCACTCGCCCCCTCACTCGCCCCCTTTCTCGCCCTCTCACTCACCCCTCACTCGCCCTCTCACTCGCCCTCTCACTCGCCCCCTCTCTCGCCCTCTCACTCGCCCTCTCACTCGCCCCCTCTCTCGCCCTCTCACTCGCCCTCTCACTCGCCCTCTCACTCGCCCTCTCACTCGCCCTCTCACTCGCCCTCTCACTCGCCCTCCACTCGCCCTCTCCCTCGCCCTCCCACTCGCCCCCTCTCTCGCCCTCTCACTCCCCCCTCACTCGCCCTCCCACTCGCCCCCTCTCTCGCCCTCTCACTCGCCCTCCCACTCGCCCCCTCTCTCGCCCTCTCACTCACCCTCCCTCTCGCCCTCTCACTCGCCCTCTCACTCGCCCCCTCTATCGCCCTCTCACTCACCCTCCCACTCGCCCCCTCTCTCGCCCTCTCACTCACCCTCTCACTCACCCACTCACTCGCCCTCCCACTCGCCTTCTCACTCGCCCTCTCACTCTCCCACTCGCCCCGTCTCTCGCCCTCTCACTCACCCCTCACTCGCCCTCTCACTCACCCACTCACTCACCCTCCCACTCGCCCCCTCTCTCGCCCTCTCACTCGCCCTCCCTCTCGCCCTCTCACTCGCCCACTCACTCGCCCTCCCACTCGCCCTCCCACTCGCCTTCTCTCTCGCCCTCTTGCCCTCTCTTCAAGGAGCATAAATCATCGCGTAAACTCCAGTCATCCTCGCAGGGACTTTTTACAAACCATCGGACAAAGACGGTCACTGCATCGCACGCTTTAAGATGCGCTTCTGCGGCTGTCTGGAACGCCCTTCCTATATAAGGAATCCACTGGAGCTCTGCACTTATAAATCTCGATGGGAAAATGTTTTCTTTAGAACTGCTTTTCGTGTTTAGTTTGTTGTCCTTCCCCAGCACCTCCGATTTGCACGGTTGGCTATGTACGGTGCAAAAGACGTTCTACATACGTACATACACTCACCCATTCCCTCCCTCGCTCACTCACTCTCTTGTGTATGTACTCGTCCGCTCGCACTTCCTAATGAGCACCTGGTGTGGTGCTTAAACATCAGCACTGGGTTTAGACAAAGGCTGCCGTGTGCGGTACTGGTCACACCCCCCACTCGGGCTTAATAGGTGCTCGCTAACAGCACTTGCCTCGACAGTCTGTGTGGGGAGGTGGATACACGGGAGATCTTTGTCTTTACCTTTGCATGCGCAGGGCGACATCCGTGACTACTACGAGGGGGTGGACGGGGATGTGGACGACGTGGACGACGCGACCTTTGACCCCGAGGAGTACGAGTTCTCGTGCCTCTCGCACCGCGAGGCAGAGCGCCTCCTCTCCGACCTGCAGGGCAAGGCGGCCGCCACCCTAAAGGTGAGGTCACGGGCAGGGTCACGGGCAGGGTCACGGGCAGGGTCACGGGCAGGGTCACGGGCAGGGTCACGGGCAGGGTCACGGGCAGGGTCACGGGGTCACGGGCAGACTCACGGGCAGGGTCACGGGCAGGGTCACGGGCAGGCTCACGGGCAGGGTCACTGGCAGGGTCACGGGCAGGGTCACGGGCAGGGTCACGGGCAGGGTCACGGGCAGGGTCACGGGCAGGGTCACAGAGAGGGTCACGGGGCAGTGTGGGCAACTCGGCAATATTGTCACCAGATCTAGTGAGTTTTTGGGTTTACCTAGCGGCTAAATGGTTGTCAAAGCGAATAGTGACATCTAGTGACTTACTTTGAGGTTCGTTGGGCTACTTTCTCCTTGAAATAGGTGGTAGCACTATGACGGGATGATACAAGGAGGCATCGGGCTGTGGAGCATGTCAGAAACAGTCACGTGGGTCAGAGGGGTTCAGAGAGCAGACGGGTGTATAGAGCAGACAGTAGGTCTGAGAGGGGACACGGGGTCATGGAGTGAGAGACACTAACTCTGGTTGCCCGAGTTACCCAGGCATGTGCCTGTGTTTATGTTTATGCTGCCGTGTCATCTCGCCCGCCAGGTTCAGCCAGATGTTGCCAAGCTGGTGCTGGTGGCATGCCAATGGCGCTTGCACGACATGATGGAGAGGTGGGTCCATGCGCTGACCCGCGCCATCGCACGCAACGACCGTTGCGCGTCGCTTCGTCTTCGGGAAACGTGATGTCAGAAGGAAACTGGGCCCGATAGTTGTGCAAAGCATAGACAAAAAACACACGTCATTGGCCCGCGCCAGATGATAATGGAGTCAACCTTGCCGCCCGGCCTCCAGGATTATTTGGAGCGAGCGTCGTGCAACGATCCACACTGGAGCGCCGCCGCGTCTCTTCCCAGGGACGGATTGAGTTGCGTGGCGATATCGCAGGTGTCGTCGTCACGGCCGCCGGTCCGCATCGCGGCTAAGTTTAGCCAGAGCCGTGCAGTGTTTGCCGGCCTGTGGGGGGCTCAGCTTACCGCGTGCACAGCGGGGGGGGGGGCAGAGGGGGTTGGGGGGTGGATTGTCGTCGAAGGGGTAGGAGAGGCTCAGCTCTCCGTCGGGTGTTCAGGTTGTGCCGCGTGTTGTTCGGCGTGATGTCTGATGTTTCGCTCCCGCGTTCAAACGAGGGGCGGGGGGTGGAGGCAGGGGTGGTTTTGGAATTTTTTTCGAGGGAGCCACCCATTCTTGGTTGAGTGGGGGGGCTCGTGAAATGTGGGGGCGGTAGAGACATTTTCACGGCCAGTGGAAGCAATGCTGGTTAGGTACCAGCGTCAGAAACCATTTCTGTGTGGAACGCGTGTGTGGCGTGGCGCATGTGTTGTGTGGGTGCTGCCCATGTGCCGCATGTGTGCTGCCGTGCTTTTCACGCATGTGCCACGTGTGTGGCACTCGTGCGACGCGTGTGTTTTGTTGGTGGTGTGTGTGCGCGACGTAGCATGTGTTGTGTCGGTGCCGTGTGTGTGACGCCACTTGTGCTGTGTTGTGTATCGGTAGGCACAGGACAAACCCACGCCAGCAATTCATCGAGGCCAAGGTCCTGCCTGGACAGACCAAGGCCGTGAGTCTCTCCTTCACTCGCCTCTCCGCAGGGTCGCTGCTGCTGCGGTGCAGTACAACGAATATTACCGCGTTCTCTGGATTGTAAGGTGTTCCGGAGAGCAAGACGCGTCCCCAACTTTTGCCTTGGCATGTGTACAGGGGAAAAAAAAATTGTGTCTTCGTAATGCAGAGAATAATAATAGTTCAGTGCATTTGGTGTTCGCTCCGTTGTTATTGTAGAGGACCATGATGAGAGCGCTGTTCTTCACAGACGGATTCAGTCTTCCACAAGGCAGCAATGTTGCTGTTATCCTAGTGGAGTAATTTGCAGTGTAATTTTTATTATTTAGCAATTATTGAACCATTACGCCAACACAATGACCTATTCCTTATGAATGATGTCACGTGATCTTTAACATCCACTGAGTCAAGCGGACGGTTCATGCCTGCATGGCTAATCCATACCACAGTATTAACCGGGGTGGCCGACTGTGAACCTTTGCACCAAGCGGCAGATGTACTACAACTGGCTGGTACTCGCATTCGTAGCCGCCACATAATCCGATGTGGGTTTATATCGCGTATAATTGGGGTGCCGTTGTGGCTGTGCAGTAGTACGTGGGTTCAATCCCTTCCCTGATGTTTGGAGTTAACGCATTTTCCCCGCGGTCACGTGGATTATTCTCCGGGTTTTCCCTCCAGATTTATAACCATACTTTAATATGATTGGGCTCGAACTATATATTTCCACATGGTGATCAGCCACTTCGAAGAGCTATCAAGTGTGGCCAGGTTATCTCTTCAAAAAAGAGCTCGTAGCCCAGTGGGCTTGACCTGGTAAATAAAAAGTTTTTACTTGAAGTGTCACGGGGTAATTGTTTTTTTACCCTTCCATCTGGCAACAAAACTGACACCTTTTGCGCCTGGCACCTATTGCTCCTTTTGGCGTGATCTGGTCCAACCCATGTGAGACTAGGCTCTAAGGAAAGCTGTCTCGGGTGTGGACCAATCAACTTCAAGGACAGTGCATACATTATCAGAGTTATTTTTGTTTGCGTTATGACTGCAGGTATTGTGGTCTATGCAAACATGACTCCTTGTAAAAAGGGTGTCAGTTTTGTTGCCAGATGGAAGGGTAAAAAAACAATTGTCACGGGGTAGTCGAGGGCTCGGTGTGCGTCTGCGTGCGACGATGGCCTCGTGTGACGCGTTTCCCCCCCGCGCCTCCTCCAGCCGAGCGGCACGCAGGGCCAGCATTGCGGCGTCTGCCTGCAGCCGACGCGGCGCGAGACCCTGATCAGCCTCGCCTGCCAGCACGCGTACTGCAAGGCATGCTGGGAGGAACACTGCCGTGTGCTGGTGCGAGACGGCGTGGGCGTCGGTGAGTCCGGGGCGGGTGGCTGGACGGGCGGGCGGACAAGGAAGTGGGGCGGACAAGGGAGTGGGGCGGACAAGGGAGTGGGGCGGACTGAGCTTGACGCCGTGTGAAGTGCGGTATCCAAGGGTGGGACGGTCCACTGACCAGTTGCATAAAACACCTGGAGTGGAAAATCTCCCTGACTTCCTGGATTTTTATTCTGACTTCTTTGATCCTGATGATGCTTGGCGTAGTTTCCAACGAAGCATCGTAGCTAATTGCTGAGAAATTTGGTTTGTGAGAAGTGTTCTGCAACTCGCCCACGGTTAACGAGCTGACGCAGTGGTAATGGGCGCGTTGTTAAACGCTTGTACGCCCCTCCCGCGTGACAGTCTGTTTGGTTGTGTCGGGTGGTGGAGGGTCTCACATTTTTTTTAGCCCAGATCATTACGTGGCCTAACCCAATAATCATCTGAATCATGGTGTTGGCTGAGAAAACCTACATGTTTATGTACCTTCTTGGTTCTTTCGGTAAAGTCACGTAGAAGGGAAATAATAAAATAATAAAAATAAAACATAATAAATTAATATAGTGAGAATTATTTTATGTTTTATTTTTACTATTTTTATTATTTCCCTTCTACGTGACTTTACTGAAAGAACCAAGAAGATGAATCCCTGCAGTCACTATGGCTTTAAATCGAAATGTTTATGTACATTTGGATATGTCTGCATGTGCATATGTCTGTGTATGTGGGGAGCGGTAGTAGAGTGGTAGGCACACTGCGCTACAAACCCGGTGAAACCCAATTTCGAATCCTGCTCAAGGCCAGCATCGGTGGTGAACAATTAGACCGGTCCTGGGCTTCCCTCGAGTTGACTCGGCCTTAAAACCTGTATTTGGCGCGGTGTGTAAACATCAGCACCGGGGCGACAAAGGCAGTCGGGCGTGGTCCTGGCCACCCCCCCGCACCCCCTTGTCCACCGTTGCGGCCTTTAGCAGGGTCCCCATCCCCGATCACCACGCTTGGCTACGAACAGTGCGAAAAAATTTACACCATTGGAACCTCATTTGCCAGTAAAAAATATGATAATTGGTTTTTTACCCTTCTATCTGGCAACAAAACTGACACCTTTATTACAAGGAGTCATGTTTGCATAGACCACAATACAGTGCCTACATTATCAGAGTTATGTTTTTTGTTTGCATTATGACTGCAGGTATTGTGGTCTATGCAAACATGACTCCTTGTAATAAAGGTGTCAGTTTTGTTGCCAGATAGAAGGGTAAAAAAACTATTATCAGTGCGAAAGAAGTTCAGCATACTTACATAAGTGCCCGCGAACAGCACTGGCCCCGACAGTAGGCGTCTTGGTGGGGGGTGTCTGTGTGCTAACACCCACATGTGTGTGTGAGTGTGTAGGTATCTCCTGCATGGCCCATGATTGCCACGTGCGTGTGTGTATGTGTGTGAGTGTGTAGGTATCTCCTGCATGGCCCGTGATTGCCACGTGCGTGCCCCAGAGGACTTTGTCTTCCCCATGCTGGGCGAGGGGGAGCTGCGCGACAGATACCGCAGGTTCCTCTTCCGCGACTACATCGAGGTGTGCAGCCACACACATCACCACCTACGACCGCCACCATCACCACCACCACAGCAAAACCACCGCCGTCATCGTCAATACCGCCACCATAGTCGTAACCACACCACCACTACCGCAGCGACACCGTCTTCATCTTCATTACCGCCACAACCGCCATCGCCACACTACCACCACCAGCGTTGCCACTATTGCAGCAACGCCACTGTTGTCATTACCTCTACAATGCCGTCACTACAACTACAATCGCAACAATACCACCACCATAACCACCACCACTACAGAAACACTACCACGTCATCGTCATGTCCACTCATCATACGAACAGATCCAATCAGTCCCACGTGACAGCCACGCGTGTCGCACAGGGCTACGCGTCGTGCGTTATGAACTGCGTTATGAATTGGCGCGCATGGCGTGCGGTGTGCGTGCTGCTGTGCAGTCGCACTACCAGCTGCAGATGTGCCCGGGGCCCGACTGCCCCGTGGTCATCCAAGTCGGGGAGCCCAAGGCGAGACGCGTGCAGTGCAGCCGCTGCAGCCACGCGTTCTGGTGACACACGCACCGACACATACACACCTGCACATAAGCACCCGACATACGCATCCGCACACACACACCCACCCACACACACACACCTGCACACACACACCTACACATACACACCCGCACATACACACCCACACACACACGCCTGCACACACGCACCTGCACATACACACCTGCACATACGCACCTGCAGATACGCACCTGCACATACACACCACACATACACACCTACACACACGCACACCTACACACACGCACACCTACACATACGCACACCTACACGCACACATACTTTCACACACGCGCACCCGCACAAGACAAAGACGAAGATCCCCTGTATAGTCTCAACAGACATTTGGGACAAGTGCTGTGAGCGAGCACCTATGAAGGCCGGCACAGCACACGTGGGGGTGGGTTGCCAGCGCCACGCCCGTCGCCTTTGTCTCCCCAGTGGCGATGTTTACAAACCACACCTGGTACTCATTTAAGTCTGAGTCGACCTAGGGGAGGCCCACGACCGGTTCCACTTACACACACACACACATGCACACAAAGACGAGGTTCATTGATGAGACAGGGATACTCCATATGAAGCCTTTTGCAGACTGTTGGGGCTAAGGGGGTGATGTGGTCAGAACCACCGTAGCCACTGGGGAGACGAAGTAGTGCACCTGGTGAATTCGTCCTGCGTGTGTATGTGTGTGATAGCTGCGTGTGTGAGTAGCTGCGTGTGTGAGTAGCTGCGTGTGTGAGTAGCTGCGTGTGTGAGTAGCTGCGTGTGTGAGTAGCTGCGTGTGTGAGTAGCTGCGTGTGTGAGTAGCTGCATGTGTGAGTACCTGCATGTGTGTGTATCTGCATGTATGATAGCTGCATGTGTGAGTAGCTGCGTGTGTGACAGCTGCGTGTGTGAGTAGCTGCATGTGTGAGTACCTGCATGTGTGATAGCTGCATGTGTGTGTATCTGCGTGTCTTTTTTGTGTCTAACTTTACACGTCTCTGTCTTTGTATGTGCGTGTGTTTTCAACTCTGCAGTGCCCGTGTGCAACTCGTGTGTGTGTGTGTCTGCTGTGCCGGTGTGTAGCTTTAAGTGCCGGCATATGTACCACGCTCCCACGGACTGCAACACGATCCGCCGGTGGCTCACCAAGTGTGCCGATGACTCGGAGACTGCCAACTACATCAGCGCGCACACCAAGGATGTGAGTGCGGTGCCCATTGTGGTGCCAGGTACCGTGCCCAGTGGCGCTAAGTGGGGTCGGTGCTAAGCGCGTGGCGCGCGGCGCAGTGATCAGTATGTCGCACTCGGTGTGGTGCCCAATGTGGTAAGACCATTGGTGCTGATCGTGATCGTGCGGTTCTCAGTGCTGTGCGTGTGTTGTTGTGCCGGTGCGTGAGACTTCACCGTTGCCTCTGCGTGCATTGTGTTTGCTGCTTTGTGTGTTCTCACTCTGTGTTGCTGTGCCCCACAGTGTCCCAAGTGCAATATCTGCATTGAGAAGAACGGAGGCTGTAACCACATGGTGAGCGACGTCTTGACGGCGGCCTTGGCACGACCGCGCGGTTTTAAGGGTAACGACGCTCGAGCTAAATGTGCTTCGGTAACCTCAGCACCTCGCGATGGAAGCACTAATTGAGTTAATGTCTCCTAACGAGCTGTTCTGCTCCCTTCCCTCCACCCGCTCCGCCCTGTCCCCCCCCCCCCTCCTCTTCCGTGTGTCTCAACTGGCCGCCTCCACGCGGAACCACAGCAATGCTCCAAGTGCAAGCACGGTGAGTGGTGCACGGCTCTTGCGCATTACCCAGTGGGTCGACGTGTCTCTACCACCACCATCATCATCACCACCACCATCATCACCACCACCACCACCATCATCATCACCACCATCATCATCATCACCACCACCACCATCATCAGCTGGGTGCTGGTGGCTCCGCACGCCCGTAAACCAGCACGGCCGCATGGCTCGGCTGTAGAGCGAGCGGCTCGCAATCGGAAGGTGGCGAGTTAAAATGCTGGTTGGGAGTCGACTGGACCCATCATCCCTCTGTCAGGGGAAATTCAGACTCTGAATGTTTAATTATTCTGGAGAAATTCGATGGGCTATGAAGCACTGGCATTTAATGCCAGCACTGGCATTAAACAGGGCGGTAAGCAGGAGGTGAGTAACCTCAAAGCTCATTCGAGCAGCGGGAAATCTCTCTTGTTCTAATCCAGCACCGTGGAGGGCGGCGGGTTGGCGGATCGTAAGTGTCGCCGCCGCTGACTCGCCCGCCATCCGCTGTGCGCGCAGACTTCTGCTGGATGTGCCTGGGCGACTGGAAGACGCACGGCAGCGAGTACTACGAGTGCAGCCGCTACAAGGAGAACCCCGACATCGTGAACCAGAGCCAGCAGGCGCAGGCGCGCGAGGCCCTCAAGAAGTACCTCTTCTACTTCGAGAGGGTGAGGGGGGGGCGGAGCGAGAGGGGGCACGGGTTACTCCACCGGTGGGAGATGGAGCGCGGTTTTGGAGGTCGATCGGTGGTGGGCGTCGCCGTCGGAGGGTGGCGGTTAGGTCAGAGGGCAGCAGAGGTTCACCGAGATCTCTGGAAAACGGTAGCGTAGCGGTTAGCGCACGCTGCGCTACGAACCTGGCCACCCGAGTTCGATTCCCACTCACGGCTGACGCCAGTGACAATTATCTGAACCGGTCCCGGGCCCTCCCCTAGGTCTACTCTGCCTCTACGAGTACCTGGTGCGATGTGTAAACACTGCCACTGGGGAGACAAAGGCAGTCTGGCGTAGTGCTGGCCACCCACCCCTTAGTGTGCCGTGCCTGACTTCATAGGTTCTCGCTAACAGCACTTGTCCCAGCAGACTGTTAAGGCCATACGGGGGGGATCTTTGTGTTTTTATTTGTCCACTCAGTGGGAGAACCACAATAAGAGCCTGCAGCTGGAGGCCCAGACGTACACGCGTATCCAGGAGAAAATAACGGAGCGCGTGATGAACAACCTGGGCACGTGGATCGACTGGCAATACCTCCAGAATGCAGCCCGCCTGCTCGCCAAGGTGGGCACTGCTCACCCACTCGCTCACTCACCAACCTGACCCTCACCCTCGCCATCACACTCACCTGCTCACCCACCTGCCAAACCTCGTTCTTATCCACACCCGGTTCCTTAGCCTCACCTGCACCCTCACCATCCAACCGGCCTGCTCACCCACTCGCCAACCCTCCTCCCCTGCACCCTCACTATCCGCCCCCACCTTCTCACCCACTCGTCATCTCAACTCGTCCACAACCTTCACTCTCGCCCACCTGCCAATGCTCCTCATCCACACGCTCACCTGCACCCTCACACCACTACTGACCCTCATCTCACCTGCACCTTTCTGCCCCACCCCCGCCACCACACCAGCTCTCACCCCCCACTGCCCTTTCACCCGTCTTTGTGTTTGTGCATTCCTGTGTTGTTCACGAGCCCCCATGTGCCCGTGTGTGTGTGTATGCAGTGCCGGTACACACTGCAGTATACCTACCCTTACGCGTACTACATGGAGGCCGGGCCACGCAAACGACTTGTGAGTGACAACATCGTCCTCCCCTCCTCGCACACCCAATAGGCGCTTGCAGCACCGTCCACCCGGTCGCGCTCCTGCCACACGCGCGCGCGTTGGCTTCCACCAACGTACGAGTGTGCGTCCGTTTGACAGAGGGAGTGATGGTCTGTGCCAAGCGGTGGGGCGCTGTGGTTGGCACTACACTGCGCCCCAAACCTGGCGACCGATGTTCGATACTCGGCCGTGAGCGATAATCTGAACCGAATCTGGGCCCTCTCCACGTTCGACTCGAACTTTAATGAGTCCCTGCTGCTGCTGTGTATGAAAAAAAAACGTGGACGCTGGGGAGACAAAGGCGGGTCACTGCATCACACTGCTTTCAGATTCGTTTCTGCGGCCGTCTGGAACGCTCTTCCTTCCGATATTAGGAAGCCACTGAAGCTATGCACTTTTAAATCATCATCTAGATTGAAACCTCATTTCTTTAGAACTGCTTCTTGTGTTTAGTTTTTGTCCCTCCCCCACACCGGCGGATAGCACGGTTAGCTACATCAACATACATACAGGCAGCGGGCATGATGTCAACTACACCGTGTGCTTGTTTGCCACGCCTGCCTTCGTAGGTGCTCTTACAGATCTTGCCTTATCAGTATGTACATTTTACAGGGGGTCTTTCTGTAACTGTGTGTGTGACTGATGTAACTGTGTGAGGCAGTGTATGTGTCCTTTGTGTCTTACATGTATGAACCGTTTGCATGTGTGTGTCCGTCCGCCTGTATGCAGTTCGAGTACCAACAGGCACAGCTCGAAGCCGAGATTGAGAACCTGTCCTGGAAGGTGGAGCGAGCAGACAGCTACGATCGCGGGGTGAGCGCTTTTACACGCAGTGCCCTTGTGTCACTCCACTGCTGGATAAGGGCCTTCCCGCCACTCCGTGTGGGCCGTGGACATTGTTTGACGTTACTTCACCAGGCGGGTCAATGTTCGTTTTTGGCGAAGGCGTGGAGCATTGGCGTGGTAGCGTACAAGTACGGGACTACTGCTGCCTGCCGTGTAGCTATATTATAATATTATAATCAGCTGCTATCCGTGGTGGTCGCCCATCCAGACGGTATATCTAGGCTCAACGCTGCTTAGCTTCCGCGCCCTGACACCAGGCACTTTCTAGTTGGTTGGGTCATACACATTAATGATGATGATGAAGGTAAAGGTGCAACCCTGCAACGGCTCGTTCACGCCACTGCTAGCATAAGAGGGCATATGGCCTACTCTTCCAGGCTGGCCACACGGCCCAAAAGAGGTGGGTGCACCCATGCGCGACCTCCCGGTCGACTAACTGCGGTTGCACACTGCTGGATGGACAGCGGACGCAGTGGGGAGGGATTTCAGAAACCTGCCCCATTGTTTCAACTGCCATTAACACCACGGCAGTCAGCTGATGCAGGATGTTGATGCTAACGGTGTTAATGATGAGGGCGATTGTGATTGTGTTCGTTTGTCATCAGGACCTTGAGAACCAGATGAACATCGCGGAGAAGAGGAGACTCACGCTGCTCAAAGACTTCCACGACATGTCCTGAGTGACACAGGGAATGCACGCACACACCACCCCCACTCGCGTGTAAGCACACATGCCGAAACACGCATTCACGCCCACTCCAGTGTGTGAAGACGCCAGCACACACATACACACCTGTTGGAACGCACAAACACACCTATGGCCACACCTGCCGGAGTTGTGTCAAAGACCCCGACGCACGGCACACACACCCGAACTCTCTTGCCACACGCACACCCGACTTGCGCACTCATGCCGGCACGTGCGCGCAGCGCGCGCCGTCACAAACCCACATCGGAATGCATCGACGCTCGCGTCAGCATTACCGACTGGCGACCGCACTCTTACACGCGCGCCCTCCTGACCTTGCGCCCGTGCGGCACGCGCGCCACTGCTCCCAGCGCGTGCGTAAGCGAGAGTTTCCTCGCCCACCTTGTCTCTGTTGCGCGCGAGTGAGCGCGGCACGGTGCAAAGATAAGGTTCTCGGGGGAGAGAAGCATGGCACCACCTCGAGACCCCCCTCCCTCCTGCCTCTCGTCCCTGCTACCGCTTTTCCACTGCACAACTTGAGCCGCGCCGGGGCCTTGCTGAGCCAAGCCCGGCACGGTTCGGGACGGCGCAAGATGGAGGCGCTAACCGCTGACGTTGCACGCAGCGAACGAGTCATTCGCCCTGTCCCTGGGCAAAGTTTTTAATGGTTTGGGTCTGGCTTGGCTTGGCAATTGGCCAGTGGAAAAACCTACCCGTACCACGAGGGGGACCAGTGCTGGCTCTGATCGGATGTGCCAGTGGGAAAAAAGGTATAACTTGTCCTTGGGAGCCCACCGACCCTCCTCGCCACCTACAACCGGATCCTGACCCTCAAGCCAGATACAACCACTGAGCGGAGTCAAACAGTCCACACACGTAGGGGGCTCTACAAGGGTGGAGGGCTATTGATCTCGGGCCACCAAATAACCTGGTTTGGCCAAGACAGTCCTGGTGGTTTCAGAAACACTGCACCAGTAGTCCCCTCCCATCCCCCGCCCCCAATTTAACCTCTCAGTGGACAGACTGCTGGCTTCATTTGTGTGTTAAATGAAGCCACCATGCGTGCGATCCCCTTGACTACAGCTCCTCCACACAGTTAAACCCACTTTCTGTGCTACCCTCTCGGCTACAGCTGCCCATCGCCTTGGCTACAGCTCCTCATCGCAGTAGATGCTGCCCTGCTTCTACTAACATCTGCGGCATCATCACAGCCCCCTATCATGTGGAGTCTGTCAGACCCCCAAAATTTGTAAAATGCCCCTCCCCCCCAGTCCCCCAGCCAACCTCTTGGGGGGGGGGGATCCCCCCCTTGCAATACCCAAATCCTCCCCCCCCCCCCCCCATCGGTCTGAGTTGTGATGTCGGTGCAGCTGGGCATGCTGCCGTTTCTGACGTCGCGTGGGCGATTTGATGTCTCCCGCTCTGCACCGAGAGGGTTCGTTGGGGTTTAATTTTTCATTATTGTTACTGTATTATTATTTTTCTTGTTTTTGTTTGTATTCGCAGGTTGTACTAATTTATAGCGAATTAAAAAAAACGAAATAAACCTTGTACAAATTTTATCGCGAGCTTTGTCCCGTCCGTGTGCGCGTCTTGACTCGCAGGTCTGACCCAGACAGTGGACATGGACACCTGCCGAGGTGGGAGGAGGGTAGGGGTAGTGTTGAAATTTCAAGCTCTTTAATTTAACCAGGGCCCTACTTTGTTCACCGCTTGTTGCTGGGCTGCGTGGTCGTAATCTGGCAGGCTGCCCCGGTAATTACCGCGGGTGCGCGTCAACCACGCGAGACGCTGCGCGCCGTCTCCTTCACAGCGGCGGACGTTTCGGATCGCCGTGATGCTGTTCGAGATGAAGTCTGACACCGTGTACGGGCGTCGCGGTCAACGTGTGAAAAATTGCTCCGCGGATGACTCGTTTGGGACGACTACAGCAGCAGGAGCATCGCCCCTGCTGCTGGTGGAGGACTCCCGTGTGTGGAAGGGTGGTCAACGTCGCCCTGCGGCCCGATACGAAATGTCACCAATTTATTAATTTGACAAATTCAATCTGTTTTTACCGGTGGTTGTAGGGTTGTATTAACGCCCATTTCTTATGTCCCCTGATCCGCCACTGTTTTGGCGGCTCCCGCCAGGGTTGCGATTTCCGCATGGAAAATGCGGAAGGAGGGTTCAAATTTTCCCGCATTTTTGCTAAAGTCAACCGCAAACGGTGGAAAGACTACTCCTATGACCGCGCGCTTTTAACAACACGTTAATGCGTTCTATTGGAAAGGATACATGCAAGGCCCAGCATCACGTAGGGCTTTGAGTTACTGATTGGAATGAATATATGATTTCCGCATTTCCGCACAAGAACCACATACTTTATTCAAATGCGGAGCCGTGATTACGAGCACATGTACATGATGTATCCTTTCCAATAGAACGCATTAACGTGTTGTTAAAAGCGCGCGGTCATAGGAGTAGTCTTTCCACCGTTTGCGGTTGACTTTAGCAAAAATGCGGGAAAATTTGAACCCTCCTTCCGCATTTTCCATGCGGAAATCGCAACCCTGGCTCCCGCGTGAAACCCGAGGCCGATCGGGGGAACAATGAGTCACTCCCTCCCAAGCCTCGTGTTCCCTCCCGTCACGTTCCATGGGGGGCGGGGTGGGGAGAAGTGTTTATTAAAATCAGGAGTGGGGAACCCTTTTTTCTGCGAAGGGCCATTTGGATATTTATAACATCATTCGCGGGCCATACAAAATTATCAACTTAAAAATTAGCCCGTTATATTTGCTCAAACATTTAATTAACTCGCCCCTACTGCGATGGCTGTAACTGCTTCTCTTTGGCGAGGCGTGTGATGTTAGCTGGTGTTGATGATGTTGCTGCTACTCGCAACTGCTTGTACAGGTTTGCTCCTAGATTTATTGCATTTCGAGTCCCGCCTGCGGTTGCCTTGGCAGGGCCAGGACGTTCCCCACCCCTGATCAAAATCGTCACGGCTGGCAGCCTCAAGCCCAGCGGTGAACAATCCACATCTCTATGGCGCACGCCGCTGTGAAATAACTGCAAGGTGGTACGCGTTCTATCCACCCTCGTGACCGGGATTGTGAGTTCTCACCTGGTTACAAAATAAATGACGAAACTCCCGATTTATTCATCTGTGGGGGGTGTGAGAAAGAAGCTCGGTCCTGGTGCTAAGACCGTGGAAGATTAGGCCAAAGCACCTTCCAGAGATCCGCCCAGTGGGAGGCCCATTCCGTCACCAGCGGCGGCGTGAGCGAGCCATTGCAGGGCTGCGCCTCTGCGTCTTCAAGACGTGACCCACCCGCTTTTGAAAACACCGACGCTTGGCCACGGTCGCATCGCTCCACGGTTTAGATCCACACCCCTCCCCCACCAGGTTGGGAGTTGCCTCTGTCAGCGCTGACGTCACCGACGGCGATATCAGCCGTGAGGCCTCAGGGCTGCAGCCGCCCGGCCGGCGAACGGCGGCGTGAGCGACCCATTGCAGGGGCTGCGCTTCTGCCTCTTCAAGACGTGGCCCACACGCTTTGAAAAACACCGACTCGTGTCGCGCGGTCTCGCTCCACGGTTTAGGTCCACCCCCCCCCCCCACCAGGTGGAGTTGCCTCTGTCTGCGTGACGTCACCGGCGGCGATATCAGCTGAGGGGCCTCAGGGCTGCAGCCGGCGAACGGCGGCAAATCGCGGGCGACATCGAGCAATTCGCGACGTTTCTGTGCGTTCATTGTGGGGGGAAGGAGGCTAAAAGCCGCGACACGTCGTCGTTGTTGTTGTTTGTTTGTTGTTGTTTGGGTGGTGAGGCCGTCGCATGGTGATCCGGGCCGAGTTAATTGGCGTCACGTGACCAATTAGCGCGCAGCCTCCGTCGTCGCGGGCGGGTTGCGGGCGAGGCCTCATCGCGGTTCGGGAAACATCAACAACAACATCGACAACATCAACACAACAACAACATCAACAACATCATCAACAACGTCGCCATCGGCAGCAACGTGACGGGGTTTTAATTGCTGACGTGATCACGTGGACACGGACGCAACCATCGCTTGCATCGCCACCATCAACCCGCCCCCCCATCACCGCAAGGATTACGAACATCAACCACCATCATCATCACCACCGTCACCACCACCACCTTCTGTAATATCCGCGCCATCACCGCAAGGATTACGAACATCACCACCATCATCGTCGTCGCTCCGGTTACCACCAACAACAACCATCACCACCATCAACCAAGCCACACGAAAAAAGGAGACCAACCCATCACCACCACCACCATCACCACCACTATCGCCACCACCAATATCACCACAATCAATATCGCCACCATCATCACCATCATTATCACCACCACTATCACTATCACCACCACTATCACCATCACCACCACTATCGCCACCACCAATATCACCACGATCAATATCATCTCCACCACCACCAATATCACCACGATCAATATCACTACCACCACCGTCACCTCACCACCACCAATATCACCACGATCAATATCAGCACCATCACCACCACCAATATCACCACGATCAATATCACTATCACCAATATCACCACCACCACCACCGTCACCTCATCACCACCACTATCATCACTATCCCCATCACCACCACCGTCACCTCACCACCACCACCAATATCACCACCATCACCGTCACCACCACCACCACCCCCATCAGCTGCGATGGGACGCGCCGACGGCGGCGTGTGCTCGCGCGCCTACTTCGTGGCGGTGATGGTGTTCGCTCACGTCTACATCCTCAACATCATCGTGCTGCTCATGTACGTGCACTACAGCGGGGGGCCGCGCGGGGACCCCCCCGAACCCCACGCAGAGGGGTCCGCACCGCCGCCCCCCACCACGGGACCCGGGGGACACCAAGGGGATGAGCAAAGGGGGTCCCGGTTGCCCCCCTTCCAGCTGCCGCGCATGGAGGGGATTAAGGTGGGGACCCCCTCGCCACCACCCCACCCCCCACTACGCCCACATCTCCATAAGATCTCAATGCCTTCTCAGTGCTGCCCAGCTTATTACAGACATATTCAGGGCGTGTTGGTCACCCCGTGTCCCTTATCCATCACAAGGCAGAAACACAAACACATAGACAAACACATTTTATGTTGGTCATTTGAATCGGCTGTGCGCTGTATGGAGCTGAAAACTCAATTTCCCTCTACAAGAATACGGGGTAAACCGTATGGGTTGACAGGTACGCAATATATGTGGGTCTCTATGTATCTCTGTGGGTCTCTATGGGTCTCTATCTATAATAATACCTGGTAACCCCTTATCAGTGCTGCCTACCTTATTACAGACCAAATCAGACCTTGTTGGTCACCCAGTGCCCCTCACAAATCTCAACGTTCATCCTACAAGGTTCCATCACAAGGCAGAAACACAAACACATTTTATTGTGCCCGTATTGAATCGGCTGTACGTCGTATGGATCTGAAAACTCAATTTCCCTCTACAAGAATACGGGGTAAACCATATGGGTTGACAGGTACGCAATATATGTGGGTCTTTATGTATCTCTGTGGGTCTCTATGGATCTCTATGGGTCTCTATCTATAATAATACCTGGCAACCCCTTACCAGTGCTGCCTACCTTGTTACAGACCAAATCAGACCTTGTTGGTCACCCCGTTCCCCTCACAAATCTCAACGTTCACCCTACAAGGTTCCATCACAAGGCAGAAACACAAACAAATAGACACACACATAAGGACCTGAACTCAGCTTCCCTGTACAAGAGGGTTAACCCGTATGGGTTGGTAGCCATGGAATCCGATCTTATTTTAGGTTTCTCCGGAGCGCACCGCCTTAGCTTAAGGCGCTTTACGGAGTTGAACGGCGGTGACGGCGAGTTGGGTGTCAAGGTGGCCACGCCAGGGCCGATGAATTGGGGATGACCGTAACAGAGAGCACGCCCGGGGGGTGGGGGGGGGGTCATACGAAAGGGCGATAGGGGAGGGAAGAGGAAGGGAATGGGCAGTGGAGAAGAGGTGGTGAGGCTTTAAGGGGGGGACTGAAGGGAGGTTAAGGAGGTGAGGGGGCTGAGTCTATGGGCATTGTTGGGTGGTGTTGAGTCTATGGTGCAGTGCTGAGTCTATGGGTGGTGTTGAGTCTATGGTGAAGTGCTGAGTATGGGTGGTGTTGAGTCTATGGGGCAGTGCTGAGTCTATGGGGCAGTGCTGAGTCTATGGGCAGTGTTGAGTCTATAGGCAGTGTTGAGTCTATGGTGAAGTGCTGAGTATGGGTGGTGTTGAGTCTATGGTGCAGTGCTGAGTCTATGGGTGGTGTTGAGTCCATGGTGCAGTGCTGAGTATGGGTGGTGTTGAGTCTATGGGCAGTGTTGAGTGTATGGACTGTGCTGAGTCTATGGGCAGTGTTGAGTCTATGGTGCAGTGTTGAGTCTATGGGCAGTGTTGAGTCTATGGTGCAGTGCTGAGTCTATGGGTGGTGTTGAGTCTATGGTGCAGTGCTGAGTATGGGTGGTGTTGAGTCTATGGTGCAGTGCTGAGTCTATGGGCAGTGTTGAGTCTATGGGCAGTGTTGAGTCTATGGGCATTGTTGACTCTATGGGCAGTGTTGAGTCTATGGACTGTGCTGAGTCTATGGGCAGTGTTAAGTCTATGGGCAGTGTTGAGTCTATAGTGCAGTGTTGAGTGTATGGGCAGTGTTGAGTCGACGATGCAGTGCTGAGTCTATGGTGCAGTGCTGAGTCTATGGTGCAGTGCTGAGTCTATGGGCAGTGTTGAGTCTATGGTGCAGTGCTGAGTCTATGGGCAGTGCTGAGTCTATGGTGCAGTGCTGAGTCTATGGGCAGTGTTGAGTCTATGGTGCAGTGCTGAGTCTACGGTACAGTGCTGAGTCTATGGTGCAGTGCTGAGTCTATGGGCAGTGCTGAATCTATTGTGCAGTGCTGAGTCTATGGTGCAGTGCTGAGTCTATGGTGCAGTGCTGAGTCTACGATGCAGTGCTGAGTCTACGATGCAGTGCTGAGTCTACGGTGCAGTGCTGAGTCTACGGTGCAGTGTTGAGTCTATGAGCAGTGTTGAGTCTATGGGCAGTGTTGAGTCTATGGACTGTGCTGAGTCTATGAGCAGTGTTGAGTCTATGAGCAGTGTTGAGTCTATGAGCAGTGCTGAGTCTATGAGCAGTGTTGAGTCTATGGACTGTGCTGAGTATATAGGCAGTGCTGAGTCTATGGTGCAGTGTTGAGTCTACGGTGCAGTGTTGAGTCTATGAGCAGTGTTGAGTCTATGGTGCAGTGTTGAGTCTATGGGCAGTGTTGAGTCTACGGTGCAGTGCTGAGTCTACGGTGCAGTGCTGAGTCTATGGTGCAGTGCTGAGTCTATGGTGCAGTGTTGAGTCTATGAGCAGTGTTGAGTCTATAGGCTGTGCTGAGTCTATGGTGCAGTGCTGAGTCTATAGGCAGTGCTGAGTCTATGGTGCAGTGCTGAGTCTATGGTGCAGTGCTGAGTCTATGGACTTTGCTGAGTCTATGGACTGTGCTGCTCAATATACAGGGGGAGTTGATTCCAGCAGAGGGGTGCAAGGAGAGAGAAGGAGCGGAAATGGGATTGGGTACTGGGAGGAGGAGGGACCGAGAGAAGATTGGAAACCAAGACGATGAGGGGGGACATAAAAAGAGGCGAGATGAGGTGCGTCAAGGCCACGGAAAGATGTAAGGACGAGGTATTTGAAAAGACGGCGGCATCGTAAACGGGAGGCGATTTGAGAGGTGAAGTGTGAGAATGAAATAGGTGCTTCAAAATAACCCCACTCCCCTCCCCCCTTACCCCACAGGTAGGTCACGTGCGCGCAAGTCACCTCGTGCCCGGGGTGCTGAGTCATGTGACCACGCTGAGCCTCAAGCCTCTGCTGTTTGGTGAGTGCGAGGCACCCCGGCTACCATGATGCATTCTGTCCCTTTACCAAGCCCTGTCCACGGCCCCGCTTGGCCCCGAGTTGATTCCGACGTCGTTTTGTTAGGGCGGCGTAGCGCAGTTTGGAGGCCAGCTCGGCTTGCCAAATGGTCAGTGGAAAACGATCCGCACCACGAGGGGGACGCACGCTGGCTCGGTTCGGATGTGCCAGTGGAAAAGGGGTGTCAGTGGCGCGTGGCGGCTGCAGTTGCTGCTGCCGCCGCTGTGTTCGTGTACCCGGCGTGTGCCCATGCGTGTACCCGTGCGTGTGCCCGCGTGTGTAGAAGTGTCGGCCATGCTCTCCCTTGCCGAGTGCCGGGAGCTGGAGGAGCTGGCTCGGCGCGCCGGGCTGCACGAGGTGCGGGCCCCACCGGCGGGAAGCCACGACGCTGCCACGGGCGACGACACTGCCGCCGACGCGCACCGCACCAACGCGTGGAACGCGTGGCTCAACCAGAGAGCCGGCGCCCCGCAGGTGCTGCGCTCGCTCAGTGACAGGTACGGCGGGCGGGGTGCGGGCATACCCAGTGGATGAGAGGGCGGTGTGGGTGGTGATGGTGGTGTCGATGGTGGTGCTCGTGGCGATATTGATGGTGGTTTTGATGCTGGTGGTGCTAGCCCAGCGGTGGCGGTGTTGCTCGTGGTGATTGCGGTACTCGTGGGCATGGTGACAAGGTGAAGTGTTGGCGCTGTTGCAATGCTGCTGATGCTGACAGCGCTGATTCCGGTGATATTGCTGCTGCTGCTGTTGCTGCCGCCGCAGGGTGGTACACCTGACGGGGTTGCCACGGGCGCTGGTGGAGGCGGGCGAGCCCGTGCAGGTGCACGTGCTGGCGGAAGGCGGGCACGAGCGCGCCCACCGCGACAGCGGAGCCACGGACGCGCGCACCGTGTGTGCCCACACGCGCATGCTGGCGCAGCACCACCACACGGCGGAAACGCCATGCCGGTACATGGGGGGTGGTACGCACCGTGACGGTGTTGGGGTCACCTGTGTATGTAGCTATGTCACGATACTGGTGTCACCTGTGTGTGTGGCTATGTCACGGTGCTGCTGTCACCTGTGTGTGTGTGGCTGTGTGACGGTGTTGGTGTCACCTGTGTGTGTGTAGCTATGTGACGGTGTTGGTGTTTCTAAATGACGTGGAGGAGGGCGGAGAGACGGCGTTTCCTGCCGCGGACAACCGGACCTTCGATTCCTCGGTGAGCGAAGGGAGGGGAATAGAAGTGGGGTGTGAGTGGACAGTGAGTGAGGTGTGTGGGTGGTGGGTGAGTGGGGAGGGGTATGTGTGAGTAATGTGTGCGAGTGGTGAGTTGTGTGTGTGAGTATTGTGTACGAGTGGTCAGTGAGGTGTGTGTGAGTGGTGAGGTATGTGTGAGTGAGTAGTGTGTCTGAGTGCTGAGTATGTATGAATGGTGAGCGAAGTGTGTGTGAGTGGTGAGTGAGGTGTGTGAGTGGTGATGTATGCGTGAGTGAGTAGTGTGTGTGAGTGGTGATATATGCGTGAGTGAGCAGTGCGTCTGAGTATTTATGAATGGTTGAGCGAGGTGTGTGTCTGTGTGTGCTGTGCTATTTCTGGCCGTGGCTAAGTTGACTTTCCCATCGTGCTCCAAAAATATTCACACGATAAGAAATGAAGCCTTGAGTCCAAGTATGATTACACTCGTGTGCACGTGCATGCGTCTATGCGTGTTTGTGGAATGTGCAGCGGTGGTGCAGTGGTTAACGCATTGCCTTACGAACCTGCCGATCCAAGTTCGATTCCCGCTCACAGCCAATAACGGTGGGGTGTATCCGAACCAGTCCTGGGCTTCCCCTAGGTCGACTCGGCCTTAAATGAATACATGGTACGCTGTGTAAACATCGCCACAAGGGAGCCAAAGGCGGCTGGGCGTGCTTGCTGGCCACACACGCCCTCGTGTGCCGTGCCGGCCTTCATAGATGCTCCCCGAACAGCACTTTCCCCAACAGTCCATTGAAGCTATACGGGCGATCTTTGTCTTTGTGTGTGTGTGTGTGCGTGTGGGCGCAGGACCTGGTGCGAGGCGACGTGGACATGAGTGACATGCGCGCCCACTGCTCCCGCGCCAACCTGCGCGTCACCCCACACGCCGGCAGCGCTCTGCTGTGGTACAACCACCTGTCGGACGGCCGTGGTGGGTCCGGGACGGTCGCACACCACAATCAGCCGTGCTCTATCCACTGCTGCGTAGATCATGGGTTTACTCAGCCTTAAATGAGCACCGAATGCGAGTTGTAATTGATCAGCGCTGGCCGGGCGTGGTGCTGGCTAGACATCACCCCCTCGTGCGGCAGACCGGCCTCAGCAGGTAATCTCTGACGGCACCTGCTCATCATTGGAACCTCCTTTGCCAGTAGGAAAATATGATAATTGTTTTTTTTACCCTTTTATCTGGCAACGAAAACTGACACCTTTTTTACAAGGAGTCATGTTTGTTCTTTACTTGATACAGTAATTTTGCTGTGACGGTGCCACCTGAAGACGGAAGCTTGTGTTGCCTCCGAAACGTCGTGATTTAATTAAATAAAATTTTCATTTTTTTTACCTACGTGACTTTATCGAAAAAACCAAAGAGTATAGAGTCATGTTTGCATTAACCACAATACCTGCGGTCGGAATGCAAACAAAAAACACAACTCTGATAATGTATGCACTGTCCTTGAAATTGATTGGTCCACACCCGAGACAGCTTTTCTTAGAGCCCAGTCTCACATGGTGTTGGACCAGATGACGCCATGCAGTCCTGTTAAAGGCGATAACCGGGTAACTTTGTCTTTGTCTGTGTAGGCTGGGTGGGCGAGCTGGACGACTACTCTCTGCAGGGCGACTGCGCAGTCGTGCGCGGCGCCCGCTGGACCGCACGACTCTGGGTGAACGTCGACCCGGACGCTCAGCGCCAGTCCCGCCTGCTCGACCCCGCGTGGCCGGGTCAGCGTGACCCCGTGCGACCCGCCCACCCTGACTCCGCGTGGCCCGGTCTGAAGCCCCAGTCCTGGGGCCCAGGCCATGATGAGGTTCCCCCCTCCTCCTCCTCCTCCGCTGCTGCTGCCCCCGATGGCCGATCGGAGCTGTGAGGACGCACAGATGGATTGATGGACGGTTGGCGACCTCAAGACTGTGGAGTCGTTCTTTTCAGTTCACCCGTGTGTCCACCGCTCGCGGAGGAGAAGCGCGAAATTCCAGAGCGTGGCTGTGATATTGGCTCGGCCACAGCCCTTGCTGTGTGACCGTGTGTCTGTGTGTGTATGACTGCGTGCGTTTATCTTGTATTTATTTTATTTATTAGTGCTTGTTCATTTGTGTTGCTGTTGGTCAGTAGCGGGGTTCCCCTTGTGTGTGCAACCCGTGTTTGTCTTGGCGAATTCATGGGCCCTAGAATGTGACTGACATTGTAGCGAAGCAGCACCTGTGGGTCCTGGAATGTGAATGCTGCAGGGGTTAGCATCACTTCACTTGGTCATCACCGAGTGGGTGGCCTGGGCAAGGCCTACCCTAGGCCTAGGCTAGGGCGAAGGCTATGGCCATAAATAATGATGCCCTCTACCCAGAAGAGCCTCACTGAGTCGCCAGACTGTTTTTCAGGAGTGTTGTGCCACATCGGGATGTTTGGCCAATTATTTTGGCGAATTATTTTGGCGAATGTCATTTGGCGTTAAACCAGGATAACCCGGAGAAAACCCCATCGTGTACGGGGGGGAAACACTGAATTATCCACACAGATGGATTCAATAATATATTCTGGTATGTTCTGGCCGCACCTTGCAGTTCAAGCCTGCAGCACTCGCCTTTCGTGGCATGTCTACCCCTACCAAGTACTAACCAGGCTTAAAACTGCTTAGCTGCTGAGGTCCGACTGTTACAGCCGTATGCTGGGATGGAGTCACTATTTTAAAGAGTTGAGGGGACAGGTCCCCAATTTTGTGTGCACAGTGTGTCACGCGTGTGCTTGTGTGGCGGTCAGCAGGGGCTTGCGGAAGGTTCTGAGAATGTTTGCGTCAATCCACTGCTCCGTGAAGGTTCTCCCCCGCACACTGCGCCGGTTGCGTTGGGGGGTTACTTGACCATAACTTCACCGTGCTCGCCAGTGCGGGTTGGCGAAGGCGGGGAGCATAGACGTAGCAGCTTGGTAGCACAACGGTACAACAGCGCGTGTTTGCTGGACTGACTTCTGCTGCCCACAATGTAGCAAGCCGACACAACCTGCTGCTGTTGCTCAACTCGTGATGGGTGCAAAGGATGGAGCTACCCAAGTAGTAGGCGGAGCTACCTGGGTAGGGGGTGGAGCTACCCGACTAGGGGATGGGCTACCCAAGTAGTAGGTGGAGCTACCTGGGTAGGGGGTGGAGCTACCCAAGTAGTAGGGTGGAGCTACCCAAGTAGTAGGCGGAGCTACCTGGGTAGGGGGTGGAGCTACCCAAGTAGTAGGCGGAGCTACCTGGGTGGGGGGTGGAGCTACCCGACTAGGGGATGGGCTACCCAAGTAGTAGGTGGAGCTACCTGGGTAGGGGGTGGAGCTACCTGGATAGGGGGTGGAGCTACCTGGGTAGGGGGTGGAGCTACCCGACTAGGAGGTGGAGCTTCCTGGGTGAGGTGCAGGGCTCGTGAATGAGTGGGGATGTCTGTGAAACGTGAGTGGGGCTGACAAGAGAGAAGAAAGAGAGAATCAACAGCATTTTACTCAAATTTTAAAATGCTGTTGATTCTCTCTTCAACACACCGGTGGGCTAAAAAAGTGAATTATTTTGTCCTTTGAAAAACGTGACACATTTTTTACTGTTTGGCCGTGTCGGGTTGTGGAGGGTTATGACACATTTATAAATAACGCGATCTGACCCAAAAACTTATATTATGAATACTATTGGTCGCGAAAGCCTGCTACGTGTAAAAGAGAGGGAGGAGCTGACAGTGTTGCATGTGTCATCCTAAACCAGGGGTGGGGAACCTTTTTTCTGCCAAGGGCCATTTGGATATTTGTAACATCATTCGCGGGCCATACAAAATTATCAACTTAAAAATTAGCCCGTTATATTTGCTCAAACATTTAATTAACTAACCCCGAATGCGATGGCTGGAACTGCTTCTCTTTGGCGAGGCGTGTGATGTTAGCTGGTATTGATGATGTTGCTGCTACTCGCAACTGCTTTTCCAGGTTTGCTCCTAGATTTGTTGAATTTCGAGCCCCGCCTGCGGTTGCCTTGGCAGGGCCACACCAACTGATTTCGCGGGCCTCATACGGCCCGCGGGCCGGACGGTCCTCACTCCTGCCGTAGAGCCTCCAAAAATGTGGTAGCCTCAAGCCAGTTGGATTGGGTTTGCGTGTGGTGGGGTCAAGTGTGGCTACTCCCACCTCTTCGGAGACGTCTGGCTCGGCGTGCAAAAGAGTAGGCCAAGTACCGTCTAGAAGGGATCGAGAGCTCCCTCGAGTGGAAGAGCTTCCCGCCAGCAGCGGGCCGAGCAGCAAATTTGCCGGGCTGCACCCTTTGAGTCGTGTCCAGAGCGGCGTCGAACTGTTCTCGGGACTTTGTGACCGGCCGTCTTGCTGGAGTCGCGTAGAGTCTCGTTCGTTGTTTTGGGAGCGCGAGGTTTGCACTTTACATTGGGATGAGGGTTCGATACCCGGGCAGGTGTCGGTGTGGGGGGAGGGGAAGTGAATTTTGACCGCGTGCAATGTGGAGAAGAATTATTTAAATACAATTAATTTATAATTCATAGAGTGTGTGCTCGTGGTTCTGTAATGAGCGGCCGTTGTGATCATTATCACCATGATCCGCCATGATCTTGATGATCACCATCATCTTATCATCATCACCATGACAACCACCATCAGCGGATTTTCGCTAGCCATTGAACAAAGACGGTCACTGCATCGCACGCTTTCAGAGGCGCCTCTGCGGCCTTCTGGAACGCTCTTCCTTCTGATATTAGGAAACCACTGAAGCTATGCACTTTTCAATCATCCAGATTGAAAACTAATTTCTTTAAAACTGCGTTTTGTGTTTGTTGTCCTTTCCCTGCACTTGTGATTAGCACGGTTGGCTACGTACGGTGCGTAAGAATTTCAACATACAAACATTAATTCTCACCATCAACTCCACGATATTCATCGTGATTCACAACCACCACCCCCATGACCATCACAAATATTCTTTGCCATCATCATCATCATCCCAATCGTCACCACCACTCGTGCGGACACCTTCACAGACGACCCGGGGCTGTTGCATCAAATAAATGTGCCAGTTTTATTTCGATTTTACAACAGGGGTCACGGTGTCACGACCCATGGGGGGATCGCGTCACAGTGCGGCGGCACAAGCGTCACAGTGCGACGGCACAAGCGTCACAGTGCGACGGCACAGGCGACACGTGAACTGGTAACGTCATCACGGCTTCTTCCGCGTGACCGTCCCCCTCTCGGCGCGCCTCCCTCACGAGCTGTCGCGCACGTGCTCGGCAATCACCTTGATGGCGAGCCAGGTCTCCTGCGCCGTCGGCAGGATCTGGTTGGCGGGGAGGATGAAGCCGTAGCGGCCCGTGTCGCGCAGCTCGAAGCAGTACGAGTAGCGGACTTTGGCGGCTTCGTAGGTCCAGTCGATGGAGCCACCGCTCGCCTGGTCTGTGTCCGACGAGACGGAGGTGGTAACGATACACAGGTGAGTGAGGTCAGTCGGTGAGTCCACTGATCAAAGTGATTTGCTTGACTGGTGCACGCGGAGAGGGATACATGGGTACACACAGAGACACACACAGAGACACACAAAGGGGATATACAAGGACACGGAGGGAGTGATCCATGGGTACACATAGAGGGACGTTCCTGAGAAGGCTACATGGGTACACAGTCAAAGATCCCCCGTATAGTCTTAACAGACTGTAGGGGCAAGTGCTGTTAGCGTGCACCTATGAAGGCCGGAACACAGACACAGAGGGACACACAGACTTATCCAATGGGGCATGCACGGGGAAACGCTGGTGTCAAGTTAGAGAAAGCGATTTCCTGCTCACATGAGCATGGAAGCGGTGGTCATCTGTTGACAGTGGTATAAATTCCACCGTCCTGTAGCACGGACAACCACTGTTGACTTCCCTACAAAGTGGTGCTCGGTTTGTCGACCTCCGTATTTTTGTCCGGGTCAACCTGCGTTTGCATCGCAGCCCAGCGGAACACGTGCAGGACCGTCGCGTACCACTCGTGCTCTGAGAACCGCCGTTGTAGAGCCACCGTGAGTCCCGTGAGCATGCGAGTCCCCCGGCATGAGTCGTGTACCACGGCGAGAGTACTCACAGATGGTGGTGATGATCGGACCGTACGTGTACTTGGTGTTGTACAGGGAGGTGAGGGCAGTCACCGCCGACTTAGCCAGGTTGTTCTGTACACAAAGACAAACATCCCCCGTATAGCCTCGCCGTACTGTTGGGGCGAGTATTGTTCACGAGCAGTACGGCACACAAGAGGGGGTGGGTGGTCAGCAACACGCCCGGCCGCCCTTTGTCTCCCGAGTGGCGATGTTTACACACCGCACCGGGTACTCATTCGAGGCTGAGCCGACCTAGGGGAGGCCCGGGACGGGTTCAGATAATTGTCACGGGCGTCTGTGGCCGTGAGTGGGAATCAAGTTCGGGCCGCCGGGTTTATAGCGCGGCGCGGCGCGCTAACCGGTGTACCACGCACACACACACAGACACAGACAAACACAGACACACACACAGACAGACACAGACAGACACACACACAGACACACAGACACACAGATACACACACACACAGATACACACACACACAGACATACACACACAGACAGACATACACACGCATACACAGTGGCATACACACCAGCTCGGTGTGGTCCGGCGCCAGCTCGTTCTTGTATCCGAAGGGGAAGATGAGCATCTGCGAGTAGGAGTGGACGTCGATGAAGCTAGCGATCTCAGGGTGAGCCTGCACGAAGTTCACGATGGCCTGCACCTCGGACTCGGAGTGCGCGCTCGGCCCGCGGTACGTCTCCGTGCACGAGCTGCTGCTGGAGCCCGGGCCTGCACTCGCGAGTCAAACAACGCGCAAAGTCTTCTTGGTTCTTTCGGTATCGTCACGTAGGAAGAAATTAATAAATTATAAAAAATAAAACGGTCCGGCCACAACGCAAGTAGCTGCTTGCGTTGTGGCCGAAACGTCGTGAGAATTATTTTGCTATGTTTTATTTTTATTATTTTATTGTTTCCCTTCTACGTGACTTTACCGAAAGAACCAAGAAGATGAATCCCTGCAGTCACGAAAGCTTTAAATCGAAACGCGTAAAGGTCGCTATTGGAACAAGAGCTACCACAAAGACCGGAACGGCACACGAGGGGGCGGGTGTGGTGCGAGGGGGCAGGAGGCTACCTCCAAATCCAGCGGCGAAGTTACGGTTGGGGTCGGTTCCCACGCAGGAGTTTCCAGAGTACTGGGAGCGCGTCTTGCGCCACATGCGGTCCTGCACGGCGGAGTTCAGAGGTCAGCGGGGTCATCGGAGGGAGCGACGTCGCCCAGAGTTTCACGGTTCTAATGTGCCAGGCCGCCCTGGTTAACGCCGCGGCGGTGGTGTGCGTATAAACCGTACGCTGCTACCGCGCTCGCGACGGCCTGTGTGGGCTGCACGGGGCAGCTTTGTGTGTGTGGGGGGAAGTGGGGGGGAGTCTCACGCGCTCGTGGGTGTACACGTAGCCGTCGGGGTTGGCGACGATCTCAAAGTACCAGTCCATGGTGTTGAGCAGAGAGGTGATGGCCGAGTCTTGTCCATACTCGGTCACGAGCTGTGGGGGTTGGGGGGTTGGTCAGCATGATCATCATCGGCTTTGGTCATCGGAATTAATCATGATAAACATGAGCCATTCATGTCACTACAATAGCACTATCATCATTATCACAAGCACCACCATGCTTCCTAGGATAATCGTCAATGGCACCACTGGTCAGCAGTTGCCATCAGTCACGGCCACATGCGATCATGATCGCCACTGTCACCGTCTGCATCATCACCACCACCATTACCATAACCATCAGAGACAACACAGTCATCACTACCAGTATCATTATCCTCACAGTCGCCATCCACGTCACCACTACCATCATCGTCACAAGCAGCATCACCGCTTTCACCCTTCATCATCGCCGGCATCGTCGGCATCGTCGGCATCGCCGCTCAGCCACCGGGGCTCGCGTACCTTCTTGGCGATCCAGATGCCCGTCGCCACGGTGATCCACTCGCGAGCGTGAATGCCTGTGGCCACAAAGATGGCCGGCTTGGAACCACCACCAGCGCCGATCTGCACGCACGCACGCACGGCGGTCACGATCGTCTCGCTGGCGCGTGAAGGCCTCGCCAGGCCGTCGCCGCCTCTCGGGGTCCTGAACCGAGCCCGTGCCCGTGCACGAGCCGATATCCGTCTCGTCGCTCCGTCTCCGCGGCGGACGTGACTTCGCTCGTTCGCGTTCCCCCCTGCCGTGGCCGCCACGTTTAAACGGCGAGAACGGGCAGCTCGGCACGGCACCGCCTCGCTGCCATCCGCTCATAGCGAAGCGCTGGATTCTGGGCGAGTGTTAGAGGGTATGCGCGTAGCGGTCGCGCGTTTTGGACAAGGTGCAAATGCGGAGTGGGCACCACAAGCCGTTCGTCGTCGATACATCGCGACGAACGGACCCAATGAATTCATATTCTTAGGTTTTTGCGGTAAAGTCACGTAGGTAAAACATTTTAATTAATAAAAGTAAAATAAAAAATAAAATAAAAATCACGACGTTTCCAAAAGAAGCCAACGAGCAATTGGTAGAAACGTGGCACAACGTGGCAGGAGAGATCGTGGCACACGCATGGGTTCGATAGCCTCCGACGCACGTTCCCCCTCCCCCCCGTCAGGGTTTAATTATCAGCGCGCACAACGCGGGAGGGCACCACGTGGGGTGGGCACCACGTGGGGGGGCACCACGTGGGAGGGCTACGTTACCTTGAGCACGGGGATGCCGCGATTCTCGTACGTGGATCCGATGTTGATGAGGCTCACGAGGCTTGGGTACTCGCGCACCATGTCCTGCATCCACGTGTTGATCTGCGCACGACCGCACCACGACGAGATTGATACCGTAATGTTGTTTTCTTCGATTAAAAATTGCCATGTTTAGGCAAGGCCACTTGAGTGTTGCTATTGATGCTGTCGCTGGTGGCGTTAATGCCGCAGTTGGTGGTGTTTGTGTCGCACCTGTTGACATTGGTGGCATTTTGATTTAAAGTTTTCGTGACTGCAGGGATTCATATTATTGGTTATTTTGGTAAAGTCACGTAGAAGGGAAACAATAAAATAACAAAAATATAAAAAAAACATTTTGATTGTTTAATATTTTTTATTATTTTATTATTTCCCTTCTACGTGACTTTACCGAAAGAACCAAGAATATTGGTGGCATTGCTAACGTTGGCGGTGGCGATGTTGGCCTTATTTGTTTGTTTTGGCAGTTTTAACGATGGTGGTGCTATTGCGCTGTTATTGTTGTTGGTGGTATTGTGCGTGACGCTGCAGTTGTCGTCGGCGGTGGCGTCCGTACCTCGGGCAGGACGTGGTAGCTCTCGTAGTTGAACGTGTCGGTGCTGCGAGCGGCCGGCGACTGCGCCCTGCGGGCCGCTGCCATCTCAGCACGCTCCGCTTTCGTGAGCAACTGTGGGGGGTGGGGTCGGGGGTGGGGAGGGTGGGGAGCAGAGAGAGTTCAGTGTGCGGCTGGTACACATCCCGGTGTCCCTGCGTCCCCCCTCCCCGCGTCCCCTTCTCCCAGAGTCCCTGCGTCACCCTCTCCCCGCGTCCCTTCTCCCAGAGTCTCTGTGTCACCCTCTCCCCGCGTCCCCTTCTCCCAGAGTCTCTGCGTTACCCTCTCCCCGCGTCCCTTCTCCCAGAGTCTCCGTGTCACCCTCTCGCCGTGGCCCCGTATATCCGTATCACCTTCTCCCCACGTCCACTGGTCACTCTGCCCCCATATCTCGTGTTCTCTCGTCTCCATGTCCCAGAATATATCCGCACGTCCTCGCTGGTCCCCCATCCCCCCGTGTCCCCGTGTCACTCCCCCCCCCTCTCCCCGAGCCTCACCTCGATGTCGGGGATCATGACCTGGGGGGATAGCCCAGCCCCCTGCAGGGTCCGGGCCACGACCTCCTGGGCCTCCACGGGGACGCGCACGTCCGCAGGGAGGCCCACGCGCGACGCGGGCCTCCAGAAATCCAGCTGCGAGGGGCGGGCCACGTGGGTTAGGATGGGGGGGGGGGGGCACCGTCACGGAGGGGGTCACGGCGGAGCGGGGTCATGGGGGAATGGGAACACGGGGGCCGGGGGGGAGGGGGGGGTACGGGAAAGGGGTCACGACGGAGCGGGGTCATGGGGAAATGGGAACACGGGGGGGGGCGGGGGTGGGGGGGTACGGGAAAGGGGTCACGCATGAAGAGGTCCAGCCAAAGCTGAGAGTAGAGGGGTTACAAAGGGGAGGGGGGCATCAGGGGGCGATTGTGATTGAGCGTGTGTTGTTGATGAGATCGTGGGTAGGTGAGTGGGCGAGTGTGTTGGTGGTGAGTGGGCGAGTGTGCAGGTGGTGAGTGGGCGAGTGTGTTGGTGAGCATGCAGCCGCGCGGTTTGAGTGTGTTGGTGGTGAGTGGGCGAGTGTGCGGGTGGTGAGTGGGCGAGTGTGTTGGTGGTGAGTGGGCGAGTGTGCGGGTGGTGAGTGGGCGAGTGTGTTGGTGGTGAGTGGGCGAGTGTGTATGGTGGTGAGTGGGCGAGTGTGCAGGTGGTGAGTGTGCGGGTGGTGAGTGGGCGAGTGTGCAGGTGGTGAGTGGGCGAGTGCGCGGGTGGTGAGTGGGCGAGTGCGCAGGTGGTGAGTGGGCGAGTGTGCTGGTGGTGAGTGGGCGAGTGTGCAGGTGGTGAGTGGGCGAGTGTGCAGGTGGTGAGTGGGCGAGTGTGCAGGTGGTGAGTGGGCGAGTGCGCAGGTGGTGAGTGGGCGAGTGTGCTGGTGGTGAGTGGGCGAGTGTGCAGGTGGTGAGTGAGCGAGTGTGTTGGTGGTGAGTGGGCGAGTGTGCAGGTGTTGAGTGGGCGAGTGTGCAGGTGGTGAGTGGGCGAGTGTGCAGGTGGTGAGTGGGCGAGTGCGCAGGTGGTGAGTGGGCGAGTGTGCGGGTGGTGAGTGGGCGAGTGTGCGGGTGGTGAGTGGGCGAGTGTGCGGGTGGTGAGTGGGCGAGTGTGCAGGTGGTGAGTGGGCGAGTGTGTTGGTGGTGAGTGGGCGAGTGTGCAGGTGGTGAGTGGGCGAGTGCGCAGGTGGTGAGTGGGCGAGTGTGCTGGTGGTGAGTGGGCGAGTGTGCGGGTGGTGAGTGGGCGAGTGTGCGGGTGGTGAGTGGGCGAGTGTGCGGGTGGTGAGTGGGCGAGTGTGCGGGTGGTGAGTGGGCGAGTGTGCGGGTGGTGAGTGGGCGAGTGTGTTGGTGGTGAGTGGGCGAGTGTGTTGGTGGTGAGTGGGCGAGTGTGCAGGATGGTGAGTGGGCGAGTGTGTTGGTGGTGAGTGGGCGAGTGTGCAGGTGGTGAGTGGGCGAGTGTGTTGGGGGTGAGTGGGCGAGTGTGCAGGTGGTGAGTGGGCGAGTGTGTTGGTGGTGAGTGGGCGAGTGTGCAGGTGGTGAGTGGGCGAGTGTGTTGGTGGTGAGTGGGCGAGTGTGCAGGTGGTGAGTGGGCGAGTGTGCAGGTGGTGAGTGGGCGAGTGTGCAGGTGGTGAGTGGGCGAGTGTGTTGGTGGTGAGTGGGCGAGTGTGCAGGTGGTGAGTGGGCGAGTGTGTTGGTGGTGAGTGGGCGAGTGTGTTGGTGGTGAGTGGGCGAGTGTGTTGGTGGTGAGTGGGCGAGTGTGGTGGTGGTGAGTGGGCGAGTGTGTTGGTGGTGAGTGGGCGAGTGTGCGGGTGTGAGTGGGCGAGTGTGCGGGGTGTGGGCGAGTGTGCGGGTGGTGAGTGGGCGAGTGTGCGGGTGGTGAGTGGGCGAGTGTGCGGGTGGTGAGTGGGCGAGTGTGCGGGTGGTGAGTGGGCGAGTGTGTTGGTGGTGAGTGGGCGAGTGTGCAGGTGGTGAGTGTGCGGGTGTGCAGGTGGTGAGTGGGCGAGTGTGTTGGTGGTGAGTGGGCGAGTGTGCAGGTGGTGAGTGGGCGAGTGTGTTGGTGGTGAGTGGGCGAGTGTGTTGGTGGTGAGTGGGCGAGTGTGTTGGTGGTGAGTGGGCGAGTGTGGTGGTGGTGAGTGGGCGAGTGTGTTGGTGGTGAGTGGGCGAGTGTGCGGGTGGTGAGTGGGCGAGTGTGTGGGTGGTGAGTGGGCGAGTGTGCGGGTGGTGAGTGGGCGAGTGTGCGGGTGGTGAGTGGGCGAGTGTGCGGGTGGTGAGTGGGCGAGTGTGCGGGTGGTGAGTGGGCGAGTGTGCGGGTGGTGAGTGGGCAAGTGTGTTGGTGGTGAGTGGGCGAGTGTGCAGGTGGTGAGTGTGCGGGTGTGCAGGTGGTGAGTGGGCGAGTGTGCAGGTGGTGAGTGGGCGAGTGTGCGGGTGGTGAGTGGGCGAATGTGCGGGTGGTGAGTGGGCGAGTGTGCGGGTGGTGAGTGGGCGAGTGTGCGGGTGGTGAGTGGGCGAGTGTGCGGGTGGTGAGTGGGCGAGTGTGCGGGTGGTGAGTGGGCGAGTGTGCGGGTGGTGAGTGGGCGAGCGTGCAGGTGGTGAGTGGGCGAGTGTGCAGGTGGTGAGTGGGCGAGTGTGCGGGTGGTGAATGAGCGAGTGTGCGGGTGGTGAATGGGCGAGTGTGCGGGTGGTGAATGAGCGAGTGTGCAGGTGGTGAGTGGGCGAGTGTGCGGGTGGTGAATGAGCGAGTGTGCGGGTGGTGAGTGGGCGAGTGTGCGGGTGGTGAATGAGTGAGTGTGCAGGTGGTGAGTGTGCGGGTGGTGAGTGTGCGGGTGGTGAGTGTGCGGGTGCAGCGGTCACCTGCAGCGACTCGTCGCTCTCCAGCTGCTGCAGCACCTTCACGTGGCTCTCCGACATGGGCACAATCCGCAGCACCTGCTGCCTGTGTCACCACCAGCGCCACAACCATCGTCATCATGGCCACCACAACCTCCACAACCAACATCATTACCATCAAAATCATCACCAACATTACCACAATCAACAACATCATCATCTCCCCCCCGCCATGTTGAACGGTGACATAGGCGAGCGGCAATGCGTTTGCCACTTGTGTTGCAGAGGCTCGCGGTTCGAGACCAGCGGCCGCCCTGGCAAATACGGCCTCTCTATTGCAAATCCAGTGTGCCCCTTACCAGCTCATCAATGAGCATCACCTCGATCTATCTCATCTCGCCCAGGTGAGCTTCGGTGTGCGCAGGGGAACCCGGGGTGAGACCCAGGTGATGACCCACGTACACCCAGGTGAGAACTCAGGTGAGAACCCAGGTGAGACTCCCAGCTCACCCCGCGAAGGTGCGCAGGTTGGCTGCCGCGGGCCCGAGGGCCGTGGCGGCGATGAGCAGGAGGAGGAGGGGAGCCATGGCGTCTCAAGGGCGCGACGAGGTGACCTGGCCCCCTGCGCCGATCGCCTTTTAAAGCCGCGGGGAGCAGCAGCAGCAGCAGCGGCGGCGTCGTCATCGTCACCTGAGCCGTTATCGCGTGAGAACGGCGGCAGACGGGAGGCAGGTAAACAGGGCCAGGTGCTCGGGCACTGGGGTGGGTCCACAGTACGGACACGGTACAGACAAGTGGTAGGCACAGATACACGGGGGGGGGGACACACAGACGCGCACGGAGAGATACATCGGTACGCAGAAGAGGGACACGGGACGTTTTCTCGCGACGAGATTTCGTAGCGAACGCGAATCGCTTTCTGCTCAGATTTACGGAGAGTTTTTTTGCGGCCGATTAATTTTTGGATGGCGATTCCCGCTCGTTTAGCCAGGAGAACCTCACTGAGTCTCGAGCCGCTTTGTCGGGAGGGTCCTGCCAAGTTGTTTGCGATAGGAGGCTATGTCGCTGTGCGGTCCCATTAAAATGATTTACATACAGAGGTTTTTATAGTTTTTTTTTTTACACCGTCGGGATATTTTGGTCAACGGCAGTTCCACTGTGTGTGTGGGTTTAGCTATGGGAGGAGGAAGCCGGAGAACACGGAGGGAACCCGTGCAGGACTCTGGGGAGAAGGCACGGGTCTAACGCCACGTAGAAAGGTGCCCGGGTCGGGAATCGAAATGTGCAATTGTTGGTTTGAAGCAAAATGCGTTTACAACCCTCCCCACGATAACGATGCCCGTGCGATGTTGGAAGCCGACGATGTTTGACCCGATCCCACCCCCTGGGGCCAGCCGTGGGTACGCACGCAGCTGGCTGGCACTGACCCTCACCCCAACGCGAGCTGCCCTCACCGCTCGCCTGCCCACGCGGAGCCACATCGATCGCCACGGATGGGTTATTGATCTGCTCAGGTGGGTGGCGAGCCTCCTGTTTGAGGAGTACTTGGGTTTTTTTTCTCTCCCTTCAGTTAAAGGGGGGTCACTGAGGTTCCCGCGGTGCCGGTGCCTAACGTGTCCCTGTCAACGTCATTATATCAGTGCTGCCTATCCTATTACAGACCAACTCAGACCGTATTGGTCACCCCGTGCCCCTTATACATCTAAATGTTCATCCGACACCAAGTCCCATCACAAGGGAGAAACACAAAGACACACTTTTTTTTTGCCCGCATTGAAACGGCTGTCCGCCGTATGGATCTGAAAAGTCAATTTCCCTGTACAAGCAGACGGGGTGAAACCGTATGGGTTGACAGCTATTTAGTATTTCGATTTAAAGCTTTCGTGACTGCAGGGATTCATCTTCTTGGTTCTTTCGGTAAAGTCACGTAGACGGGAAATAATAAAATAATAATAATAAAACATAATAAAATAATTATCACGACGTTTCGGCCACAACGCAAGCAGCCGTCCTCAGGTGAAGACCAGGTCTGTCGGGGAGACAGCGTCTGAATGAAGAAGAACAGGTCTTCACCTGAGGACGGCTGCTTGCGTTGTGGCCGAAACGTCGTGAGAATTATTTTAGAATGTTTTAGTTTTATTATTTTATTATTTCCATTCTACGTGACTTTACCGAGAGAACCAAGAACACACAGACACACTTTTTTTTGCCCGAATTGAAACGGCTGTCCACCGTATGGACCTGAAAACCGTATGGGTTGACAGCTATTTAGTAGTGTAGTGTATAGTGTAGTGTATAGTAGCGTACAAGTCAACCCCTTAAACCATCGTGGGTTGACAGGTACACAAACGGTGCAGCGGTGGTCAGGGTGGGGTTGCCACCTGTCCTGGTTTTGCCCGGAATCTCTCCTCGCTGGTGGGGAAGGCGACATCTGTGCTGGGGCATGCGTCAGTCCTGCGGGTACTTGAACGTGTCGCGGGTTTTGTCGTCATGTGACTGAAGATTGTGATGAGCGATGCTACCTTGCGTCTTGCAAAGGGGGGGGGGGGCGGGTGCCTTTTATAACGCTGTATGCGCTCCCGGCAAAGGCCCTTGTCCGAAACGTCAGTATAGAGGGCAGGCAAGACCTCGTTTAGCGCTCAAAGATGCGTTCCTGGAGAAGTGAGCGCGAATCGAATCAGCACTCGGGGGCCGTCCATAAATGACGTCACGCGATTTTGGACGATTTTTGACCCCCCCCCCCCTCGTCACACGGCGTCACAAAAAGTCAGACCCCCCCCCCCCTCAAATATGACGTCACAAAGCTCTGCCCCCCCCCCAAATTAAACATGCTTCAAATCGCTTTAAACTATTGTCATTGTAGTGCGTATTTATTGTGGCGCTGCACTCTGATGTTGTAGGAGAAAACATTTATCAAAAAGTCTATTTAATTAAGTAGAACGTGTTGTCTATATTTATTTAAAGTTGCGCATTTTGATGTGACGTCACATTTCTCACCCCCCCCCCTCGTCACACATCGTCACAAATGTCTGACCCGCCCCCCCAGGTGCGTGACGTCATTTATGGACGGCCCCTAAATGGGCTCAATATACAGAGATACCTCGATATGTGGATCCTGTATAGTGTAGTGTATACACTACACTATACACTACTATACATTACACTATACACTACGCTATACACACTACACTATACTCTACACTATACACTACACTCTACACTACTATACACTACACTACTATACACTATACACTACGCTATACACACTACACAATACACTACTATACACTACACTATACACTACTATACACTACACTATACACTACTATACACTACTATACACTACACTATACACTACACTATACACTACTATACTCTACACCATACACTATACACAACACTACACTACTATACACTACACTATACACTACACTACTACACTACTATACACTACACCATACACTACTATACACTACACACAACACTACACTATACACTACACTATACACTACACCATACACTACTATACACAACTATACACTATACACTACACACAACACTACACTATACACTATACACTACACTATACACTACACTAGTAACTAATTGGCGCGTTGTGTTTACGCGACAAACCTTCCTGGCTGTGTCGGGTGGTGGAGGGGGTCACGACACAACGTTTCTACTAACACAAAACAACCTTTATTATGAGGAGTCGAGTTGTATCAATGTGTTAAGTGATTTGTTTACCCTTCGTACTTTGCACTCCTGCCGTGTTCTTTGTTGTTGTTGTTGTTGGTGGTTGTCACGGCCCTGCGACAAAGCGCTTTACAGACCATCGGATTTAACCCTCCTTCCAAGCGGCGCCGTAAAGGTGCCGTCGTAAAGTTGCCGTCGTAAAAGCGGAGACGTAAATTTGCCGTCGTAAAGTTTCCGTCGTAAAAGCGGAGACGTAAAGTTGCCGTCGTAAAAGCGGAGACGTAAAGTTGCTGTCGTAAAAGCGGAGACGTAAATTTGCCGTCGTAAAGTTTCCGTCGTAAAAGCGGAGACGTAAAGTTGCCGTCGTAAAAGCGGAGACGTAAAGTTGCTGTCGTAAAGTTGCCGTCGTAAAAGCGGAGACGTAAAGTTTCCGCCGTACAGGCGTCGAAGCCGTCGTAAAAGCGGCGACGTAAAGTTTCTACCGTAAAGGCGTCGAGGCCGTCGTAAAAGCGGCGACGTAAAGTTTCTACCGTAAAGGCGTCGAGGCCGTCGTAAAAGCGGCAATGTAAAGTTGCTGTCGTAAAGGTGTCGAGGCCGTCGTAAAAGCGGCGACGTAAAGTTGCTGCCGTAAAGGTGTCGAGGCCGTCGTAAAAGCGGCGACGTAAAGTTGCTGCCGTAAAGGTGTCGAGGCCGTCGTAAAAGCGGCGACGTAAAGTGTCTACCGTAAAGGCGTCGAGGCCGTCGTAAAAGCGGCGACGTAAAGTTGCCACCGTAAAGGCGTCGAGGCCGTCGTAAAAGCGGCGACGTAAAGTTTCTACCGTAAAGGCGTCGAGGCCGTCGTAAAAGCGGCGACGTAAAGTTGCCACCGTAAAGGCGTCGAGGCCGTCGTAAAAGCGGCGACGTAAAGTTTCTGCCGTAAAGGCATCGAGGCCGTCGTAAAAGCGGCGACGTAAAGTTGCCGTCGTAAAAGCGGCGACGTAAAGTTTTTACCGTAAAGGCGTCAAGGCCGTCGTAAAAGCGGCGACGTAAAGTTTCCGCCGTAAAGGTGTCGAGACTGTCGTAAAAGCGGCGACGTAAAGTTTCTGCCGTAAAGGCGTCCAGGCCGTCGTAAAAGCGGCGACGTAAAGTTTTCCGTCGTAAAAGCGGCGACGTAAAGTTTCTACCGTAAAGGCGTCGAGGCCGTCGTAAAAATCGACGCCGTAAAGCCAGTGGAGGCTGTGGTGGCCGTGGTGCGTCGCCATGCCGCTGATGAAAGGGCGCGCGGCGGTGCGCCGCACGCTCGACTACCTGCAGCGGGGCGACGTCATCTTCCGCAGCGCCGTCAAGATCATGGCCGTCAACTACAACACGAGCGGCACACGCAGCGACGGCACCAGGTGCGGTCCCCCGGCAAGCCGCCTGCGATGCCGCTTCGCTCGTGTTTAAGAGCTCTCGCTCTCTCTCCCTGGCGAGGGACCCGGAGCCCCCCACGTTCTGTGTGTCTCTCTCTCTCACACATGGAGACGTGGGGGGTGGGGGGTAGAGAAACGCGTGTCCGCAAACATTTGGTTTCAAATAAAAGCCCGACTGAATGTCGACACCGGTTCACGGGTTTGTGTTTTGTGTCTTGCCTTGCACCACCGCAACGACGGAGTGCCGGGGCGAGGCGGCGCGGCTGACGGGATGCGTCAAACCAACTCCGTGTTGTGGGGACGTGTTGGAGGAGGGGTGGGGTAAGGAGCTGCTGGATCGCGTGGTCCGGACGACACTCTCATTGGTCCCCGAGCTGTCACGTGCAGCGCGAGGCGCGTCGCGATTGGCTGGGGGCGGGGGGGGGCGACCTCGCGCGCACGTGCCGCGAACGAGAGTCAATGTCGGAGCGAACCCGAAGCGAGGTTCTCTCCACTGCTGGATGATGGGGTCAAGCTCTGCCCCCCGTCCCTCCACCTTCCCCCGCCGCCACTAACGCGGGTGTGCGCCCCCGTGCCCCGCAGGAAGTTCGTGTTCTTCACGGTGCCGCAAATCCAGTTCAAGAACCCGTGGGTGCAGATCGTGGCGTTCAAGAACGTGACCCCCTCGCCCTTCCTGCGCTTCTACCTGGGTGCGTGCACAGCGCCACCCGCTGACGAGAGCGGAGATCCCCACACTCGGGGCCACCAGTGGCTCTCAGTTGAAGGAAGAAAAAATTAACCCGTAAAAACAAAGTTTTTCACTCTAAATCCTTTATATGCGTGGCGGCTAGAGTCCTCTCGTCCTCTGGCTTGAGATGGCTGCCACCTATGGGTCAAATGATTGCCTGCCACCATTAAGCAATTGGTAATTAAATATAAAAAATAAATCCTAAAAAGTGTCAAGTTATGGGAAAAAAAATTCACAAAAACAAATTGTCACGCACAACGAGTCTGTGTGCAAAATGTCAGCTCGATTGGATCACGGGAAGTGGGTTGAAAAACGACTGAAAGATTGGCACGGTCGAAAGCAAGCAAGTGAAAATAAAGGATTTAAAAATCAATATTTTCTAAAACGCCACTTTTTTCAAATTTTCTTCCAATAAAATGTATCACGACGTTTCGACTGCAACACAAGCAAATCACCTGCTGATGATTGCTTGTGTTGCAGTCGAAACGTCGTGAGAATTTTTATTGTTTTATATTATTTAATCATTTCCCTTCTACGTGACTTTACCGAAAGAACCAAGAATATTAATCCCTGCAGTCACGAAAGCTTTAAATCAAAAACATATTTAAGTTCACAGTTCGGTGGGCTTTGCCTGGTAGGATGGGGATGGTTTAATTTTATTTGCATGGTTTTTTGTGGGGGGGGGGGGGGGGTGGTTTGTTTACCTTGTAAGTTGCACGACTGTCGTATTTTTGTTTTGTTGTGACGTTCTTACCCGCCCCGACTGGCCATTTGTGGAAAAGAAGAGCGTTTTAGCTTATCGGATTTCTCCAGTATAAATATTCAAATTCTGGCCCCTACTGGTCCTTCGTGCGGCCCCCAACAATACACAAATGTGAAAACATCCCGCAGTGCTGTCAAACCCATTGGTGTCAAATGTGTGGCTACATGTCACACTGACGGTGAAAGTGTCCCCTCTCTGGAAATGAGTGACGAACGCTGCGATCGGGCCTCCTTCATCGGCATCATTCACCCGTCGGCATCATTCACCCGTCGGCATCATTCACTCATCGGCCATGGTCAGGAGTCAGCGACCTGCTGCTCTGGAGCTGCGTGCGGCTCCTTGAGGACCGCTTCGTGACCTTATTCACGTGCGTTGAGGCTGCTGACATTTTTGTTTTTACCGAATTAGAAAAAGAATTGCTCATTGTTATTTTGGTTGCCGACCCTTTGGCGTTGCTGGATTAAGTCCTCCCCCAAGCCCTTCCCATCTTTCACGCTCCTTGAAATTTTTTTTTTTTAATTACGATTCCCGTTCGTTTACGGAGTCTAATGACTCTTTATCATGACGGGCCTACCAAGTTACCGCAGTAGGTGGCGATGTTGCTGCTGTGTCTGATCCCAATTGAGTCATTTGCAGGGACATGTTTGGCCAATACTCGGTACATGCAGAACTGGGGCATCGCTAGCATATAGTCAACAATATGATTTTTTTAAAAGCCATTGTACTGAGAAAAGCGGGGAGAGTTTGCATTCCGACAGCCCCATTATTGTCTCGTGGTTTGCCCACGGTCAGCTGCAGTTGAGAGTTGTGCACCGCTAACTGGGTTACGCTGGCTGTGGCGGTGTGGTTATGCGCGGTGCGAGCAGACACCGGGGAGCAGATCCTGGTGGACGTGGAGGACAAAACGAACCAGGAGATCACGGCGCACGTCAAGAAGCTCATGGGCAAGTCACCGTAAGTATCTCCTCTGTCCGACGGCCACGGTGATGACAATGATGGCGATTGAAAATTACGAGCACGATGCTGCCACTGCTGACAATTACGACGATGACGAAAGGACTGTACATGTATGACATCTCAATTTAAAGCTTTCGTGACTGCTGGGATTCATCTTCTTGGTTCTTTCGGTAAAATCACGTAGAAGGGAAATAATAAAATAATAAAAATTTTACATAATAAAATACAATTCTCACGACGTTTCGGCCACAACGCAAGCAGCCGTCCTCAGGTGAAGAACAGGTCTGTCGGAAAGACAGCGTCTGAATGTTTTATTTTTTATTATTTCCCTTCTACGTGACTTTACCGAAAGAACCAAGAAGATGTATGACATCACCAACGTGAACGCCACTGACCCAAAACACGACCAATGACCACGATGAACTTGGCGATTACGACGGTCGATGCTGATTGTAACGATGCTGATGATAACAATCACAAAGTAAATCACCAGTGTGACGATAACGATGACGAATGTTGTCACGCCACAGGGAGCAGTTGGCGGAGGACGAACGCGCGCGCCTCGTGCTGTCCAACCCCGCCAACTTTGGCCGCAACGATCGCTACGAGCGCAAGTGCCTGTGCGAGGTCGAAGGTCAGGTGCCCTGTCCGGCCATTGTGCCGCTGCCCAAGGAGATGCGCGGCAAATACCGCAACGCCAAAATGGAGGACACTGCGTAGACGACGGGTGGACGCCGGGGGCAGCAACAATGACCACGTGGGCACAGCGGCGATGTGGTGTGGGCGATGTCGGCGAAACTGGGTGGACGATGGCACCCCCCCTCTCCCCTGCCTCACTACTCGCTTCACGTGTGACCTGGCCCCTTTTGTCATTCCACTGCTGGATGATGGCCTCTCCACGCCCTGTGGGCCACGACGGGTTGCTTGACTGTACTTTACGCTGGTTGGTGAAGAGGCCCTTGCAGTGACGGGAGGAAAGATTGAATGCGGGAAACACGGCGGTTTTGCGAGGTAAAACAATCTTCCCCTCCAGTACCCGATTAGTGCAGCGAAGTTGCGTGCAGCAATGGATCGTTGTCGTTGATGGGCCCTCTTAAAAGTGGTCGTGAAATGAAGCCGTGGGTCGTATCCATCGCCCATTTGACTATCGGTTTCCCACCCCTCTTGCCCTAAACTCTCATCCCGGAATGAACGCCACTCTGAAATCTGTGCACTGCGCTGTACACGAGACGAATCGGAGCTGTGCGTCAGGTTTTTCATGTTTGTACTTTATGTTTATTGTGCAACGACATTAACCGTAACCGCTTCTGGAGAGCGTTTAATAAACAGATTGCCTGGGTTGGCGACACCGACAAATCATCGTCGTCTGTTCCCCACACAGCAAACACCACCCTGGTAGCGGCACCAACTCCAGGGCACCCAGTCAGTCGACTCGGTTATAATCCACACCGCAGCCAATGCCCCTTCAAAGTGAATTCGCTTAATTTGCAAACTTCTAGTTATGGGAATTTAAAAGCATTCGTTTTGATTGCCAAGCAACATCTCGATAGCACAGACTGAGGTGGCACACCATCCACCTACTGTGGACAAGAGGTGACCGAAGGGATCTCACGAGTCGTTCTGTGATGTTTACTTCAGAGGCCGTTATTCACAACGGGGGCGATGGTTGCACTGTTTTTACCTCGCGATTATGGTGTTGGTATTGCTCCACGAGGTGACGAATCCGTCGGCATCCCGCGCAGGGCAGCGGGTAACCCTGTTAAGAGCACGGCCCACAAAGCGGACACTATAGAGCAGAGGTCGCAAACGGGTTTTGATTCCTTATCCGTACGCGGCCGCACCAGGGTCGCAAACGGGTACCCTACCCAGCCGGGTACGGGTAGGGTATCGGGTACCCGATTGCGACCTCTGGGATGAAGCCATGTTGCAGGCACGGGTGGGTTGATTCTAGGAACTTGAATTGTGAGAAGAGACAAGACGTTGGGAAATGAGTGACAAACAGTTACCAGTGACTCACGGCCTACCCGTACCCAGCTGCACCAGGGTCGCAAACGGGTACCTGTACCCGGCCGGGTACGAGTAGCCGGGTATCGGGTACGAGTAGCCGGGTATCGGGTACCCGGTTGCGACCTCTGCTATAGAGCTACCTGAGATCCCTTCATGTGACGTTTGGTGCACACAGTAGGGGGCACACCGTCTTGATATGCAGAGTAATGTAACGTTACTTGGCCATCAAACCGTAAGCCTCAAGAGCTAGAATTCGCGCAAACTGATCGCGGAGCCAAATGTTCCGTCCGGGGCTTCAAACCCAGGATCCCGTTTGTGCCAGACTCAGCACTGACCTCCGAGCCACCCAACCGCCTCTGGTTTTTATAAAGTAGAAGAAACACAAACTCGCATCCTGGCACCGGCTGACGCCCAGCACGGCACAAAGAAATAACGTGGACGCCGCCTTTCCTTACTCCCGCCCTGTTTAATTGTGCAACTTTAGAGTGATTGACAGTGACGGTGGCTTCTGGAGGGAGGGGTTGTGGGTAAAGTGACATCATCATGAACGCAAAGCTCCCATCGCCGCTCGACAAGCCCAGAGCAGATGCCTCCCTTGTCGGTACCACCTATGGTGGCATCACTTTAGTGGCTCCGATTTCTACGCGATAACCAATGGCAATGAGCGAGTTCTTGTTGTACATGTCGCTTGTATTTTAGTCGGTGCGAGTAAAAGTATTGCTACCTTCAAACCCATTTCTGCTCTGGCCCATGGACGACACCCACGGGAGAAAGTTTCTAGAGGGGGAGGAACAACCTGCAGCGTCGGCACTAGGGCAAGACCAGACCTGGTTCGTAGCCGGGCAACGTCAATATATAAATTCGGTTATTCCTCTGGCAACGCATGCAAGTGTAAGAATTTGTAACGTGAGCTTTATGTAAATGATGTATTTAGAATAATGGAGCAAATCGACACAAGTGAAGCGTATTATTATGGGACGAATCGTGGCCCCACATCGCGACGATGCATCCGGTCATGCGCTGTTGTTCCGTGCCCAGGCAGGTTCTTGCGCTCACAGCGCATGCACCGAATCGCATCTGCAAGAACCAAGCGATTTTACGACTGACGAAGATTATACGCCAACAGAATTTGGAACAACGATGCGAGACGCAACGCTACGATACAAGGCAGTGCAAACGGGATGGAGAATCGAGTGTTGCGATCGTGACGACTCATTGAGTCGTGGTGGGAGAGAACAGCTGCCGCTCGGGGTCTTGGATTCTCAGCTGGGTGCGGCATGGCGGTGATGGGCAGATTCCACGACTCGCTTCCGCCCCCGGCGACGCAGCAGCAGCCGCCGCCTCTGTTGCCGTCCCGGTTAACGCTGCGGTTGCATGAACCGTAACGAGACTGCGCGCCGTCCGCTTCACAGTGGACGCTGTCGATGCCACGAAGCGCTTCGACGCCGCGAAGCGCTTCGACAGCCGTCGGCCACGCGTGGCCAGCGACACGGTCCAAATTAGCCACGTTTGAAAATTTACTCCTTAAATCACTTAAATCGGGAAACATGGCGGCGATCGTCTGGGCGACTCCTGGGTAACGTAATGAATCATAAACTTCACCTTCAAAATCCACGGGCGGCTCTGGGTCACAGAAACCAGCGTGGGCCCTCCCCGAACCACAACAGCAGCGGGCGGGCGGGGGTTCGCAGCGTACGACGTCCGTCGGCACGCACGCAGAGTTAGTGTTCGGAAACTAAATTAAATTCACAGGCAGCGTAATACTTTAGAGGCGACGCCTCGAACGGCGCTACGGAGCCGCGAGCGCAGCGTTAGTGTTACACGTTGGACTTGGTCTAACGAGGGGGGGGGGGGGGGGTCAACGCGTCAATAAAGGCAGCGGGCACTTGTGCGACGGACGCTTCTCGAGGGGTGGCACCGTTCGTTTACTATTCTGAACCCCCGCCGCCCACGTGCTAGCTGAAGCTGTTACTGACCGTGGGAGATCAGAACCCCGAATCTTAACCCCAATTCGGCTACCCCCAGGGTTAAAATAATATATTAGTATTCTGATCTCAGGGAGGGGGGAGTCATTGTCACAGTAAAGTTTGTACCCCGGGGTTCAAATGCCTATCGAATATTTTTTTTATTCAAGTAACTTACCGCTTTCCTCAATGCTATTTCATCCAATAGGAACCACGACTGGCCAATTCTAACACACTCTGTAAAGTAAGTTGCACTCATCATCAGCACCAGACAGCAGTACGTGCAAGCCGACAACCCACTACTGACGCTGCCTACCGCCCTCTGCGTGTTGTCGCCTAAAAGCGCGTCGAGTAGCGTTGCGATGATTACATCTGTGGGCAGAAACCTGGATGTGTGGCTCCAATCGCAGTAATCATCAGCCATGGTCAATCCACTTCTGGATGAAGGCCTCCTCAAGCTGTCACCACCTCTTACAAGCCTGCGATGTAACGGTCTGCGGAGCACCTGACCACACATTTACAGCAGTGTTGTGCTTACGACAACTGTGGAAAGGATCCTACCCGTTTAGCTTATTCCGGCTACGCTAATTTCACCGCGGTCCAAGCTGCGTTTAGTCAACATACAGGGCAGTGGTCACAATATGCACCGCGTGCTGTGCTGACACGCGGCTTCGCATCCCAGGCGTGCAATTGTTCGCACCGGCGTCTGGCGCCAAGCGCTACGGCATCAACCAGACCAAGACGGACTCGCCAGTCCCCGCGAACCACCACGGACCCACCTCCGCGATGACCGAGCTCTATATTTGTGCGCAAGCTCAGCCACGGCCCGCACATCGTTATCAATATTCCCAACGGTCACGCTATGCGCCAGAGGTCGCAACCGGGTACCCGATACCCGTACCCTACCCGATACCCGGCTACCCGTACCCGGCCAGGTACGGGTACGGGTAGCCGTTTGCGACCCTGGTGTGGCCGGGTACGGGCAGGCCGTGAGTCACTGGTGAGTAACCGTTTGTCACTCATTTAGGGTAGGGTACGTGTAAGGAATCAAAACCCGTTTGCGACCTCTGCTATGCGCGCTGGGACGACGATTCGGTCGCGTTGCTTAAATCGATCGTCATCGATGACTTCTTCGTGGCCACCCCAGGGCGGGAAATCCACTCCGAGCCACCACGCTAACCGTGAGTGGCAGAGTGGCACCTCCCGTCCACCGGCACACGACAGAAGCGACATTATTCCCCAAGTGTTTTCGTGTTATCGGATCAGTTGAGCAATGGAGCCGATAATCGGTAGTCACGGACTACTCTACGAATCGGAGGGCCCGGGTTAGTAATAACAAGGGAGCTGAACCATGGCGGGTCACGCAGACCGGCTCGTCGAACCCCAGTTCCCATCCCACTTCACAGAGCAGGTTTCCGACACTGCCCATCGTCGTCGTCATCAACTAGCGTGCAAAGCGGACGGGGATGACGGGCAACCGTGACATAATAAATGGTCGTTTGGAAGGCCGAGGCCCCAAATGCCCCTTCTTCTACGCTGGTGCGCCAACGCGCAGGCCTGTCGGCACGCGCCGTCTTCCCAACTGGCTATTTCCCAAGCCGAACCAGAACCAAACGAAGAAACTCTGACCTCACGGGAAGACGCCTGAAACTGCCTCGGGGCCCCAACATGGCCACGGTCCGGGCTGAGAGTTTTCGTCATTTCAAGCGAAGATGTCCAGTGGCTTCTGCGGTGGAAACGCAACCTGGCACCCTCCTGAGCCGCGCTGGGCTGGCTTCGGCACAGCTCCCCATGCAGCTCGGTTGTGCAGTGGAAGAGGTAAACGTTAATGGTGACTACTGGTGTAAACCTGACACTTCACTCTTCCCAGACGCTAACGGGGGAACATCCCACGTCGCCCAGTGCAGAATCGAGCCAACTCGCTGTGCTATGTGTAGAAAGCAGCCACTGACACCACGACAGGACGACTCTATCCGAGTCGGCCACTCGCAAAATATTTCCACATCTAGCATACCACACATCAAGGATTTACCACTCAAATGGCTGTGGTGGTTACCAGTCACGTGCCACCTACTCCAAGTCTCTACTAGCGACCCGGAAAATACTGAGCCCTGGCGATAACACACAACGGTAACGGATGGTACCAGACGGTAACATCACAATCGTTAACGTTACATTCCCGGCGTCAAATTGCCTAGCTTAGATGGGTTCCGCTCGATGGGAATGTTACGCCAACCCATGAAACAAGCCAGGCAATAAAGTCCAAAATGCCAGTCTAAAGCCAAACTTGGCATTCTCATATCGCAAAAAAAATAAACTTAGCCAAGCGCCTACCGCAATACAACCAGCGTCGTCTCCACTCCACCGAACCGGCCGGCGTGGCGGGATGCCAGCCGACATCTAGGCGCTAGAGTGGAAGGTGGCACCTTTCCCGCGGGCCGTGTGAGTGGAACACCAAAATGGCGATCGGACAGCCCCCCCCCCCCTCATCGGCGCCCCGGTCGGACGAACAACATTGGCCACCCGAGCGCACTGAAGCCCTTGACAGAAAATGATGGAAGCCGCCCGACCGGACGGGCGGTGGCTAGAACGGAGTGGCACTGTTGGTCGGTCAGGGCAGGGTCCCCCCCCGCGGCGCCGCCGATGGCATCCGGCGAGAGGAGAGAACCAGTGCCTGCTGGAGCTCGCGCAGGTTTTGCGTGAGCGCGGCCACCTCCTCGGAGCGCCCGCCGCGTTTGGCGTCAAAGATGAACGCCCGGATGTTGTCGATCTGCTGGCGCAGCAGCTCGGGGTCGATGGCGCCGACGTTACCAGCGCCATCATCACCATTGTCGTCCACCTCGAAGGGGTTGCTGCTGCTGCCGCCGCTGCTGGCGACTGGCTGGGCTCCACGTCGCCTCCCCAAGTTGTCCTGGTGGAAGGGGTTCGTGGCGTCGCCCGCGTCCTCCTCGAACGGGTTTGCCAGCGACGGTTTTGGGGTCTCGTCAGGACGACGCGAGCTCCGGCCGTTGGCACCGACCTCCTCCTCCTCCTCAAATGGGTTTCCGCTCCCATTGGGCGCCTCGTGCCGACTGGCGCCTGGTCTCTTCGGGGACGGCGTCTGGGCGAAGGGGTTCCCGTCCGGGGAGCCCCGAACCGGAATCGGTTCCGCCAATGACCCCCGCTTCCTCCTTCCGCTGCCGGCGACGCCGTCTGCCTCGTCCAACTCGAACGGGTTGAGCGAGGAGGGTTCAGGCGCTGGCAGTGAAGAGGCGGTGGCTTTCGCCGTGCGAGGGCCTGGCGGTACCGCCACTGCTGCCGCCGAGGAGGGGATGGAGGAGCCGGAGTTGGCGAGGGCGGCGCCGGCCCGGGGTCCTGCGTCGTGCGAGCTTGCGTGAACCTGGGCTGTCGTTTGCCACGGAACACCGATCACTCCGCTCTGCTGCTGATGCTGCTGCTGCTGCTGCCGTTTCGCCGGGTGTTGCGGTCTCGTCATCTGCCGGACAACATCACCATTGGCCAAGATCAGTCCACTGCTGGGTGAGTAAGAAGCATCGGTGCATATTCGACACTGGAGTAACACGGCAATACCCCAGTTCATGTCGGGGATGCGTTGCTGAAAGGTGCGACGACCAATATCGAAACGAAGTGAATCGAATGAATTTACGAGGTAAGTGGGGTTGAGGCAACGCAATTCAGGAGGTGGTATTCATAAAGTGACGACGTATTTGCTTAACGACGTAAAAGGGGGAGACGTAAATCGGGGTACGACTGTCAGACGCGGAGATATTTCCTGTTTTAGGTTTCATGGTCTTCTTCCCAATTGCGTTTTCAGCGTTATGTTGTAATCTATCAACTGGTGGGTGAAAGTCTCGTAGCATCCACAAACCGTCGCTGCACGCGACCTAATTTCATCGCTCCGTCTCACGTTTGGACGTCCTCTAGGCCGTGTTGTTTCCCTCGGCTGCCAATCCATCGTGAATCTCGACCGCCGTCTTACCGTTCCTTCGAGCGATGATGCATCCTGGCAATGCGGCAATATTGACTGTTGGACTGCACTTCTATGCTCCCCACCTTCAACTTTGCACCGAGCACAGCATGTGGAGTCCCTTATCCAGCAGTGGACTGACAAGACGCCAACACAAGTTGTTAGGCAGTCGTGATTTTTCTCCGTTTACCCCGGCTCACACAAGTCAAGTGCAAGAGAGACCCGCACAGAGAGGTAGCCCACGCGACAGGGTACCTTGGTCGGCGACGAGAGGTCATGCCAAGGGCCGCCGGGCGGCGACGGTCGTTCCGGCTGTCCCCGGACCATGGGCTCCGGCTGTGCGGCTTCCGGCTTCGGCGACGGTGACGGTGCCAGGGCTGTGGCGGTGGCACCATCCCCACGCGATCTTACGGACAACCCTTTTGTGGGGTCGTGCTCCTGCGACCTTGCGGGCGACCCCATCGTGGGGTCGTGTCCCTGCGACCTCGCTGGTGACCCCATCGTGGGGTCGTGCTCCTGCGACCTCGCTGGTGACCCCGCGGGGCTGTCACGGTGGCTGCGCTCCCGGAGGAGGTGGAGCTGGCGAGCCTGGAACTCCTCGTCCTCTTCCGCCTGCAGGGCCACCCGCTGCGCCAGCTGATGAAGAAAGCGCACACAGCGTCGGGGGATCTTAACAGCGAGCATCAGCTCTGTACGTCCGTGTGTCCGTCACAAGATTATCCGTTGTGAACAGAATTACAGGGAGAGGTTCCATTGCTGCGAGGCACTCAACCGAGAGCAAAAAGGACACGGGATCAAAGTGTTGCGCAAAATGTAGGAGGCAAAAACCAGGGCGATAAGAAACTATTGGAAAATACGCGATCGCATTTTGTTCTGAAAGTTCTGCCGCCGAGGACAAATGCGGAAGTGGAGTTACATCATCCATGCGTACACATTAAAAACAAAGTCAATAGCTGGCCAGATGCCCAGGGCATCAGAGGATGTCTCCGTCTTAGAAAGTCGCCGGTCGCTTTGACTAAACTTCACCGCTAGGGGAACCCAAAAAGTCACTCAAATCTAGCGGCAACATCGCCGCGTTGGCAGTACGGCGTGGGCGCGTTGGGTGGAGCCCGCACCTCCATCTGCTGCGCGTCGTACTCCTGCTGCAGCTGCTGCAGGTTCTCACGCAGCGTGCGCGCCTCGTCCACGCGCCCCGCCGCCACCGCCTGCCGCACGTAGTTGCGGATGTTGCCGATCTGCTGCAGCAGCGGGTCGTCCAACTCGCCGATGGGGCCACCGTGCCCTTCCACGCCTGACGCCGGCACGCCGCTCTCGGGCAGCCACCCGGTAGCGCTGTCCACCGCCGGCCGTTGGTGCCGGGGCGGCTGCTGCTGCTGCTGGCGCTGCTGCTGCTGCTGCTGGCGCTGCTGCTGGGAGTCGAGCGAAGTCTGTGTTCGGAATGGAGACGCACGCGGTTCGTACGTCACCGTGCGGGTCTCAAGATGGTCAGGCTACGTGACGATGGCAGGTGAAGAAAAATGCGATGTTGATCGTTCCCTTGAGGTTAATTACGAGGAAAGTTCCAGATCAGGGGGTGGGGTGGAGCAGTGATCTGAGCACTGCGCAATGAACCCAGTCGTGTACGAGTGACTTTGACTTTGTCGCGTCTGTTTTCATGCGCGTGTCTGTGTCCGCATTTGCCTCTGTGCATTTATCTGTCCACACACTTGTCCCCCCCGTGTGTGCACGTGTCCAGGTCCGTGTGCGGATGTGGATCTGCCCGTGTGCGTGCGTGGACGCGTCTGTCCGTGTGCGTGTGCGTCTGCCCACGTGTATCCACACATATACACGCGTCTGTGTGCTTTTGCGTCCATGCACATCTATCCACATGCAAGCATCTGCCTGTGGAGGCGTGCGCACACACCTGTACGCACGCACGTGTACCTGTGCATCTCTGTCCTGTGCACGCGTGCCTGCTTGTGCGTGTGTCTGCGTGCGTGTGTCTGTGTGCGTGCCTGCCTGTGCGCGTGTCTGCGTGCGCGTGTGTCTGCGTGCGCGTGTGTCTGCGTGCGTGTGTCTGCGTGCGTTTGTCTGCGTGCGCGTGTCTGCGTGCGCGTGTCTGCGTGCGCGTGCCTGCCTGCGCACGTGCCTGCGTGCGCACGTGTCTGCGTGCTTGTCTGCGTGCGCACGTGTCTGCGTGCGCACGTGTCTGCGTGCGCACGTGTCTGCGTGCGCACGTGTCTGCGTGCGTGTGTCTGCGTGCGTGTGTCTGCGTGCGTGTGTCTGCGTGCGTGTGTCTGTGTGCGTGTCTGCGTGTGTCTGCGTGCGCTCGCCTGTCTCTCCTGCATGACGCGGCTCTCCGCCTCACGCCTCCGCCCCTCCTTCAGCTCCTCGTAGCGATCGGCCGTCGGCAGCGACTGCAGCCCCAGCAGCTTCTCCTGCGGCGTGCGCGCGACACCCGCGACCGGTCAACTCCCCACAGCACCGGCTCACGGTGCAACCCTCACCCCACCCCCCCCCCCCCAGCGACTCCCCTCCGCAGTTCTGGTGCCAATCCGGCAGCTACGAGGCAGCCAAAGGCAGCGCCAGTGGAGGGGGGGCAGGGGGGCGAGTGCCCCGCAAATTGGTAGACTCGGGAAGGGCAAAAATAGACTTCAGCCCCCTCCTGACCCCCCCAACACAACTCCTTGGGGACAGGGAAGTGCAAGCCAAGGTACGCATTATCAACTCGCTCTGTACCGTTAATATCTGCAGTACACCGCAAATGCATTGTACATTACTAGACGCTGAGTAACAGCCACATGATGGAACACGCCCAACAGGGGATATATTCATCCTGGCGATGGAGCGACGAAATCGACTCATGTGCAGCGGTGGATAGATCATGGAGTACGATGATGATGTTGGGGATAATGATGACGACGACGTCCCGCAGATGACAGGACAGCAGCAGCTAGCGGAGGCAGCAGAAGTTTCCGCACCTGCACGAAGAGGCTCACGCTGTAGCGAATCATCTTCTGCAGCTTCAGTGCCTTGGCATGAGGGGGTGGGTCATCCTTGACACCCAGGTTCAGGATCTTCTTGCTGTACAGAAAGTGGGGGGAGGGGCGCACAGAGGGGGATTAGAGGGGAGAGAGGCCACAGCCAGCGGGGACGGATCTCGGCGCGCGTGTAACGATGGATCGGTTCACGGAGCCAACTTGTTCGAACGCTAACGAACCGATTAACCTCTGACCCCAGCGCTCACCTGATGACATCCACCAGCTCGTACAGCTTCATCAGCTCCATGCGCATCGCATTGCCTTGGTCCAGGGTGTAGGTCGTCTCGCCGGCGCTGCAACAACAACTCACCTCCGATTAGCACGGTTGGCTACGTACGGTGCGAAAGAAGTTCAACACACGTACAGCGGAGGTGGGAGGATGAGGGGCGGTCAGGGTAGGGGAGAGGGCAGCACGAGTGTAGTGGGTCAGGATCGTCAACATTTGGTGTGCGGCAATGGGTGGTCACGCACGACGGATCGTCGAACGCTGCGATGAATTGTCACGATCGGAGTGGGCGGGAGCGTCACTACTCAGTGCTGTGGCGCCACTCACTTCAGGGAGTCGGCCATCCTGCCGTACTCGGGCGCCAGCTGCTCCACCTTCACCATGTTCTGATGCAGCTTCTGAAGGATTAAGGTGGGCAGTGCGAGCAGAACGTTAGAGATTAAAAACGGACCACTGAGCCTATGGGTCTATATGTGAGTCTATGGGTGGGTCAATAACACATTCCTGCGGAGGGAGCTGGTAGGAACGTTGGGTTGCTCGGTCAATGGCCAGGGTCAACGGCGGCGTGGTATATTCCGCAAATATGCCCGACTGTGAGGGCGGGCACAAGCCGGCGTGAGTAGGTTAAACGTTGAGTTTTATAAGGGCACCACGGGGTGACCAGCCCCTCCCCACCCAGCCCCACCCCCCACCCAGCCCCACTCTCCCCACCCAGCCCCTCCCCACCCAGCCCCTCCCCACCCAACCCCACCCAGCCCCTCCCCACCCTCCCCTCCCCACCCAGCCCCTCCCTGCACGACGGACGGACACAATAATCCCCTGTGGGCTAGTGTAACCAGGAGGTTCCTACCAGTATCAAAGGGTATCTATGCAAGTCTATAGGTCTCTGACAACCTAGTTTCATCACAACAAAGTCTATGCAAGTCTATGGATCTCCATGCAAGTCTATGTGTCTCAATGTATGTCACTGGTGACCAGGCTGAGACCACCAACTTTCAACCACTGAAAACCCGGTTTAATCACAACCAAGTCTACGTAAGTCTATGAGTCTCCATGTGAGGCTATGCAAGTCCATGACCCTCGGTGTGATTCCATGCATCTCCAAGCACGTCTCTTGTACTCCATGCGAGTCAATGGCGATAAGGCTGATACACACTCCCTACGCTAGAGAACCCGGAATAACCACGGTTCCACCCCGTGATCTCAGCAGCGCCAGCTCCGCATCTCCACATCCCGACCCTCTCATCGTCAGCGCCCCTCCTGCCGGCACCCGCACCTCATAGAGCGCCACGATGGCCGGCTGCCGGTGCTGCTCGTCCATCTGGTGCTCGTGCCGCACCAGCGCCTCGCGGCAGTGCCGGCAGCACCGCACCCGCTCGTCGTCCTTGTCCTCCAGGAGCAACGAACCCACGCTGCTGGTGCTGCCGCGCCGCCGGTGCCCGCCGCCCTCGCCGGGCCGGCCAGCTGCCCTGGCACCGGCGGCGCTGCCACCGGACCAGGCCGTGGGCAGAGACGCGGATGATCCGGCCAAGCTCGATACGCGGTTGGCGCTGGTCAGCTTGTCTGCGTCGCACAGAGGGGAGGATCGCAGTCAAGTTTAGGGTCGCTCATCGCCATCGTCTATATGTTGCGGGATGAAACCATGCCGGTCTCTCATGGTCGCGCTGTTACTCGTCAGTAAATAGTAAAGTGGGTCCTGCGGTTTTGCCTACAGCGCACTTTTCACAAACACGACAGCACAATTAATGATCACAATTCCATTAGTCGGTCAAATATTTTGTCATTTTGTTCAACAAGGCTTGTTTTGTTCCTCTCTATAGTCTGTCTCATCTGTACAGATGCGTTCACGAAATGCAACACTCGCACATTGTTAGCAGATCATTCGAATCCATTACAACCATTAATTCTGACTCAATTCAATTTTAAGAATTATATCACGAGCAAAAGAGGAGACTTTAATCGACGCATAATTACGCACCTCGGACCACCTGACCGCCCGAATTACATTGTCCTTTAAACTCAAGCTAGCGCTGCGCAGCCGGTGCCTTGCAGCCAGCAGAGTGGGACGCACCGGCGAAGGCGATGGTGAGGAAGTGCGTGCAGCGCTTGCACATGATGGAGCCGCAGAGCCGGCAGTGGTGGCGGCGGCTCGTCACCGAAAACCCGCGGCCGCAGTCGGGGCAGCACGGCACGTCCTCGTCGCTCACCCACGTCACCACCGACCGCTCCAGCACTACCGCCGTGTGTGAAGAGGGGGGTGGGATAGGGCAGTGGAGACAGCACAGCAGAGAGAGGTCCCTGGGTGAATAACTGGCACGAGTAAATATTTTTCGCTATTCGAACGCAGCGACATTTCGTGCAGAAAAATTTCAAGGAAAGCGGAGGCTTAAATTTCGATTTAAAGCTTTCGTGACTGCAGGGATTCATCTTCTTGGTTCTTTCGGTAAAGTCAGGTAGAAGGGAAATAAGAAAGTAAGAAGATGAAAGCGGAGGCCTCACCTTTCCTCTTGGCCGGGTCGGTGTTCATGCGATCAAACGACGTCAGCTGAGAAAGCGGAGACAACACAGTGGGAAACATGCTCAGCGAGACATTGCTGCTCCACTCAGCTTGAACTTTCGTCAGCGTGGGCTCTCACACCGAGACAGGGTTCATGTGTATGAACGTATGTGCCTCCCCTGCGTCTTCACAGCACTGTGAAAGATTACGGCGGAGATTTTGATTTTACAAAAAATTACCGGATCACCCGTTCACCAAATCACCTGAAATGCGGCAAATCTCAGAAGCTAAGCTGATTTAAGCCTGGATAGTTCTTGGAATGGCGACCACCAACCACAAAACAGGTGGTTGTAGGCTGCTGCATGGCTACATTCTGGCAGACAATGCGCCACACGGGGGTCCGAGGTCCACATCTCTTATATCTATGAGATTGTTTTGGCAGTATCAAGAATGATGAGAAAATAAGAATAGGCTTTACCCTTTCTGGAAATAAAACAGGTGTTAAGAAGGCTGTCTCTGGTGTAGGCTAATCAGTTTCAAAGACAATGGATATATTATCAGAGCAAGTATGTGTGACTAATGCAGACTTGATGCCTTGCAATAGGTATCTATTTAGTTTTCGATTTAAAGCTTCTTTCGTGACTGCAGAGATTCATCTTCTTGGTTCTTTCGGTAAAGTCACGTAGAATGTAAATAATAAAAATAAAACAATAAAATAATTCTCACGACGTTTCGGCCACAACGCAAGCAGCCGTCCTCAGGTGGAGAACAGGTCTGTCGAGAAGACAGAGTCGTGAGAATTAGTTTTGTATGTTTTATTTTTATTATTTTATTATTTACATTCTACGTGACTTTATCTATTTAGTGTTTAAACAACATAACACCTGTTTTATTGCCAAGCCTAGTCCACATCTCTTGCTCTTTGTATTTGGCCTCTACCTGCAGGGCGACGGACTCCCCGCGTCGTGCCGGGCAGTGGCTTAACACAAGTGGCTCTGCATGTCCACGTTTAGATGTTGCGGCTTTACGTGTGGAGAGAGAGAAACCACGAAGGGTGGACTCACCTTCTCTAGGCGGATGAGCAGCCTGTTCATCTCGATGACGGAGCGGTCAATGCGAGCCGCCCTCACCCTCTTAAAGTCGTCCAAGTGACTTCGTTCCAAACCTAAAAAACAAACATCAGCTCTGCTCGGTGACACGAGACGCACGCACGAGCAGAACCATCAGCCGCACGTGTCCATGTAGCCACTGAACCTCATGGGAGGGTCACGGGGCGAGGACAAGGGTTCAATCCAGCCGGGCAAGTTCAGGTCAGCGACCTGTAAAATATTTCCACACCCGGTAGATATGAACCCATAGGCTTACAAAGGACCCAGACTTACTTGGGCTAAATAACCTTATAAAGGATCCACACACTTGCATAGCACCCACAGACTTACATGTGTAGAGGTGATACGCGCTGGGATTAAGGATCGTATGCACAGTGCGTGATGATTGGCTGTGTAGGTGGTGACGCGCGCTGACGGTGGAGGATCAGGGGTCAGCGTGGGGTCGTGGGTTACGGGGTACCGATTGGCTGTGGGCGGTGACGCGCTGAGAGGGAGTGATCAGGTGGCAGCGCAGTGTGATTGGTGGAGTAATGTTAACACGCGCTGGGGAAAGCGGATCGTAGAGAGAGTGCGTCGTGATTGGGTCATTAAGGAACGACGCTCACGTCGACGCCGCATCAGCTCCGTCCCTCGTGAGCAGGGGCTATAAAAGGGGATGCACACAGGCGTAAGGGCAGTGTGTAACCAGCGAAGAAGGAAGACGGGGATGAAGACCTAGAGCCCTGCGGTACCTAGCCCCGCTGTCCTAAGGGGACCGGGACTCTGTGTAACCCAGAGGCGAGTGTAGTGGGTGTAGCCATAGGTCTACACGAGCCGAATGTACTATGTGTAGCCAGGGCATAGGGCTTACACGAGTCGAGTGTATTGGGTAGCCAGAGGCATAGGGCTTACACGAGTCGAGTATATTGTGTGTAGCCAGAGGCATAGGGTCTACACGAGTCAAGTGTATCGGGTGTAGCCAGAGGCCTAGAGCTTACACGAGATTAGTGGAGTGTGTCGGAGGAAGAAGAGAGACCACACGTTGTATTGTGATACCTAAAGGATTTAATAAAAGTGTGTTACCCGTCAAGAAGTTCCTGCCGTCAATTCCCATACTTCACATGGGACCAGGGATTAGGTCCAGCAAAGTCGACGAGCTGGAAAGCATATCCGCAATCGGCACACCACATCCACCATACCTCTCATTGTGGCTGTGGTAACTACTAGTTGTGGGCCACCTACTCCAGTCGACCAATGACCCAAATGTATTCAGTGAAAACAAATTCAGGCCGAGGGTACGAGAGTTCGTCTGACCCGGTCCGACCCGGTCCCACCTACCGGGTTCCTGGGGCTCCCACATCCACGTGTCAATGCCTCCCGTCGTCACCACCGCTGCCGCCACCGAGTCAGCTGCTCCATCTGTGCCCGGGTCCACCCTCTCGTCCCTCTTCAGGAGCTTGCTCTTGGCCCTGCCGAGGAGATCTAAACACACGCGCCACCAGGCACATGTGAGGGCAAATCCACGGTGTATGGGGCATGTCCGTGGTGCAGTGGACACGTGCGGAGTGGTAGCGAGGGCGGGGGCGTAGTCTGTGGGGCATGTCCATGGTGCAGTGGGCACGTGTGGAGTGGTAGCGAGGGCAGGCACGTAGTCTGTGGGGCACGTCCGTGGTGCAATGGGCACGTGTGGAGTGGTAGCGAGGGTGAGTGCACAGTCTGTAGGGCATGTGCGGGGTGCAGTGGCCACGTGCGGAGTGGTAGCGGGGGCGGGTGTGCAGTTTATGGGGCATGTCCGTGGTGCAGTGGGCACGTGCGGTGTCGTAGCGAGGACGGGCGCGTAGTCTGTGGGGCACGTCCATCGTGCAGTGGGAACGTGCGGCGTGGTAGCGAGGGCGAGTGCACAGTCTGTGGGGCACGTCCGTGGTGCAGTGGGCACGTGCGGTGTCGTAGCGAGGGCGGGCGCGCACTCTTGATGTGGTGCACCACGTGGCGGTCGTCCTCCGAGTGCGCGTCCTCGTAGTGCGCCTGCAGCTGGTACACGGAGGGGAAGTCGCGCACACACATGGGGCACAGGAAGCCCTCCCGGATCTCGGGCCCCGTGTCTCCGTCCGTGTCCCCCATCTCACGGCCGGTAGAGGTGGATCCTCTCTCCTTGCCGGGGGGCACCAGGTGCTAGCCGGCAGCAGACGGACCTGCGGGGTTGAGATGGGAAATCTTTAGTTGTGATGGCAAGTTGAAGCCTGCCAGTCTACGTTTGTGTTTGAAAACTGGATTGGCAGAGGCCTTCATCCAGCAGTGGATTGTCCGTGGCTGATGATGACGTGAAATTCAATGTTTCATCAACAGCCATAGGATCAGTTGTCAAAGTCTAAAATCAACAAGCACTACTTGTAAGGGATCAGTCAAGTCTACACTTGAGTTTCGTGCCGACTGATTAGTAAGCAACCCGTCAGCACTATAGTAGGTAAATAGTAATTAGTTTAACACGTAGCAGGCTTTCACGACCAATATTCATAATCAACGTTTTTGAGTTAGATCGCGTTATTTATAAATGTGTCGTAACCCTCCACCACCCGACACGGCCAATCAGCAAAAAAAAAAGTGTTACGTCGACAAAAGACAAAATAGTTCACTGACATTTTTTTTACTGATTGGCCGTGTCGGGTGGTGGAGGGTTACGACACATTTATAAATAACGCAATCTAACCCAAAAACGTTGTTTATGAATAAATATAATTATTAAGCACGGAATGTGGCGAGTAAGCTATTAGGAAGCACTACTGCCGTCAAACACAGCGGTGCGTTATCAGCAAACACGACAGCTATCCGGCTGATGAGTGGACGGCTGACTGTAGAGAGGATAGTAAGTGCTCTACAGTAAGCACGGGAACTCTGTCGGGATGGTGTCTAGGGGATTGTGCGATGGTTAAGGAGTTGGTAGGAGCGAGTGCAGAATAGAGTGGAGGGGAGAGTGGGGGTCGTGGAGTGAGTGGGGTCGAGTGAGTGCGGGGTAGTAGTAGAGTGAGTGGTAGTGGTAGTAGAGTAGTAGTAGAGTGGTAGTAGAGTGAGTGATTGAGTGGTAGTGGTGAGTGAGTGGTAGTGGTAGAGTAGTAGTAGTATAGTGTGGTAGTAGAGTGAGTGGTAGTGGTAGTAGAGTAGTAGTAGTAGAGTGGTAGTAGAGTGAGTGATTGAGTGGTAGTGGTGAGTGAGTGGTAGTGGTAGAGTAGTAGTAGTAGAGTGGTAGTAGAGTGAGTGATTGAGTGGTAGTGGTGAGTGAGTGGTAGTGGTAGAGTAGTAGTATAGTGTGGTAGTAGAGTGAGTGGTAGTGGTAGTAGAGTAGTAGTATAGTAGTGTAGATGAGTGATTGAGTGGTAGTGGTGAGTGAGTAGTAGAGTAGAAGTAGTATAGTAGTGGTAGTAGAGTGGTAGTAGTAAAGTAGTAGTAGAGTGGTAGTAGTAGAGTGAGGTAGTGGTAGTAGAGTGGTAGTAGTAATAGTAGTGTAGTAGAGTGAGTGAGTGGTAGTAGAGTAGTAGTAGTAGAGCGGTAGTAGTAGTGTAGTAGTAGTAGAGTGAGTGGTAGTGGTAGTATAGTAGTGTAGTAGTAGAGTAGTAATAGTAGTGTAGTAATAGTAGTATAGTAGTAGTATAGTAGTAGAGTAGTGGTAGTATAGTAGAGTGAGTGGTAGTACTGAGTGAGTAGTAGTAGTGTAGTAGTAGAGTAGTAGTGTAGTAGAGTAGTATAGTAGTAGTGTAGTAGTGGAGTAGTAATAGTAGTGTAGTAGAGTGAGTGAGTGGTAGTAGAGTAGTAGTAGTAGAGCGGTAGTAGTAGTGTAGTAGTAGTAGAGTGAGTGGTAGTATAGTAGTGTAGTAGTAGAGTAGTAATAGTAGTGTAGTAATAGTAGTATAGTAGTAGTATAGTAGTAGAGTAGTGGTAGTAGTGGTAGTATAGTAGAGTGAGTGGTAGTACTGAGTGAGTAGTAGTAGTGTAGTAGTAGAGTAGTAGTGTAGTAGAGTAGTATAGTAGTAGTGTAGTAGTGGAGTAGTAATAGTAGTGTAGTAGAGTGAGTGAGTGGTAGTAGAGTAGTAGTAGAGCGGTAGTAGTAGTATAGTAGTAGAGTGAGTGGTAGTAGTGGTAGTATAGTAGAGTGAGTGGTAGTACTGAGTGAGTAGTAGTAGTGTAGTAGAGTAGTATAGTAGTAGTGTAGTAGTGGAGTAGTAATAGTAGTAGTGTAGTAGAGTGAGTGAGTGGTAGTACTGAGTGAGGTAACCTGCTGCTCCCTCTGCTTTGATTTCGTGAGGCGGCGGCGGCGTCGCCCTCTCCGCCCTCGCGCCACCGCCCAGCGCCACGCTCTGTGGACCCAGCACCGCAGCCACTGCCACCACCACCAGCAGCAGCAGCAGCAGCGTGTGTGGCTGCCTCGCTACCCCCCCTCCTCCTACACTCCCAGACTGACGGTCGCCTCTACGGTCGCCACGATCCCCTCTGTTGTGGTTCCACACCACGGAGCTCGCGACACTTCTCTGGCCGTGGGGGGGCGGGGCCCGAGTCCCCCCCTTAGTGTCGGCGCGTCCGATTGGATCCCCGCACTCGGCCAATCACGGCGAGGAAGGGGCAGAGGTGGTTGTGGGTGGGGGGGGTTGGGGGTTTTGGGTGGAGGCGGTTGTGGGTGGGGGGTGGATGGGGGGGTGGGGGGGGTGGCGGTTGTGGGTGGGTGGTTGTGGGTGGGGGCTTATGGGTGGGGGGGGTTGTAGATGGGGGGGGCGGTTGTAGGTTGGGGGGGTTGTGGGTGGGGGGGGGGGTCGTTTTACCCCCGGCGCTTGTGAATGCAACAAATCGGACAGCCAGACCCAATAGTCGATGGGTGATGATCTTGCCTGTAAATGGTTCCTCGCGGGATCGTGAATCGACGCTAATCGTATCGATTCCCGGCAAGCCAGCTCAAAGTCGATCGTGAACTTGCGGGTTAATCGTCGTGTCGAACCATCGCCAATCGATTCACGGATCGAGTGATCCCATTGGGTCGTATGGCGTCGCGTGACACGGTCCCCACCCGCCCTCCTTTCTTGATTGGCTATTATCTGAACAATTAGCGATTCCGTCGGACTTCGTATTGATTGTATCATCAACTAGTCCACCAACAACGTCAACCCGACGTCCCATTGGCCGAGCTGCGTGCGGACTTCAGAGGCCGAAAATCCCCCTCCGATTGTCTCGCGGGAGGACAGGCGACGAGTTTGCTCGCTTGGGGAAAGGGCGCGCGGTGATTCGCCGTCGCTGAGACAAATGTGGGGCCGTGTGGGTGCAGAGGAAGGCGACCCCGCCCGCCACACCCCCTACTCCAGATACCCCCCCCCGTCTCACACCCCCCCGTCTCACACCCCCCACCTTCTACACCCCCTCCGCCCTCCACACCCCCTCCTTCCGAACCCCCCCCCCCCACCTTCCACACCCCCTCCGCCTCCCCCCGTCTCACACACCCCCCCCCGTCTCACACCCCCCGTCTCACACCCCCCCCCCGTCTCACACCCCCCCCCGTCTCACACCCCCCCCCCGTCTCACACCCCCCCCGTCTCACACCCCCCCCCCCGTCTTACACCCCCCCCGTCTCACACCCCCCCCCCCGTCTCACACCCCCCCCGTCTTACACCCCCCCCCCGTCTCACACCCCCCCCCCGTCTTACACCCCCCCCCCCGTCTTACACCCCCCCCGTCTCACACCCCCCCCGTCTTACACCCCCCGCCCGTCTCACACCCCCCCCCCGTCTCACACCCCCCCCCGTCTTACACCCCCCCGTCTCACACCCCCCCCCGTCTCACACCCCCCCCGTCTTACACCCCCCCCGTCTCACACCCCCCCCCCGTCTTACACCCCCCCCGTCTCACACCCCCCCCCGTCTTACACCCCCCCCCCCGTCTCACACCCCCCCCCGTCTCACACCCCCCCCCGTCTTACACCCGTCTCACCCCCCCTCCCCACACCCCCGCCCCACACCAATCCCCCCCCCCCGCCTCATTGTAATGCAGTGCGACGTCATCACGCGGCGACGCGAACGATGCCGTTGAATTCAGATTTGGCGGGAACGTGCCTCGTGTAAGATGGCCGACAAAAACCACCGAAGATGACATCACGAATATTTATTACCGTTCACTTGATACGATATTAAAAATATACATTGATCGTTAAAAATGTTATAAATTACGACAGCAATGATAGGCAAGTTTGAAAATTAAAAATAAAATGTTATTGTGAGCTTTTTTTGACACGAATGTGCGTCTATGGAAACGGTTCCGCGCATGCGCATTGCGGCGCTTTCCTCGGTGTGGGCCAAAAGTCACAGAGCTGGGGTCGCGAAGACGCGGGGACACGTGACACAACAACCACCACCACCACCACACAGACCACAACCACACACAGACTACAACCACTACAACAACCACCACACAGACCACAACCACACAGACTACAACAACCACTACAACAACCACCACACAGACTACAACCACTACAACAACCACTACAACAACCACCACACAGACCACAACCACACAGACTACAACAACCACTACAACAACCACAGACTACAACAACCACTCAGACTACAACCACACAGATTACAACAACCACTACAACAACCACACAGACTACAACAACCACTACAACAACCACACACAGACTACAACCACACAGACTACAATCACACAGACTACAACAACCACACACAGACTACAACCACTACAACAACAACCACTCACAGACTACAACCACTCACAGACTACAACCACTCAGACTACAACACAGACTACAACCACAACAACAACCACCACCACTCAGACTACCAACAACCACACAGACTACAACCACTACAGCAACCACACAGACTACAACAAACACTACAACAACCACACTCAGACTACAACCACACAGATTACAACAACCACCACTGAGACTACAACCACACAGACTACAACAACCAAAACAACCACTACAACAACCACACACAGACCACAACAACCAAAACAACCACTACACCATCACCTACACTCCAGTCGCTCCTACTCACGAATACAACACACACTACACCCGTGCTACAACGAGATAACATCAATATTTACACGAACACACAACGACACAGCAGCCTTTAGACCGAGCCATCAAACTAAACAAAACCCGCATACAACTTCCACCTTTGCAATAACTCGTTACAACTGCACATTCTCAACACGAACACCTCCACACGGCTTACATCTCGACCCAAACAAAACTCGCAACAGTAAACCACCACCACCACACGCAGCAGCAACAACAACAACACAACAACAACAACCTGTCACCATCACATAGACACGACCTCACGTGGAGGTCACTGTATCAGCCGAGTCTTGGGCGGCAGGGAGTGAAGAGGTGGTTGGTGGTGGTGGCGTTTGGTGGTTGGTGGTGGCCTTTGGTGGTGGTTGGTGGTGGCCTTTGGTGGTGGCCCCGTGATGCCGCGATGCCGCTGCAGGTGAAGTGGCCGTTCCCGCGGGGGCAGCCCGGGGCCACGTGGCGCGCAGCCAGCCTCGTGGTGATGGGACTCGTCGGCTCCTACAGCCGCCTGTGGATGAGTGAGTCCCGCGGGGGTTGTGGTGGTGGTGGTTGTTGTGGTGGTGGTGGTTGTTGTTGTGCGGGGAGCGATGGTTATTGTGCGGGGAGCGGTGGTTGTAGCGGTGGTTGTTGTTGTGCGTGGAGCGATGGTTGTGGTTGTTGTGCGTGGAGCGATGGTTGTGGCGGTTGTGGTGCAGGGAGCGATGGTTGTAGCGGTGGTTGTTGTGCGGGGAGCGATGGTTGTAGCGGTGGTTGTGGTGCAGGGAGCGATGGTTGTAGCGGTGGTTGTTGTGCGGGGAGCGATGGTTGTAGCGGTGGTTATTGTGCGGAGAGCGGTGGTTGTTGTTCTTACTGGACTAAGAGTTCTCACTGAGCGAGGAGTTCTTATGGACTAAGAATTATCATTTTTATTTAAAGCTTTCGTGATTGCAGAGATTCTTCTTCTTGGTTCTTTCGGTAAAGTTACGTAGAAGGGAAATAATAAAATAATAAAAATTAAAATAAAATACAATTCTCACGACGTTTCGGCCACAACGCAAGCAGCCGTCCTCAGGTGACGAACAGGTCTGTCGGAAAGACAGCGTCTGAATCAACACCACCAAGCTTGGCAGCGTATATTTAATCCTACATAATGCACGGGCATAATATGACTTTGAGACCCCCCCCACCTCCTACACATTCCACAAGTAGTGACTAATCCCATATCTGCATTTACCATAAATATGCTAAATTCCTCTGTTGATATGCAAATTCCTTTGTCAAGGCGCCCTTTCTCCTCTAACCCAGTTTAAATATACGCTGCCAAGCATGGTGGTGTTCATTCAGACGCTGTCTTTTCGACAGACCTGTTCTTCACCTGAGGACGGCTGCTTGCGTTGTGGCCGTAACGTCGTGAGAATTGTATTTTATTATGTTTTATTATTTTATTATTTCCCTTCTACGTGACTTTACCGAAAGAACCAAGGAGATGAGAGTTCTCACTTAGCTAGGAGTTCTTACCTGGCCAAAGAGCATTTGCTTGACCCTTGATTGGGGCCAGAGATCGCAAACGGGCTTTGATTCCTTACCCGTACCCAGCCGCACCAGGGTCTCAAATGGGTACCCGTACCCGGCTGGGTACGGGTACCCGTTCCCTACCCGTACCCTACCCGAAATGAGTGACAAACGGTTACTCACCAATCTTAATTTTGGAGCTTTCGTGACTGCAGGAATTATTCTTTGGTTCTTTCGGTAAAGTCACGTATAAAGATAAAATAATAAATTAAATAATAGCATACTACGACGTTTCGATTGCAACACAAGCAATCATCATCAGGTATAAAAGAAATAGCAACAAAAATCTAACCAGAAAACTATAGACAGACATATAAGCAGACATATATCACAAAGATACACAGAGAGAGAACATGTATCGGCAGTGACTCACGGCCTACCAGTACCCGTACCCGGCCGCACCAGGGTCGCAAACGGGTACCCGTACCCGTACCTGGCCGGGTACGGGTAGCCGGGTATCGGGTAGGGTACGGGTATCGGGTAGGGTACGGGTATCGGGTACCCGGTTGCGACCTCTGATTGTGGCTCCCGCTGCCCGCAGGAGTGGTCAACCGGCTGGAGGTTCACAACGCGGCCGCCCTGAACGAGGCCCTCGCCGAGCGGCCGCCCGGAACTCCGCTCATCACGCTCGCCAACCATACCTCGTGCATGGACGACCCTCACCTGTGGGGTGAGCAACTACCCCCGACACCTGTGTGGTGAGACTGGCACAGAGGTGGGTCGATGAACTCGTTTCATCGACAAAGAGTTTGTAATCGACTGCTTGTTCGATTACTCGGCCCCATTACAAAGGGCGAGCACACCCCGACATCCTGTCTCCCGAAGGCAGGAAACCCCCTACAGGCCACGCCCAGCGGCACACGTGGTTAGGCCCCCATATTCAGCCCCAGTGGGCCTTGATGCCGTTATGATCAGCCGAGGCTGCCCCCCTGCCTCCCTGGGAGCCTTGCTCCCTTTTTCCACTGTCACCTCCGATCCGAGCCAGCGTGGGGCCCTCATGGCGCCCTAGCTTTCCTGAGCCGAGCCAGAAGCAAACTGGTTGCATCTGGCTTGGGGCCAAGCAGGGCCAGGGCTAAAGACGTGTTGGTTGCGCGTGACGTCAGCGCCACGGCTCAGCCTTTTGCAGTGGGGAAAAACAATCTGGCACCGCCCGCCGGCACTGCTCGGTCGTGCAGTGGAAGAGACAGGACCCCGAGAGCCCCAACGCAAGAGTGATCTTTGAAGGAGCCTCACCTCGCACGTACGTCCTGTGTTGTGTTACATGTATGTTGTGTGGTGTGTCATGCTCATGGCAGGGTCCCTGAAACTCAAGCAGCTGTGGAACCAAAAGCTGATGAGGTGGTGAGTAGCGTTCAGGGAAGTTCCACAAACCAGGCAGCAAACCTCGCAGTCCTAACTTCACCATCGCGATACAATTGGTGGTTATCGTATTGATTGTGACTGCGCTTAGTTTTAGAACGTGTGGCTCTTTAGGAATAAGTCGGTGCTCAATAGGTGCACAGTGATTCAATCTCCGACAATCCCATGAATTTTCGTGATCTGGGATCGCAGTTGGATTCGAGGATGTATTTGATTTCAAAACAAGGGTTTTGTAGACAATTCCACGATCCATATCTGTTTTTGGGTGAGACCACGTCGTAGTTTATGCCCCAAATCCTCATGCGTTGGAAATCCTTAGATCTGTATCGGTCGGAATTTGACGAGTACATCCGCACGTATAAACAACACATTTGTAAACGTGACCGTCCTGTCGGGTGGTTGAGCGTTCACGACAAGAATTTTGCCTTAAAATCACCACGTGGCCTAACCCACAATCAGAGGTCGATCGGTACGGTTCTGCGCGTCTCGCGTGCACCGTTTGTCTCGTGCGCTCTGCCCTGCTCTGCCTCGATCGTAATGAGCCGAGTGACGGTGGTACCCCCCCGCCCCTCACCCCAAACTGCTGTCACGCTCCTGCACCCCCCCTCCTCCAACCCCAGGACTCCAGCCGCCTCCGACATCTGCTTCACCAAGGAGCTGCACTCGCGCTTCTTTAGCCTGGGGAAATGCGTGCCGGTGTGCCGCGGTGAGGCCGCAACAGCAGCAGCAGCAGCACACCACTGAGCGTTGCAGCAACGCTTTCATCGACGTGGGCGGGTTTCTCCACGCCACGGTCGCGACACGTTAAATACCTCGCCTGGTATACAGGAGGTCGTGATTTTGAAGCCGACCCTGACGCCTGTTGTATATTTTGGAGTTTGCATGTGCTCCTCGTGGTCGCGTGGATTTTTCTCCGGGTCCTCCGGTTTTCCCTCCACGTTTAGAATCGACGTTACGCGTTGAGAGTATTTGGGCTGCTTTAAATTTCCACACGGCGATAAGCCACTTCGTTGAGCTATCATTTGTGGCCGGGTCTCTTCTGAAAAAAGAGCTATACAGCTCAGTGGGCCTTAGCTGGTAAAATAAAAATTGTTGAATAGTTTTAGTTTAGTCCCCAACAACAATGCAATCTTATACCAGAGTATTGTTCGTAATGGCGACTCTTTACTAGCAACATCACGGCCCTCCACTACAGACTGGACAGAGCTCATGCAATGTTGCTCCAGCCGTAGGTGGAGAGCGTCAAAGAGAAACGTTGGTGGCCAATCACGTGTGGGTTTTCTGTTGAGCCGTCGGGACAAAGTGCTTTTGCGAATGTTTATTTTTGCTCTGGTTTGTCACCCCTAGTGTTTGGCAATAACGCTTTAATCGGTGCGTCTGGTTTTCTCTGGGCGAGTCCCTAACAGCAACACGACTTGACGCTCAAGTTTTGTCCATATTGGACCGTCTTGACGAGAGTTATCTCGACCCCCGTTATACACGGACGGACGGAGCTCATGCATCGGCGCCTTTTATCTCGCCTGGAGAGCGTTGGGCGCACGGACGAGGCGACGGTGGCGCGGCTGTGTCTGGGTGCTGTGTCTGCGCGGCTGCAGGTGACGGCGTCTACCAGCAAGGCATGGACTTCCTCGTGGAGAAGCTGAACCGTGGAGACTGGGTCCACGTCTTCCCCGAAGGTTCTCACGTTCGCCTCACACGGCCGTCCCCAGCCGGTGCACAGCACAGCGTACCGGGGGGGGTGGGGGAATGGAGACGAGAGGGTTCAGGGCGGTGGCGCAGTGGTGACGCCTGTGCCTTGCAGCAAGAACGCCTGGGTTTGATGCCTGACTCGGGTGCCTTTGTGTGTGGAGTTTGTACTTTCTCACCGTTTTTGCAGAGCGCGAGTGAGTGAGTGCGCGCGAGTGTGGAGTTAGCATGCGTGGCTATGTACGCATGTATGTTGAACTTTTTTCGCAACGTACGTAGCCGACAGTGCCAATCGGAGATGTGTCGGGTATGAGAGTGTGCGTGGAGTTTCTGCGCGTTAAATTCTGTGTGCGAGCGTGTGTGCGAGTACTGCTCAACAGTGGTTGTCACTCGATAAGAATGTGGAAATTCCATCGCTGGCTGCTCGTTTGAGCAGCGGGAGGTCAGTGTGACTTTGACAAGTGGGGCTAGTGGGCAACAGCTGCGACCGAGAGCAGAAGGGGCGTTGGACAAGGAGGGACGCCCTCGTCAGACACATTGTGAATAAAGTCCACCGAACGCAGGATTCGCGTCGACCACTGAGCATTGCCTCTGTCTCCCCAGGCAAGGTGAACATGAGCCAAGACATGATCCGGATTAAATGGGGTACGTGCCCGCTCTTGCTGCCGCCGACGCCGCTTTGCCGGGGATGGGGCCGTGAAACTCACGGTCGCGTAAAGGACCGAGGCACAGAATGGGCGGCTCTCCGCGTTGGCCTGGAGAACACGAGCTTTGTGTTCCGAGGGACGTGCCGAGTGCTTTTCAACTGCGAGGCGATGTCACGCCACCCCTCGTGGCCACCGTGCACTTTGGGCAATCGCTGCCGGAAACTGTCACCGGCAACTCTTTTACAACGCAACGCATTTACACCGCGTTTACTATGAGCAACGGTGGTGACATGGCACGGCGATGATCTGGAGCGACGGAGTTGAGTCTGGCCAAAGAAATTAGTTTGTCGAGAAGTGTTATGAACAGAAATTGGGCTATGGAGCACGCAACCTGGGGTTGTTACGTGACCCCACTCTGCGATGTCAGTGATCCGATTGGAAGTTTTATCTCCAGAGTTGCGATTTGTCCACATTTGGGTGACTAAAAGTATTATTTTTACAGAAAAACTTCCAGAGCAACTGTTGCCGGTGACAGTTGCAAGCGACGATTGCCTTAGTCATTCTGGCATATCACGTTACCTTCGCCGGTGTGGCCATCGACGACGGCGTGTGTGGTGCAGCGTGGTGTGTGATGGCGTGTGGTGGTGTGTTCACCATGGTGCAGGGATCGGCCGCCTCATAGCGGAATGTCGGCTCAGTCCCATCATCCTCCCGCTGTGGCACGTTGGTGAGTCCACCCCTCCCACCACACAAACACATTCCTCCTGCGGAGGGAGCTGGTAGGAACGTTGAGTTGCTCGGTCAATGGCCAGGGTCAACGGCGGCGTGGTGTATTCCGCAAATATGGCCGACTGTGAGGGCGGGCACAAGCCGGCGTGAGTAGGTTAAACGTTGAGTTTTATAAGGGCACCACGGGGTGACCAGCCCCTCCCCACCCAGCCCCACCCTCCCCACCCAGCCCCTCCCCACCCAGCCCCACCCTCCCCACCCAGCCCCTCCCTGCACGACAGACAGACACATTAATCCCCTGTGGGCTGGTGTAACCAGGAGGTTCCTACCAGTATTACACACAATAGTTATACCCTGCCACGCATTGCCATGCTCCACCATAACACCCCGTCATGCATCATCCAACAGTGGATTCGCAGGGATCGGTAAACATTTGCACTCATCGTTGTGTTTTGTTCCCCCCCACTGCCCGGATCAGGAATGAACGACGTGCTCCCAAACAAACCCCCGTACGTCCCTCGGCGAGGACAGGTGAGTTCCGGCCCTGCCACTACTGCCCTGCCACTACCACCCTCCTTCACTCTCCCCCTCGTCGTTTGCCAGCCGCACATCCATCGAGACAGTCCCAGGCTCTGTCAGCAAGGTCACGAGTCGCGGCCCGTGACTTCCATCGGAGGATCATGGCTACCTTTCGGTCACCAATCCATTTAAGAATAATTTCATTTCACCTCCCTCATTTGCAGCGTCTCCCCATATGCTCCATCATTCGCTTGGTCTCGTACGTTCTCATACATTCCGCGGGGCTCATTTTGTCCTTCCGGTGTGTGTCCCGTCTTGCTTGTATTTGTCAAAACAATAATTATGGCCACACCTTCAGATCTTTTAAGTCGGTGGTCCAGACAAGGCCAATAGCATTGTACAAGAAATGTGGTGATCACATGACATGCACACAAGAGGCATGGCGGCCGTCCCTGTTTGTGAGAAACACCTTTGTGTGTTATATCTATTGTGTCATTTATTCCATCTCATTTGTATTCTCATGTTTTTTTCTCATCTGTTGTGTTCCACTCCATAAACCTAAAACGAACAGTCTGTGAATAACTGTTGCGATGTTGGAACCGCGAGCCGTGAGGAATGCATGCTAACTGGTGACTCGTTGTGCATGCCGTGGTGGCGCTGTGCGCCTGTGTGTCTCGCCCGATCACTGTCGTCACAGCGGGTCACGGTTGTCGTCGGCAAACCCTTCACTTTGAGAAACCTCCACGAGACTCTGCGCCGCGAAAACCACAGCACGGTGAGCGAGGCTGGGCGTTTGTCACATCGGTGACGCGCTTACGAATGAGTCATCCTGGTCGTTTCCTGTTCACGTAGCAGTCACCGCCCCCTCCTGGCAGACGAATGCCCATGTGCCGCACAGGTACAGCTGGGTGCCACTGGAGGTGCCCATTGAAATGTGTTGAGATGAAATGAAAGTCACTGTGCCAGGGTGTAAATCGCTTCGAGACGCCCCGGCGTAAATATAAGACACTCCATCGATAACAAATTATTGTGCTGATCAGAAAGGGTGAAGGCTTGGGGCAGCCTTCAGCTAGCAGTGGATTGTGCATGCCTCCTGCTGCTGCTGCCGTTGATAATGCGTGTTCACAGGTGGAGGTGCGCAAGGCGCTGACGGACGCGGTGGAACGGGAGCTACGCGCCCTCAAAGACAAGGCCGAGGCCCTGCACAGCGCGCTCAGCACCGGCTAACAGCGCTGCCTTGGGCCTAAGGGAGGGTCGCTGGTACTGCCGCCGTGACCTCGCGACACACCAGCGGTCAGCCGCCCCCTAAACTCTCCGAAGAAGTTTCCGCACGAGTATGACGGCGGAAATGAATGCCCGCACCTGGCACTTAATACTCGGCTGCTTTCGTATCGGCTGTACGCACGGGTGGTACATGTAGTTGCCACCAGTTCCTGGTTTTTTCAGGACCGTGTTCTTATTTGAGGTATCGTATTACCTGGATTGAGACGCTCCTAAAAGCAGGACACACGTACGCAAAAAGAAGTTATATAAAGCTGGTCACATATGTACACACCTACCAGAGTAAGACACACCGAATGAAGTTTTATGAATTTAATTATACACCCACTGCATTATAAGATGCACCCTCAAACCCTCGCTTGAAAATAAGAGGGAAATAAAATGTGCAGCTTATACTCCAAAGAATACGGCAGCTGCTGTCCTAGTAAATCGACCCAGGACATTAAAAAGTTCCAGTGTTTGTCAGTTGCGCAATAATAGTAACGCACCAATCGGCACCATGCAATTACACGTACCTCCCCTCTAATTTCGACTGTGCGCTCTTCTTCCTCGGGAATGTTCACATTTTTAATTTTTTAAACCTCAGGTGGGAGCCCGAGTTTGCACAACGGTCAACTCTTGATTATATGGAGTTCCGAGGAGGAGGGGCTGGTCCAGATTTTGACATCGCTGGTAATGCAAAGCTTGCGTCCATTCGTCTATGGAGCCGCGTTCGTGGTTTCACGCCGGGAAATGGTGAAGGTGTCGTGCCGCGTCCTCCGTTCTTATGGCTTCTGACGGTAACCGATTTTGCTCGTCGCGTTTGCGAGCGGCAGCTCTGAACGAAACCGGCGATGGGCAGAATTTTTCCGCGAGCACACGCGAGCCGCTGCCCACGTATTCGAGAGTTGCCTCTTGCTTGGATTGTTCTTGGCAGGAGTGGGTGATGGGCGAGGGGTGGCAGGGTTCTAGGATTGTGCCGAGTGCCATTCGCCCAACTACAAGCCCCACGAATTGTGTTGTTGAGCCTGGGCCGTGTGCGATCACATGCCGTTTCCCAGACTCACAAGTTCCAGACGTGTATATACACACAGTGGAAACTTGAGAGTTAACAAAACTAAACATCCCACACCTTTGCCAATCCACTCCTGAAGGCATCCCCACCCCACAATGTATCATCGGTCATGGGGCTTGTTTGACCATACTTTACCACATTGGACATTTGTGAAACGGCTTGTTGGGGGGGGGGGGAGGGGGGGGGGCGTTGGACCCAGGACCGGTTCAAATATCGCTTCCCAGGAATCGAACTCGGCACACTAACCACTATATCCTGCACGACGATATATGTGTATGGAACCGATGGCTCCCATGCGGCGTTCTAATTGACGCACGGACAATATAGTGCATGTGTGTGCGTGTGTAGAGTAGCAACAGTTGACTGCCTTAACGAGGGGACTGCCTCACTTGAGCGAGCGATCGCCAATCATGCAATAGGATTCCTGCATTAGAATCCGATGTTGCAATAGGATTCCAATGCAAGGGACGTGTTTGCACGTCCGTTTCCCTGCACACAGTTGCCTACAACCACCTGGGCATAGCTGCTGTCCGCCGTGTATATACCTCTTGTTTTTCCCCCACTGCACAACCGAGCAGTGCCAAGGGCTGTGCCGAGCCGGCCCCGCTCAGGAGGCACCAGGTTTTCCCCCACTTTAGAAGCTGAACCGTGCCGCCGGCTTGGCAACGCGGTGCGTGATGTCAACGTCACATGTTCGGGTGTAGCGATGCAACGTCACATGTTCGGGCTGTAGCGATGCAACGTCACAAAAGTGGTTCACCCAGCCCCTTGGCCCTGCTCGGCCCCCCCGAGCCAGATTCACGGGTTTTCTTGCAAGGCCAGCATAGCACGGTTTGGTTCTGGCTTGGCTCGGGGAAAAAAAACACATGTACTGTCAGAGGCCCTGCGCTGGCTTGGCTCGGATGCACCAGTGGAAAAGGGGCCGTTATTGCTGCCAGGTCGCCGCCGCTGCTGCTGCCGGGAAGGCGCCCGAGTACCACCAGCTGCTGTGTCCGCCGGGGTTCTGTTCCTTTGACACCCGAGGCACCAGAGAGCCGGGGTGACTCGCTCGACAGCGCCCCCTTGGACCCGCGGCCCTCGGCATGGACCCACAAGGTCACCCGACGGGCACTGACCTACCACTTTTGTGGGTTCGCTGCGGGGATAACCGCACCCTACACCCGACTGTAACCTGGGGATTATTCTGTAAAATAATGTGAAATAAAGTTTGACGACGAAGGCGCACGTCGTGTTTTTGGAAGCGCACACCTGGCCCATTTCATTGTCGTTTTCCTCCAATCCCGGGTACTGAAGACAGCACAGATTTCAGATGGAGCTCTGCGAGATCTACTTCCACGGGACGTTCTCTTAAGACAGTGGGTCGCATTGCTCTGCGGGCGATCTGAACGCATGCCGATGGCGAAATGGGAAATAAAATTGGGGAACAAATCCCCACGAAGATGTTTTTTAGACGCAAAAACCGAATAAAATTATTTTGCAGAGCGCAGTGCAAACCGTCACCCGTGTTAAACAGGCGCCGGAAGGTGACATCAAAGCACGACTCGAGGCCTTTCAAACTTGTCCCTTGTCCACAGTCGATGACGGTGCGAAATGTATTTTTAACCATCGCACCGTGACAAGGCATTGCGCAACCCTGAACCCCCGCTACGAGAAGAAGTCTGCCGGTTCAAGGCTGCCGCAAGAAGTCGTCCGCTCTAGCGCCGACGCAATGCCAGTCGGTAACCCCCAACTCGTGGTCACCATATTCTCGTCTAGCAGGATTCACTTGCATTATAGCAGGTCACGTGACCTCTCCCCTGGAGAGCCCTGGCTTATGACACCCACTGACACCCACAGCGAACCGTTATAGCATTTAATGATTACACACAACACCGATAGCACGTAGAGTCACCCCCACTGAGAATAGATTGCACAGTCCCACTGCCGAGAAGACGTCACACCGTGTGTTAAAGTACCACCACCGTGTACACGTACGTGCACGGCCCCGCTCATCGATCCCGCTGCTGGATGAAGGCCTCCCCGCGCAGGTCGTTGGGGGGCTGTTTGACCACATGGCACATGGGTCTGCCCCGTGACCTCCTGCCAGCGGGCGTTCGACACTTCACGTGGCCTTAACGTGCACATAGCCTGGCGCAAGCGCCGTGGTAACGTCATCGCCACTTAGTAGAGAATGGCAGTTGTTCGACCACACGTGGCCGTGCGGGCTCCGTGAAGGGAGGGCTCAAGGAGCGAGATACGTTGCGCGAAAATTGCTTGGAAAGCGAAAACTCGTTAAACGATCGTCGTTTTCCAATTGACTCCCGATGTAATAATAACCTTTCTTTTTACATGAGAAATACAAAAAAAAATTTGAAATGGAGGAATCAAACATCAAATGTAACCTATGCCACACGACGAACCACAGTGCTTGCAGGTGCCCCTGGCATGTTGTTTCAAGGGTAAATGTTCGTGGGTGGAGGGGAGTAGCAGCAGGGGCCATGCAGGACCGCTGGTTAAAATATGACTCGGCTGTGGCTTGGAATCGAACCACGTTTGCTGGGTTCAGAGCCACGATGCGAGATGGAGCGAGACTTCCTGTCCTGAGCGTCTGCAATTAGCGCCGCCCGTGCCACCACGAGGCCCCCTCCTGCATGCGACGAATCACGCGGGCACACAGCACACAGCTGGTAAACAGCTGTGGGCCGCAGTGCGCTCCCTGCATTAGATCGGTCCGTCTCCACTCGCTAAGCAAACTTTTTGCCCGTTTTGCGAACAAATTGGTCGCAAGGCACGCCTGTACTGCGCAACAACGGGCTTTGGCGCACTGCCCCGCAGCGACCTTTGACCGCCTGTTTGCACGCGGCCGTCGCCCTTCCAAGCATTGGCCAGGTTCCACCCTTGATTGGCTTTCCGAGATCGGTTGAGACCCCGGCACGTACCGGGTGGTTCGGGTTTGGGCCACGCGATCGGACGGAACTAAAACGGAGCTCAGGTGAAGTCGGTGAAGCCGCTCCCACCCCGCACCGAGTCGCACGTTACGAAGAGTGCGGTACGTGTACGCAGTGGCGGCTGGTCACGTCGACCGCACGCATCACGGTGCAGACTCGGCATGCACCGATCACCACACCACCATCCCCCTCCACCCAGCGACTCCGAATCGAGGCTGGATTCTCTCGTACCATCTCAACGGCCGGTCTTGGTCGTCTTGTTTTGGCTGTCCTACTCCCATCTCATTTGAACGGCGACACTCATTTGTGGTTTGCACCTCGTCAGTTTGCATGTTCTCCCTGTGGTCACGTGGATTTTTCTCGTCTTCCGGATTTTCCCCCTTCACATTTAGAAACATGCGTTTAGAGTATTCGCCTGCTGTAAAATTTCACGCGATAAGCCACTTCGTTGAACGGCCGTTCATTTAGTTTGATTCTATTGCCCCATTAAAACATTTTATTTTTTTAAACCATTCCCTCTCACTTGAAACAATCACGTTCACCACCCCTACGAGCTTCAACTGCAACGCTGCCAAAGTCACTTATGCGAATCGAGAGCGCGAACGATTGGGACGCGTAAAACAAATGCGTAACTATTCATCTTAAGCAACGAGTGGGCGACGCAAATCACACGACGACCTCAAACCCCGCCAAGCACTCCGCCGCAACGCCTGGCGGCAATGGAGGCTGCGGTGGCGGTGATGGTGAGTTATGCGTACGAGCAGCAACCCGTGTCGACCGGCGTACAAAACGGCACGGACACGTACTCACACGCACACACGCTCGCACACACGCACGCACACGCACGCACGCATGCACTCACACGCACGCACACACTCACACGCACACACACGCACACGCGCACACACACCACACACGTACACATGCGCGCGCCATGACTGGCAGCCCGGTGGGAGATAGTACTTCGATCCCCATGGACTTCTGACCCTGGGTAAGATTTTGATATATTATTTGAACTCTACCCCCTGTGGTAGTTTAACCCCACAGCCTAATTCAGATTCCAGGGGAGGGGGCAAGCTAGGGGACCGGCTAGAACTCTCACCGTAATTCTGACCCTGACACTAACTAATAGTATTTGCACCCCTTGGCGTCCAAATCCTATAAAGTATCGCCAACCCCCGGGAAGCGGAAGGGTATTATTTCCCCACAGTGTGGTGGGAGTCACATTACCAAAAACATAAATCAAACCCGGGGTCAAAAAACAAAGCATCGTATTCTGGATCCACCGGGGTCCAAATTGCTGTGAGTTGGGGTCAAAATACTTCCACTACGGCCGCTGCCGCCACCACCACCACCACTGGGCATGAGGCGCTCATGTGATGCATCCCTGCACGTGGATTTCGAGGGTGTCATAGTCCGGCGCGCAGTAGTTGCAGATGGGGCACTGGTACTGCGTGCTGGGCACGGGAATCGAAGACGAGTTCTTGAAACGCCCGATCTCGGTGCGTGCCAACTCCAGCTGCGAGAGCAGCTGCCGATTCTCCTGATCCTTCGCGGCCAGGGCCCGCTCGTGCGCGTTCAGGTCCTCCTGCAGCTCGTGCACCTGCAGCAGAGCGAGGACGCGGGTGGGCAGGGGGGAGATGCCCACGGGGGGGGGAGGGGGCGGTGACGTGGGACGGGAGGAACAACGCGTTCGTCGCTTGTTGCAGGGGTTCGTGGTTCCAATCCGGCAATGGTTATTATCTGTGACGTCATTCGAAGAAAAGTAGGCAAATGTGCGTTGGCGTCGTGGTGCAAATTTGGCAAGTTGTAAAAATCGCTGTGAATACGACAATTAGAAAACACACACATACTGTGTCCTGAAAAAGCGTCATGAGACTCAGCGAGGCTTTCTTTGGAAAACGAGCAGAAAAATTGGTATATTTAGGGGCTCTCCGTGGCTAAAGAGCTGCACTCCGAGATGTTTTCTTACGTGATGGGTGTAACATTCCGCACCTCCAATTAGCGCAGTTGCCTATGTCCGGTGCAAAAGAAGTTCAACATACACACAATATCAACACAAGTTATATTTATATTAGCGTAACGCACACGCATGCACACACACACAGATCAAGCTGTTGTAGCCTAAACACTCACACGGGCTCCACGCAGACTGATCTTTGCCGTGGGCGGGAATCAAATTCGGGTCTCGCCAAGTTTGTGTCGCAGTGCGCTAGCCACTGTGCCACCGCTCTCCACACACACTCACTCGCACACGTCCACGCATACAAAATTGGGTGACTGTGGGGGGCCCGTGGGGGAGGTGATGGCCGGGCCCGTGGGGGTGGCGATGGTGGGGCCGATGGGGGGATACGGGGAACTTGTACCTTTTCACGCAGGGCGACGACATTTTGCACCTTCGAGTGCTGGGTCTCCAACTCCTCCTTCAGCTTGTCGATGTGCTCCTGCTTGGCCACCAGGGCCTGCTCGGCATCCTTCAGCTCCTCCTCGTACTGTGGAGGAGGGGGGGGGGGGGCAGGGGGGGGGACCGCGTGGGTATCAACGCCGGTGCAGGACGTTCTACCGGTAGAGAACTGCGCGCTGGCCACCACTCGCGACCGACACTGGCACCACCAACTACGCCGGCTGTGGGGAGCCTTCGGCCTGTGGGGCGGATGTGCCCCGCAACCTCCCGTCTCATACGGCCCCTGGCCAAGGGGCCTACCGCTTCGACGTGGCGTGAAGCGGGGGTCAAGTGTGCCTTCTCCCACATCCTCCAAGACGCCTGGAAAGCATGGAAGAGTAGGCCAAATACCCTCGGGAGCGAGCGGGGGGGGGAGGCACTTCTGCCGGAAGTGTGGCGTGAACAATTGCAGGGCTGTGCCTTGACCATTTGGCCCGGGCTACCTGGGAATAATTTGTCTTTTTCTCAAGCGTAAATGTATTAATTCTGGCTGCATTGATAATATTTCTGGGCAATTGCTCCAAAGCTTTGCCTTCCCTTCCACCACAAACACCCCCCCCCCCTTCTCACCTGGGAACCTTCAGGCTTGGCTTCCATTTTCCTCTTGTAGGCCGCCTCAATCTCTTGGATTTTCTTTCTGCACGGTGCGAGAAACTCGATGTGAGCATTGCATCGACGACGATCGAGGCGGCGATTCTGGCTCGAATGCTAGCGAAACTTGGCGTCAGGCTTTTTAAATAGGGCCAGACAATAACAAAACACACAACCAAAACACCGACATTCGGGAGGGGCGGTGGGGAAGCGGGGCCATCGTCTACGCCGCACCCGCACACGTTGGATCTGCCACCGCTCGGAGGTCACGGTGGTCACCGAAAACGTGAATTTGTAAAAACGTGAGAAGCTAATCCTCGGGCAGTGGAAACGCGGTAGATTAGGAGCTCCCTTTCGTTAAGTTTCCGAACGTCGTCTGTGACGTGCTGAGAACAGTGCTGCCATTGTCATGGCTACTGGGGAGGGGGGGGGGGTAGGGGGTTGGAGGCCGGTGGGGTGGAGGGAGTGGGAAATGGGCTGTCCCTACGCACATCCAGCGTCATCTTCATCCACTCCTTTGAATCGATATCCAAACTGCTCCGTACCAAAATGAGCAGACAGCACGGCTCCCTCCCATAGCCGTCTCTCCACATAGCGCCGTGGGGGTATCGACCATAAAAAATTAACCCGTAAAAACAAAGTTTTTCACTATAAATCCTTTATATGCGTGGCATCGGGGCGGCTAGAGTCCTCTCGTCCTCTGGCTTGAGATGGCTGCCACCTATGGGTCAGATGCTTGTCTGGCAGCATTAAACAATTGGTAAATAAATATTTTAAAAATTTCCCTAAACAGTGTAAAATTTAGCAAATTTTTTTTCACGAAAATGCATTGTCACGCACAACGAGTCTGTGTGCAAAATGTCAGCTCGATTGGATCACGGGAAGTGGGTTAAAAAAACGACCGAAAGATTTGCACGGTCCTAAGCAAGCAAGCGAACTTAATATAAAGGATTTAAAAATACGACTCGCCGTCAGATTCCCCGTGGACGTAAAACATCCCGTGACGGCATTCGCAAGAGCAGGCCGCTGCATGCGGCGTCACGATCCCAATTTGCCGACCTTCAAAAATTACACTGCAAAATTTACTCGATTGGAATACACACGGCGAGCATCGCCTCCTCCTGTGAAAACCTGGCAGGGCCCTCCTGAAAAAGTGTCATCAGAGGGCATCCCACCGGCCCCCCACAGCCTTGTGGGAGTCAATGTGTCAATGATTTCAGCAGAATTGGTTCAGCACAAGGAACGCTCCGGAGCGGTTGCCGCCGGGCTCACTTGTCGGCGACGCTCGCATTGCGGAGCTTGTTGATCTCCATCGTCATGGCCTGCTCCTCCGCCTCGTGCCTCCTCCTCTCCTCCTGGAACTTCCTCTCCAGCAACTTTGCTCTAAGCACATGAAGACAAAGATCCCCCCCCCGCACCCCCGGTGTCGTCAAAGGGGCTGCTGGGGCAAGCGCTGCAAGCGAGCACCTCTGAAGACCGGCGCTACAGCGCAACTGCCTTCGTCTCCCTAGTGCTGATGTTTACACACGATACTAGGTACACGCATTTAAGGCCGAGTCCACCTAGGGCACGAATGTCGAGTGTGACTGCTGGCCCACCTACGACTAAGCGTGAGCGACAGTGGCGACACGGAATCCCCGCTGCCTGAATGAAGATGCAGACTCAAGATAATGTAATAGTGGTATTAAGAGACTGCAATGCACCGAAGAAGGCCAAACAGGGCGACCGGCTGTGTCTTTAGATAAAGATCTGCCGAGTTCACCGACCGTCTGACCTTGTATCACGAAGGACGCCTGGCTCAGTGAGACCACTCTCGGTGACCAGAGCGAGAGAATGACGACACGAAACCCTCAGAGGGCCGCACGCTCAGTCGCAGCTTGACTCAGGCAAGACATCTCTGCGCACTGTCGCAAACGCGCTATCAGGATTCGTGGGAGCCGAGCCCAAGCCGAGCCAGGACTGTGAATATGGCGCCGACGCTCGGCCAGAATTCCACCGGCTGTAATCGACGAGGCCGAGAAACTACGACTGCGATATGAGGAACCCGCCTACCGCGGCACCACTGCGACCGCCCCCGCTGCACGAGGCACCAGAGGTCGCAAACGGGTTTTGATTCCTTACCCGTACCCGTACCCGGCCGCACTAGGGTCGCAAACGGGTACCCGTACCCTACCCGATACCCGGCTACCCGTACCCGGCCGGGTATCGGGTAGGTTACGGGTACCCGATTGCGACCTCTGGGATGAAGCCATGTTGCAGGCGCGGGTGGGTTGATTCTAGGAACTTGAATTGTGAGAGGAGACAAGACGTTGGAAAATGAGTGACAAATGGTGACTCACCAGTGACTCACGGCCTACCCGTACCCGTACCCGGCCGCACCAGGGTCGCAAACGGGTACCCGTACCCGGCCGGGCACGGGTAGCCGGGTATCGGGTAGGGTACGGGTATCGGGTACCCGGTTGCGACCTCTGCGAGGCACTCACCGCTCGTCCAGCCGATCCGCGTTGCCCTGCGCCGCCGCCAGCTTGGTCTTGTACGCCTTGAGCTCATCCTCCTGCACGAGGGGCCGAACAACACGGGCACAGAGAGACAAAGATCCCCCGCGTAGCCTTTAGCAGAATTCGGGGGGCAAGGCCGGCGTGGCGCACGGGGTGACCAGCACCACGCCCGACCGAATGTCTCCCGAGTGCCGATGTTTTAAGGCTGAGTCGACCTACGGGAGCCCCAGGAGCAAATATGATATTCGGAATAACTGCCAACATACCAAACAACCCAACACATGTGATATATACACGTACACAAAAAGACAAAGATGCCTTGTATAGCCTTAACAGACTGTTGGGGCAAGTGCTGTTAGCGAGCGCCTATGAAGGCCAGAGCGGGATACGAGGGGGTGGGTGGCCAGCACCACGCCCGGTCGCCTTTGTCTCCCCAGTGGCGATGTTTTTACACACCGCACCAGGTAATCATTTTAGGCCGAGTCCACTTAGGGGAGGCCCAGGACCAGTTCAGATAATCGTCACTGATGTGGGCCGTGAGCAGGAATCGAACTCGGATTTGCACACTAATGCTCCACACACACACACACCATACAAACTACACATACACACCATACAAACTACACACACACCATACAAACTACACACACACCATACAAACTACAACCACACCATACAAACTACACACACACACCATACAAACTACACACACACCATACAAACTACACACACACACACCATACAAACTACACACACACCATACAAACTACATACACACACCATACAAACTACATACACACCACACTAACACACCATACACACCACACTAACACACGTCATACATACACACCATACAAACTACATATACACACCACACCATACAAAATACATACACACCACACTAACACACGTCATACATACACACCATACACAATAACTCACAATACGGGTCCTTCAAAAAATGTGAACACTTCGAAGAATTTGCAAGAACACCACAATAAACGTGCCTCCGGGCTCTGAAGCATCCTGTGCACACACATACCATACTAACGCACGCACACACACGTCGTATATTCCATATACACACTGACACACACCCCAACACACACCCCAAACACCAACACACACTACACACCCCATCACACACATCACACACACCAACACACATCACAAACCTCAACACACACCATACACACCCCAACACACATCATATACACCAACACACCCCAAACACCACAACACACACCACACACCCCATCACACATCATACACACCAACACACCCCTACACACCCCAACACACCACAACACACACCATCACGCATCACACACACCAACACACATCACACACCCCAACACACACCACAACACACACCATACACACCCCAACACACACCCCATACACACCCCAACACACCACAACACACATCACAAACGCAAGCACACACCAACACACCCTTACACACCACAACACACACCATCACGCATCACACACCCCAACACACATCCCAACACACATCATACAGGGGACCTCTTTTGCACCGAGGGTGAAATGTCTCGCATTCTTTGGCACGAGGCCGCGCGTGGGCACAGACTGCGGAGCACGTCGCTACCGTCAGCGCCACGGTGGCGATTTGCAGATCCGTCAACCCGTGCGGCTCGGGGCGCATTCTCGTGCAGGGAAATTGAGTTTGCAGGTCCATACGGCGTACAGTCGTTTCAAAAATGTGTTTGTCTATTTGTTTGTGATTCTCCCTTGTGATGGAAATTTGTATGATGAGCGTTGAGATTTGTCAAGGGCACCACGGGGTGACCGCTAAGCTCTGAATTGGTCTGCAATAAGGTAGGCAGCACTGATAAGGGGTTGACAGGTAGTATTATAGATAGAGACCCATAGACATCCATAGAGACCCATATAGACCCAAAGCGATACATAGAGACCCATATAGACCCACATCGATACATAGAGACCCATATAGACCCACAGAGATACATAGAGACCCATAGAGATCCAGAGACCCACAGATACATAGAGACCCATAGAGATCCAGAGACCCACAGATACATAGAGACCCATATAGACCTACAGCGATACATAGAGACCCATATAGACCCACAGCGATACATAGAGACCCATATAGACCCACAGAGATACATAGAGACCCATAGAGATCCACAGAGACCCACAGAGATCCATAGAGACCCATAGAGATAGCTAGATATAGCATAGATGTCAACCCATACGGTTTACCCCGTATTCTTGTACAGAGAAATTTAGTTCAGGTCCATACAGCGTACGGCCGTTTCAATACTTGGGCAAAGAATGCATCGTCTGTTTGTTTTCGCCCTTGTGATGGGGCTTTGTAGGATGCACGTAGAGATCTGTAAGGGGCACGGGGTGACCAATGAGGTCTGAATTGGCCTGCAGTAAGGTAGGCAGCACTGATAAGGGGTTGACAGCTGTGCGTTTGCCTGCTTTAGCAACAGGCGCTGCTGCTGCTGCTCTCTAGACCCCGATTAGGGCGGCTACGGATTGCTGGCAGTGACGGCAAACCGGGGTCGTACCACGCACGAAGCAATATGAACAAATCAGTGCCGCTACATCCCATTTAGAGCCGCAACGATGTTGACACGGGACGAGTTGTGAGCTGCTGCCAACGCAGAAGCGCGCTAAACATCTTCCTAAAGCCAGGCAGGTGTCGGCCCCTGGTGCCATAAATGACGTCACGCGATTTTGAACGATTTTTGACCCCCCCCCCACCCCTAGTCACACGGCGTCACAAAAAGTCAGACCCACCCCCCCCTCAAACATGACGTCACAAAGCTCTGCCCCCCCCCCCAAATAAACTAAAACATGCTTCAAATCGCTTTAAACTATTGTCATTGTAGTGCGTATTTAATGTGGCGCTGCACTCTGATGTTGTAGGAGAAAACATTTATTAAAAAGTCTATTTTATTAAGTAGAACGTGTTGTCTATATTTATTTAAAGTTGCGCATTTTGATGTGACGTCACATTTCTCGAACCCCCCCCCCCCCTCGTCACACATCGTCACAAATGTCTGACCCCCACCCCAACCCCAGGTGCGTGACGTCATTTATGGACGGCCCCCAAGGACATCACCACAGCTGCAACTCAGTTTGTAGACTCCAGGGTATTGCAAGTCAGGAATGACATCTTTCACAGATGGGATTAGATCACGGATTTTATGCACTGTACTGAATCGGACCTGGATGTTATGTTTGTTTAGAATTTTGGAGATCTTCTTGGTCACGCCTGCTATGCATGGCAACGTGAGAGTTTTGATCGGAGTTTCAAGTGGCTGTTTCTGTATGGTGGGAGAAACAGCTTGAGGGCTCGATGTACATGTCTCAATTCACTGGCCAGGTGGTGTTGGTCAGAGATGCCATGAGCTCTGTGCTATAGCGTTTTGATGAGATAATTCGTTTGAGCCGGGTAGTGGTGGTGGTGGGAATCAGGTTTCAAGTAAGAATCTGTGGGTGGCCTTCCTGTATACAATGTCCCAATGACATTATGATCAAACCAAATCATCTCGAGATACAGCCCCCCACAGCGTCTAACCCTCCTCCTCCTCCTCCCTCACCTCCTCCTCCTTCCTCACCTCCTCCTCCTCCCTCACCTCCTCCCTCACCTCCTCCTCCTCCCTCACCTCCTCCTCCTCCCTCACCTCCTCCCTCACCTCCTCCTCCTCCCTCACCTCCTCCTCCTCCCTCACCTCCTCCTCCTCCCTCACCTCCTCCTCCTCCCTCACCTCCTCCCTCACCTCCTCCTCCTCCCTCACCTCCTCCTCCTCCCTCACCTCCTCCTCCTCCCTCACCTCCTCCTCCTCCCTCACCTCCTCCCTCACCTCCTCCTCCTCCCTCACCTCCTCCCTCACCTCCTCCCTCACCTCCTCCCTCACCTCCTCCTCCCTCACCTCCTCCTCCCTCACCTCCTCCCTCACCTCCTCCTCCCTCACCTCCTCCCTCACCTCCTCCTCCTCACTCACCTGTTCCGTAGGCCTCAGCTGCTCAGCGGGCCTCTGTTTATCCTTGAGGAGCTCCCGGATCTGCTGCAGCAACTCGGCGTCGTAGCCCGCGTCGACCCGAGGCGACGTCCCGACGGTCGTGGGGCCCGCGGCGCCGGGCCGAGGGGTCGCTTCCTCTCGCCCCCCATTCCCCTGCTGCTCGTCGTCTCCCATGACGAGGTGGTGAGGAGGAGAGACACGGTGGATGTGTAATCAGATGATCAGGTGGTCAGGGGTGACCGTAAGGACATCGGTGAGGAGGCGGTGAGGGCAGCTGGAGATGAAGAGGTGAGGGCAGCAGGAGATGAAGAGATTGAGGGCAGCAGGAGATGAAGAGGGCAGCAGGAGATGAGGAGGTTGAGGGCAGCAGGAGATGAAGAGATTGAGGGTAGCAGGAGATGAAGAGGGCAGCAGGAGATGAAGAGTTGAGGGCAGCAGGAGATGAAGAGATTGAGGGCAGCAGGAGATGAAGAGGGCAGCAGGAGATGAAGAGTTGAGGGCAGCAGTAGATGGAGAGGTGAGGGCAGCAGGAGATGGAGAGTTGAGGGCAGCAGGAGATCAAGATATGAGGGCAGTAGAGGCGGTAAGGAAGTGAACGTGGGAGCCCCCCAAGACCCGTAAACACACGAACACTTCCGCGTTAGGAATCGACTCCTACTGCGCGGTAACACACGAATCGATTCAAGTGCGCGCCAGTCCCCTTCGACAGGGGGAATCGATTAAACCTTAGACTCGCTTGCACTCGAGTTGATAGCGATCCGGAATCGAACACGCGAGTCACGTGACCGCCCACATGAGAACACTGAGTTCCATCCCACGTGGTGTTGTTGTTGGCTGCTCTGCGAGCTTCAGATTTCAAAAGTCGTGACCCATCCACTGCTGGAGACGAGGGCCTCCCCGGTCCGTGGCCAGCTCTCACGACGCTGCCATTCTATTAACAGCCACGGCGTGCCCCGGCCAAAGCTTCCTGGCATGCTGCACAATCGACGCGATCCTATTTGTCTCGGTATACAGTAATCTCTCATAAGGTGCACAGTGCTTCTCTCCAGTGTGCTCATTCACACACACAAACACATTCCTGCGGAGGGAGCTGGTAGGAACGTTGGGTTGCTCGGTCAATGGCCAGGGTCAACGGCGGCGTGGTGTATTCCGCAAATATGCCCGACTGTGAGGGCGGGCACAAGCCGGCGTGAGTAGGTTAAACGTTGAGTTTTATAAGGGCACCACGGGGTGACCAGCCCCTCCCCACGGTGACCAGCCCATCCCCACCCCTCCCACCCCCCACCCAGCCCTACCCCTCCCCACTCAGCCCCTCCCTGCACGACGGACGGACACAATAATCCTCTGTGGGCTGGTGTAACCAGGAGGTTCCTACCAGTATAAGTTATCTCTTGATTTGAAGCTTTCGTGACTGCAGGAATCCATACTCTGGTTCTTTCGGTAAAGTCACGTGGGTATAATTTTTTTAAAAAGAGAACACGACGTTTCTGACGCTTGTGTTGCGACCGAGACGTCGCGTTTTATTTTTTTCAATCTCCGTGACTTTAATACGTTCTGTTCCGCGTTGTCAGTGGCTCGGATTTCATACACGCTGTTGCCACCTGTCCCGGGTTTGTCCAGGCAGTTCGATAATTGACATCTGCTCAGGTGGCAGGAATTGATTTGTTCCGAGCTGTGATGTCATAGTGTTTGAACCTTTGTAGTCAATTCTTCAGTCTTGATGGACCAAGGTTGACTTGAGAAATATTCCCCCACCCCTCCGGCCAACTCATTGACCAACCGACCGATCCTCTCACTCGCGTGTAGCGTCGGGAATGCACATCTTACACCGTCGGTATCGACTTACCTGCAGTTGCAGGCACAGGCCCATAGGGGGTGCCACCCTGAGCTGGGGAAGGACAGGGAGAGCTGGACCGTTGAGAGGCCGGGTTCCCCCCCCCGACCCCAGGTGAGGGGTTGGGGGGGGTTCTTCCAGAGCCCCCTGGAAGGTTCCAGAAAGGGGGGCGGTACCGTGTGCGGAGAGCCCCCGACAGCTCGGGTCAATGCTTTGAAGACGAAGAACCGAAGACCAGCAAGGCCAGGACCATGGGACCCGACGTCCTTGTCAGGGCTGGGGCCGAGCTCGGACCAGTGGTGAGGACCCTACCTTGGCTGGGTCGGGTTAGAGTAGCCTCCCTAGCTAGGACCCTGGGACCTCGAGCCCGACGTCCTTGTAAGGGCTGGGGCCGAGTGTGGACCAGTGATCGGGACCCGTACCTTGGCTGGGTTGGGTCAGTCAGCCTCCCCTAGGGCACAGATAGCCAGAGGGCTTGAGAGCCAGGTGACCCAGTGTGAGGGCGCGCTAGCCCGGAGGCTGTACCTACCTCGATAGTGGGAGTTAAGAGGAGTTATGTTTGTAGTTTATAAACACATTCCTGCGGAGGGAGCTGGTAGGAACGTTGGGTTGCTCGTCAATGGCCAGGGTCAACGGCGGCGTGGTGTATTCCGCAAATATGCCCGTGAGGGCAGGCACAAGCCGGCGTGAGTAGGTTAAACGTTGAGTTTTATAAGGGCACCACGGGGTGACCAGCCCCTCCCCACCCAGCCCCTCCCCTCCCAACCCCCACCTTCCCCACTCAGCCCCTCCCCACCCTCCCCTCCCTACCCAGGTCCACCCCTCCCATTTTTGGATGCACGACGGACGGACACAATAATCCCGTGGGCTGGTGGAACCATGTGGTTCCTACCAGTATAAACCGTGTTGCCTCTAAAGACGTCTCCAGTCTCCGTGGAACCCACTACACATGCACCCAATCACCAACCCACCCACCCTCTTGGGTTGCCACCGAGATCTTGGTGGCAATGTTGAACTGCACAGTTTTAGGTTTGCTCTGTGGAAGAGGTGGCAACCGTCCTAGTTCCAGGTACGAAAGCAAAACTCGCCAAGAACCGCAATGCCAGAGAAACCAAAATGACTGCACCAATGTACAGCAATGTTAAATAGAATCACCATCCCTATGGTAAACACGCCGAATACAGTTACCAAGGAAAATGACAAATAACGGAGGTTAGTTTCCGATAAAACAGCAAATTTCAACGCGTTTCTCCACCCAAAAACAAACGTGGGGCGACGCTCATCTTGAAGCCAATGGGGGGGGGGGGGTCTTCCACCTTGCCATGGCCGACGAATGTTTATCCACCGTTGCCCAATGGGGTGACTGCAGGCACATGAAGACGTTGAGCTGTGTAACACACGCAACAGGCTTTTTAATATCATCACCATTTAACCAATGAAACGAAAGGTACTATTTTACAAAAGGAAGGGGGGCGGGGGGCAAACATTTATCGGTAACCACCAAGTCCGGTTGCGTCACCGCGCCACATTTCAATTCGCCCGCCGAATGTCTCGCCAACAAACTGACCCCGGGGGGAGGATGGGGGGGTGGGGGGGTTGACACTGCTGCTCAAAACTCCTTCCCAACCAAAGTCAAACGCGTTCGTGCCATCATCTCCGTCCCGTCTGTAACGGTCACGGAAACGGTGTAAAGATGAACGTGAACAACAACAGTCGACTATCAAATGGTGCCGCTGTTCGGGCGGTAGTGGAGGCGGAGAGGGTTGTTTGGTGGTGGTGGTGGGACCAGAGGTCGCAACTGGGTACCCGATACCCGTACCCTACCCGATACCTGGCTACCCGTACCCGGCCGGGTACGGGTACCCGTTTGCGACACTGGTGCGGCCGGGTACGGGTAAGTCACTGGTGAGTAGCCGTATTTTATGTTTTATTTTTATTATTTTATTACTTCCCTTCTACGTGACTTTACCGAAAGAACCAAGAAGATGAATCCCTGCAGTCACGAAAGCTTTAAATCGAAAAATAGAGTAGCCGTTTGTCACTCATTTCGGGTAGGGTACGGGTAGGGAACGGCTACCCGTACCCGGTCGGGTACGGGTACCCGTTTGCGACCCTGGTGCGGCCGGGTACGGGTAAGGAATCAAAACCCGTTTGCAACCTCTGGTCTCGGGTGGCGATGAAAATCCTGGCCGTGGGTGGCGTCCGAGGTTGGCCTATACCCTGGATCGCCAGGAGGGGGCAGTACAGCAAGTGGACAAAGCGCCATCGGTTTCCATCCGGGTGGTAGCACCCCGAATGCGCTTGGGTTTACTCTCGCTTGTTATGAGGACATCATTTAAATGGTTGAAACCATCTTAAAATCAAAACCCAACTACAGGACCCTCGTGGAAAGAAAAAAAAAGTCGTGCGGCTTTCCTCGATAAATAACCAAATTGTGATTATTACCACCCTACTAGAACACTGGCCACATTGATCAAAGGGATCCCCGCACCTTGAGATGGATGCATTTGCCTCGCCGACCAACAGGGGCGGGGGGGGGGGGAGAAGACGTCGTCGCGTGCGCCAACCTCGCGCACCATTGTGGACAACCTCAGGAGCTGCGGTGAGGAATCTCAGCTGGTCTCCACTCTCAGAACAAACGCGAGATCCGTCACCTCAACTCGTCGAATTGTCCACAAGCAACGCGGGAGAGAGCGGCTCGCACAGAACCGCTCAAACGTCTGTGCGCCCGAGCCAGACGAAAACAAAGGCCACACTCGGATCGCGAGCGGATTTGTAATCCTACGCGCAAACACTTGCACGTTCTTTAATGCTCCAGTGGAGGTGCCTTCCGCAGCAGGTGGCGTGAGCGAGCAGTTGCTGGGGCTGCGCCTTTAACGCGAATGCTCCCGTGCGAGTCGCGTGGGTCGCGTGCGATGTGAACTCGAGGCTGCTCCTCTACCCCGAACCTCCCATCCCCGAAGGGATAAAACGACCGCTCACTCCGTCGCAAGGCGCCTTTCGAGCTGCCCGGCAAAATCGTCGCAAGGCGCGTGTTTCCACGCATGCAATTCAAACGTCGACACCAATTCATATATAGAGTTAAATTAGCGAAGCACCCAGTGTACAGCTCACCAGGAATGCAAAAAAAGCATCAACTGTTACATCAAGCACGGCTGCAGGGCGGTCACGAAGTGAATTAATACACTCGGCATCGATTCCACGGCTTCTTACGCGGACGTTACAAGTATCACGAGAACGCGTCCGATCGGAGAGCGCCGCTGGGCGAGACGTCGAGCACCTGCGCCGAATGAATGAGGTGACGAGACGGGCTTGAGCAGCATCGCCGAGGACAATACACCGGCGAACGCGAGCGATTGATGAACACAATGGGCAATCGTTGTCTCTTATTGAGAAGCTCCAGGCAGTTGAAGCCGGCTGCACTTTGCCGAGGGGGTTTTACTGAACCCAACGCAAACGCAAGAGACACCCCCCAAACCCCCTTCCATGCGTGTCGCGTGCTGTGTGCGCGACACGCATGGAGGTCGCTCCCGGGATGGATTACGCGTGGCGATGACTTTCGCCGTTAAGGGAACATTTCGTACGGGTTCCCGTGTTGCCACGCGTATCGCGCACTTTTTAGATGGTCTTCTGCGGCCGTCTGGAACGTTCTCTTTCCTTCCGATATTAGGAAGCCGCTGGAGGCATGCTCTTTTAAATCGTCTAGATTTTTTTGTTGCGTTTAGTTTGTTTGTTGTCCTTACACCGCACTTCGGATTAGCACGGCTGGCTACGTGCGGTGCGAAAGAAGTGCAGCGTACACGTAGTCGTACGTGTAAAATGTACGATTACACTTGAAAGAACTTTCATTTGCTTATGCACTCAATTGAATCGAATCAATTTTATAACATTCATCGCTGAATTTGAACTTCTAAAGTAATGCTCCATTATTTAAAAAAAGTCAACATTTTTAGACGTTAATAGTTTACGCAAAGTGAACGCGCCAATCGTCAACACGGTGCCACGCGCCGCCACTCGGAGCAGGAAATGCAGGCGACGTTTCGGGAGGCGACGTCAAATTTGCTGCTTAACTGTCGGTGCCGGATTATCCCAGTAGCACAAGTAGCTACATATGTGTAGTAGCTACTACACACACGTGTAGCACAAGTAACTACATATGGAGCTACACAAGTAGCTACATGCGTAGTAGCTACTCGTGTAGTAGTAGCTACATGCATAGTAGCTACTACTACACGTGTAGTAGCTACATATGTAGTAGCTATGGGCCCCGCACTTTCAAGGGCCCCACGCTAAATGCTTTCAAGCCATCAATTCATGTTCAGTGATTCTGCACTTGCTCTATTACTATAGTACTATACCGCCTTCAACTTTTATGAACGACTGGGTGTTTAAGGTTAGCGATTTGTCGTACTATCTGGCTGTATAGCAAATGAAAAGATAGAATTACTTTACTAGGCAAGTAAAATTTTAGTGTTTTTTATATTTGTGCTTTCTTATATTTAGGGCCCCTTTATAACATATGCTACAGGCCCCGCACTAGTTTAATCCGGCATTGTTACCTGTCAACACCTCATCAGTGCTGCCTACCTTATTACAGACCAATTCAGACCTTAGTGGTCACCCCGTGCCCTTTATACATCTCAACGTTCATCCTACAAAGTCCCATCACAAGGGAGAAACACAAATAGACCAAAAAAAATACTTTTTCCCCGTATTGAAACGGCTGTACGCCGTACGGACCTGAAAACTCAATTTCCCTGTACAAGAATACAGGGTAAACCGTATGGGTTGACAGGTATGTATTTGGGGCCAAAGCAAACTCCTCCATTTCCTATCTTGGCCCCATTTTCCAGTCAATGCGAAGATGGGGGAACGTGTACAGAATGCGATTCATGGGCAGAATCCAGACTCCCCCACGAGCTGCCAATTTGCCAACGACTCCGTTTTTGCAACTCGATTCATCAACTGTTTTAACACCGCAGTGGATGTCGCGCGGCCTCTCGTGGCTTTGTTGGGGGGGGGTAAGAATGGACATGAAATCGACACGTCATTGCACCTAAAGCCGTGCAGTGTCAAGACTCTAAAGTGTCGCAGGGTTAATCTCTGTGGCCAATAATGCGTTCGCAAACACTCGGCGTGGGGACAGGGGTGACGATGCCCGCAGAACGCGACAACCCACACACGTCTTCTTGAGGCGCACTAATGCTGAAGGGGTCAGTGCAGAGTTCCGTCCGTCCGTCTGCATGTAACGCGGTGGGGGGAGGCGAGGTGACGCTTGTAAACCTGAACAAATAGACGTTAAACTTTGGAATGAAGTCACGTCGGTGTTATCGAGTTACCCTCTTAATAATTGGCCAAAGTGATCAAAGGGGATCCCCCCAGAACTTTGGAGACTCAAACCAAAGAAATATTAACCATTTACAAGTACGCAAACGCATCTCTGTGACGACAGCTGCCCGTCGGCTTGCGCACAGGAAGATACTTCTTAAGCACATCGCAGAGCACCACAGGATCCATGCGTGCGCAGGTCGTTTCTGCCTTGTCGTTGCATCCTCCCCGACGGATCGGCCCCACAAGAGGCACAATCACGTTCAGCAGATCCCCACTTAGCCCGCATCGTCACTCTCAACAAAAGCGCCTCCGCTACTCTGGGGCCATGAGACGCCGCCGTGAGTTATCAAGAGCACCACAGACGTCCCCTGCTAAGTTTGGAGCAGCGCTCACGTCCACTCGCGATCCCGAGCCAGTCGAATTCCTGCAAAGTAGTACAAGTTTAGCGACCACCGGGACACGATGATGGGCTGAACAGCGTGCTGGTCTGAACCTCCTTTCTTCGGCCGGGCGATCGACGGCCTGGCCATAGCCAACCAAGATTTGCATTCATCATCAGCCATGGTCAGTCCACTGCTGGATGAAGGCCTCACAAAGCTGCTGGCATCTCCCACGATCTTGCACGATGTACGACATGCATTACAACTCCAAAAATAGATACCTCCGCAATGTATATCGCGTTCAATATAATGAATGTTCGTAAAAAACCATCAGCAGTACTATGGGCAGGTCCAGGTACATCCCAACATGGATCGCTTTCCGCCCCCCCCCCCCCCCCCCCCCCCTCATGCATTAGGTTGCACTGCGCGTTGTTTGGCCCGGCGCGTCGTCCGACGTTTCGCTCCACATGCTGGAAAAATAGACGATGGCAGGGAATTCCAGTCTGGCCGTCGACAGGCTGTGGAGTTTAAGAGTCAAGTTCGTCCACGAGTCGTCCTTCTCGGGTGTCTGGCTGACTAGAGCAGCCATTTAGTGTTTGTCGCCCCTCACCCTCACATTTAAAAACTAAATAATATCATCAGGTCAGCCAAATGCCAAACACGATAAACCTTTAAATATAGACACAGCCAACTAACCATGCCGGTTCGTCCTCGGCGCACTTGGCACGCTCTGACTGACAAGGCGACGGTCTTCGCCTGCGTCTGCACCCTCGCTGGTTTCCTCTCCCGGCGGTGCGCCACTGCCGCCACCACCACTGCACCAGCTGCTGCAGCTGCACCAGCTGCAGCAGCAGCTGCACCAGCTACAGCAGCTGCAGCAGCAGCAGCGGGAGGAGCGGCAGGAGGCGCACACTGGCGGCTCTAGGAGGGCGTAGACTTGGCCATTGCCACGCTCCGCAAATATTTCCTCCGCTCGCAAGCCGTGACAAAACCAGTGGGGGGGGGGGGGTGATTGCCCCCTCCGTGAGACCCCAAAGAGTTGTAATTTATTGATATCAGAAATTGTTGTATTTAATGTGTTACTTTACCTTTGTTGGGCCATATTTTATAAAAAATGCTCGGCATTCTGAGAACGCACGGACTGCCGCCCCTCCCAATGTTTGGGAAGTTTCTAAAGCCGCCTCCGACTCGGCAGGCATCTGGTAATCGTCAACTAAGGTAAAAACAAATACGCGTGACGAATATGACATCACCACCGATCCCGCTAGGGAAATCAACGCTGGCACAAAAAATGCATCACCAAGTCGATCAACAAAACCCCTACACGCATGCAATACATTCAAGGGCAAACAACGTACAGGTCCGCCCAGAGCCCAGCGAGGCGTGGGTCGGAGCCGCAAGAACACGACGCAACACCTGCCCCCTCCCGAGAAACCTCACGGGCACTCGGTGCCGATGCTCGGCCACCCGGAGGAACGACCGGCGTGGTGGAGAGGGAGGCGTTCAAGACGCCCGCAAAGTGAAATTCCAAAACAACTCAACTTTCATTTTAATACCACAAGCGGTGTGCAGGTCGCTCGGCGAAATAGAGACAGCCACGATTGGTGGGAAGGACTAGCCCCGGTTGACAGCGGCGACCCATGCCGTGGAAACGTTACGACCGGGCTGGCATTGTGGTGGGTGGGGGTCGGCTGTGAACTATGACCAGGGGCTTAGTCGGCCGGGTCTGTGTGGGTTGGTGACCAAGAAAATATTTCCACAGCCGGGACACCGCATCCAGTATGCCTCACTATGGCTATCACTACTACTCGGCACATGATATCAGCGCCCGTCTATACCAGCGACCCGGAGAATACTCAGTGAAGAAATTAATCCCAACACAAGACGGTCACGAGCTCTCATGCCGATCCGGTCGCTAACCCCCGAACCCTGTGCGCGGGTGGCAATTGGCGGCGCGGTGATGCGAACCACCACGATAAGGAGCGGTGTGTGGGGGGGGGGGGGTCAAGATAAATAAATGAAACCACGAGCGATGAGCTTGCGTGTTTGGTGGGCATGGTTGGACTGTGTGAGCCGTGTGCGAGCGAGCGAGCCAGCAGGCGTGTGGGCTAGCAGGTGGGTTCACAGGTTGCCAGGCGGGCGGGCGAGCGAGCGGCCGGGCGATGAGCTTCACATGGCTTTGTCGGGCGCTGACGCGTAGCCCTGGTGGTAGGTGGGGTGCACCGGGTATGGTGGCTGAGGAGCTGGGTTTCACACGCACACACAAAGAGACAGAAGTCAGCCGCATTGGCTTGAACGGTTGGAAAAAGTGCTAATAGGGTGCTGATAGGGAGCACTTATTATGGCCAGGATGGAACACGAGCAGGTGGTGTGGCCAGCACCACACTAGGGCGTGCTGATGGTTACACACCTCATCTGAGGCTGAGTCGACCTAGGGGAGGCCCAGGACCGGTTCAGATAATCGTCACTGGTATTGGCCATGAGCGGGAATCGAACTTGGGTCACTGGGTTTGTAGCGAAGCGCGCTAACCGCTACACTACCGCTCCCCACTCACACGGACTTAGGTACCCATTCACGTACACACAAACGCACACAGCGGAGGCGCGCATGCTAGCCGGGGCTCCGTCGCCAGCAGCGGGGTTACTCACCCATGGCCGAGTCGTAGGAGGGCGGCGCCATGGGGTACGGCTGGTACGGGGGCCCCTGGGGGTTGTAAGTAGGCCCCTGCTGGGGGTACCCGGGCCCCTGGGGGTACCCGGGCCCCTGGGGGTAACCGGGCCCCTGGGGGTAACCGGGCCCTGCGGGGTAGACGGGCCCCATTGGGTAGGCGGGGTACGGCTGGGCCGGTGGGGGCCCCATCGGGGGCTGCTGGGGGTAGGCGCTCTGTCCGGGTCCCGGCTGCATGTTGAGCTGCATGTGCTCAGCTGTGACGGACAGAACGAAGACGCGCGGTCAGACACAAACAAGAACAACGCAACAACAACACGAGCAACGTTGAACAAATCCGCGAGCGTGACCAAGTCATCGCACCACCGCCAGACGGCCACACGTAATGACGCGTGGCCGGGGGCCCCACCGCCGCCTGCTGTACCGGTGGTGTAGGAGCGGAGGTTTCCCTGACGCCAGCGTCGGATGAAGCAGCAGGAGCACATGAAGCAGCAGATGGCGGTGATGACGATGACGAGGAAGACGAAGATGCTAGACGCGATCCCGGCGACCGTTCCGGGGCTGCGGTGCGAGACAGGGCGGTGCACGGGGTGACGGCAGTGAGCAGGAGTGTGAAGATGTTTTTAAATCCTTTATATTAAGTTCACTTGCTTGCTTGCTTGCGTGCTTACGACTGTGCAAATCTTTCGGTCGTTTTGTAACCCACTTCCCGTGATCCAATCGAGCTGACATTTTGCACACAGACTCGTTGTGCGTGACAATTTATTTTCGTGAAATTTTTTTCCAAAATGTTACACTTTTTAGGAATTTTTTTTTTATATTTAATTACCAATTGCTTAATGGTGGCAGGCAATCATCTGACCCATAGGTGGCAGCCATCTCAAGCCAAAGGACGAGAGGACTCGAGCCGCCACGCATATAAAGGATTTATAGTGAAAAACTTTGTTTTTACGGGTTAATTTTTTTCGTTTTTTATGCTTTCCAAATTAAGCCGGGTTCACGTTGGAGCCATCAGCTGCACCGGCAAACCATGCAAGAAAATCGCACATCCTCGTCGCATGCGACTGCTTTCGTCCACACCCGAGCGAGTAGTTGGGCAGTGAGGAAATTATGCGGGATGCGTTCAGGGTCGTAACAACCAATCGTAAATCGTCAACGTGCAGAACGTGATGAAACACGTTGCCGAGCAGCTACACAACCTGCAACCGGTTGTGCAGTTGCACAATGTTGCGTTACCGTTCAGGTGCAGCTGTCAACCAAACCCGGACAGAAGGCCGACACGGGACCAGTCGATTCTCGAGGATGGTTGGCAACTTCCCAAATCCTGAGGATTCGTCAAGTCCCCGGGAATCGAAGATAACGAGTGAATCGTGGGACAGCTCACTGGGGACATTGCGGCCTCGTTATTTGGGAGGAACTGGAGTCCACATTCTCCCCCAGCCACATTCCTCATGCTGCATAATGGGTCCTGCGGTGAAATTGCGGTTACTCCTACCCAGAAATCCCGGCACACCCACAGTCCACAGCCAAAACACTAATGTCTCGACTGAACCAAATAAGCACGTTACAATGCTACCCCAAACCACATCACCACCATTAACAGCATCGCTTCTATGATCACTGTTTCATTGCTTTTATGCCTTTATTTTGGTGATTTTTAAAAAATTTTTCGGTTTGGCCATGTTTGTTTGTTGTAGTACAGAGTTAGACTGATGGCCTTAATCTAAGTTGTCTTGTGGTTGTTGTTGTTTGACTTACATCCCACTGGGATTTTTTCACACAGTGTTGGTGTACGGTGCTTTTTCTGCAATATTTTTCTGTCTTTTCTTGGATTTTCTGTTTGCACATAGTCACTTTAAGATGTTTTCTTGTTCATGTTTTTGCTTTTTTTGTTTGTTGCGGTTGCACCCGATTCAAGAGCCGAATGGCTCACAGGGTTATACCTAATAAATGAAACTTTAAACTTGCCTCACCACCCCAAAACCCTCAACTCCGACCGCTGAACTCCAAACACTCAACCATGAATCCTGAACCCTTAACCCTGACCCACAAACCCACAAACCCTGAACCCCAAACTCCGTGCTCACTTCACGGCGAAGTAGGTGCAGTGCTTCTGCATGCGCTCGGAGATGCGCTGGCTGGACACGGAGCAGCACGAGCGCTGGTAGCAGCTGCCGCAGCACGACTCGGGGAAGATGCAGTTGATGCCACGGTGGAATGTTCCATTCTTGTCCGAGTAGCCCAGGCACTCGCGGTCTGCGGAGACTAACGGACAGAGACGCACGGAGGCACCACACGTGCAGCATTAGCGGGCAATTGCTTTTTTTCCCACACTGCACGAGCGAGCTGTGCCCCGGGGCCGTGCCCAGGCAGCCCGGCGCGGCTCAAAAGGTGCCAGGTTGGTTTTCCACTGCAGAAGCAGAGTCGTGCCGCCGACGCCACGTGCATCGAACGACGTCACGTGCATCGAACGAGTCGAGGCGCTTGTCGATGACCCTGCGACGTCATGTCCTCACCGCGTACCAATTGACGTCGCGCGATGGACGCATCGTTAGCCCCATCTGTGGCCCCGCTTGGCTAACCGAGCCAGATTCAGACATTCTGCTTGTGAGGCCAGCGCAGCACGGTTTGCTTCCGGCTCGGCAAATCGTCAGTGGAAAAGCACCCGTGCCGTGAGAGCCCCGCGCTGGCTTGGCTTGGATGTGCCAATGGATAGGGGTGCATGAGCCTCAAGGAAGCCCCAGTCACTCAGTTATCTCTGTTCTACGTCCACGAGGATTCATTTCTCCCTATAGGCGAAAATAATAACTCACCTACTTTGAGTTTGTAGAATATCGATGTGCTCTAGTTTGGCTCGAAAAGCCCAAAGGAAGATCCACTGGGTTTTATATTAAACTAGCTTTAATACCCGGCTTCGCCCGGGACTTGGATTCACCATGCCTGGCCGCCTTTGTCTCCACAGTGGCGATGTTCACACACCACACCAGTTACCCGTTTGAGGCTGAGTCGACCTAGGGGAGGCCCAGGACCGGTTCAAATAATCGTCATCGGTGGTGGCCGTGAGCTGGAATCAAACTCGGGTCGCCGGGTTCGTAGCGAAGCGCGCTAACCGCTACACTACAATGCGTTACGCTTCCACATGCGCGGGTCACGTGACAGATGTGACGTCACAGCTCACTTGCCGTGCAAACAATCTATGCATTATTGAGCTCCCCCCCCCGCAAAAAAAACAAAAGTGTATTTTATAATTGTTGCATGGTGTACAGTCTGGAAAGTACCCACATGGCAAATTTCCAGTTTGTTGCATGTCGGGAAGTACGCTAAACATTTTGAACAGACACACCTATTCACAACTTTGCCTTTATATATATGGAGGTGATGTAGGATGTCAATGAACCTTTGGTTGGCTCTGAGCACAGACAACCACCCAGCACGTTATATAACAAGAGTTTTCACCACACCAGTGTGCCTTGATGTGGCTCCAAGTGTGTGCTCAGTGACAATGGCGGAGCCAGGATTTTCAGGTAGGGGGGGGGCAACCCCTCCAGCAATGAGAAATGATAGAGGAGTTGTGAGTAAGGACTTGTTAGTGAGTAAGGAGTTGTGAGTAAGTAAGGACTTGTTAGTTAGTAAGGAGTTGTTAGTAAGTAAGGATTTGTTAGTGAGTAAGTAAGGAGTTGTTAGTAAGTAAGGACTTGTTAGTGAGTAAGGAGTTGCTAGTAAGTAAGGACTTGTTAATGAGTAAGGAGTTCTTCGTAAGTAAGGACTTGTTAGTGAGTAATGAGTTGTGAGTAAGTAAGGACTTGTTAGTGAGTAAGGAGTTGTTAGTAAGTAAGGACTTGTTAGTGAGTAAGTAAGGAGTTGTTAGTAAGGACTTGTTAGTGAGCAAGTAAGGAGTTGTTCGTAAGTAAGGACTTGTCCCTTGCTTTTTATTCGACGCATGTGCGGAGATGGCGCAGCCATCGATTGAGGGTCGAATTCGAACCGCGTTGTGTGATCGGCATCGCGCTCGCTGAAGGTGTTGATGCCTTCAGGGAACTCGTGTCCTGTATACGCAACTGCGCACAATTCTGTGAGTCGCTTATAACCGATTTGCCGTTACTTATTGCCAATTATGGACTCAGACTATTGTCCTATCATCTCATAGAGTCCTTGGCATATAATAATATGCTACACAGTGGCAGTGGGGGTCGTAAAATGTCGATTTATTACTAATAAACCCTAATGATCCGATCGAAATTAGGTATTTCGATCGGATCATGACTCCGCCAATGCTCAGTGAGATCACACCATGATAGTCTGTACCAACTATCATCTTATTCTGGACTTGAAGTTTTCGTGACTGCAAGGATCCACACTCTTGGTTCTTTCGGTAAAGTCAACAAAACTTGCTGCTGGCTCACCGGCGTTGTGATGGGCCTGGGTGTAAACCATTTCAAGGGCACCACCAGTGACAAGCCATCCCCTATGCCCACAAGGCGAGCATTAGTCGTCTGCCAGTAGGCGAGCACTGATCGTTCGTGTGTCATCCCAATTTCAGTAATGTCTAGAATTTGGCAAATTGGCGACATGATGCCGGCACACAGCGGCGTTCTCAATTTCGCGTAACGCTGGAGGGGGGGCAGGGGGAGGTATTTAACGTCCACGCTGAGTGAATCAGACAGGGAGATCGTAGCCGTTCCACCGCTGACGACTGAGCCGCAAAGACGCCACGGCATTCACCGGGGACGACTGTCGCCACCGGGGATCGAATCTCGAACATCTGCGACAAGCGGGCAAAGCGCAAACGTTGAGCCACGGGCCAGGCGCCGACGTATAACCAACCTCGTGTGGCTCCGGACACGTGCGCGTTTGTGTGTTGAACACCTAATGTCGCACTCATCTTCTTGGTTCTTTCGGTAAAGTCACCCACCTTAAATATACGCTGCCAAGCCTGGTGGTGTTCATTCAGACGCTGTCTTTCCGACAGACCTGTTCGTCACCTGAGGACGGCTGCTGAAACGTCGTGAGAATTGTATTTTAAAATGTTAAATTTTTATTATTTTATTATTTCCCTTCTACGTGACTTTACCGAAAGAACCAAGACGATGATTCCCTGCAGTCACAAAAGCTTTAAATCGAAATTTAATGTCGCACTCTTAGTTTTTTTCGGTAAAGTCACGTAGTAATAAATAAATAATACAAATAAATAATAAACCTTATAGAAATAAAATAATAAATCACGACGTTTCGGAGGCAACACAAGTCTCCGTCATCCGGTGGGACCGTCACAGCTAAAATTTACTGTATCAAGTGACTTCACCGAAAAAACCTAAGCGTATGAATCCTTGCAGTCGCGAAAGCTTCAAATCTAGAACTAATATCGCCACCGCACGCACTAAACCCATGATCGTCTGGGAGGTGCGGGAAATGACAACAAACCAAACGCACACAACGCACATTTCATGGAATGAGTGGGGGGATTTTAGAGTGCGCAAGCAGCTTCCTAACATCGGAAGCAAAGAACGTTCCAGACGGCCGCAGCAGCAGCAGCGAATCTGAAAACGCCACGCGGCCTGCAGCCAAAAGCTGCTGCTGATGTAAATTTCGATTTAAAGCTTTCGTGACTGCAGGGATTCGTCTTCTTGGTTCTTTCGGTAAAGTCACGTAGAATGGAATAAAATAAAACATAATAAAATAATATAATATTTCTCACACTGATGACGATGACCGGAGTTAGCGTGGTGGTTCATGCTCATTGAAGACATCAGCGAGGTATCCGTGGTTCATTCGCGGCAAGCGCTGCGTGTGTATGTGTCTGTAATAAGTGCGACCTCGTAACGTAAATCGTTGGGCAACGGGAAGCCGATGGAGGCTCAAGCGGGCACATCACAGGGCCACCGCCAAAGCAACTCTCTCGTCTCCGCCATCAAGGCACAGCGCAGAAATCGCAGCCACGACAACAATCGAAATAACAACAACTGCTGCTGCAACAACAACAACAACAGCACCACCACCACAACTGTGTAACGTCAAACGCAGCGGAAATAACTCAACACCACCACCACCGTCAGCAACCTCCACTGTTGCAGCATCAACCGCACTGAAACGACAGCCCCAGCAGCAGCTACTACAGCCGCAACCCTCACCACCAAACGAGCAACAACTGAAACAACAACAACAACAACCGTAGGAGCAACAACAACAACTGTAGTAGCAGCAGCAGCAGCTGTTGTGTGGGAATTGCGTGAATTGTATCGGGGCTATGTCAACACCGCGGCGAGGTGGGAACCCTGCCCAGACCCCCCACCCCCACTTAGCTCACACCACACCGGCTCAATCCCAATAACCCCATACAACAGTGGGACCCTGCCCAGACCCCCCTCCCCCACTAATCTCACACCACATCGGCTCAATCCCAATAACCCCATACAACAGTGGGACCCTGCCCAGACCCCCCTCCCCCACTAATCTCACACCACATCGGCTCAATCCCAATAACCCCATACAACAGTGGGACCCTGCCCAGACCCTCACCCCCTCCACTAATCTCACACCACACCGGCTCAATCCCAATAACCCCATACAACAGTGGGACCCTGCCCAGACCCCCCACCCCCACTAATCTCACACCACACCGGCTCAATCCCAATAACCCCATACAACAGTGGGACCCTGCCCAGACCCCCCCTCCCCCACTAATCTCACACCACATCGGCTCAATCCCAATAACCCCATACAACAGTGGGACCCTGCCCAGACCCCCCCTCCCCACTAATCTCACACCACATCGGCTCAATCCCAATAACCCCATACAACAGTGGGACCTTGTCCAGAACCCCACTAATCTCACACCACATCGGCTCAATCCCAATAACCCCATACTACAGTGGGACCCTGCCCAGACCCCCCCCTCCCCCACTAATCTCACACCACATCGGCTAAATCCCAATAACCCCATACAACAGTGGGACCCTGCCCAGACCCTCACCCCCTCCACTAATCTCACACCACATCGGCTCAATCCCAATAACCCCATACAACAGTGGGACCCTGCCCAGACCCCCCCCCCCCACTAATCTCACACCACACCGGCTCAATCCCAATAACCCCATACAACAGTGGGACCCTGCCCAGACACCCCCCCCCCCCATCTCACACCACACCGGCTCAATCCCAATAACCCCATACAACAGTGGGACCCTGCCCAGACCCCCCCTCCCCCACTAATCTCACACCACACCGGCTCAATCCTAATAACCCCATACAACAGTGGGACCTCTGCCCAGACCCCCCCCCCACTCTCACACCACATCGGCTCAATCCCAATAACCCCATACAACAGTGGGACCCTGCCCAGACCCCCCTCCCCCACTAATCTCACACCACATCGGCTCAATCCCAATAACCCCATACAACAGTGGGACCCTGCCCAGACCCTCACCCCCTCCACTAATCTCACACCACACCGGCTCAATCCCAATAACCCCATACAACAGTGGGACCCTGCCCAGACCCCCCACCCCCACTAATCTCACACCACACCGGCTCAATCCCAATAACCCCATACAACAGTGGGACCCTGCCCAGACCCCCCCTCCCCCACTAATCTCACACCACATCGGCTCAATCCCAATAACCCCATACAACAGTGGGACCCTGCCCAGACCCCCCCCTCCCCACTAATCTCACACCACATCGGCTCAATCCCAATAACCCCATACAACAGTGGGACCTTGTCCAGAACCCCACTAATCTCACACCACATCGGCTCAATCCCAATAACCCCATACTACAGTGGGACCCTGCCCAGACCCCCCCCTCCCCCACTAATCTCACACCACATCGGCTAAATCCCAATAACCCCATACAACAGTGGGACCCTGCCCAGACCCTCACCCCCTCCACTAATCTCACACCACATCGGCTCAATCCCAATAACCCCATACAACAGTGGGACCCTGCCCAGACCCCCCTCCCCCACTAATCTCACACCACACCGGCTCAATCCCAATAACCCCATACAACAGTGGGACCCTGCCCAGACACCCCCCCCCCCCCATCTCACACCACACCGGCTCAATCCCAATAACCCCATACAACAGTGGGACCCTGCCCAGCCCCCCCCTCCCCCACTAATCTCACACCACACCGGCTCAATCCCAATAACCCCATACAACAGTGGGACCCTGCCCAGACCCCCCCCCCCCCCCACTAATCTCACACCACACCGGCTCAATCCCAATAACCCCATACAACAGTGGGACCCTGCCCAGACCCCCCCTCCCCCACTAATCTCACACCACATCGGCTCAATCCCAATAACCCCATACAACAGTGGGACCCTGCCCAGACCCCCCCTCCCCACTAATCTCACACCACATCGGCTCAATCCCAATAACCCCATACAACAGTGGGACCTTGTCCAGAACCCCACTAATCTCACACCACATCGGCTCAATCCCAATAACCCCATACTACAGTGGGACCCTGCCCAGACCCCCCCCTCCCCCACTAATCTCACACCACATCGGCTAAATCCCAATAACCCCATACAACAGTGGGACCCTGCCCAGACCCTCACCCCCTCCACTAATCTCACACCACATCGGCTCAATCCCAATAACCCCATACAACAGTGGGACCCTGCCCAGACCCCCCTCCCCCACTAATCTCACACCACACCGGCTCAATCCCAATAACCCCATACAACAGTGGGACCCTGCCCAGACACCCCCCCCCCCATCTCACACCACACCGGCTCAATCCCAATAACCCCATACAACAGTGGGACCCTGTCCAGACCCCCCCTCCCCCACTAATCTCACACCACACCGGCTCAATCCTAATAACCCCATACAACAGTGGGACCTCTGCCCAGACCCCCCCCCCCCCACTCTCACACCACATCGGCTCAATCCCAATAACCCCATACAACAGTGGGACCCTGCCCAGACCCCCCTCCCCCACTAATCTCACACCACATCGGCTCAATCCCAATAACCCCATACAACAGTGGGACCCTGCCCAGACCCTCACCCCCTCCACTAATCTCACACCACACCGGCTCAATCCCAATAACCCCATACAACAGTGGGACCCTGCCCAGACCCCCCACCCCCACTAATCTCACACCACACCGGCTCAATCCCAATAACCCCATACAACAGTGGGACCCTGCCCAGACCCCCCCTCCCCCACTAATCTCACACCACATCGGCTCAATCCCAATAACCCCATACAACAGTGGGACCCTGCCCAGACCCCCCCTCCCCACTAATCTCACACCACATCGGCTCAATCCCAATAACCCCATACAACAGTGGGACCTTGTCCAGAACCCCACTAATCTCACACCACATCGGCTCAATCCCAATAACCCCATACTACAGTGGGACCCTGCCCAGACCCCCCCCCCTCCCCCACTAATCTCACACCACATCGGCTAAATCCCAATAACCCCATACAACAGTGGGACCCTGCCCAGACCCTCACCCCCTCCACTAATCTCACACCACATCGGCTCAATCCCAATAACCCCATACAACAGTGGGACCCTGCCCAGACCCCCCTCCCCCACTAATCTCACACCACACCGGCTCAATCCCAATAACCCCATACAACAGTGGGACCCTGCCCAGACACCCCCCCCCCCCCATCTCACACCACACCGGCTCAATCCCAATAACCCCATACAACAGTGGGACCCTGCCCAGACCCCCCCTCCCCCACTAATCTCACACCACACCGGCTCAATCCTAATAACCCCATACAACAGTGGGACCTCTGCCCAGACCCCCCCCCACTCTCACACCACATCGGCTCAATCCCAATAACCCCATACAACAGTGGGACCCTGCCCAGACCCCCCCTCCCCCACTAATCTCACACCACACCGGCTCAATCCCAATAACCCCATACAACAGTGGGACCCTGCCCAGACCCCCCCCCTCCCCCACTAATCTCACACCACACCGGCTCAATCCCAATAACCCCATACAACAGTGGGACCCTGCCCAGACCCCCCCCTCCCCCACTAATCTCACACCACACCGGCTCAATCCCAATAACCCCATACAACAGTGGGACCCTGCCCAGACCCCCCCCTCCCCCACTAATCTCACACCACACCGGCTCAATCCCAATAACCCCATACAACAGTGGGACCCTGCCCAGACCCCCCCCTCCCCCACTAATCTCACACCACATCGGCTCAATCCCAATAACCCCATACAACAGTGGGACTCTGTTGTGTGGGGTTATCGGGTTTAAAGGCCCAGGCAGGGACATGGAGACCTGCGTCTCGCACCCAAGGGCCCCCTGGGGGTGGGGACTCAACTCTCACCTCATGAGGCTTGGACCACGACCCGGCAGCCTGGTCCCAAGGACCCCAGCATGGACCCCCTAGCCACCACCATCACCATCACCACCACCATCACCACCATCACCACCACCACCACCACCATCATCACCACCACCACCATCACCACCACCACCATCACCACCACCATCACCACCATCACCACCACCATCATCACCACCACCACCATCATCACCACCACCACCATCACCACCACCATCACCACCACCATCACCACCACCATCACCACCACCACCACCATCACCACCACCATCACCACCACCATCACCACCATCACCATCACCACCACCACCCCCCCCCCCGTTGTTACCTTCGCCGTGGGCGGCCACAAAGCAGAGCAGGGCGAAGACGAGAAGCGGCGGCGGTGCCGGCATCGCGTCCACGCGGCGTCTCCCCCTCCTCCCCCCGCCGCCTCTCCCGAATATTCCGACGAGAACACCACCACCCACCACCACTACTACCAGCACCACTACCCACTACTACCACCACTACCACCCACCACCACCACGACCACCCACCACTACCACCACCACTACCAGCACTACCACCACGACCACCCACCACTACCACCACCACTACCGTCTACTACCACCCACCACTACCACCACCACCACTACCAGCACCACTATCCACTACCACCACCACCACAACCCCCGTGCGCCTCTCCCCGCCTATCTCCTGCCGCCGCCGCTGCTAGAGGCCTCTCGTCTCCCTCCTACCCACACAGCCACCACCACCACCACCCCCAGAGTCTTCTCCCGACTCAGAGCTCGCCTCGCCTGCTCCTCCCGTAAGCGTGCCGCCTCCCTCGCCCCTCTCTCGCACTCTCACCGCCAATATCTCTCCTCTACTCTCTCTCCACTCTCCCCTGGACTCTCTCCTCGCTCTCTCCCCTGGATTATCTCTCTCCTCGCTCTCTCCCCGCCAATCTATCTACTCTCCTCTACTCTCTATCCCTCCTCGCTCTCTCTCGACTCTCTCCACGCTCTCTCTCGACGCTTCACTCGACTCTCCCCTGCACTCTCTCCACTCTCGACTCTCCCCTGGACTCTCTCTCCTCGCTCTCTCTCCACTCTCTCCTCGCTCCCCTCGACTCTCCACTGCACTCTCCCCTCCACTCTCCACTGCACTCTCTCTCCACTCCCCCCTGCACTCTCCACTCTCCCCTGGACTCTCTCTCTCCTCGCTCTCTCTCCACTCTCCCCTGGACTCTCCTCTCTCCACTCTCCCCGCGTCTCCTCCGCTATCGCTGCCTCGACTGCCCACGACTCCCCCCGCTCCCCCCCCACCCCCCACCGTTTGCTTTGAGGTGGTCACGTGGCCTCGGCCTCGCGCTCTCATTGGCGAAGGCGAGAGCGACGTCACTCGCCGCGGTACGCACTTCCGCTCCGGGGGTCGCGCGCGACGCCACGTGACCGCGAGTGGGGTTAATTAGCCTCGTGAATATTCATGAGGGTGGCTGGGCTCATGAATATTCATGAGGGTGGCTGGGCTCATGAATATTCACGAGGGTGGCTGGGCTCATGAATATTCATGAGGGTGGCTGGGCTCATGAATATTAACGAGGGTGGCTGGGCTCATGAATATTAACGAGGGTGGCTGGGCTCATGAATATTAACGAGGGTGGCTGGGCTCATGAATATTAACGAGGGTGGCTGGGCTCATGAATATTAACGAGGGTGGCTGGGCTCATGAATATTAACGAGGGTGGCTGGGCTCATGAATATTAACGAGGGTGACTGGCCTCATGAATATTAGCTAGGGTGACTGACTTCATGAATATTAACGAGGGTGGCTGGCCTCCGGCGTGAGTAGGTTAAACGTTGAGTTTTATAAGGGCACCACGGGGTGACCAGCCCATCCCCACCCAGCCCCACCCCTCCCACCCCCCACCCAGCCCCACCCAGCCCCTCCCCACCCTCCCCCTCCCCACCCAGCCCCTCCCTCCCCACCCTCCCCTCCCCACCCAGCCCCTCCCTGCACGACGGACGGACACAAGAATCCCCTGTGGGCTGGTGTTACCAGGAGGTTCCTATCAGTAAAATTGTCTTCTAAGAAACCGGTCCCTGGTGCCAAAAAGGTTGGGGACCGCTGCCCTCTCGCGCCCTCCGCACGCAGTGTCCGCTGCCCCCTAGCGCCCTCCGCTGCCCCCTAGCGCCCTCCGCACACAGTGACCGCTGCCCCCTAGCGCCCTCCGCTCGCAGTGTCCGCTGCCCCCTAGCGCCCTCCGCTGCCCCCTAGCGCCCTCCGCACACAGTGACCGCTGCCCCCTAGCGCCCTCCGCTCGCAGTGTCCGCTGCCCCCTAGCGCCCTCCGCTGCCCCCTAGCGCCCTCCGCACACAGTGCCCGCTGCCCTCTAGCGCCCTCCGCTCGCAGTGTCCGCTGCCCTCTAGCGCCCTCCGCACACAGTGTCCGCTGCCCCCTAGCGCCCTCCGCACAGTGTCCGCTGCCCCCTAGCGCCCTCCGCTCGCAGTGTCCGCTGCCCTCTAGCGCCCTCCGCACACAGTGTCCGCTGCCCCCTAGCGCCCTTCGCACGCAGTGTCCGCTGCCCCCTAGCGCCCTCCGCACACAGTGTCCGCTGCCCTCTAGCGCCTTCCGCACGCAGTGTCCGCTGCCCCCTAGCGCCCTCCGCACGCAGTGTCCGCTGCCCTCTCGCGCCCTCCGCACACAGTGTCCGCTGCCCTCTCGCGCCCTCCACACACAGTGACCGCTGCCCCCTAGCGCCCTCCGCACACAGTGTCCGCTGCCCTCTCGCGCCCTCCGCACACAGTGACCGCTGCCCCCTAGCGCCCTCCGCACACAGTGTCCGCTGCCCTCTCGCGCCCTCCGCACACAGTGACCGCTGCCCCCTAGCGCCCTCCGCACACAGTGTCCGCTGCCCTCTCGCGCCCTCCGCACACAGTGACCGCTGCCCCCTAGCGCCCTCCGCACACAGTGTCCGCTGCCCTCTCGCGCCCTCCGCACACAGTGACCGCTGCCCCCTAGCGCCCTCCGCACACAGTGTCCGGCACGACGCTCGTGCCCCCTGGTGGCGTCACGCTGCGGCCCGCGAGCTGCTCCACGTCGTGGGTGGTGGTGGTGGCTCCTTCCTAGCTCACCCGGGGACCTTGTCGGTGAGTGCGAGTTGGGTGATAAAGTTGGGTGATTGTTTAAGTTGGGTGATTGTTTGAGTTGGGTGATTGTTGAAGTTGGGTGATTGTTTAATAGGGGATGATCCCCTATTAAGAGTGAAACGTGGCTTCGTTTCCCACGGTTTAAATCCCTTACCGTAACTTACCTGGTTACCTTGACATATTCCTTACCTGGTTACCTTGACGACAGATTCCTTATCTGGTTACCTAGATGACAGGTCGCTTACCTGGTTACTTAGACGACAGATCCCCTACCTGGTTACCTAGACGACAGATCCCCTACCTGGTTACCTCAACGACAGAGCCCCTACCTGGTTATCTAGACGACAGATCCCCTACCTGGTTACGTCAACGACAGATCCCCTACCTGGTTACCTAGACGACAGAGCCCTTGCCTGGTTACCTAGACAACAGATCCCCTACCTGGTTACCTAAACGACAGATCCCCAACCTGGTTACCTCAACGACAGATCCACTACCTGGTTACCTATACGACAGAGCCACTACCTGGTTACCTAGACGACAGATCCCCTACCTGGTTACCTAGACAACAGAGCTGGCTACATTCGCATGCCGGTCCTTGCCGTCGGCATCGTCGCGAGCCGATGAACCCACCACATGGCCACCTCGCAGCGCCGCGCTCACAGCAGCAAGACTCCAGCCTGATGATTGCTCATTTTTGCTTTTATTGCGACCGCGCCAGCGCTGACGGTGAAGGCCCACTACTCACCGGGTGTGCACCACGGCCCCAGGTGAGCTCCTCACCTGGCCAATTGCCTCGGTAACGGACCCGTCACCCCGTTAACAATTTAACAGACGCATTGCCGAGTTCGGTTGACAAATCCATCATCTGTTTACCCAGGTGACACACGAGTTGCCCGGTTGCCAAGGTGACAGGTGCATTACCCAGGTGACAGATCCGTTACCTGGTTACCTAGGCAACAGACCCGTCACCCAAGCAACAAAACCCATTACTTGCTTAACCAAGCGATAGACCCGTCACCTGGTTACCCAGGTGACGGGTCCATTACCTGGTCACCATGGAAACAGATGGGTAAACCCCACACACTCCGGTGACCGTCAGCGACCGTAAATGTTGACGGTCGACCGCAATAAACGCGCCCTGACCTGGCACCCGCGTCCCGCCACTCTCGAAATCAGTGTCCGACCGGCGCCGTGGAATGCCCCACTCACCATCGTCAACTCCTAGCGACGACGGTGAATGGGGCATGAGTGGTTGATGCGCGCCGATGGGTTGCCACCTTCAAACGAAAATAACGGGACCTATTGCGGGAACAAGAAGAATGTCCCCCCCGCCCGCCCGCCCCACTCACCCTAGCATAGCAGGTCGAAAGTTACCAACATTTTGGGGAAATTTTCCTGCATATTACCAATTTCTGCACTATTATGACAACTCGCCCGATGATGCTGGGTGTAATTACCAGCGGAAGGTCGTATTCAAAATTGTAAATGTTGTGGATTTACTCTCCAACGCACCGGTGGGCTTAAGTAGTAACTAATTGGCGTTTTGTTTACGTGACAAACCTTACTGGCTGTGTTGGGTGGTGGAGGGTTACGACACATTTATACTTACGCGATCTAACCCAAAAACCTTTATCATGAATATTGGTCGCAAAAGCCTACGTGTTAAATGACTAATTTCTGTTCGGTGCCATCGATTGAGGTAGGAATTTTTTTAACAAAAATCAAATGCTTTAGGGCAAAGTGGTCCCAACATCGCCAATTCCAGGCCCCAACAAGATAGACATCTTGGCTAGGTCCCAACACCAGCAGGCGAGGCCCTAGGCAGGCGTGGCCAGGCTGTTATGGCCGTTTGAGGCGAGGGGATCTTTCCTCCTCCCAGGGGTCGAGTGAAGCCGTGCCAGGTCAGGCCGCTTCCGCACTACAGCTACAGCTACAACCCTACAGGCGTGCGTCTCAAGCCTCCGCGCGCGACGCGTGTTTTCCCAATCAGATGCAGCTCTCTACTGCAGGGGCACCGATCGGGATCGGGGAACCCGTGCAGGCCCGAACCAGAAACCACAACATGCAGAGAGACAAGGCTGGGAGGGTTCCGCGTGCAACGTGGTGGTCGCGTGGCAAGCGCCCCTGCACACCCAAGGCACTTGGATGGGAGTCGCGCCTTTCCTGCCGTTTGTGGGCACCGTGCACCTTTGCGTGTTGGAATTTCTGACTGCGTTTACATGGGGGGGCCACGCGGCGGAGGCTTAGGAGGCAGGTTCAAGCGTAGAGGTCCGGGTCCACAGTTCGCGATTCTCACAGAGCGACACGTTCGGTGCTCGCTTGGACAGCCGTCGGTCCGGGCGTCGCTCGGATCGTCGGCCGCGAAACGTTCGCTGGGATGGTCGAGCGAGTGGTGGCGGAGTGACACGATTGGTGGTGTTCATCTCTTCGGCGAAATTAGTGACGAATATATTCCGCGGGGTGCGCGCGCGGCTCTTTAATTGCAGAGTCATAGGATGACTCTATGAAGAGATTGACAAGAGCTCGTGGATTTTCTGACTTGACGATAACGGAAGGGGGAATTGCGCGCCCCTCACACCACAAGCTATTCCCCTTGAGCGTTTAACTCAACGTTTGGCATTAGTCAGCCAGTCTAAGGGAGAATGGCGACGTGAAATTCACAGCCTCCACGCGGGTCGTCATTGCCCGCGCTAAGACTGGGACTCACGCGACCCACTCCGTCTCCATCGACGCCCGAGCGGAGACATAGGCGACGGTCGCTCTGTGCGAACCGCGCGGCACGGACCGGACCGCGGTGATTGTGGTGATGGTGGTGGTGGCGCTGGTTGAGTGAGAAGATGCCGCCGGGTCCTAGCGCCAAACCCACGGCATCCGAGTGGACACATACATTTCGATTTAAAGCTTTCGTGACTGCAGGGATTCATCTTCTTGGTTCTTTCGGTAAAGTCACGTAGAAGGGAAGTAATAAAATAATAAAAATGAAACATAATAAAATACAATTCTCACGACGTTTCGGCCACAATGCAAGCAGCCGTCTTCAGGTGAAGAACAAGTCTGTCGGCGAGACAGCGCTGTCTCACAAGTCTGTCGGGGAGACAGCGCTGTCTCCTCGACAGACCTGGTCTTCACCTGAGGACGGCTGCTTGCGTTGTGGCCGAAACGTCGTGAGAATTATTTTATTATGTTTTATTTTTATTATTTTATTATTTCCCTTCTACGTGACTTTACCGAAAGAACCAAGAAGATGGACACATACAGTGCACCCGCAAAATGGGCCACGGCTCCCCACGTGTTTGTGTGCGAACTGTACGGTCAACAATTGTGTTTAGTGATGGTAGTGCACACTGTATGTTTGACGTTGTTGTTGTTGTTGCTTAGGATTGCTTTGTTACGATTTGTAATGGATTTTTGGGTTTGGCCACGTGATGCCCTGGCCACATTTGTGTCGATAACACCCTCCCCGCCACCTAACGACACAAATGTGGCCAGATCGTTACGTGGGCCTCACGCGAATTTCATTTCTGAATCCTGATGCTATGGCTGCATAAACAGCTACGTGATACATTGTTTGGGATTGTAACGGTGAAAAGGCACAAAGCGAGGAGCAGCGCTCCAATGTCTGCGCACTGAGCAGCCACGAGCATCCCACCAATCAGAGCGATCCAACACGTCCCTCTTCCCTTTCTAGATTTGAAGTTTTCGTGACTGCAAGGATCCATACTCTTTGGTTCTTTTGGTAAAGTCAGCTCCCCCTCCCCTTATTCCCCCCCCCCACCGCCCTCTTCGATTTATATAAACGCCTTAACTCCGGCTTCTCTCCCACTTCAGTAAAAAAAAAATCTTGCTGTGGTTGTCACACCTGATGATGATTGCTTGTGTTGCAATCGAAACGTCGTGATTTTTTTTATTTTTTTTATTTTACCTTTTCACCTACGTGACTTTACCGAAAGAACCAAAGAGTACGTTCCTTCCCATAATGCTTTGCTGTTAGCGTAGGCTTGGTACCCACTGCTCTGTGCCAAATGGTCGACTGCCGGGCGCATTTTTATTTCGACCGCCCAAACGGACCGCTTTGGTAAACATCCGTGGGATCGCCGTGCTGATTGGTGTGGCCGCTAAACAGAGCCGGTTTAAAGGAGCCTTGAGGTCACCTGATGAAGGCACTGGGGCAAAACAAATCTCGACTTCTCCCGCAACGAAATCGAATCGTGCGCGCGTAGCGTTCCAGCGAGAGCACGTGCACACGTGTGTGCGTGCGTGAATGCGTAAACATGCGTGTGCGCGCAGTAGGCATGTAACAGTTCACCCCACCTCCCCCGCGATTTGACAAATTGTACGAGTTCGCCGTCACGATGCGGTTTTCACCAACCGATTGTTTTTTTTATCCATCTCAAATCGTCTGTCTAGTTCGGGCCATCTCACGCGTAATGACTGTAACCCAACACAAATCTTCGCATAAAACGTTTAACAAAACCAAAGTGATCGGCTTCTTAGTTGACGGATCCCTGAATCATTGCATGCCTATCGCGCGTGAGAGCGTGCGTGTGTGTGTGCGAGTGCGTGCGTGCGTGTGTGTGTGTGTGCGAGTGCGTGCGTGCGTGCGTGCCGCCGATCACTGGCACGTGTTGTAGACGGTGATCTGGCGGTTGATGGCGTGCAGGATGGCTTGCATCTTCTCCTCGAGTCCGTCCAGCGAGCGAGCCTTGTCCTCCAGCGCCTGCTCGTTCCTCTCGTACTGCTCTTCCAGGTCTGCTCCCACGAGCAACGAGGGCGACGCCGGTGAGACGGGACACACGGGGAACAACACCGCAGCATCGTCGCTCAGAAAATCGCAGCCGAGCTGCTCACCCCCGGGCGGGGCGATCGCGCATGGCACGGCCTGGTTTTCCACCGGCTCTTTGCCGTGGCGAGCCAGATCCAAGCCGTGACTCGCTGGCCTCAAAATCTGGCTCGGAGCCAAGCAGGGCCAGGGGCGGGGCTAGCGGTGCGTTCAATGCGCGCGACGTCTAAACAAGTGAAGATAATCCAACATCAACAAAGGAGAGCGAGTGTGTGCGCCCTGTTTGGAACAATCAGGCTGGCCTGCCTATGATCCATCCTGGGTTTGACCAGACTGGATTGTGTGAGGAGCTCACACATCCTTGGCTTCTGTTTGGCTGGATAGAAGGGCCTAAATGGGAGCCGCACGGGCTGGAGAAGAGATGGGGTGATATGGTACAGAAGGATGTGGGGCTGAGTGCACTTGCTGATGACTGGTACCAGCGGTGTCATGATCGACCTCTATTGAGGAGGCTCGTGAAGGATGCTACTGGACAAGTGGAGGCAGTTGCCCTCCAACAACAACGGAGGGCAAAGGAGTGACGCTCACAACAATGAGTGGAGCGCTGGGTGGCTAAAATGCAGCAAATTAGCACGTTGCAGCTGCTAGTCAGCACAGTGACCTGCCAACAGCGAGCCTTCGACACTTCACGTGGCCTCAAAGCGCACTTAGCCTGGCACAAGCGCCGTGGTGACGTCACCGCCACTTAGTGGCAAATGGTGGCTTTTGTCTGAGTAAGTGTGTCTGTGAGTTCAGTTTGAGCGTGTGTGCGAGTGTAGGCATCACCACATCGACGCTACACATGGCGTATATCAGCGGAATGGCTGTTTCTTCAGTGGAATAAAAATAACCAATGCCTCCTAAGTCGCGGCAGGCTCCTGGCACGGGCTCCATTGTACAGTGGGAGAGAAGTTTAGTTTGGGTCGATAGTCCACAAAGAGGTACCCATTGTATCGACCCCAGAGGAATGATGGGTTGAGTCAACCACGACCTTTCCTTGCTGAGCCGCCCGTTCTACCGCTGGGCCACTTGGCCCGCTAAAAAACACAATTTCCTAAACCACCCAAATCTATAAAGCAACGGTAAACCCGCAGCAAATTCCTCACGAGTTTCACACAACCTCCGAGCAAAGCATCAGCAAGATAAAATTACCCATGAGCCTCTGCAGCTTGTCCTGTGCACCGGTGAGGAGTTTGCGGGCCTGATCGCGCAGGGCCTCGGCTCGCTGGCGCGCCGTGGTGGCGCCGTCCGCCTTGCTTCGAGCCTGCGTCTCCAGCAAGCCGAACTTCTCCCTCAGCTCCCCGCCTAGGATCTGGGGACCGGCGGATGGGGGACACGGGGAGAGAAGAGGAGAGGGTGCGGCGCGATTGGGGGATGGCGCCGACGCGAATGGCACGACCGCAACTACCGCAACTACCGCAACAACCGTGACAACCGCGAACGACGCCCGACCGTGGCGACAACCTCGCCCCCGCGGCGACCGCCGCCCGCGGTGCTGGGGTCGGTACCTGCTTGGCTTCGTCGGCGCGGAGCTTGGCGTTCCCCGCGGCCTTGTCGGCGCGCGTGCCGGCCATGGCGGCCTGGCTGCTCTTGATCTTGAGCGCCGCGACGGCGTCGTCGAGGCGCGCCGCGCGCTCTGCCGCCTCGCGCAGACGCTGCTCCGCGGAGTCCGTCTCCGACGCGATCTGGACGTGGGGTGGAGGGAGCGGGGGGTGGGGGAGAGGACGGAGGAGCGTGGCAGTGCCACGGTGGCGAGATGTTAACTGCCTCGCCTGGTCGCGGGTTCGATGCCAATGCTGACGGCTGCTGGTGTATATTTTGAGTTTGCGTGTCTCTCTGCACGTGATCGCGCGGAATTGTTCTCCGGCTTCTCCGGTTTTTCCATCCGCAATCAGAATCGACGTGCTTTGAGAGCATTTGGCTGCTATAAATGTCCACGAGATGATAAGCCACTTCGTTGAGCTATCATTTGTGGCACGTGCTCGCTAACAGCACTTGCCCCAACGGTCTGTTCAGGCTATACGGGGGATCTTTATCTTAGTCTTTATGTGTGCATGTGTGTGTGCATGTGCTGACCGATGCCAGTGTGTTCTGCGCCCCTTGGATGTCTCCCTTCGCCTGATTGATCGCCTCTTGCGCCGCTTTCTGCGCCATCTCCGCATCCTCCAGTGCCCCCTTCACTCCCTCCGCCGTCGCCAACACGTCATCGGCACGCGTCCTGCGAACACGCGCGCACGCACAACAACACGCGTGTACGCATTGTACGCACGCCCACGCGCGGGCAGAAGTGCAAAATGCGTGGCTGTGGATCGCAGTGTCACTGCGTGCCGGTCGCTCTGTCGCTCCCACGACTCTCCGCCCTTCGCTCGGCATCGCGTTCCTCGTTGTCGGCGGCGACACGGCCCAGCGCTCGTCGCGTGTTGCGGAAGGTCCGCGGTTAGGCGACGACCGGCTGGCCGCTCCTGGTCGATTACCGCGTGCGAGCAAAGCGTAAAAATAAAAACACCGCGCGCCGCCTGCTTCACGGCGACCATTGAAGATGCCGTGATGCCATCGCGTGCCGGCGTCGCGGTCCGAGTTTGCCAAAGTTTAAAAAACGTCCTCCGCAAACTCCTCAATTGGGACGACACGAAATTCCGTCACAGTTCCTATGATTGCTTTTTCATTGCTTTCATGGCTTTATTTTGGTGATTTCGAAAAGTGTATTGGTTTAGCCATGTTTGTTTGTTGTAGTACAGAGTTAGACTGATGGCCTTAATCTAAGTTGTCTTGTGGTTGTTGTTGTTGTTTGACTTGCATCCCACTGGGATTTTTGCACACAGCGTTGGTGTACGGTGTTTTTTCTGCAATATTTTTGCTGTCTTTTCTTGGATTTTCTGTTTGCACTTAGTCACATATTCACTTTAAGATGTTTTTTGTTCATGTTTTTGTTTTTTTGTTTGTTGCGGTTGCACCCGATTCAAGAGCTGAATGGCTCACAGGGCTATACCTAATAAATGAACTTGAACTTGAACAGCGACGTTGCTGCCCACCCCGCCCGCCCCCCCCGTACGAAAGCACCGCAGCCTGTGCCGCGTGCCAAACACGGCGAGACGACCACCCTGCGCCATGACGACGGACGGCGGCGCCCGCTCTCCCATCGTCAACCGTCTATTGCGGCGTCGGCGCCCTCACTTGGCGTCGCGCGCCTCCTGCAGGAGGCTGTTGGCGTCGGCGATGTCGCCGCTCGTCTGCGCCAGGATGGCGTCCACGTTGGCGAGGTCGGCGACGCGCCGCTTGATCTCGGCCGCCAGCTCGTGCGTCTGCTCGGCCGACGCCGGCACGCTCAGCTCCAGCACGCGGTTCGACACCAGCTCGATGTCGTCGGGGCTGGCGCTGTCCTCTGCGCGCGGGTCAACGGAGAAGCATGGGCGAGGAGTTACGGCGGACAGGGGGTAGAGGGATGGTGAGAGATTCGCGAGTGAGGCAGGAGAGGGGAGGGTCGCGGAGAGAGGCTCGTGAAGAGTGACGAGGAGTGATGGCATGATGTTATCTCAATCGCCTAGTTTGCAGGAAGTCGGGGATTCGATCCTGACCCTGACGCCGCTTTATCTGGAGTCGGCATGTTCTCCCCGTGGATTTGTATCTTTCTCTCCACATTAAGAAACATGCATTGAGATTATTGAGAGTATTTGGCTGCTGTACATTTCCACACAATAAGCCTCTTCGTTGAGCTATCATTTGTGATGGCCAGGTCTCTTCTGAAAAAGCGCTACATAGCTCAGTGGGCCTTACCTGGTCAAATAAAACGAGTTTATAGATGTTTTATAGAGGGGGAGAGAGGAACACGTGGAATGGAGAACACCACGCAAGTTCGAAGAGGCATCACTGCAGTGACTGCTAAGAGGCGTGAAGTGGGCCGTGGGTAGGACACGGTCACGGCTAAAAGAGACGATGATGATGGTGATGATGGTGACGGTGGTGGTAATGGAACAGTTAATAACAAATGTTTAAATAACACCTACTTCACGTCGCCCTTAATCCCGTTCCGTGCGATGTGAATGACCCTGAGCCGAACACTAGGGAAGGGATTTGGATAGTTTTTTATTCGGATTTTTAAGAACGTTTGGGATTGGGGTTGCGATCACTTACACGGCGCGAGAGGCGCTCACACCAGCAGTGCCATGCGATGCCACGTGGCACCGCGTGGCACCAGCTTCGAGCGGAGTAACAGCTGATGTCGACGAAACCAGATTGGTTTGAACCGTCCGACATTTTGTGTTTTCCGACGTTTTTTGGAATGACGTGAAAATCAGGAGTGTGTACTCATGGAAAGGAGCTTCATAACTCATCGGATTGTCTCCAGGATAAATACAGATTCTGATTCTGCTGGGGCACGTAGCGGGGTGGAGGAGGTGGGGAGTGAGGGGGAACTAAGTTCCATTCCCGGCCACAGTCGGCATCAGTGGCGAGCGATGTCTGAACGGGTCGTGAGCCTGGGCCCCTTCGCCAACGCCCCCGCCCTGCGCCCGGCGTGGTGAGGTACGGATAAGTCCGGGGGCACGGTGACTCACGCTGCAGGAAGTCCTTGATCTGCTGGATGAGGGCGCGGAGCTGAGCGTTGGCGCGCTGTGCGCGCTCCCGCGTCCTGTTGGCTCTGTCCAGCGCCGCCTCCGCCTGCCCCCGGGCCTGGTGCGACCTCGCACGCGCATCCTGGACCTGCCCGGTGGGAGGGGGGGGCGGCGGCGGTGGCGGGGTCAGAGGGCACGGTGCGGAGAGGGGCAAAGCAAAACCGTCGCAAGAAGCATGAACTGGGCGACGCGGCGGGCGAACTCGCCGCTTGCTGCCGAGGTTCACGGTTCAAATCTGGCCGGCCGCCCCGGTTAATACTGCGGTGTGGTATTAACTGTCAAATATTCAACGCGCCGTCGCTCACGGTGGACGTGAAAGGTCCCGCGCGGCCACTCGGAAGCGAGTGGACCATTGTGTGCCGGCATGGGGAGTCAACGGCACGGGCGGCTCGGGGGGGGGAGGGGATTCCGAACGACTCAACGATGAGGGCCACGGCGACCTCCCGGCGGAGGGGCGCGCCGCCCCCCAAAACCCCCCCCAGCCCCCCCTCGCCCCCCCCCCCCCCCAGTCGCACCTGCTTGTTGAGCTCCTCCACCTGCGCCGCGGCCTGCTGGATCTCCAGGTCGGCGTTGCGCGCTCGCTCCAGCGCCTCCGTGGCGGCGGTGGCAGCGCCGTTGCAGCCCAGGCCCCCGCAGCGCGGGGCACCGTCCTCGTCCCGGCAGCCGGGGCCCCCGCACGGGGAGTCCGAGCACGGCTCGTCACCCGGGGAGCCGCACACCTGGGGGAGGGGGAGGCAGCGGTGCTCGGTCACGTGACCCTCGGCCACGCGCGATCACGTGACGGTCAGCGAAGCACAGGCACGTGAGCCACGTTGAGTATAGTCACGTGACTGTCCATCCGTCTAGGTGTGACCGTCTATCCCCCCTCTGTCCGTCTATCCGACCTCCATCTCTCCGTTCGACAGCCTGTTTGTCCGCGTGTCTGACTTCCATCTATCCGATCGTCCCGTCCGTATTCCGCCATTTACATCCGTCCAACCGTCCAACCGCTTATCACCTGACCTCCGTCCTTCAGTGCCACCATCCGAACCGTCATTCACCCGTGCGACCATCTATCCGTCCGACTCGCCCATCTGACCTCCGTCCTCCGTCCCCTCTGACCTACATCCGTCTGAGTGAGTGACCGTCCGACCCCTTGTGGGCCCGACCTCCCTCCGCGAGTTCGGGCGTCCGCCCACCCCGACCCACGGACGACCTCGCCGCCCGTACCCTGCGGCGCCACCCCGCCGCCCGCCGGCCTCCGCCGGGAGTCGCACCTTCTCGCTGACGGTGCGCAGGCTGAGCGAGCGCACGTCGTCCGCGAGCGTCTCCAGCGCGTCGCGCCCGGCCGCGTTCTTGCGCCGGAAGTCGTCGCGCGAGGCCTCGAGCAGCGCCCGGGCTCGCGAGCGGGCGTCGGCCGAGCGGCCCACCGGGCTCCCGTCGCCCGCCACGGAGGCGTTGGCTCGCGACTCCGCCGCCAGCGAGTCGGCGTGCAGCTGGCGCACGCTGTCGTACGCGCCTGTGGCAGCGAAGGAGAGGGAGGGCGGGGAGAGGAACGAGGAGGGTGAGGTTGGGCGGGGGGGGGGGCGAGAGGGAGGGGTGGCACGAGTGGAGGTTCGGTGAAACAGTGGCACCACGTGATTGGTGAGTGTCTGAGTGCGAGTGGTGAGTGAGTGGTGAGTGAGTGTGAGTGGTGAGTGAGTGTGAGTGGTGAGTGTCTGAGTGCGAGTGGTGAGTGAGTGAGAGTGGTGAGTGAGTGTGAGTGGTGAGTGTCTGAGTGCGAGTGGTGAGTGAGTGTGAGTGAGTGTGAGTGGTGAGTGTCTGAGTGGTGAGTGTCTGAGTGGTGAGTGTCTGAGTGGTGAGTGTCTGAGTGTGAGTGGTGAGTGAGTGTGAGTGAGTGTGAGTGGTGAGTGTCTGAGTGGTGAGTGTCTGAGTGCGCGTGGTGAGTGTCTGAGTGCGAGTGGTGAGTGTCTGAGTGGCGAGTGTCTGAGTGCGAGTGGTGTGAGCGAGTGTGGTGATGCTGTGTGTGTGCCGCACCGCGGTAATTGGAGTTCTTGATGACATCCAGCTGGTGCTCCAGGCCGCCGGCGGTGCGGTTTCAGGCGCCGCACGTCGCGCTCCAGCTCCGCGATCCGCCCCGTGGCGTTGGCGTTCCGGTCCTGGCTTTCCGTGAGGTCGATCTCCAGCGGCGTCAGCCGGTTCGTCAGCTCATCGATCATTTTCCTGCGTGCGGTGATTTTCATTTAATTATAACAACAAAAATGCACCGACAATTTTAGCGCGACCACGTTGCCGCTTTCCCTTCGCGCCGGAGGACAGCCCGCAGGTGCGGATATCACAGAGCTACCACCGATGACCCCTTCAATCGACCCCTGTGCCACGCAGCCAGGGGCAGCAGTTTCCCACTCGCCCTGCCGCTGAGCGGAGCGTTCATCACAAGACGGTCAAACCCAACACGTTCGATTTTCCGAGCTGGAGTTGAGCCCCGGTAAGTGCAGATTGAACGCGGTGTGCCACACCGACCCTGCACTCCCTTGCCAGCGAGACGTTCCTTCTCTAGGGATCGTCGGCCGTGATCAGTCCACTGCCGGACGAAGGCCTCCCGCCCAAGCCGAGGCCACCTCTCGCGGTCGATCCGCCCGGCGCCCGCGAGCTCATCGCTCCGTCTCCCTGACACTTTGTTGCCTTTATTTAACCCGGGGGAAGACGCCACGGGCCTCCTGCGCGCGTTCTCTCATCCACACGCTGTGTAATTCCCACCAGTGTGCGCCTCTCTCCGTACTGCGAACGCGCGTAACGAGCGGGGGGGGGGGGGTGAAAGATGTGGTCGTAAACGCGGCCCCGCACCGGATGTCCTCCATGGAGCCGATGAGGGCGGTGACGGAGTGGGCCGTGGCGACGCGCCCGTCCACGATCCTCCGCGCCTCCGCCAGCTTCTCCTCCAGGGCTCCAAACTGCTCCCCGAAGGCGCCGACGGCTCCCGACTCGGCGAGGCGAGCGGCGCGCTCCGCCAGGCCGCGCGACCGCTCCGCCAGCGACTACGCACGACACAGGCGACGTCGTGAATGGGGTTTCCCCTTTTTTTTACTGGCAACAAAACAGCTGTGTTGAGATGTTACAACACCAAACTGAAACCTTTTACAAGGAATCATGTGTGCATTAACCCACAATACTTGTGGTCAGAATGCAAACAAAAACATACTCTGATTATATATGAATTGTCTTTGAATCTGATTGGTCCACACCAGAGACGGCTTTCTTTCGAGCCTCGTCTCAAAACGGTGTTAGGCCAGAGGACGCCAAAAGGCGTACAGCACAAAGACAATGCACTATCAGAGTAATGAGAGCTCGGGGTGAGCAGCTACATCATGGGACCTCCTTTGCCAAAGGAGATCCCATGATGGAAAGAGTCAACGTCGTTATCGTCAGGGCCGACGCTATCCTTGTTCCAGTGTCCCTCCACATCCTCCCGCGTCCCCGTGTCCGCCCGCGTCTCCACGTCCCCACGTGTCCCCCCGCATCCCCACGTCCCCCCGTGTCCCCACGTCCCCCCGTGTCCCTGTGTCCCCCCCGCGTCCCACCTGCACGATGCGGTCCCAGTCCCCGAAGCACTGGTGGCAAGGCTCGCAGTGCGGGAAAGCTCCCGGAGAACCCGCGCGCGCACGTGTCGCAGCGCACCCCCGCCACGCCGGCGCGGCACACGCAGTGTCCCGTTGCTCGCTCGCACTGCGCCGTGGAGATCCCACGCGCATCGCACTGGCACGCTGGCGCACGGGCAGGCGACGCACGCAGCGGGGACAGGCGACACACGCGGGTGAGCGGGAGGGGAGGCCGGAGGGTTGGGCGGTGGGTGACAGGCGTGGCGGGTGGTTGGGTGGATCGGAGAGTGGTTGGGTGGATGGGTGAGTGGTTGGGTGGATGGGTGAGTGGTTGGGTGGATGGGCGAGTGATTGGGTGGATGGGTGAGTGGTTGGGTGGATGGGTGAGTGGTTGGGTGGATGGGTGAGTGGTTGGGTGGATGGGTGAGTGGTTGGATGGATGGGTGAGTGGTTGGTGGATGGGCGAGTGGTTGGGTGGATGGGCGAGTGGTTGGGTGGATGGGCGAGTGGTTGGGTGGATGGGTGAGTGGTTGGGTGGATGGGCGAGTGGTTGGGTGAGTGGTTGGGTGGATGGGCGAGTGGTTGGGTGGATGGGTGAGTGGTTGGGTGGATGGGTGAGTGGTTGGGTGGATGGGTGAGTGGTTGGGTAGATGGGTGAGTGGTTGGGTGGATGGGCGAGTGGTTGGGTGGATGGGTGAGTGGTTGGGTGGATGGGTGAGTGGTTGGGTGGATGGGTGAGTGGTTGGGTGGATGGGCGAGTGGTTGGGTGGATGGGTGAGTGGTTGGGTGGATGGGTGAGTGGTTGGGTGGATGGGTGAGTGGTTGGGTGGATGGGTGAGTGGTTGGGTGGATGGGTGAGTGGTTGGGTGTGCGGATAGGCAGTTGTGTGGACGGGTGCTTCAGCAGGCGGAAGGGCAGATGCGTGAGTGTTTGGGTGGTTCAGCGGCCGGCCGGGTGATCGGGTGTGCAGTGCGCACGTAGTTACCGATGCACTCGACGCTGGGATTGCCCCAGAAGTTCTCCATGCATTCGGTGCAGGAGCGGCCCCCGAAGCCGGGCTGGCACTCGCACTGCCCTGTGAACTACGCGCACAGAAAACAAAGATCCCCCCGGATAGCGTTTAAACGGACTGCCGGGGCAAGCGGTGACATTTACACACCGCAGCAGGTATTCATTTAATGCCGGGTCGACCAGGCGAGGCCCAGGACCGGTTCAGATTAGTTGTCATCGGATCGAACCAAACTCGGGTCGCAGGCTATCGTCGCGCGCGAGCGGCGTCCGCACCTCGTTGCAGGCGTCGCCGAGCGCCTTGGTGCGGTCGCAGGCGCACGCACGGCACCCCTCGCCCTCGGCCAGGCCCCAGTGGCCGGGCGCGCAGTGCTCGCACGCGCGTCCCAGCGCGTGCGGCCGGCACGGGCACTGCCCCGTCGCCGCGTCGCACTCGCACAGCGCGCCGCCCGGCGGGCAGCGGCGCGGGTCCACGCCGTGCGGGCTGCACGCGCAGCCTGCACACAGACAAAGACAAAGATCCCCCTCGCGGCCTTTAACATGCTGTTGGGGCGAGTGCCGTTAGCAAGCACCTGTAAAGGCCGGCATGGCGCACGAAGGGGTGGGTTGTGCCAGCACCACGCCTGGCCGCCTTTGTCTCCCCAGTGGCGATGTTTACACATCGCACCAGGGACTCTTATGAGGCTGAGTAGACCTAGGGGAGGCCAGGGACTGGTTCAGATAATCGTCACTGATGTTGGCCGTGAGCGGGAATCGAACCCGTGTCGTCGGGTTCGTAGCGCAGCGCGCTAACCGCTACACTACCGCTCCCCACACGCACACACACACACATGGGTACACACGCACACATGGGTACGTGTGCGCACGCGGGTATGCGTACACGCAAAGCGTTGTTGGACAGCGAGTACAGAATCTGTGCACGGTTTTGTCATCCGCGTCTCGGCGCTCACGTTGGCAGCTCTGCTGCGTGGCGTTGCCGTAGAAACCGGGCAGGCAGGCGCCGCAGTCGGGCCCGTGTGAGTGGTGCAGGCAGCGCAGGCAGACGCCCGAGCGCCGGTCGCAAGACCCCGGGTCGGTCGGGTCGATGTTGCCGTGGCAGCGGCAGGGCCGGCACGAGCCGCCCGCCTCGTGCGGGTTGCCGTGGTGACCGGGGGCGCACTCCTCGCAGCTCGATCCTGGCGTGGTAGTTTGGGGGTGGGGGGGGTGGGGGCGGGCGCGTGGTGAGCGGCGGGGGTAACCGAGAGCCGCGGCCGGCGATCGCCGTAACCACGGAGGGGATCGCCGGCGACTCGAGAAAGGCGTTGGGGGTCGTTGCCGCTGCTTCGTGTGTACCGCCCTGATGGGGAGGCGCGGCGCGGTGGGGTGCGGCGAGATCCGGCGCGGTGACGGCGCAGCGCGGTGCGGTGCGGCGCGACCCGGCGCGGTGCACTGGTGTACCGGTGTATCCTGGACGGCAGCTGCAGACGACGCGCTGCGAGTGCGGGTCTTCGTGGCACGAGCTGGCGAAGTGACGCCCGGAGCCGGGGCCGCCAGGACACGGGCAAGGCCGGCACTGCTCGCCCGAGCCCAGCACTGGGTTTCCATAGTAACCGTCCGCACAGCTGTTGCCAGGGAAACGGGGAACACGGGCGCCACAGTTACGGAGAGGAGGGGTTCTACACGGCGCCTCTAGTCACGCGGGGGCAATCTGTGGGGCTACGGAGACGCGGGGAGACGTGGGGAGGTGCGGGGAGACACAGGGAGAGACACGGGGAAATGCCAGGAGACGCATGGGGAGACCCAGAAAGACGCGGGGAGACGCGGATGCACACGGGACACGTAGGAATGCACAGGGGGACACATGGAGACAACGGAAGACGTGGGGAGGGGACTCGTGGCAGGGCACACAAAGCAACACACACGGGGACACACAGAGACATCCTCACCGCTCGCAGCTCTCCCCGGCGGTGTGCTCGCGGCACGAGTGGCACGTCCCGGTGACCGGGTGGCACTCCTCGGCGTGGCCGTTGCACCGGCAGGGCCGGCACGCCGGGAAGCCCCAGTAGCCCGGCTGGCAGTGGTCGCAGCGCCGGCCGTACGCGCCGTGCCGGCAGCGGCACTGCCCGGTGCGCGCGTCGCAGAATGCGTGGTGGGAGCCCTCGTCGCTGCACTCAGCACGCTGCGCAGGGCGGGGGGCGGGGGAGGAGGGTTCAGGAGGGGGTCACGTCACTAGTCAGCTGACCCACGTCACTAGTCAGCTGACCCACGTCACTAGTCAGCTGATCCCACGTCACTAGTCAGCTGACCGCACGTCGCTAGTCAGCTGACCCACGCGTCAATTGTCAGCTGACCCCATGTCGCTAGTCAGCTGACCCCATGTCGATAATCAGCTGACCCACGCGTCACTAGTCAGCTGACCCAGCCTCGCTCATCAGCTGACCCCATGTCGACAGTCAGCTGACCCAGCATCGATAGTCAGCTGACCCCGCATCGCTGGTCAGCTGACCCCGCATCGCTGGTCAGCTGATCCCACGTCACTAGTCAGCTGACCCACGCGTCAATAGTCAGCTGACCCAGCGTCAATAGTCAGCTGACCCAGTGTCGCTCGTCAGCTGACCCTGTAGCTCGGGTCGGGCACTCACAGAGGCAGCCGCTGGGCCCGAAGCCGTAGGTCCCAGGCGCGCACGCGTCACAGCGCCGCCCCACCACGTTGGGGCGGCAATGGCACTGACCCCCGTTGGGGTCGCACTCCGTGCTCAGCGAGCCCTGCAGGTCGCACTGGCACGCTGTGGGGGGAGGGGGTGTGCAGAGGGGGGAGGGGGACAGATGGGGGGGGCAGAGGGGAGGAGCACAGGGTGATTGTGTTTGTAACTATATCTTGGAGTTTTATACAGATGCTACTGCTGCTGATGGCGGCGATGAAAACGGCGGCGGCGGTGGCGGTGGAGGGGGAGTGTGCCGGGGCTCTCACGCAGGGCGCCGTCGTGCAGCAGCGCCGACAGGCTGCAGATGAGGCCGGCGCAGACCTCCGTCACCGGCTGCTTCATCACGGCCTTGCCGCTCTCCTGGCACAGGTAGCGGTCAAAGTTCTCGCGCCGCCGAGTCGACTCGCGATCGTCCCCGGAGAACATCTCCAGCGATGTGTAGAGCGGCAGCAGCACCAGCTACGGTGGGGTGGGGGGGGGCACAGAGCGGAGGAAGTCGGCGGTGGAGAATGATGGAGATGGCAGTGGCGGTCTAGGTAGTGGTTGTGGTGGTGGTGGTGGTAGTGGTGGCAGTGGTGGTGATTGTGGTAGTGGTGGTGTAAGTAGTGGTTGTGGTGGTGGTGGTGTTGGCAGTGGTGGTGATTGTGGTAGTGGTGTTGGCAGTGGTGGTGATTGTGGTAGTGGTGGTGATGGTAGTGGTGTTGGCAGTGGTGGTGGTGTTGGCAGTGGTGGTGATTGTGGTAGTGGTGGTGATGGTAGTGGTGTTGGCAGTGGTGCTGATTGGGGTAGTGGTGGTGATGGTAGTGGTGTTGGCAGTGGTGGTGGTGTTGGCAGTGGTGGTGATTGTGGTAGTGGTGGTGATGGTAGTGGTGTTGGCAGTGGTGGTGGTGTTGGCAGTGGTGGTGATTGTGGTAGTGGTGGTGATGGTAGTGGTGTTGGCAGTGGTGGTGGTAGTGGTGTTGGCAGTGGTGATGGTAGTGGTGTTAGCAGTGGTGGTGATTGTGGTAGTGGTGGTGTAGGTAGTGGTTGTGGTGGTCTCAAGGTGCATATGGCCTGGCACAAGCGTCGTGGTGACGTCACCGCCACTTAGTGGTGAATGGCGGTTGTTGTTGCGGTGGTGGTGGTGGTAGTGGTGTTGGCAGTGGTGGTGATTGCGGTAGTGGTGGTGATGGTAGTGGTGTTGGCAGTGGTGGTGGTGAAGGTAGCGGTGTTGGCAGTGGTGGTGATTGCGGTAGTGGTGGTGATGGTAGTGGTGGTGGTGGTGTTGGCAGTGGTGGTGGTGATGGTAGTGGTGTTGGTAGTGGTGATGGTGATGGTAGTGGTGGTGGTAGTGGTGTTGGCAGTGGTGGTGGTAGTGGTATTGGCAGTGGTGGTGGTAGTGGTGTTGGCAGTGGTGATGGTAGTGGTGTTGGCAGTGGTGGTGGTTGTGGTAGTGGTGTTGGCAGTGGTGGTGGTGATGGTAGTGGTGGTGGTAGTGGTGTTGGCAGTGGTGGTGGTAGTGGTGTTGGCAGTGGTGGTGGTGATGGTAGTGGTGTTGGCAGTGGTGATGTCCGCGGTTGTGGTGGTGGCGGCGCTCACCGAGTCGATGAGAACGTGGGCGCTCTCCGTGTGCTCGTGCGTCGTGTAGCGCGTGAAGTCGGCGCGGATCACGTAGCTCACTCCCTTCTCCAGGCACACGGCCTGGGGCAGCACCACATAGCTGGGCGCACGGATCACGCACGCATACACACACGCGGGTCACGCACGCGTATACACACACACGCGTATACACACACACGCGTCACACACGCGTATATACACACACACGCGTCACACACGCGTATATACACACACGTGTATACAAACACACGTATACACACACACACGCGTCACACACGTGTATATACACACACGTGTATACACACACACGCGTATACACACACACACACACACGTGTATACACACACACACGCGGGTCACGCACGCGTATACACACACACGCACGGGTCACGCACGCGTATATACACACACACACACACGCGTACACACACACGCGCGTCATGCACGTGTATACACACACACGCGCATCACGCACGCGTATACACACGGGTCACGCACGCGTACACACACACACACACGCGTATACACACACACACGTGGGTCACGCACGCGTACACACACACACGCACACGTATACACACACACGTACACACACACGCGTATACACACACACGCGCGTCACGCACGCGCGTACACACACACACACGCACGGGTCACGCACGCGTATATACACACACACACACGCGTATACACACACACACGCGTCACGCACGCGTATAGACACGGGTCACGCACGCGTATATACACACACACACACGCGTATACACACACACGCGCGTCACGAACACATACACACACGCACGCGTACACACACACACACACAGCGTGGCGGCCGCGTCTCACCGCGACCCGGGCGGCAGCGCCACGGCGAGGTGGTCGTCGGCCGGGATGGTGTTCCCGCACGGCGAGTGCGTGGGGATGTCGCTGGGGCGCAGCACCGTCACCAGCACCACCTCCCACTCCTCCGGCAGCTGGGAGCCGCACGCGACGAGGGAAGGGGCGGGTGAGGCGGGAGGGGAGGGGACGAGGTCACGCGGGAAATGAGAACGTGCGACAGGGACGTGCGTGGTGGCTACGCAAGCGTGCGGGTGCGTGCGGGTGCGTGCGCGCGCGGGCGCGCGCGGGCGCCCCGCCGACCTGCGGCTCGTAGCGGATGAGCAGCTCGTAGTCCATGGAGTGGGGGACGTCGGAGACGCGGAACTCGAGGCGGCCGCCCTCGGGCACCCGCACGAAGCCCGGCCCCGTCCACGTGGGCGCGCGCCCCGGCGTGGGGGCTCGCGGCACCAGCGCCAGGCCCTGCCGACAGACGCGGCGCGGCGCGGTGTGACGACGCGGCACGGTGTGACGACGCGGCACGGCGCTGCACGTTGCGCGACGACGCGTCGGGAGCCGTGCCGGTTCAGGCCGCGCGGTTGCAGCTGAGCGCACGGCGCCGCGTTAATGCGTTAATGAAGCGGACTCCGCGTGGCAAAGCCGGTGTGCGTCCTGTGGAAAGGAGGGGTCGCGGTGTAGGGCTCACGGTTGGGGTCGGGGTAAGGTCAGGGTGGGGAGGGTCAAGGCATGGGTTAACGTTAGGGCACGCTAAGGGTCAAGGTCACTGTAGGGGTCACGCTAAGAGGTGCAAGGTTAAGGATCAGAGGTCGCAGGAGGGTCACACAAGAGAGGCCTTTTGCACTGGCAGCCACGACCCCAAGGCTGGTCTGGCAAAATCGGACAGCGTGGCGCTGCGAATCAGGGTGAGACACAGTGAGACATCGTGGAACACGGGCAGCTCAGGTCTGGTGGGACTTGCAGTGAGGGCAGCAGCAAGCCATGCACAAGCCAGCAACGGGCGGGGGGGCAGCGGTGGGGGCAGTGACGAGGGGGCAGCACGAGCGTCCAGGCCACCACCGCCTCTCTCGCGGAGCCGGTCTAAAAAACTTTGAGCCCGGATCCCGGTTCCACCCGAACCGGGCTCTCGGTGTCGCGGGACGCGGCGTCCGTCTAGAGGTCGAGCGGCGAGCAGCGCTGCCCGCCGCCGTGCGGCCCAGAGGTCGCTCGAAGCGATCTCGGAAGCGCTTTTGCGATATCCGAGGCCGTTCTCTGGCACGAAGCGCCGCGCTGCTCTACGAGATGCCGATCGGACGCGTCGTCTCACCGAGTTGCGCGAACGGCGGGAGGGGGGGGAAACACGAAGCGTTGTTGTTGTTGTTGTTATTGTTGCTGAAAGCCCGAGGTCAGAGGTGAGTAATCCGCGCAAACTGGATGAGGCCGCGGAGGTTTTACCCGGCCTGTGGGGAGGCCTTGCTTGACGCGCTCTCGCTCCTCACACAACGAGGGGGTCAGCAGGGACTCCGCCAGCCCCCCGGGGGTCTGGGGCCCAGCGCCGTCCGGTCACGGGAGGAGGGGGGCACGCACGGAGGCACACGCGCACACAGAGACACACGCACGTGGATAGACACACAGAGACACATGCACATGGAAAGACATTCACACAGAGACACATGGAAAGACATTCACACAGAGACACATGCACACGGATAGACATTCACACAGAGACACATGCACATGGAAAGACATTCACACAGAGACACGCATAAATACACACACACACAGAGACACGCGCACGTGGATAGACACACAGAGACACATGGACATGGATACACACATATAGAGACACATGCACACGGATAAACATTCACACAGAGACACGCATAAATACACACACACACAGAGACACGCGCACACTGACACACATGCACGTGGATCCAGACGCACACAGAGTCGGGCGCTCACTCAATATCGCACCGACTCACACAAACACTCGCTCACTCGCATTGTCACCAAGACACCCATGCACAAAGTCACTCACACCCTCGCTCGCTCACGACGGAGGCTGTGCGGACCCAACGTCGCCTGAGCTTGGAGAAGGCAAGCGCGGAGTTTGAGGTGCACGAGGAGGAGATGAACAATCGGGTCGAGAGAACCAAAGGTTACCGCTGAGGGTGAGGTTAGGGTGAGGGGTAGAGGCCGGGCCAGGATCGTATCGGCCATGACCCAACCACAGCCACATTGGAGCGACCGATACAGAACAGGTGGCCTCTCCTCCGGCACCATCCCTGCAAATGAATCGGTACACTCACGACCGCCGGCATCGGCCACGATCGATCCACTGCCGGATGAGGGCCCTCCCCAAAGACCGCCACCCGACGAGCACCCAAACAGATTTCGCGGCTCCGTCTCCGAGGGGGACGTCTTCCTCTCGGGGCGCTCGCTCCCGGCCCCGACCGCCGCTCCGCCATCGTCCCTCCCCGTGCCCTCCACCTCGTGCCGTGACAGCGCAGCCTCCAGTCGCGCCGCTGACCAATCAGACGCTGCCCACTCGTGGCCCTGGTCCAATCAGAAACCCCCCCCAGGTGCCCCCAGTTCGATCGTCCCCCACCCTGCATTGCCCCAGTCCCCCCACTTCCTCCGGCCACTACCCCGGTCACCCACCATGACCCTCTCTCGTTCCCCGGAGACCCACCTCCCAACCGGTTCCCATGATTCCGTGACCGTCCGCCGGGTCCGCCCACGAACCCCCCAAACCCCTCCCCCCCCCGCCCCCTCCGCGGGAACTCACGCCGTTGGAGTCGACGGGCAGCGCGGTCTCGGCCTCGTACGTGTAGTGGTCGAGCGCCATGCAGAAGAAGCCCGAGTCCGGCTGCGAGCACGGCCGCCCGCCCATGTGGCCGCGGCAGTGGCACTGCCCCGACTCCACGGAGCACCTGCGGGCACGCGCGCCGACGGCACCGGTCAAACAGCGGCGCGGCACGGCCCGCACCGCGGGGACGTCGCGCCGGGTGACGACTGGGGGGGGGGCGGCCGCGTGCCGCCGGTGCGAGACCCGTACCGGTTGTCGACGGCGCCTCCCACGTCGCACTCGCACGGGCGGCACCCGCTCCCGTCGTGGCTCAGTCCCCAGTGCTCCGCCTGTGGGGAGAACGCGACACCGCGGGTCACCCTCACGGCACCGCGGGTCACCCTCACGGCACCGCGGGTCACCCTCACGGCACCGCCCGGTGGTCGGCAAAACCCAAAAACCGTAAGAAGCCGCCGTCGGAACGGCGCTCGTCATCGGCGATCTCCGATCCCGCGGCACCCCGCGACCCCTGACCCCCACCCCCCACACCGCGACCCCTGACCCCCACCCCCCACACCGCGACCCTCACCAGGCACTGGTCGCAGCTGCGCCCCGTGACGAGACGCTTGCAGTAGCAGTCGCCGGTGACGGCGTCGCATGCCGCGGCGCCACCCACCGTGCCCAGCGGGTTACAGTGGCAAGCTGGGAGCACACGGCACGCGCACGCGGTCAATACACACGCACGCACGGGGAGGATGACACGTGCCACGCACACGCACCACACTAGCCACACGGGACACGAGACGCAGCGGCGATGAGATCGGCTGGCCGTGCGCGGCAGCCAGACGGAGCGTGGTGGCATCGCAAGAACGTGAGAGATGGCAATGGCTTGTGGAGGCCTTCGTCCAGCAGTGGATAGATCACTACTGATGATGATGATGATTGATTCTTGATAATAACCGGGCGGCAATGTGTGCTGCTGCTGCTGCTGGGATTAACGTTGGGTGCGGTTATCGGTGTTAACGTGTTCAATGATTCGCGGTAATGGCCATGGTGATTGTCAGTAACAGTTAACGGTGATTGGCGGTCATGCATGCGGTGCTGGCGGTGGTGGCGGTGGTCACGGCGGTGGCAGTGGTGGTGATGGCAGGGGTGGAGGCAGTGGTGGTGGTAGCGGTGGCGGTGATGGTGGTGGCAGTGGTGGTGGTGGTAGCGGTGGTGGTGATGGCGGTGGCAGTGGTGGAGGCAATGGTGGTGGTGGTGGTAGCGGTGGTGGTGGTGGTAGCGGTGGTGGTGATGGTGGTGGCAGTGGTGGTGGCAGTGGTGGAGGCGGTGGTGGTGATGGCGGTGGCAGTGGTGGTGGTGGTAGCGGTGGTGGTGATGGTGGTGGCAGTGGTGGAGACAGTGGTGGTGGAGGCGGTGGTGGTGGTAGCGGTGGCGGTGATGGTGGTGGCAGTGGTGGAGACAGTGGTGGTGGAGGCGGTGGTGGTGGAGGCGGTGAGGGTGATGGCCGTGGAGGTGTCGGTTGCTCACGCTGGCATCCGTCGGGCTGCTCGGCGTCGAGTCCGTAGAATCCGGCCCGGCACTGGTCGCACCGCGGCCCCTCCACGTGCGCCTTGCAGCGGCACTGCCCGGACTCGAGCCCCGCCGACGGGTCGGTGTGTCCGTCACACATCCCCCCGTTCAGCGAGCCGTCGGGGTCGCAGTCGCACGCTGCCCGCCCGACGCGCACGCACGCACAAGCACGCACACGCACACAATAACAACAACGACCGCCATTCGCCACTAAGTGGTGGTGACGTCACCACGACGCTTGTGCCGGGCCATGTGCACCTTGAGGCCACGTGAAGTGTCGAACGCCCGCTGGCAGCAGGAGGTCACGGGGCAGACCCAGGTGCACACGCACACACACATACGCACGCACGCGCGGAGGCAACGTGAGTGCGCGCAACGAAAACGATGACACGGCCAAGTGCGGTACCGCGTGGTGGCACGGCGCCGGCGGCGAGAGAGCGACGCGGCGCGTGTTGGCGACGTACGAACGCAGACGGCGGCGTCGCGGATGTCGCGCAGCGGGTCCTGGTAGAAGAAGGGTTTGCAGAGCTCGCAGCTGCGCCCGGCCGTGTTGTGCTGGCAGTCCTCGCACACGCCGCCGCTGGCGTTCCCCGTCGCGGCAAACACCGCGCCGTCAAAGTGGCACCGCACCGCGTGGTTGTTGCAGTTGCAGCCTGCGCGGGGGGGGGGGGGGGGGGGGGTGGCGGGCGCGGGGCGAGACACACACACACGCACACACGCACACACGTGCACACGCAAAACACAAAGATAAAGATCCCCCGTATAGCCTGAGAGTGCTGTTAGCGAGCACCTATGAAGGCCGGAACAGTACGTGAGTGGGTGGGTGGCCAGCCACCTTTGTCTCCCCAGTGGCGATGTTTACACACCGCTCCAGGTACTCATTTGAGGCCGAGTCGACTTAGGGAAGCCCCAAGACCGATTCAGATAATCGTCACCGGTGTTGGCCGTGAGCGGGAATCGAACTCAGGGCGCCGGGTTCGTAGGGCGGCGCGTTAACGGCCACACTACCGATCCACAAAGACAAAGATCCCCCGTATAGCCTTAACAGACTGTTTGGGCAAGTGCTGCTAGCGAGCACCTCCTCACGCGCACGCACGCGCACGCACGTACACACACGCTCGCACGTACACACACACACGTACACACACACACGTACACACACACGTACACACACGTACACACACATACACACGTACACACACACACGTTCACACACACACGCATGCACGCTCGCACACACACACACACGTACACACACACAAGCACGCGCGCGTGCGAAATGGAGCGTGCACGCACGCTTGCAGGCGTTGGTGTTGCGCCCCTCGGCCGGGCGCCACGGCATGTCGTTGTAGAAATCCTCGCAGCGCTCGCAGTTGAGCCCCTCGGTGTTGTGCTTGCACACGCAGCGCCCGTGCACCTGCAGCAGAGAGAAAAACATTGAGAGAAATAAAAACCGAAATGATGAACGAAGCAAAGTGCCGACTACACCGAGCATCTTCTTGTTTCCTCTGATTGTAAAAAAATAGAAGAGAGCGACAGACCGCCGCACCGCGTTGCGTCGTTCGTTCGTCACGGCAGACGACGGTGGGCCGGGAGACGGCTGTGGGAGGGGGACGCGAACCGACCGGGGGAACTCTGCGGCGTTCGCGGACCCAGGGCGGCGACGGAGGCGGTCGGGGCGGGGGGGGGGGGTCGGAGCGATGGAAGATGGAATGGCAGGGCGAGCGAGGGCAGAGGGAGCGGCGATTTGGGGTCACGGCGAGCAGTGCAGACACGTGGCAAATGGGTGGGCAGGGAAGCGTGCCGGATCAACGGGGCTGCTGCCTCCCCAGCGCCGCTCTTCACACACTGCACCAGGTGTTAAGGCCGAGTCGACCTAGGGGAGACCCCAGCGCCTGTCAAATATTCACCGTCCGACGTTGTCGGGAACATCGCTCGGCTTGCGGTGATAAAGATCCCCCATATAGCCTTAACAGAATGTTGGGGCAAGTTCTGTTAGCGAGCACCTATGAAGTCCAGAAAGGCACACAAAGGGGTGGGTGGCCAGTACCACGCCCAGCCGCCTTTGTCTCCCCAGTGGCGATGTTTTTACACTGCACCAGGTACTCATTTGAGGCTGAGTCGACCTAGGGGAGGCCCGGGACCGGTTCGGATAATCGTCACTGGTGTTGGCCGTGAGCGGGAATCGAACTTTGGTGGCTGGGTTCGTAGCGCAGCACGCTAACCACTACACTACCGCTCCCCCTCTCCCGTGCGCCCCGTTATCCCAGCGTTGTGATTCCGTGCCTGCGTCCCTCCCACACGCACGGCCTCTGCCCACTCCATCAACTTGTTGCGTGTGACCTTTGCTTCGCTCGCATCTCGAATCTCTCTCCGGCTCCGCGCGCGCGATCGGCGCGTCTTTGTGCCGCCGCCGCCGCTATCGCTAACCCATCGGCCGCTCGCTCGGATTTTTCCTTGAAAGCCCAAGAACAAAACAACGCAAACAATGCGGCCGCAGCTGCCAAGATTACAGACGCCGGCACGCTCCGCAGGTGCGCCCCGGCGCAGGTGCGCCTGGCTGCTCCGCCGGAATGTGAGGGCTTCTGGGAATTTCCACCACCGGACCTCTCACCGGACGAACCGAGAGGCCCCAGCAGAGGAGATGTGCCGCGAGCAGTGGCACGGGCGTGCGGCGCGTCATGGTGTGCGTGTGTGTCATAGGTGCTCGCTAACAGCACTTGCCCCTACAGTCTGTTACAGGCTATGCGGGGGATCTTTGTCTTTGTTCGGTGGGGAGTGGTGGGGCAGTGGCTAGCGCACCGCAAGCTGAGTTATGTTCCCGAAAAACGTCGGCGGTGAATGTTTGACTGGGGGCACCACGGTGGCTAGGAGATGTTAACTACCTCGCCTGGTATACAGCAGGTTGTGGGTTTGATCCCGACCCTGACGTCTGCTGCTGTATATTTGGAGTTTGCGTGTCTCTCTCTCCCCGTGGTCACGTGGATTTTCTCCGGGTCCTCCGGTTTTCCCCTCCACATTTAGAATCAACGTCGCCACGCGTTCAGAGTATTGGGCTGCTGCTACAAATTGTCACGTGATAAGCCACTTCCTTGAGCTATCATCTGTAGCCAGATCGCTCTGAAAAATAGCCACATAGCTTAGTGGGCATAACCTGCTGAAAATAAATTTGTTTTAGTTTTAGACTGGCGCTGGGCCTCCACTAGGTCAACTCGGCCTCAAATGAATTCCCGGTCCAGTGTGTAAACAGCGGCGCTGCAGAGACAAGAGCAGGCCTGGCGTGGCCACACCGCCCCCCTGGACGCGTGCGTGCGTGTGTGTCCGTCCGTGCGCGTATCCGTGTGCGTGTGCGTGCGTGTGTGTGCGTGTGTCCGTCCGTGCGCGTGTCCGTGTGCGTGTCCACGTGCGTGTCCACGTGCGTGCGCGTGTCCGTGTGCGCGTGATCCGCGTGCACCCACCATGCCGTCGACGTCCCCGCGCACGCCGTCGATGGGCGCGCACTCGCTCGCGTGGCCGTAGCAGAAGCAGTTGCCGCGCACGACGAGCTCGTACAGCGCGTAGTAGTACTTCTCCTTGATCTCGACGCGCGAGTCCAGCAGGTTGTCCCCCAGCGTGTGCAGCCGCGTGAAGTTGATGCGCAGGTTCGTGATCTTCAGCAGGCCTGCGACGCGGCGACGCGCGGAGCGGAGGGGGGTTGGGGGCCGTGGGACACGAGCGGTCGAGTTAGTCCACAGGAGGCTCGCAACGAATCGGCGATCCAGCGACCGCACGCAGCGACCGTGCCGCGTCGCGTCGACTACTCGCGATCGCCGCAACGGTCGAGAGGGCGAGCGGGCGTGATGGCGCCGGCAGCTCGGGTGGGACGAGGGCCGGCGGTCAAGATGAACGACGGAGCGGCAGCCAGAGGCGGCGGCGGGGGGCGTTACCGAGAGCGCGTCCCCCACGGAGATGGGAGCGGTAGAATCAGCTGGCGCGCAGGAGATCGACGGACTGTCGCATCGCAAGGTCCCGAGGGATGTCGACGGCTTAGAGAGGCCCTGATCGAGCGGTGGAGAGATCACGGCCGATCGTGACGCAATGTGTCCGCGCTAAATGAACATCGCTGAACAGACGAGACGGCCACGGCGCGTGTGGGGTTCCCGCGGCCAGCCGGTCACGTTACAAATCGCCTGGTCTGGACCGGCCACGCGATGGCATCGCTGGAGTTCCCCATCGCGAAACGTCGCGGATCTAACCGCTGCTAGATGTGGTCTCTAAACTCACCAGGTGAGACCTGCTCTCCCTCGCCCGCTATGCAGGAAGTCGTGGGTTCGATCCCGACCCTGACGCCAGCAGCTGTATAGTTGGAGTTTGCACGTCTCTCTCTCCTCCGGGTCCTCCGGTTTTCCCCTCCGCAATTTGAAAACATGCGTTGAGATTATTCAAATTATTTGGCTGCTATAATTTTCCACGCGATAAGCCGCTTCGTTGGGCTATCATTTGTGGCCAGGTCACATTTGAAAAAAAAAAAGGCCAACAGTTCAGTGGGCTTCGCCTGGTAAAATAAAAAATACTTTATTTTCAAACATTTCTTATTTGCCTACCGTTCCTATTCTTCACACTCCTATTGCGTTTGTTGTTTTGTTTCTTGCTGCAACTCGCTGACCCCCCCCCCCCCCCCCACTGGACATGTGTGAAAAAGCGCTTCGCAGCTCATCGAGTTCCTCCTGCAGTCTTCAACAAAGATCCTGAGCCCGATGAGGGCACTGTCCAGGCGCGAGCGACCGCTCTCTCGCGCGTCGGTGGCCGAAAAATTCGAGAACGAAGCGAGGAGCTCGCGGTGACCTTCGCCAACCCGCAGCCCAACGTCTCCCCCCCCCCCCCTCGTTAGTCGAAGGCCACAGCGACTCGGCGAGGCCATAGAAACTCGGCGAGGCCACCGCGTCGCTTGCCCCAGGCCCACGGATGCCCCCGCCCCCCCTCCCAACGCCGCCCGCCCCTTGGCTAGATTCAGGGTCGAGCCGCGGCCTCTGCCGTTATCCGTCCGGATCCAGGAATAGAACGGAAGGGCGGCGTTTGTGCCGCTGGGGGACGTGGACATCCGCAGGGACCCGTGCTGCGGTGACGGGCACGTCGCCCGTACACCTGCAGAGCGTCGTGGGGCGGTGGCGCCGCGGCGGTCACGAACCCGGACACCCGAGTTCGACTCCCGCTCACGGCCGCCAACACCCGGTGACGATGATCTGAACCGGTCCTGGGCCTCCCCCTCGGTACGCAGTCGGGAGACAAAGGCGGTAGGGCGTGGTGCTGGCCACCCACCCCCTCGTGTGCTGTGCCGGCCTTCATAGGTGCTGCTCGCTAACAGCACTTGCCCTGACAAGTCTGTGAAGGCTACACGGGGGGATGGGGGAGGTAATCTTTGTCTTTGTTGTAATGGGGAGTGCCACCTTCGAGGTGAGTAGAAAGCGGGACATGAAAAACGACGAGGAACCATCGAACAAGAGCGCATTGGGGAGCGGTGGCGCAGCGGTGAGCGCTGCGCTACAAACCCGGCGACCCGAGTTCAATTTCCTCGCACGGTCACAAACACCGGTGACGACTACCTGAGCCGGTGCTGAGCCTCCCCTAGGTCGACTCAGACTCAAACGAGGACCCGGTGCGGTGTGTAAAACATCAGCACTGGGGAGACAAAGGCGGCTGGCCGGGCGTGGTGCTGGCCACCCACCCCCTCGTGTGCCGTGCCGGCCTTCATAGCGCTACTCGCCAACAGCACTTGCCCCTACAGTCTGTCACAGGCTACACGGGGGGTCTTTGTCTTTGTAGACGTGCGTGTGTGCTGGGGGGGGGGGGTTAAGCGCGGTGTAAACAGGTTCCATTTCCAAACAAGGTTCCTTTCAAGGCTGGGGCTTTTAGAGACTGTGGGTTGGTGGTGGGGTTGGGGAGGGGGAGACGAGAGGGGGAGAGGATGTTTGGATTGGGAGGCTGTGTGGGGGTGGTGGTGGAGTGGAGGTGATGGTGGTGGGGGTGGGGGGATGGTGGTGTGGGGGTGGTGGTGGTGGAGTGGGGGTGATGGTGGAGTGGAGGAGATGGTGGTGGGGGTGGTGGAGTGGGGGTGGGGGTGGTGGAGTGGAGGTGATGGTGGTGGGGGTGGTGGTGGTGTGGGGGTGGTGGTGGTGGTGTGGGGGTGGTGGAGTGGGGGTGGTGGAGTGGAGGTGATGGTGGTGGGGGTGGTGGTGGAGTGGGGGTGGTGGAGGTGATGGTGGTGGGGGTGGTGGGGGAGCGGTGGTGTAGCGGTTAGCGCGCTGCCCTACGAACCCAGCGAAGCCGACTTCGAGTCCCGCTCACGACCAACACCGGTGATGATTATTATCTGAGCCCGTCTCGGGCCTCCCCTAGGTCGACTCAGCCTCAAATGAATAACCGGTGCGATGTGTAAAACATCAGCACTGGGGAGACAAAGGCGGTCGGGCGTGGCCACCCATCCTCCTCGTGTGCCGTGCCGGCCTTCATAGCGCTACTCGCCAACAGCACTTGCCCCAACTATTTTGGAGCTATTCGGGGGATCTTTGTCTTTGTGGTCGTGGTGGCGGTGCCGGATTATCCCAGTAGCACAAGTAGCTACTTTAGTATGTAGTAGCTACTACACATGTAGCTACTACATACACAAGTAGCTACATTGTGTAGTAGCTACTACACAATGTAGCTACTACATACACAAGTAGCTACATTATGTAGTAGCTATTACATAATATAGCTAGTAGCTACTACACATGTAGTAGCTACTACATAATGTAGCTACTACATAATGTAGCTACTACACATGCAGCTACTACACATGTAGCTACTACATAATGTAGCTACTTGTGTATGTAGTAGCTACATTGTGTAGTAGCTACATGTGTAGTAGCTACATGTGTAGTAGCTACTACATAATGTAGCTACTTGTGTATGTAGTAGCTACATTGTGTAGTAGCTACATGTGTAGTAGCTACATGTGTAGTAGCTACTACATAATGTAGCTACTTGTGTATGTAGTAGCTACATTATGTAGTAGCTACATGTGTAGTAGCTACTACGTAATGTAGCTACTTGTGTATGTAGTAGCTACATGTGTAGTAGCTACATGTGTATTAGCTACATGTGTAGTAGCTACTACTACATGTGTAGTAGCTACACGTGTAGTAGCTACATGTGTAGTAGTAGCTACACGTGTAGTAGCTACTACTACACATATGTAGAAGCTACATATGTGTAGTAGTAGCTACATCATATGTCGTAGCTGCACGTGTAGTAGCTGCACGTGTAGCACGTGTAGTAGCTACTACACGTGTAGTAGTAGCTACGGGCCCCGCACTTTCAAGGGCCCCGCGCTAAATGCTTTCAAGCTATCAATTCCGGTTCAGTGATTCTGCACTTGCTCTCTTACTATAGTACTATACCGCCTTCAACTTTTATGAACGACTGGGTGTTGAAGGTTAACGATTGGTCGTATTATCCGTTTGTCTAGCAAATGAAAAAAATACAATTACTTTACTGTGCAAATAAGAAATGTGTGTGTTTTCATATTTACGTGTTTTTTTATATTTAGGACCCCTTTATAACATAATCCGGCACTGCGCGGTGGTGATGGGTGGTGGTAGAGTGGGGGAGGAGAGGGTGATGGGATTGGGGGGATCGCAGTTGGGTGTGGAAAAGCAGAGAGCAGTGTTTGTTTTTGTGTGTGTGTCAAAGTCGCCCCCCCCCCACTTCTCCCCTCCCACCCCCCCCCTATCCACTTCAAACAGCGAGGAAAGAGCGAGTGCCGTGGGTGATTGTGTGAGAGAGCCGCCGCTTCGCGTGTGCGGAGTGACTGCGTGGTGAGCGCGTGTGGGAGAGGGCGAGGAAGGGAGTGCATTCTTGTGGACAGTGCGGTGGCGTGAAACGTCAGCACGGGGGGGGGGAGACAAAGGGGGCCGGGTGCAGGTCACCGCACCGGCTCGCGAGCCGTGCCCGCCGCCTTCACGGGCTCCGCTCGCTAACGGCGCTTGACCCCACCACCCCCAACAGCGCGAACAAGGCTCCATGTAGCGTGGCTCCATGTAGCGTGGCTCCGTGTAGCGTGACTCTATGTAGCAAGGCTCCATGTAGTGTGGATCTATGTAGCGTGGCTCCATGGAACAAGGCTCCATGGAACAAGGCTCCATGTAGCGTGGCTCCATGGAACAAGGCTCCATGTAGTGTGGCTCCATGTAGCGTGGCTCCATGGAACAAGGCTCCATGGAACAAGGCTCCATGGAACAAGGCTCCATGTAGCGTGGCTCCATGTAGCGTGGCTCCATGGAACAAGGCTCTGTGTAGCGTGGCTCCATGTAGCGTGGCTCCATGGAACAAGGCTCTGTGTAGCGTGGCTCCATGTAGCGTGGCTCCATGGAACAAGGCTCTGTGTAGCGTGGCTCCATGTAGCGTGGCTCCATGGAACAAGGCTCCATGTAGTGTGGATCTGTGTAGCGTGGCTCTATGGAACAAGGCTCTATGGAGCAAGGCTCCATGCAGCGTGGCTCCATGTAGCATGGCTCTATGTAGTGTGGCTCTATGGAGCAAGGCTTTGGAACAAGGCTCCGTGTAGCGTGGCTCTGTGTATCGTGGCTCTGTGTAGCAAGGCTCTGGAACAAGGCTCTGTGTAGCGTGTGGCGATGTCTGGCTTTGCCTCTCCGAGTGTGCCGACGCGTGACGTGGCGACCCCACACATCGCCCCCCCCCCCCGGCACCCTTTGGGTCTCGACCTAAAAGAGTTCCCAGCGATGCGATGGTGGTGACCCCCCCACCACCCACCCCCCCGGCATAGGAAGAGTTAGACTTCTGTATTTGGGGGGTGCAGTGGGTTCGCTTTGTCCCTCGAATTAGGAATCTCGTGTCGAGACAATCACATTTTTTTTACATCTTAATTGTAAACTACTGAAAATAAGATCATTGTTTTTTTTACCCTCTTATCTGGCAACAAAACGGACACCTTTTTTACGAGGAGTCATGTTTAAAAAAAAGTGTCAGTTTTGTTGACAGATGAGAGGGTAAAATACCAATTATCATATTTTTTACTGAAAATAAGTTAATAAAGTTGACCAGTTTTTTTTTGGGGGGGGGTTGCATTACCCCCCACCTCTCCAAACTCCGCTCATGACCGCCAGCATACGGGGGGGGGGGGGGTGCCGAGCGAGACCCACAACCGCCGTGTCTCTACCCCACAGACAGTGTCACCAAATATCCACTCGAGCGCAATGGCCATATGTGGGCACGAACAGTGGCATCCTTGTGAGTTCTGCTCTGCGGTGAAACACAGAGGCGCCGTTCTCTTCCCAGCGACGCACTAGCAACGCAGCCCCCTCTCTCACCCACCCACCCAGCTACCCACAACTCTGTTGGACCTGCAAGGTACCATGGGGATTTCTTCCCATGGTGCCGTGCGGTGAGAAAGCAGAGTCCAGACCTCGAGCCTTCCCTCCCACGGGTCGGCTGGACCCGGAATTGTCAAGCTCTTTGGTTCGAATCGGGACTCACGTTCACAAACACACAAACACACACAGACACACACACAAACACACACACAAACACACAGACACAAACACACAAACAAACACACACACACAAGTGCTGTCGATGAGCGCCTACGAAGGCCCGGCCGCATTTGTCTCCCCAGTAGCGATGTCTTACACGACGACTCGTTCACCATCACCGGTGATGCTCGCACGCACGCATGCACTTGAAGCCAACTCTCCCCGGTGGCCTCGCGGGCACGAGGCACAAAATAAAAAAAGAGTCTGCCAGATTTGCCAGAACACCCTCGTCATAAAACTCCTCCACGCGATGTCTGGCATCAAGACACCACGCGAAAGCCGTTCCCACGAGGGAGGCACCCAGCGCTAGCCCAGAACATCCAACCCCCACCCCACTGCATCATCTCTGGCCCACGCCCCGCCGGGGACCAAGTCCACACTTGGAGCCACTCTTCCCACGTTCCCAAACCTCTGGAATGTCTCTGCAAGTAATTAAGAATGAGCAGCCAGACGGAAAAAAAAACCCGAATACACAACTCGGACCCAGCTGGGCCCGGCCGCCGTGGTGAATGCTGACCCCTTGTACCAACAACAACGTGGGCGGGGAGCGGGCCTGGTGGCGACAGCTGTCGGGACCGGCGGCGCCTCGCAGCAAGAGGGGCCTAGGTTCGATTCCTGACTCGGGTGCCGCTTGCTGCGCGGGGTCCGTAGGTTCTCCCCCCCGCTTGTCCTGCACGGGGGTTTCCTTCCGGTTGCCACCACATCCCATAGCTAAACCCACACACACACTCACACAGCGGGAACCGCTATCGGCCAAAGGTCCCAACGCCGAACAAATCGACCTCCACCATCGCTCAAATTTGGGATCGCACCAAACTTGGGGAAACTTGGGAGCCTGCGAGGCCCTCCTGGGTAAACGTGCGCAATGGCAACGCCGTGGCTTCCTCGCCCCGCCACGATCGATCCGCTGCTGGATGAAGGCCGCGCCCCCAAGACTTTTGCCAACCTCTCCCCGCGCAAGAAACCCGTCGTTCCGTCGCTCCATCTCCTTTGGCGGACGTAACCGCTAGACGCTCGTGCAGCGCTGTCCGCCCAGCAGCGTGGACGCGGCGTGGTGCGGTACAACGCGGAGGAGGAGGCCAGGCACCCTCTAGCAAGGAGGGGGAGGGGCTCTAAATGCTTCCTCCAGTGGAGGCTCCTTCGGCCAGCAGTGGCGCCAGCCAGCCGTTGCAGGGCTGCGCCTCTGCCTATTGTGAACTACCTCACCTGGTGTGCAGGAGGTGGTGGGTGCGATCCCGACCCTGACGCCTGCTGCTGAACAATTAGAGTTTGCTTGTCTCTCTTTCATCATCATCATCATCACGGTGGCTAGGAGATGTTAACTACCTCGCCTGGTGTACAGGAGGTCGTGGATTCGATCCCGACCCTGACGCCTGCTGCTGTATATTTGGAGTTTGCGGCGTCTCGTGGTCGCGTGGATTTCCCTCCGGTTTCCCCCCCCCCCCCCATTTAGTATTTGACCGCAATACATTTCCACACGATAAGCCCACTTCGTCCAGCTATCATTTGTGGCCAGGTCGCTTCTGAAACAAAAACGTCCAATAGCTCGATCGGGGCCTTACCTGGTAAAATAAAAAAATAAAAAAAACGCGTCGATAGTTTGTGAACGCGCCGCCATTCTCTCGGCCGTGCCGCGTGCTCCGGGTTATTTCGGTTGTTCCCACTGGGCGACGAGGGGGGCTGTGCGACCGGAGGCCACGCGAAGGCCGAGCATCCTTGAATCAGCCACGGCGGCGGGGGTGCACACGTGTAAGGGAGGGTGGGGGCCGGTGGTGGGGGCTGTGGGAAGGGGTTAAATGAGACCCTGGGGGGGGCGGGTGGGGAAGGAGGTGGGGAGGGAGTAGCGGACTAACGCACAACCTCATCCCAACCCCCCCCCCCCGCTCTCTCGCAGCTGCGCACACAACACTATCCTGCAGCACGCCCGGCGCAGGGCTGTTAGCGAGCGTCTATTGAGGCCGGAACGGCGCTCCAGGGGGCGGTATGGCGAGCACCGCACCTGGCCGTCTTGGTCTCCCCGGCGCCGATGAGTACACGCCGCACCAGATACTCGCTTAAGGCCGAGTCGACCTAGGGGTCCGGTTCAGATATTTGTCGTCGGTGTTGCCCCGTGAGCGGGAGTCAAATGGGAATCAAATTCAGGTCACCGGGTCCACAGCGCAGCGCGCTAACCGGTGCACCACCGCTCTCAAAAGACGAAGAGGGAATCACACACACACAGAATCGCACACACAGAATCGCACACACACAGAATCGCACACACACGCAGAATCACACACATAATCACACACACACGCGCAGAATCGCACACACACAGAATCACACACACGCACACACGCAGAATCACACAAGCCGGAGGTCACTCACTCTGGATGGCCGGGCTGTAGGGGTCGGTGATCTTGATGGCTGGGTCCAGCACTCGGAAGATGACCTGCGGAGACACCGACCGGGTCACCGCACGCTCACCTCACATCACCTCGGGGACCCCCCGGCTCTCACCCCCGGTGCGTGTGTACGTGCGTGTGTACGTGCGTGTGTACGTGCATGTGTACGTGCGTGTGTACGTGCGTGTGTACGTGCGTGTGTACGTGCGTGTGTACGTGCGCACGTCCTCATCAGCACAGCGAGGGTCTCCCCTGGTGCGCATGTGCGCGACCTGGGTCGCACGTCGTGTGTTGTGCCGTGTGTTGTGCCGTGTTGTGCCGTGTTGTTGTGCCGTGCTGTGTGCCATGTGTTGTGCCATGCTGTTGTGCCGTGGTGACGTGCTGTGCTGTTGTGCCGTGTTGTGCCGTGTTGTGCCGTGCTGTTGTGCCGTGCTGTGTGCCATGTGTTGTGCCGTAGTGTTGTGCCGTGCTGTTGTGCCGTGTTGTGCCGTGCGGTTGTGCCGTGCTGTTGTGCCGTGCTGTTGTGCCGTGCTGTTGTGCCGTGGCGGTGTGTGGTGGCGGCGTTGCCGTGCCTCCCCCTCGGTGGACGGCTCGATGTCCGAGTATCGCGACTCGCAGATGACGTCGTCCACGCGGCGCAGCGGCCCCGTGGCCACGCCGGGGAAGGCGGCGGAGCAGTCGTAGGCGAAGTAGCGGTAGATCTGCCACGTGCGGCCAAAGTCGGCGGAGCGCTCGATGAGCAGCGACGCCGGGCGGAACGTCTGCGCGCGGCACGCGAAGGGACATCCGTCAGCGCCGTCGTCGTAACGAGAACAGAATCGTCGTCATTACCGTGAAGTTAACACGATCACCGCCGTCATCACAGTTATCGTCACGATCCTCCTCATTATCATCATCATCAACAACAACATCACAACCACCGCCATCGCTTTGACCTCTGACCTTAAAGGTCATGATGAGGTGGGTGAAGTGGAACTCAGCCTCCAGGTCGAGACGCAGGGTCACGTTCTCCACGCCTGCACGCGACACGCGACATGGGAACATGCGACATGGGAACTTGGGGTGAGTGGGTGAGCGAGCGGGTGAGCAAAGCGAGCGGGGTGAGCGGGTGAGTGGGCGAGAGGGCTGATCAGGCGAGTGAGTGAGCGTGCGAGCTGGGTGAGCAGTTGAGAGGGGCGAGCAGGCGAATAGTTGAATAGGTGAGCGGGGTGAGCGGGGCGAGCGGGGTGAGCGTGGTGAGCGTGGTGAGAGGGGTGAGTGGGTGCTGCACCGTTCTCGCTCTGCCACCAGGCCTTCTTGCGGTCGAGGGCGAAGGCGGTGATGACGTTGTGCACGCCGTGGCTCAGGGCGCCGTAGCCGCCGCCGCCGCCCACCTCCTCGCGCGAGTCGCACGTGAAGCACTTCTTCTCATCCTGCGGGCGCGACGTGACCGCGTGAACCCGCGTGAATCACGTGAACCGCGTGAAACCGCGCGAACGCGAATTGGCGAGCGCCTATTAAGGCCGGGCTCGCATACACGGACGACCCGCGGACTCGCTTCTCTGGGGAGATTTCCCGAGCAGCGACGCGACTCTCTACCCCGAGAAACGTCATCGACGTCGGCTCGTCGTCGCTCCGACGAGGTTTCCTCGGGAGTCGCTCGTCAACGAGGGGCCCCCGCCGCTCCACTCCCCGGGGGTCACTCCCGTGGAACGAGAAGCAGGCGACCAATCAGGGGCCTCCTCTCCCCCCTCGGCAAAAAAACAAAATCCAGAGCGGCTGAGAATTTTGGCGCCCGCGTTGGAACCGACTGAATTGGGGTGTCGCCACGGGGTCGTTCAACGCTGGCCGGTCGGGACGGAGGCGTTGGCTCGACTCATATTACAGTCGCTTTGTTCGTGTGTTTCACAGACGGGTGTAGTCTGCGTGGGCATCGTGACTGAACGTGTGTGTGTGTGGGGCACGGTGACTGAACGTGTGTGTGTGTGTGGGCACCGTGACTGAATGCGCGTGTGTGTGTGGGCACGGTGACTGCGTGGGGTCTGTTTTGACTCCGGGTGCCGACGGTGGCACCGTGGAATTCGTAAACAGACGGCGAGCGTCGTGTGTCGTGCGTCGTGCGCACCTGCAGGTGGCTCACGATGCAGTACGGCTGCGGCTGCGCAAGGCCGCACGTGGAGGAGGCCCCGAGGCGGTCGCTGCGCCCCACCAGCAGGTCGCCCGTGGCTGGGTAGCAGCTGCCCTGAGCGCAGCCGTGGGGCATCTCCGGCTCGCCCGAGACGGGGCCCAGCAGGGCCAGGAGCGTGGACGCCGCTGCGGGAAACGGACGGGGCGCGTTCACGTGGCGGGTAGGGGGGCGAGAAGCCGCGGCCGCGATCCCTCGATCGATGTTGCCACACGCCCCGTCCCCACCGAGTAACGGGCGGCGCAATTTGGACCGCGAGCGCCAGCGCGCGATGATGACGTCCGACTCTGTCGGGATGGCGTCGCGGGACGCGTACGACGGTCCGCTGGCAAGCGGGCGGCGCGTAGCGTTCTACCGGTGGATGAGTGCCGCGATGTTGACCGGGGCGGCCTGCCGGATCTGAACCGCGAGCCTCTGCGGTGAGCGGCGAATCGTTTCAGTGCGCAGCTGTGCTTTTGCTTTTCGCCCAGGGGGCCTCGCTGCTGCTGATGGCAGCTGTCTCTGCGTGCCACCGATTCCCCCCCACCCCCTGATCATCAAAGTCGATTTTTCTTATGGGCTCACGATGCACATGGGGGGGGGGGGTGGGCGATGAGGCGCGACCTGGGCAAAACGCAGCGCGTCGAGGCTCGTGGGGGGGGGGGCAGGGGGGGCCGGGGGGGCGGGGGGCAGGGGGGGGGCGGGGGGGTGCGCACTCGAAGCAGGGGGACGGAACGAGACCGACGTGCAACCGATTCCAGAAGCGAACCCTGACCCCCCCCCCCCCAGATCACGTGGCATCGTTCGTTTTGGGGCTCGTGTGGGGGGGGGGGGTGAATAATTACAGGGGTCACCCCCTCCTCCACTGCCTTCCCACCCACCCCACCCACTACCCATTAACCCCCCCCACCCACCCCACCCACTACCCATTAACCCCCCACCCACCCCACCCACTATCCCTGGGTGGCAAGGGGCTTGACAAATTCCACCGCATGGCTCCGCAACAAAGGCCAGAGGGGGGGAATAAAACCTCCTCCTCCTCCACCACCACCATTACCACCACCACCAACAACAAAGCCATCAATCACCACCATCATGCTGACCTCCACTATCACCACCATCAGACTGTCGGAGCAAGTGCTGGTAGCGGGCGCCATGGGTGGGCAGCACGACGCCCGGCTGCCTTTGTCTCCCTTGTGACGATGTTTACACACCGCGCAAAGTACTCATTTGAGGCAGAGTCGACCTAGGGGAGCTCCAGGACCGGTTCAGATAAATCGCCGCTGGTGTTGGGAATCGAACTTGGGCCGCCGGGTTCATAGCGCCCCTGCCACTATCATCGCAAACACCACTACAGCCTCCACCATAACTACCACCACCACCATCATCACTACCGCCATCACTACCACCACCATCACTACCACTACAGCCACCACCATCACTACCACTACCACCACCATCACTACCACTACAGCCACCACCATCACTACCACCACCACCATCACTACCACTACAGCCACCACCATCACTACCACTACCACCACCATCACTACCACCACCACCATCACTACCACCATTACTCCCCACTACCACTACAGCCACCACCATCACTACCACCACCACCATCACCACCACTACCACCATCACTCCCCACTACCACTACAGCCTCCACCATCGCAAACATCACCATCACTACCATCACCACCATCACTACCCTGCTACCACCACTACCACCATCACTACCCACTACAGCCTCCACCACCGCAATCATCACCATCACTACCACCACCATCACTACCATCACCACCATCACTACCACCATCACTACCCACTATCACTACAGCCACCACCACCGCAATCATCACCATCACTACCACCACCATCACTACCATCACCACCATCACTACCCACTATCACTACAGCCACCACCACCGCAATCATCACCATCACTACCATCACCACCATCACTACCACCATCACTACCCACTATCACTACAGCCACCACCACCGCAATCATCACCATCACTACCACCACCATCACTACCATCATTACCCACTACCCCCCCCCCCCCGCAAACACGAGCAGGGGTAGGCCTTTGGGGTTTTTTTCAAAATCAGATAACGAAAAAAAACCCTCTCGTGGCGGAAACCCCCGGGGGGGGGCACTGGAAAATCGTCCCCCGCCATCCCCCTTATCCCCCTCATCCCCCCACCCTTCCTTCTCATCCCCCCCGCCCCCCTATCCCCCCACCCCGCCCCCCATCCCCCCACTTCAAACCCAGCCGGCCGGGCCACGGCCCACGTGGTGCGTGGGAGGAGGGGGGCCTCGGCCGGGGAGAGAGACGGAGCGCATTCCCAGACGCGCGCGCAGAGGACGAACGGTGGGGGCGGTGGGGGAGGTGGGGGCAGTGGGGGCGGTGGGGGCGGTGAGTCTGTGGCGATGAGTTTTCTTGATGAAAGCAAAGAGGAGTGGTGGTGATGGTGGTGGTGATTGTGGTGTGTGGGGAGCGGTGATGCAGCGGTTAGCGCTGCGCTACGAACCTGGCGACCCGGGTTCGATTCCCGCTCACGGCCAACACCCAGTGACGATTATCTGAACCGGTCCTGGGCCTTCCCCTACGTCGACTCAGCCTCAAATGAGTACTTGGTGCGGTGTGTAAACAAAGGCGGCCGGGCGTGGTGTTGGCCACCAACCCCCTCGTGTGCCGTGCTGGTCTTCATAGGCGCTCGCTGCTGGTATTGATGATGTTGCTGCTACTCGCACCTGCTTTTCCAGGTTTGCTCCGAGATTTATTGAATTTCGAGTCCCGCCTGCGGTTGCCTTGGCAGGGCCACACCAGATGATTTCGCGGGCCTCATACGGCCCGCGGGCCGGACGTTCCCCGCCCCTGTGGGCCTAGATGGAGTTTGTGGCCAGAATGGGCGGGCTGGAGGTCCAAGCCGACAATGCGCCCGCGGCCCTCTCGTTTGAACTGAACTAAAAAAACAACTTTAATTGATTCCACCAGATGTGAGACCCACGGATCTTGAGAGCTAAGAGTGTTTTTGCAAATGATAGCTCAAGGAAGTGGCTTATCGCAACTATCATCGTCATCACGTGGAAATGTAGAGCAGCAGTCAAACACTCTAAACGAATCTTCTTGTTTATTTCGGTAAAGTCACGTAGAAGGGAAGTAATAAAATAATAAAAATAAAACATAATAAAACAATTCTCACGACGTTTCGGCTACAACGCAAGCAGCCGTCTTCAGGTGAAGAATGAGACACTACCAAACTAGGAGCTTATATATAAGCTGCATTGGGGGTTGAAGAGCGCCTTAACAAAAAGAATGTGCATGTGAAGAGGGATTTAGCATATTCATGGAAAATGCGTCGGCGTTGGGCGGGGGGGTGTCAAAGTCATATTATGCCCATGCATTATGCAGGATCAGCAGCAACCAAGGGGGGTGCAGGGATTAGCAGTAACAAAGGAAAGGAATGTTAATGATATGTAGCTGCAGTTACTCAACAACCACGTAGAAAACTAAAGTATAAACTACATAAAAAACTAAAGTATAAACTGCATCGCACCATCAGTATACTTACTATACTCTATAATAAGCTGAGTTACTAACAGCAAGTAATACATTACAATTTTACCTCGTAAAAATTCTATAATATGCTTCCATCTAAACCTTATTCTCTTACATCACACGAGCATATACCGTACTATATACTGCCATAGATAAACCCAACATTAAATTATATACTGTATTGCTGTAAACCAACCTATATCTTATACATAATGCATGGGCATAATATGACTTTGACACCCCCCCGCCCAACGCCGACGCATTTTCCATGAATATGCTAAATCCCTCTTCACATGCACATTCTTTTTGTTAAGGCGCTCTTCAACCCCCAATGCAGCTTATATATAAGCTCCTAGTTTGGTAGTGTCTCATTCTTCACCTGAAGACGGCTGCTTGCGTTGTAGCCGAAACGTCGTGAGAATTGTTTTATTATGTTTTATTTTTATTATTTTATTACTTCCCTTCTACGTGACTTTACCGAAATAAACAAGAAGATGAATCCCTGCAGTCACGAAAGCTTTAAATCGAAACTCTAAACGAAGTGGGGATTTCTCAATTGTGGAGAAGAAAAACCGGGAGGACCCGGAAAAAAATCCACGCGACCACGGGGAGAGAGAGAGAGACACGCGCGCGTCAAATATACAGCAGCAGCAGGCATTGTCAGGGTCAGGATCGAACCCACGACCTCCTGTATACCAGGCGAGGTAGTTAACATCTCCTAGCCACCGTGATGATGAGAGAGACACCGAAAACTCCAAATATACAGCAGGCGCCAGTGTCGGAATCGAACCCACGGCCTCCTGCATACCAGGCCGCCTTTGTCTCCCCAGTGGCGTACCCGGTGTGGTATGTAAACTTGAGTGCCGGGGGAGACAATGGCGGCCGGGCGTGCATGGTACTGACCGCACCACCCCCACGTGTGCTTTATGGTTGCTGATACTAGCTAACAGCACTTGCCCCAACAGTCTACTGCAGGCTACACGGGGAGCTCTGTCTTTGTGTTTATGCGTCAGGAAGATCGTCCAAATCACCAACACGACGCCCAACACACGCAGACTGGAGAGGAACCACGGCCATTGGGGGGCACGGCCACGAGGCGGTGACGATGGTGACGGTGATGGTGGTGACGATGGTGACGACTATGGTGGTGACGATGATGATGGTGACGATGACGGTGGTGACGATGATGATGGTGACGACGATGGTTTGGGACGATGATGGTGACGACGATGATGGTGGTGACGATGATGATGGTGACGGTGATGACGATGATGGTGGTGACGATGATGGCGACGATGATGACGGTGACGACGATGATGATGGCGATGGCAGAAATTATGACGACTATGATGGCGCCGATGATGATGATGGTGACGATAGTGGTGGCGATGGTAGAAATGATGACGATGGCGATGATGATGATGATGATGGTGACGATGATGGTTACGATGATGATGGCGATGGTATAAATAATGACGACGATGATGATGATGATAGTGGCGATGATGGCTACGATGTGGATGACCGTCCCCCCCACCCCCCCCAACACAACCACCACCCCCACCACCATCACCACCACCACCCTCTCCACCATCACCACCACCACCCTCATCACCACCACCATCACCACCACCCTCTCTCTTCACGCCGAAACTTCACCGCCAGGAGCGGATGAGGGATGCGGTGGGGGCGAGCGGCTCCGGTTAAAGGGGGGGGGGGGGTGGAAACGAACTCGCCGAGATCCACAGGTCTCTGAACGTTTAATTTTACACCCGCAGAATCCGATGAGCGATGAAGCTCTTCGTTTTTTCGCGCAGACGCCCAACGGGACAGGCAGGAGTCGTGGTCTCCCCCCCCCCCGTATGCTGGCGGCCCGCATCGCTGTACAAGAGGGGGTGGGCGATGTCCCGGTCTGTCTGCGTGTTACTCTGGCGGCTGTACCGAGGGGTGGACGACGCGAGAGAGACTCACCCAGGATGGCGGTAGAGACCCCCATCGCGGCTCCGTCCGTCCGGTCGCTGTCAGTGGCCGCGTCCTGGTGGAGGGACAGACAGGGACATCATCGTCTCTCGCTCTCGCTCGACAGACAGATTTGTGTAGAAGTCCACTTGTTTCGTTCCTTATATACAGTGAGGGAAAAAAGTATTTGATCCCCTGCTGAATTTGTACGTTTGCCCACTGACAAAGAAATGATCAGTCTATAATTTTAATGGTAGGTTTATATGAACAGTGAGAGACAGAATAACAACAACAAAATTCAGAAAAACTCATGTCAAAAATGTTATAAATTGATTTGGATTTTAATGAGGGAAATAAGTATTATTTTGTTGTTGTTGTTATTCTGTCTCTCACTGTTCAAATAAACCTACCATTAAAATTATAGACTGATCATTTCTTTGTCAGTGGGCAAACGTACAAAATCAGCAGGGGATCAAATACTTTTTTCCCTCACTGTAGAGGCGTAGATGTGACGAATTGGCCACGTTCTGTTTTACGTGACAACCCTCACTAGTTGGCTGTGTGGGGTGGTGGCGGGTTTTAACGACACATTTATATATTTACGCGATCTAACCCCCCAAAACACCCCTCTTATGGATGATATTGTACTCCGTGTCTTTGTCTATTCCAACTTTGGTAGTGCCGCTTTGTTGCTGGTCGCTTGACGGGTCTGACCTTAGGGCCTTAGTGTGCTGGGCGAGAGGGGACGGGGAGTGAAAACTACACAACAATTTAAATTTCGATTTAAAGCTTTCGTGACTGCAGGGATTCATCTTCTTGGTTCTTTCGGTAAAGTCACGTAGAAGGGAAATAATAAAATAATAAAAATTAAACATAATAAAATTATTCTCACGACGTTTCGGCCACAACGCAAGCAGCCGTCCTCAGACGCTGTCTCCCCGACAGACCTGGTCTTCACCTGAGGACGGCTGCTTGCGTTGTGGCCGAAACGTCGTGAGAATAATTTTATTATGTTTTATTTTTATTATTTTATTATTTCCCTTCTACGTGACTTTACCGAAAGAACCAAGAAGATACGCAACAATTGTTTTTTATTTCACCAGGTAAGGCCCACTGAGCTACTTAGCTCCTTCTCAGAAGCGGCACGGTCACACACGTGAGCCCAACGAAGTGGGGACTCATCACGTGGACATTGATAGCGGCCAAACGCTCTGAACGCGTGGCGATGTCGATTCTTCACGTGGAGGGGGAAAACCGCAGGACCCGCAGAAAAATCCACGCAACCACGAGGAGTGAGAGAGAGATGCGAACTCCAAATACATAGGCGTCAGGATCTAACCCACGATCTCCTGTATACCAGGCGAGGTAGTTAACATCTCCTAGCCACCGTGATGATGATGACAGAGAGAGAGACACGCAAACTCCAAATATACAGCAGCAGACATCAGGGTCGTGATCGAACCCACGATCTCCTGTATACCAGGCGAGGTAGTTAACATCTCCTAGCAACCGTAATGATGATGAGAGAGAGAGACACGCAAACTCCAAATATACAGCAGCAGGCATCGTCAGGGTCGTGATCGAACCCACGATCTCCTGTATACCAGGCGAGAGAGTCAACATCTCCTAGCCACCGTGATGATGATCGATAGAGAGAGAGACACGCAAACTCCAAATCTACAACAGCAGGCGTCAGGGTCGGGATCGAACCCACGAAACCGCCACAAACGACGACTCAACGTCTGTGATAGCCTCCTAGGGTGCTGCTGGCGGCAGAGCGCAATAGGCGACGCGACTGTGCCTCGCTCGAGCCCGGCGCTGCTGATGAGGCACTGAAAGGCGTGAGCGACTGTCCGCGGTGTGGCCGAGGCGATGCGCCCCCGCGGGCGTGCGGGGAAGGGGGGTCCGTGTGGCTGGCGGGGTCGCGAGAGCGCGAGAGCCTGGCCGCTCGGCTCCCACTCGCTGGGAACTCGAAACTCTTCATCGTCATCGAGACGATCATCATCGAGATTCATCATCGAGACGATCATCATCGAGACCAATCGTCATCATCATCCTGCCGGGGGAGCTATGGGCAGCACCTCTGAAGGGCTGTGTGGAGTCTCCGACTCTTCCACTGGCGGCCAGACGTCTCGACACTGACGAGGGCACCCACCCGCACTCTACCCCCCACCCACACCGCACTCTACCCCCCACCCACACCGCACTCTACCCCCACACCTACACGCGGTTAACCCCGCGGGCATTGCGTGACGGTCATCGGCGGGCGAGGCAGAGCGAGCAGAGTTCGTGGGAGCCGCCCGCCGCGCCCGGGTGGTGACACAACCAGCGGCGACCTCCGCACGGAGCGGTGAGCAGCGCTCGAACTGAAAGCCCCCGTCGGTGCGAACTGCAGATGGGGGTCGCTCCTGCGGAGTTGACGACTCGTGACCCAGCCTGGCGCTGCGGCGAGTCATAGACTCCCCAAGTGACTCTCACACAGACCCCCCGTGACACTCACACAGACCCTCCGTGACACTCACACAGACCCCCCCCCCACGTGACTCTCACACAGACCCCCCGTGACACTCACACAGACCCTCCGTGACACTCACACAGACCCCCCCCCCCACGTGACTCTCACACAGACCCCCCGTGACACTCACACAGACCCCCACGAGACACTCACGCAGACCCCCCCCCCCACGTGACTCTCACGCAGACCCCCCCCCCCACGTGACTCTCACGCAGACCCCCACGTGACACGCAGACCCCCCCCCCCCCACCTGACTCTCACACAGACCCCCCCCCCGTGACACTCACACAGACTCCCCCACGTGACACTCACACAGACCCCCCCACGTGACACTCACACAGACCCCCCTCGTGACACTCACCGCGACTCGTCTGAAGTTTTCTGCTGCACGCGGCTTGCCACTGGAGATTGGGCGAGGGTTCTGGGTCTCTGTGTAAGAGTCTCTGTGTGTGTCTGTGTGTGTGTCTCTCTGTGTGTGTGTCTCTGTGTGTGTCTCTCTGTGTGTGAGCGTATCTCTCTCTCTCTGTCTGTGTGTGTCTCTGTGTGTGTGTCTCTGTGTGAGAAGTCTCTCTGTGTGAGAGTCGCTCTGTGCGATGCGGGGCTCGGAGCGAGCGGGGAGGATTTGGGGAGGGGGGAGTCAGGAGGAGGAGGAGGGGGGTGAGCATGGGGGGAGGGGAACACGGGATGAGAGGGGCATGGCTGGGCGGCTGGCGTGGTTGGAAAAAGTGGTGGTGGTGGTGCTGGTGAATGTAGTACAGTGTTGGTGATGGTTGGGGGTGTTCGGGTTAGCGGCCGTGTAGCGGTTCAATGCCCTGCGCAACGAACCCAGCGAACCGAGTTCGATTCCCGTTCGCGGCCAACACCCAGTGACGATTATCTGAACCGGTCCTGGGCCTCCCCTAGGTAGACTCAGCCTCAAATGAGTAGCTGGTGCGGTGTGTAAACATCGCCACTGGGGAGACAAAGGCGGTGGGGCGTGGTGTTGGCCACCCACCCCCTCGCGTGCCATGCCGGCCTTCATAGGTGCTCGCTAACAGCACTTGCCCCTACCGTCTGTTAAGGCTCCACGGGGGATCTTTGTCTTGTGTTGGTGATGGTTGGGGGTGTTCGGGTTAGCGGACCGGTTCAGTGCCTTGCGCTACGAACCCGGCGACCCGAGTTCGAATCCCGCTCACGGCCAACACCCAGTGACGATTATCTGAACCGGTCCTGGGCTTCCCCTAGGTCCACTCGGCCTCAAATGAGTACCCGGTGCGGTGCGTAAACATCGCCACTGGGGAGACAAAAGCGGCCGGGCGCTGCACCGTGCCGTAGGTGCTGCTCGCTAACGGCACGTGACCCCAGCAGTCTGTCGACGGGTCATACGAGGGTGGAGAGATCTTTATTTTGCACTTTTGAGTGCACTTTAAAATAAAAACGTTGTTTAAAAAAATATTTTTTACGGAGTTTATGGGATTCCTGTTGGTGAGAAAAGTGTTGTGGCTGGCGGCGAGGGGGGGGAGGGAAGAGGCCGCGGTGTTTTTCGGGGGTCGCCGATTGCCCCCCCCCCCCACACACACAAAGGGAGAGCGACTCCGCCCGCGTGGATGTGGCGGTCCAAATCGTCGCAGTTGGGGATGGATCCTCCCAGGGGGGGGGGGGCGACTCGCTGCGTGGAGTTTTATTTGGTGCGAGGTTCACGGGGGGCCCCCCTGTGTGCGCGCGAGGCCACGTGGAAGCGGCACGTCCCGTCCGCCCTTCGCAATCGGTGCCCTCCACGTGAATAACAACAACAAACAACAACAACAAACAACAATCAACGCGTCTTTACGCATCCCGTCAGACGCATCGGCCAGTGTCTCTTCATCAGCAGCATCATCATCAGCGGTGGCAGCAGCAGGAGGAGGCTCGAGGTGACGACTCCGTCACGGCCGAGAGACGTCGCTCGCAGAGGCCCCGCGCGGCCGGACGGGATGAGTCGAACGACAAAGCGGGCGGGCGACATCCCCCGGGCGCCTGCGTCGTGTTTGTTGGGCGGTCGGGAGGGGGGGGGCAGGGATGGGAGGTGGGGGGAGGGATGGAGGGGACTGAGCGGGGGGGGGGGGGCAGGGATGGAGGGGAGGGGCAGGGATGGGAGTGGGGGGAGGGATGGAGGGGACTGAGCGGGGGGGGGGGGGCAGGGATGGAGGGGAGGGGCAGGGATGGGAGTGGGGGGAGGGATGGAGGGGACTGAGCGGGGGGGGGGGGGCAGGGATGGAGGGGAGGGGCAGGGATGGGAGTGGGGGGAGGGATGGAGGGGACTGAGCGGGGGGGGGGGGGGGCAGGGATGGAGGGGAGGGGCAGGGATGGGAGTGGGGGGAGGGATGGAGGGGACTGAGCGGGGGGGGGGCAGGGATGGAGGGGACTGAGCGGGGGGGGGGGGGCAGGGATGGAGGGGACTGAGCGGGGGGGGGGGGCAGGGATGGAGGGGACTGAGCGGGGGGGGGGCAGGGATGGAGGGGAGGGAGTGAGGGGGGCAGGGATGGAGGGGAGGGGGGGGATGGGAGTGGGGGAGGGATGGAGGGGAGGGAGCGGGGGGCGGGAAGCGGAATGTGACTCCGGATTTCTTTGTTCATCGCTGGCGGGGGAGGGAGGGATGGAGGGGGAGGGTGGAAGGGGGGAGGGAGGGAGGGGAGGAAGGGGAGGAAGGGGGGAGGGGAGGAAGGGAGGGGGGGAGGGGAGGAAGGGAGGGGGCAGGTTGACCCCGCCAGGAAGGCGCGAGGCTGTGTGGATGTTTTGGCCGCGCGGGTTTTTATCTCAAACTGGAGCCCAGCCGCCATTTCCCTCTGATGATGAACTGGCTGTTCAGATGCTCTCCCGCCACAACCAACACCACCACCAGCCACAACACCACCAACAACAACAACACCACCAACACCACCAACACCACCACCAACAATAACACCACCAACAACACCACCAACAACACCACCACCAACACCACCAACATCACCACCAACACCATCACCAACAACACCAACACCACCAACAACACCACCACCAACACCACCAACACCACCACCAACAATAACACCACCAACAACACCACCAACAACACCACCACCAACACCACCAACATCACCACCAACACCATCACCAACAACACCAACACCACCAACAACACCAACACCACCACCAACAATAACACCACCAACAACACCACCAACAATAACACCACCACCAACAACACCACCAACATCACCATCACCAATACAACCGCCATTCGCCACTAAATGACGGCGACGTCACCACGGCGCTTGTGCCAGGCCATGTGCACCTTGAGGCCATCACGTGAAGTGCCAAACGCCCGCTGGCAGCAGGAGGTCTCGGGACAGACCCAGCAGGTGCCACGGGTCGACTGACCGAGATGACTGGCTGATGCACCACCTGTGCCCCCTACTGTGCCAACTTGCTGTGCTTTAGCCACCCGGCGCTCCGCTCGTTGTTGTGAGCGTCGCTCCTCCGCCCTCCGTTGTTGTTGGAGGACGACTGCCTCCAACTGCCCAGCAGCGTCCTTCACGAGCCTCCTCCACGGAGGCCGATCTTGACACCGCTGGAACCAGCCGTTGGCAAGTCCACTCAGCTCCACATCCTCCTGTACCACATCACTCCATCTCTTCTCCAGCCCATGTCGTGCCCGTTTAGCCCGCTCTATTCGGCCAAACAGAAGCTGTTTAGGCATGCGGTGGCTGGGCATGTGGGAATGACCCAGCCAAGGCATACTTGCCTGCCGGACGAACTCACTGATGGGAATGTGTCCAAATATTTAAAGGATTTGTGAGCTTCTCACACAATCCAGCCTGGTTAAACCCAGGATGGATCGTAGGCATGTCAGCCTGAATGTTTTTAACCGGCGCAGATGTTCCATTAGAGGGGTCCATGTTTCACAAGCACAGAGAAGGGACGGCATGACTGTGGCCGAGAAGACCCGAAGCTTCGTGCAGAGCGACAGACCAGGTAGCTTTTACAGAGTATTGCACAGCCGATTAAAAGATAATGCCGCCCAATTTATTCGGAGTAAGACTTCTACTGTCAACCCGGAGCTGGTCATAAGCACACTGCTCAGGTACGGGAAACTCTCCACTCTCTCCACAACTGCTCCATCACCAATGGGGAGCTGAGGGGTGGAGTGTTTGATGGCACAAAATACCCAGGCAGGTGCTTAGTATTGGTGGGGCTGATGGTAAGGCCCCACCTCTTAGTGGCACACTCCAGGTTCAGCAGCAGCGTCTCCAACTCTTCTGAGCAGCAATCACCAGATCATCAGCATACATAGCGTGGTTGACCAATAGGGAGCCATGCCCCGACCATACCCGGGCATCGATACGCCTCCCGTTGTATCTGTACCAGATGGAAATTCCTCCGGTACAGCCATGGAACAACACCACTAACAACATCACCAACCACAACACCACCAACACCACCGCCACCAACACTACCAACAACACCACCACCACCAATACCAGTTCCAACAACACCAACAAAACTACCACCCCCAAAAACAACAACCACCACCACCACCACTCGGCTGCTGTAGCTGCTGCAGTTAAACATTTTAACCACAACCTTGGAGGCGCACATTGGGCAACTTCCTGTAAATAATATCACGGGGTGTTATACAGACTGCTGTGGTAAACAAGATCGATGGTGGTGGTTATGACGATGATGGTGGTGGTGGTGGTGAAAACTATGAGAGTTGGCGGTGGTAGTTGAGGTGGACACGATGGTTGCGTGTGGAGCGAGTGATGGAGATGACGCGCGTGGTGGAGATAACGCGAGTGATGGAGATGACGCGCGTGGTGGCTCCTCTCCCTCGTGGCAGCAGCGACATCGCGCAGGGCCTCAGGGTCGTGGGTCTCCTGGCCACGACGGGAAATGGCCGGCCACGAGGCCAATCGGGCCCGAAGTCCCTCTCAATGGTCAGTCTCTCTGTGCCAAATGCCGTGTTCGGGCATTCCCTTATCCTTGCACCACTGTAATCAGAATCAACTCGCCCCTGTACATCGCTGGCAGGGGAGGGGAATGGGAGGGGAGGGAGGTAGTCATTGTAGTGCGTATTTAATGTGGGAGAAAACATTTATTAAAAAGTCTCTTTAATTAAGTATAACGTGTTGTCTATATTTATTTAAAGTTGCGCATTTTGATATGACGTCACATTTCTTAAACACCCCCCCCCCAGGTGCGTGACGTCATTTATGGACGGCCCCCAACACCCAGTGACGAGTATGTGAAACGGTCCTGGGCCACCCCTAGGTAGACTCAGCCTGAAATTAGCACCTGGTGTGTGGTGTGTAAACATCAACACTCGGGAGACAAAGGCGGCCGGGCGTGGCACTTGGCTACTAGCACCACGGGTGTGCCACGGGTGTGCCGCCGTGTCGGTCCTGGGCCACCCCTAGGTAGACTCAGCCTGAAATTAGCACCTGGTGTGGTGTGTAAACATCAACACTCGGGAGACAAAGGCGGCCGGGCGTGGCACTTGGCTACTCGCACCATGGGTGTGCCGCCGTGCCGGTCCTGGGCCACCCCTAGGTAGACTCAGCCTGAAATTTGCACCTGGTGTGTGGTGTGTAAACATCAACACTCGGGAGACAAAGGCGGCCGGGCGTGGCACTTGGCTACTAGCACCACGGGTGTGCCGCCGTGTCGGTCCTGGGCCACCCCTAGGTAGACTCAGCCTGAAATTAGCACCTGGTGTGTGGTGTGTAAACATCAACACTCGGGAGACAAAGGCGGCCGGGCGTGGCACTTGGCTACTAGCACCATGGGTGTGCCGCCGTGCCGGCCTTGTCAAGGATGCTGCTACTTCGCCAACAGCACTTACCAAAGGTCTGTTGTGGCTATAAGGGGGGTCTTTGTCTTTGTTGCGGTAGTGTGGTTGTGGTGTAGTTATAGAGTAGTTGTGGTGTCGTCTGTGGTTGTGGAGAGTAGTTGTGGTGGTGGTTGTGGTGTAGTGTGGTTGTGGAGAGTAGTTGTGGTGTGTGTAGTGTGGCTGTGGTGCAGTGTGTGGTTGTGGTGCATTGTGTGGTTGTGGTGCATTGTGTGGTTGTGGTGCAGTGTGGTTGTGAAGAGTGGTTGTGGTGTGGTGTGGTTGTAAAGAGTGGTTGTGGTGGCGTGTGGTTGTGGTGGCGTGTGGTTGTGGTGTAGTGTGGTTGTGGTGCAGTGTGGTTGTGGTGGCGTGGTTGTGAAGAGTAGTTGTGGTGCAGTGAGTGGTTGTGGTGCAGTGTGGTTGTGGTGGCGTGGTTGTGGTGGCGTGGTTGTGGTGGCGTGGTTGTGAAGAGTGGTTGTTGCTGGTTGTTGACCTCATGCCGCCAGACCACCGCTCGCCTCCCCACCACCAGAGCTGCTAATCGACCGCGAGGAGGTTGCAGGCGACTGGCAGAGCGGCTACAGCCACAGCATCGGATTCTTGAATCCACCTGTACGGAGTTGTCACCCCCCCCCCCCCTCCTATGCCAAACTCTGAATTAATGGGATTCATGGCCAGGCACCGCGACGTGGCAGTGCCCGCAGTTGGGTTTAACTCTCCAACACACCACACAGTCAGTCGGTAAGGGTGCTGAACTATTAACTCATTGCTCACGTGACATAGCTCCTCACTAGTTGGCTGTGCCAGGTGGTGGCGGGTTTAACGGCACATTTATTGATTTACGCGATCAAACCCCCCCCCCCCCGATATTATGGATATTAGTGGCGAAAGCCTTCGTGTGAAATCGCAACCGCGAGTGGCTCCATGGCGCCACCTGGCGGTGACCACGGGTGCCGTACCCGCTTTGCTTGCGGCCAATCGCCACCAGCCAGAGGTCGCAAACGGGTTTTGAGTCCTTACCCGTACCCGGCCGCACCAGGGTCGCAAATGGGTACCCGTACCCATAGCCGGCCGGGTACGGGTAGCCGGGTATCGGGTAGGGTACGGGTATCGGGTACCCAGTTGCGACCTCTGCCACCAGCACCTCGGGCAAGGGGCCCGTGCCCAGAACGTCCCCCCCCCCCAAAAAAAAAGAAAATGGGACCGTGTTCTGTGCGGTTCCTTCCGTGTCAATCCACGGCTCCACTGCCGGACGAGAGCCTCCCTTTGACCGTGCGGGTCTTGGGCGGTAAATGACCATACTTCACCGGGCTGGTAAGTGCGGTTCGTGAACACGGAGGGCTTGAGAACGAAACGGGATTTCTCCGCAAATCTGGCTGTCGCGTGATGAGGCTGGTTGCAATTACTGGCGAAACGTCGTACTCTGATTGTAAATGTTGTGGATTTACTCTAAAACACACCAGTGTGCTGTACTAGTACACTATACACTACACTACTATACACTACACTATACACTAGTGCTGTACTAGTGACGAATTGGCACGTTCTGTTTACGTGACACAACCTTACTAATTGGCTGTGTCGGGTTTAACGACACATTTGAATATTATCGCGATCTTACCCAATTAAAAACCTCCATTATGGATAATGTTGGTCGCGAAAGCCTTCGTGTTAAACGGACTTGGCTCCACTGCCCTCTTCTGCCCTCTTCTGCCCACGAGCAGCCTATAGCACCTGGTACGCACCTCGGGGTTCCCATCGTCGGGTGGCCGGCTACGGGAGCGCTCGTCATTTTTGGCGAGGCCCAAGTAAGCAAACGCACGGAGCGAACAGCGGATTATATAATTGTTCGCGGACAAATGAAACACACTCGTAAGTCATGCTGAAAAAGATCTTCAGAGGACCGCGAAGCTTGGACAAACGTTGGCACCGTCCGGCTCGTCCACGGTGACTCTGCGGCCGCGGGGGGCAGTCCGCACGACGATCCGCGCGACGATCCGCGCGTCGTTTCACGTGACCGGGCAGACGAACCATCGGAGACCCGACCACGGGTTGCCCGGGATATTTCTTGACCATTTCCTCACCGCTCGAGAGCTTCCCCTCCCCCCCTCCCCCCGAAGGACATCTCAGCTGGCAGGCGCACTCCGTCACCGACGTTTAATGTTTTTTGATGATGGGTAACGCACCTCTTACACACACTTTATACACAAGACAGCAGCATTTCAGGGTTTTGAGTTAAGACGATCATAATCACAGCGAAGGGTTAATAAATTCGCATTCAGTTTCTTAAGAAGCTCGCAGCGCGTGGATGGAAACGTCGGGGCATCGTACCGTGCAGCACGCGGTGCAATCGGAAGAAAGCACGGGGGGGGGGGGGGGGCTGTACGCCGAAGCGCACCTGCGGGCACAGGGTGCAGTGTCGGTGCTCGCTCCCCGTGGAGCCGGACCCCCCACCTGTGTCTGTATGCAGGTCAAAGTGCAGCCCCTGCAAGTGCTCACTCCGCGTTGCAGCTGCGCGGTTCTGTACGAGCAGTGGAACGAACGCCTTGGCGCAGCGGGGGACGAGAGAGAGAGCATCCCACGGAGACCGGCACCGGCCTCGCCGTTGCCGGCAGGGGGAGCTCAAGGCTCCAATGAGACCGAGTGACTTTGTTGACAGGCCGAGTCGGTCCAATCGGAAGGACAGAGTCGGGGTAAAAGTGGCGTTCCCAGAGGTCGCAAACGGGTTTTGATTCCTTACCCGTACCCGGCCGCACCAGGGTCACAACCTACCCGTTCCCTACCCGAAATGAGTGACAAACGGTTACTCACCAGTGACTCACGGTCTACACGTACCCGGCCGCACCAGGGTCGCAACAGGTACCCGTACCCGGGTATCGGGTAGGGTACGGGTATCGGGTACCCGGTTGCGACCTCTGGGCGTTCCCCTGACTTGCCGAGTGACTCGGGTGACCGCGCGCGTTGGGCAGGGCTTTCCCAGAAGCCCTTGCGGGTGGAAGGCATCACGAGTGCTGCGGCGGGTGGAGGCCTCTTGCCAGCGGTGGCTTGCGCAATCGCGGGGCTGCACGTTGACCTTTAGGAAACGTCAGGACCGCGTTGCTGACAACATTAAATACCGAGTGTTAATTGTTACGTAATGTATTATCACGCAGGATGTTTACGCTGAAACGTGTGATCGTGACATTAAAAGTGTAGAGGCGAACGTCGCGGCCAAACGACAAGCCGCCCGCTTTGAGCCGCGCCGTTTGTCGACATCGGATCGCTGCCGAGTTGTTGCCAGGGCGGCGTGACGCCGGGCCGGAATGTTCTGGCTGCGGCCTGAACCCCTGCCCAAGTCGAGTTGAAGAAATTGAACAATTGGAGACACGGTGCCGAGTCGGCAGCTCCAGTTCTAACTCGATTGGAGCGGCTCACGGCAACCGGGTGCAGACATCCGAACACGGCAGTCGCCCAGCACAGCTCCCAAACAAGACAGCCGAAAGCAAACCACAGGCGGTTCTGTTTATACTGCGGCAGAGGTGAGGCCGCTGCAGCCACGGCAGCGAGACAGGGAGGTTGCGACATTGACCGCGATGTGAAATCAACACGAGTTCTCCGACCAAACCGCGACTCCGAATCGCACCGATCCATTGCACCACGGAGGAAAATTACTTGCACGCGCAATCGTTACTCACAGATTACTTTAGATTTGGAGACAGCAAAAAAAACATCACAACTTCGAAGCCATTAACATACATTCACAAGTTAAGCAGTTACACTGAGAAGACGAGAGATAACACGCTGGCTAAAGACATCACGGTGACTGTGAAGAGGAGTGGGCATGGGGGCAGGGTCGCGTCGCCGCTACGAGGGTGACGATGACCGACGGTTGCCACGGGCGGCAGCCGAGGGACGCTGCAGAGGGACGCTGCAGCGTGCCCGAGGGGGTGCAGCCGGGTGGATTAACACATCGCAGGGTACCGCGCGAGATGGCGACATGTTTGGGGGAAGCCTTCATCCAGCAGTGGAATTACCATGGCTGATGATGATGATGACTCAGTAAGTGGGTGACACTTCAGCAATATAGCGACAGACACTGGGAGTGGGTTGACGCATTGGTAAGCGGACGAATAGATGAGCGAGGGGTTTAGCGAGTGAGTAGGTGTGCAAGCGGATGAGCGAGTGGGCGAGCGAGTGGGCGAGCAAGTGGGCGAGTGGGTGTGCAGGCGGATGAGCGAGTGCGTTAGCAGACGAGCAAGTGGGCGAGCGGGTGGTCGAGCAGAGCATGCGGTGGAGCGGGCGGGCGAGCTCACTACCGCGCGTCTTCCGCGCTGTACATGCCGCGCGCGCGGCGCAGCACCGAGTCCTTGGTGGCGTCGTAGGGGTGCTCCTTGGAGGGGATCTCCAGCACGGCTGGGATGGAGCGGTTGTGAGCGTCCACCACGTGGCGGATCATCTCGGCGATGAACTGGTTGATGAGGATGATGGCGATGTCGTCGCGAACGAGGAAGCTCCTGTCGCGAGACAAAGAGAAACAAAGCACGTAAGTGAAGGTTACATTTCACGTTTACCATCCCCCCAACCGCCTCGCCCGACGTTACCCGGACCGTGCCATCGGCAAGTGGCACAACACCAAGAGACCTTTGGGATCCTCTTCAGGTGACCTGAGCCTCACACTTCAAGGGGGCATCTCTCTTCCACCCATCCACATCCGAGCAATGTTCGACCGCGTGACGACACAACCGAAACCCAAGCATCGCAGGTGGATTTAGTCACGGCGCAGAGAAGAACCCAACTGAACAAGGTGTTTTTGTTGTTGTGGTCAAGGTGCGTTTGTTGTGATCACTTGGGGAGACCTTTTGACTCACTCACTCCACTTGAGAACCCCGATCCCAACCCAGCGTCTCAGCGGTGCCAGCTCAACGCTCTGACCTCTGAGCAAGTGCTGTTAGTGAGCACCACGTGCCGGCCACTTCGGTCTGCAGTGTTGATGTTTAACCCACTACACCAGGAACTCGTTTAAGACCGAGCCAACACAGGGCAGGGCTTGGACAGGTTAAGATGTTAAATCACCACTGATGATGGCCGTGGGCAGGAGTCGAACTGGGGAGGCTGTGTTCATAGTACAATGTGCTAGCCACTACACTACCGCTCGCCCCACACACACACACCTCAACACAACGACTCGTACAATACCCACTTGCTAACCACTGAAACCGGGATGGTTATCTGGGTTATGGCCAGGATCGAGGCAGCTTGCACGAATCGCCCCTCTATGCCCATTGGAGCCAAGTGCTGGGCCGACAGGCACCTGCAATAAAGACGCAGCACGAGACATGCAACACCGTGCACAGCCATCGCCTGCCATGGTCAAACCACTGCTGGATGAAAAGGGGGTCTCTCCCCCACATCACGCGGTACACAAACGGGGCTACAACCACAAATGGGGGGGCACATTCAACTCGTAGCGACGTCTCCCGACTCCGACCGTTGCAGCCCATACTAAGCCGGTGGTGAAAATTCGATATTTCTCTGGCCGGGACCAGTGATAGAAAAGAAAATGTGTTCGTAAAAAAGAAAGTGTTTGTTAAGAAGAGTTAGATTCCGGGCTGATGTCAGTGGCGAAATGAGAATCGGTTCCAAGTCTCCCCACTCCAGCCTCCCCAAATCCGCGGTGACCAGCGTGGTGAAGTATGGCCAAACAGCATCAATGACCGACACAGGCCAGGTGGACGCAGTCATCCAGCAGTAGATGAGGACACAAACACACAGAGACGAGTACACAAACACACAAGAGGCGAGTACACAAACACAGAGACAAGAACACAAACACAGAGACGTGTACACAAACACACAGAGACGTGTACACAAACACACAGACAAGAACACAAACACACAGAGACAAGAACACAAACACAGAGACGTGTACACAAACACACAGACAAGAACACAAACACACAGAGACAAGAACACACAAACACACAGAGACAAGAACACAAACACAGAGACGTGTACACAAACACAGAGACAAGGACACAAACACACAGAGACGAGTACACAAACACACAAGAGGCGAGTACACAAACAGAGACGAGTACACAAACACACAGAGACGTGCACACAAACACACAAGAGACGAGTACACAAACACACAAGAGGCGAGTACACAAACACAGAGACAAGAACACAAACACACAGAGACGAGTACACAAACACACAGAGACAAGAACACAAACACACAGAGACGAGTACACAAACACACAGAGACAAGAACACAAACACACAGAGACAAGGACACAAACACACAGAGACGAGTACACAAACACACAGAGACAAGAACACAAACACACAGAGACGAGTACACAAACACACAGAGACAAGAACACAAACACACAGAGACGAGTACACAAACACACAGAGACAAACACACAGAGACAAGAACACAAACACAGAGACGAGTACACAAACACACAGAGACAAGAACACAAACACACAGAGACAAGAACACAAACACACAGAGACAAGAACACAAACACACAGAGACAAGAACACAAACACACAGAGACAAGAACACAAACACACAGAGACAAGAACACAAACACACAGAGACAAGAACACAAACACACAGAGACAAGAACACAAACACACAGAGACAAGAACACAAACACACAGAGACAAGAACACAACGACTGTAATCACGTGGAGTATCCACCGTCGAGGCCGCGAAACGGAAATTTTCTCTCGAGCGAGAAGGCGTCGGGCATTTTAAAACGCCACCACCGACAATGATGATGAAGATGACGATGACGACAACGATGATGACGATGACGACGAACACGATGATGATGACAACGACGATGATGAAGATGATGGATGACGACAACGATGATGACGATGACGACGAACACGATGATGATGACAACGACAATGATGATGATAATGACAACGATGATGATGACGACAACGATGACGACAACAATGATGACAACGATGACGATGATTACAACGATGATGATGACGACAACGATGACGACAACAATGATGACAACGATGACGATGATTACAACGATGATGATGACGACAACGATGACGACAACAATGATGACAACGATGACGATGATTACAACGATGATGATGACGACAACGATGACGACAACAATGATGACAACGATGACGATGATTACAACGATGATGATGACGACAACAATGATGACAACGATGACGATGATTACAACGATGATGATGACGACAACGATGATGATGACGACGACGACGACAATAAGGATGACGACGACGATGATGACAACAATGACGACGACGACGATGATGACAACGATGATGATGACGACGACGACGACAATAAGGATGACGACGACGATGATGACGACAACGATGATGACGACAACGATTCCCGTGCCGAGGTCTTAGCCGCGGCAGCCGTGTCGAGGTTCAGCTCAGCTCCATGTATATTAGACACAGCCCTGTGAGCCAGAGGTCGCAACCGGGTCACCCGATACCCGTACCCTACCCGATACCCGGCTACCCGTACCCGGCCGGGTACGGGTAAGGAATCAAAACCCGTTTGCGACCTCTGCTGTGAGCCCTGCGGCTCTTGACTCGGTGCACCCTCAACAAACATGAACAAGAAACGTCTTAAAGTGACGATGAAGATGATGATGGTGGTGGGACCCCCCCGCTCCGCTAGGCCGCAAGCCGCAGGCGCCTCGCGCGGGGCTCGCGAGCTCCCGAGGGCGGCAGAGAATCTATCCGAGCGGCGGTGACTCACCCCCCCCCACCCCCCACCACGATTCTCTTAGTAACGTGGAACATTAAACTCTTTGGTTCTTTGGGTAAACTCACGTAGAAACATGATAATAGATCACTAAGCTTAGTATTTGTGTACGTAGTCATCTATTTTATTTTTATTCTACGTTACTTTACAAACACAACCAAAGGGTTTCCTTAAGTCACGAAGGCTTCGCATCAAGACGTGGAGCATTGTTTGAACGCGGCACGGACGTAGGTTAACCTTCTTTCGCACCGTACGTAGCCAACCATGCTTATCAACCCATTCAGAGAATAATTTAGTAGCGTTACCCCCCCTCCCTGTGCGTCTTCATTCACAAACCCAAACAATCATTCGGCCTACAACCCTCCCCCCCTCCTCCTCCTCACTTGAAGGTCTCCTCGATCTCCGTGACGCTCGTCTCCTTCTCCACCACGAGGAAGTTGGGCTTGCGGTTCTTGTTCAGCTCTCCCACGCCGCCCAGCAGGAAGCCCGTGCACGTGTCCTGGTCCCCGATCACAGCGATCAGCTTGCCGCGGCCCGCCATCGAACAACCTCCTCCTGCTTCTCTAGCACCACGGCGAGTGAGACGGAGAGTCACGTGACCCGGCAAGCCGGCTGACACGTGACCCCTCCCCCCACCCGCTCCTCCCCCTCCTCCCTCCCTCCCTCCCTCCACCCCCTCCCGCCCGCTGGCAGCAGGAGGTCACGGGGCAGACCCAGCAGGTGCCACGGGTCGACTGACCGAGATGACTGGATGATGCATCACCTGTGCCCCCTACTGTGCCAGCTTGCTGTGCTTTAGCCACCCGGCGCTCCGCTCGTTGTTGTGAGCGTCGCTCCTCCGCCCTCCGTTGTTGTTGGAGGGCGACTGCCTCCAACTGCCCAGTAGCAGCGTCCTTCACGAGCCTCCTCCACTGAGGCCGATCTTGACACCGCTGGTACCAGTCATCGGCAAGTCCACTCAGCTCCACGTCCTCCTGTACCACATCACTCCATCTCTTCTCTAGCCCCGTGCCGCGCCCGTTTAGCCCCCTCGATCCGGCCGAACAAAAGCTGTGTAGGCATGCGGTGGCTGGGCATGCGGGCTACATGACCCAGCCAACGCAGCCTTGCCTGCCGGAGGAGCTCACCGATGGGACTTTGCCCAGATCTTTCAAGGATTTGTGAGCTCCTCACACAATCCAGCCTGGTTAAACCCAGGGTGAATCGTAGGCAGGCCAGCCTAAATGTTTCCAACCGGCGAAGATGCTCCATTAGGGGGGGGGGGGTACACAAAACAAAGACAAAGATCCCCCGTATAGTCTTGACAGACTGTAGGGGCAAGTGCTGCTAGCGAGCATCTATAAAGGCCGGCTCGGCACACGAGGGGGTGGGTGGCCAACACCACGCCCGGCCGCCTTTGTCTCCCTAGCGGCGATGTTTACATATCACACCAGGTACTCATTTCAGGGTGAGTCGACCTAGGGGAGTCCCGGGACCGGTTCAGATAATCGTCACTGGCATTGGCCGTGAGCGGGAAATCGAACGCGGATCGCCAGGTTCATAGCGCAGCTTGCTAACCGCTACACCACCGCTCCCCCTTGGTGTACACACACGTACACACACACACACGCGCGTAATACTAGATTTGAAGCTTTCGTGACTGCAAGGATTCATACTCTTAGGTTTTATCGGTAAAGTCACGTAGGTAAAAATTAAATTAAAAGTTAAAAGTAATAATTGGAATAAATAAAATAAATCACGACGTTTCGGAGGCAACACAAGTCTCCGTCATCAGGTGGGACCGTCACAGCTAATAGAATTACTGCAACAATTTTAGCTGTGACGGTCAATTTTAGCTGTGACGGTCCCACCTGATGACGGAGACTTGTGTTGCCTCCGAAACGTCGTGGTTTATTATTTTATTTTATTCCAATTATTACTTTTATTAATTTTTGTATTTTATTTTTTTACCTACGTGACTTTACCGAAAAAAACCGAAGAGTACACACACGCGCGTCTTTGCACCACACTGTTACCGCCCCCGACGCTGGAATTCGCGTTGTTTATTAATCGCAGCAACCCACCGCTCCCAACTCGTGCGCAATGAGGCGGCCTCCGGCAGCCCGAGCAGAGCTCAAACCGGCCGACTCCGCCCTGCGTGGCCGTTCCGACTCCCTTCCCGTGTGGAGTGACTCATGCAGCCAGCTATGGCTGCAGAGTTTGGTAATACATGTTGTTTAACGTCGTTTATTGTGAACATTCGGTCACAGTTCCTATGATCACTGTTTCATTGCTTTATGGCTTTATTTTGGTGATTTTTGAAACGTTTTTCGGTTTGGCCACGTTTGTTTGTTGTAGTACAGAGTTAGACTGATGGCCTTAATCTAAGTTGTCTTGTGGTTGTTGTTGTTGTTTGACTTGCATCCCACTGGGATTTTTGCACACAGCGTTGGTGTACGGTGCTTTTTCTGCAATATTTTGTTGTCTTTTCTTGGATTTTCTGCTTGCACATAGTCACTTAAGATGTTTTCTTGTTCATGTTTTTCTGTTTGTTGCGGTTGCACCCGATTCAAGAGCCGAATGCCTCACAGGGCTATACCTAATAAATGAAACTTGAAACTTGTGTGCCCACAAACAAACAACAGCAGCAGCAGCAGCCGCCGGCTCGCACCGGTCCGGACCTGCAGCCCCACCGTGGCCGGCATCTCCCTCGCCCACCATCTCGGTAGTGGCGGCGAGGAGGGGAATCCAGGGGACGCGTTCCGATATCGAACTCCAGAATCCATGGCGGATCAAAAGCGCGGCGCGTATAACCGCAGTGGCACCCCGCGCCGCGCTCTCTTTAACAGGAGGGATCGCGATGGTCAAACTCGGGCTGCGGCGTCTTCATTCTGCCCGGGTCAATCCGTCTCGTCACACAGTGGTCGCTTTGACCTCTGGCGGGGCGAGACAGTAACATGATAATTTCTCACGTTAACATCACGAGCCCCGGTCACTTCTTGATGACCCTTGGGCTACACCCATTTCAAACCTTTTAAAAGTTTGCCTCAGCAGCAGAACCATGGCTTTCCCACCTGATGACGGACGCTTGTGTTGCGCCCGAAACGTCGTGATCTATTTTATTTTCTACCTACGTGAAACAACCAAAGAGTATGGATTCCTGCAGTCACGAAAGCTTCAAATCAAGACTGAAACAGACTGTTGGAGGCAAGTGCTGTTAGCGAGCACCGAGAAAGGCCGGCACGGCACACGAGGGTGGTTGGGTGGCCAGCACCACGCCCGACCGCCTTTGTCTCCCCGGTGGTGATGTTTAACACGGGGACTCATTTGAGGCCGAGTCGACCTAGGGGAGGCTCTGGCGGGGCAGTCACCGCGGGGCTCTGCGGTGCATCCCCTCCCGCGTGCTCACGGCTCGCACCGCGCGTTGGTCAGCGTGACGTCCGACGTTTCGCTCGGCGTGCCGGTAGCTCTTTCAGACGAGCTGAAGTTCCCGTGAGAAATCTGTAAATGTCCCGACGAAGCTCCCGGCGCTAAACGTCGGACACCACCACCACGCTGACCAACGCGCGGATGTTTCCATAGCGAGAAATTCCGCCACCAAATCGTGACCTCTGGGAGAGAGAGAGAGGCACGGGGTGAGGAAGCAACTGGAGCCTTTATTCCACATGCGCACCCGGAGCCGCTGTTAGTGCAACGTCATCACCCACCCACACACGAAATACGATTCTCTTAAGAGTTCTCTATTCATTCATTAATTCATTTATTTTTCAAACTTTTTTTCATTTTTCTTTCTTTTAAACTTCTGTTTATAACCCACGGCACTGTTTACAAAATAGTTCTTTTCAACCATTTGACTTTACAAAAAGGAGAGGTCGCCGCCGCCGCCACCGCACAGCTGTGAGACAAATATTTCCAAACGCAGTATTTACACGCGTGACGGCCAGCAGACTGATCCACGAGGGGGTTGGGGGGGGGTCAAGAGTTCACAAACCCAGACACGAGCGGGGAAGTGGGGGAAGCCAACCCAGGTGTGTCGTTCGCACCTGTGGTGGCACCACCGACACTTCTGTTGGGATGAACTTGTTACGGGGTTTCGTTGTGGGTGCCCACAACACACGATGTGTTCGCGTGTGTATACAATACACGCGCGCGCGTAGTGATACACTCATGCATTCGCACGTGTCGACCAAGGCAAAGTCCCCACCCACTCGACAGCGCTGTTAGCGAGCTCCTATTTAGGTTGGCACGGCACTCAATGGAGTGGTGTGGCTCGCTCCACACCCGACCGACTTTGTCTCCCCAGCGCGGATGATTTACGCAGGGCACCAGGTATCACTTCAGATTGAGCCATCCTAGGGGTGGCACAGGACCGCTTGTGTAACCGGGGTTTGTGCATTTCGGGAGAGGTGGGCCAAGAGAAGCCACGCACCTTCGGCGCACACCGCCAGCTCGCGGTCAACGCACACGGTCAACGCGCGCGCGCGGAGCGAATTCTCTCGCGATCAACCTGTGCGCTCACAGTCGCCCCGCGCGCACGCGGTCACCTGGTGCGCCCCAGTGTCTCCGTGTAACCCGCTCGTCTGTGGCACCGCGCGTCTCTCATCTCCCCAATGGCCGCGTTTGCCAGCAGCGGTCGGGCGCGACCCCCCAACGCATGAACCGCGGTGCCCCCCCCCCCCCCCCGCCGCAAGCTCTAGTGTTAAACATCTCCCCCAGCTGCACCATAAACTAGTGTCTTAGAACAGCGCCCAGCCTGGTCTGCGTCACCATGGCAGCAGTGCCACCCCCGCCCCCGGTTCACATCGCCACCGTTAGCCAGGTACTTCCTTGGTTTAGCCGACTACCAAGGCCCCGCGCGCTTCGTCGCGGCTCGGCTCGGCTCTGGCTCAACGGAGCCGGCTCCGAGCCATGCGCTTCACTTGAGCCGGCTCCGAGTCACCGTCCCAGCCATGTTTAGGGTTTCCGCGAGCCCGAGCCACGACGAAGACTTGCGGCCGTAGTTGTGGAAACACTTTACACCCCCATCTGCTGGCCACCACGCGGCACTTGGGGGTTAAGAGGGCTTTACAAATCTCTACGTGACCCACCAACCCTCACACCTGGCCGTTCTTGCGGCCTCCCCCCATCCGCAGCGAGAAGCCTGGCGAGCCGATCGTAACCCCTCCATCGCCATTCGCCCCGCTCGGCCTGTCGGGGTCTCCACAACCTGCCCCCCCCCCCCTCCCCCCAAGGCTCTGTAGAATCCCGTAAACGACCAAGGGACCTTCTGAAAGAGTGCGGTTTTGACACCGCCGAATGTCTCTCCGCCACCGCGACGCGCCTCTCGTCGCGTCCACCACCGCACCACTTCACCTAGAGCCGTGTGCGGCACAACGCGGGCACGCGGAGGGCGGCGACCGCGAGCGACGCCGCATGCACAGCAGCTGCCCTGCGCTCTTGAAGCTCACGGCCGTTTTCACGCCGCCCTCCGTATAATTCTTTTCTTAAAATGTACAAATATTTATAATCCCGCGTGTTCTGCATTGTCAAAAATTGGCAGCGACTCCCCCCCCCCCATCCCAGCCCGTGGAATATTTACAAACGGTGCCCTTCACAAAAACTCCCAAGCACAAAGCGCCAACAGCAGTGGGCGAGAGCAGACAGCAGCCGTGCGCGTCGCCCTCACCCCACTCGCCCACACTGCCCATGCGTTCCTCCCCGCAACGTCGCCACCACCGCCACCAGCACCAGAACCGCCGCCGCCAGCAGCGCTACCACCAGTAGATGCCAGCGTTGACAACAACCGCACGAGAACCATCTCCGTACGAGGTCCCAACGGTGGGACTAGCCGGGGGCTCGGCTGAGCTAGAAACCGATAACGGCCAGGGTCGGCTTCTCGGGAGACCACGAACCCTGGTGGAACGCCGGCCCTGGTGGAACTCCAAACCCGATGGAACGCTACCCTCAAGCGGGACGTCAATCCCACGTGGAACCGGACGCTGCCACCGCCACCCACAGCTAGAGGCAGACCTCAACACGGGCGACACGGGGCCGGGGGCGGCGGTGTGCGCAGGGCAACCGCGGCCTGAGAACAACGCGGGCCGCCGGGGATGTTCGGTGGGATGTTCGGTGGGCCGAGGCGGCGTGCGGGTTTGGTGCAGCGCCGGGTCCTGGACGCCGGAAACGGGGAGACCGGTCGCCACGGTGAAGGGCGGACGCCGCGCACACGCCCCCCCCCCGACCCGCCCGACGGCCGCGTGAAGGGAGCGGGGCGGCCGGGCCCGCGAGAGAAGCGGCCGCCGGTCGGCGCTGCCTCTGTAGTGTTTTGCCTTTCATCAGGATGTGCAAAAACAGAGTTGGGTAAGAATGTCCTCCCGCCTACGCAACGTTGAACGCGGCGGCTCTACGTAGCCAAACGCGACTTGTCACGACGTTATTTACAGCATCGATTCGTTGTTAACCGGCGGACGGGGGCCGCGCGTGACGGCGCAGAGGCCGTGCGTGCATGTGCGCCTGTGCGTGTCCCGTGCACAGACAGCCTCACGTCGTGGTGCACGCCAGCTGTGATTGTAGCTGCGAGTGTAGTCCGTGTGGGCCTCTGTGTGCACGATGCGCATGTGGTTGCATGTACCTGTGTAGTGTGTGCCAGGGTGCATGCGGTTCTGTAGTCTGGCCGGAAAGGTGCACCCAGCCTGGCACAAGCGCTGTGGTGACGTCACTGCTAATTAGTAGCGATTGGCGGCTGTTGTTGTTGTTGTCAGTCTGTGTGCCAGTCATAGGTGTCTGCAAAGTGGCTTGTGAATGGAGTCTGGTGAGTGATGGGAGAGTGTCGAGTGGTGAGCAGGTGAGGAATCTGGTATGTGTGGCATGTCCAAACGCTGCCACGTGTCAAGCAGTGCAGGAAACACGAGTACCGTATTCTCCTTAAAACCATTACCGAGTCTTACTTTACGGAGCCTCTTATAACCCAGAGAACATGGTACTTACAGATATAGCAGACAAGGGGTACCCCAATGCATTTACAATAACAAGGTGCAATTATATCATAGCCACCAGATTATAGGGACAAACTCCCCCCCCCCCACCACTGCATATTAAAACAAAAGTTGGGGGTGCGTAGTATAATCCAGAAGGTGCGAGCATTTGTTAGTGGGTGTCAGTGTGTGCGTGTGTCAGTGTGTTACAGTGTATGGAGGAGCCTCGTGAAGGACGCTGCTGGGCAGTTGGGAGGCAGCTGCCCTCCAACAACAACGATGGCCAGAGGGGGCGACGCTCACAACAATGAGCGGAGAGCCGGGCGGCTAAAATGCAGCAAGTTGGCACAGTAGGGAGCACTGGTGGTGCATCTGTCAGTCGCCTCGGTCAACCCGTGGCATCTGGGTCTGTCCCGTGACCTCTTGCCAACGAGGCTTCGACACTTCACGTAGCCTCAAGAGTGCATCTGGCCTGGCACAAGTGCCGTGGTGACATCGCCGCCACTTAGTGGCGAATGGCAGCTGTTGTTGTTGTTGTGTCAGTATGTGTGTGTGAAACTTCATAGACCCCGGGACCCATTTTGGGGTGTGCTTTACTCTCCCAACCAGGGGGATTTAAGAAGGAATTCCTCCCCCGTGGGTTTCCTGCGCAGCTCCCCGGCTGGACGGCTGCCCCGTGGATCCCGAGGGAACTGCCTGCAAAGAGCGCCGAGACTCCGCGGGGGGCCGCCATCAACGTAGAAAGATCACGCTGCTGCCCCCGACGTCACCCGGAGGCGACGGAGCGTTTGCCTCTTGCGCCAGAGGCTTCATTTCAGCCGGGTTGGCGGCCCAGGTAAACCATTTCCGCGCGCGGCTTTTATACCTCTTGCAGCGGGGCCCTGGCTGATGCGGCGGCTACGAACCACGCGCCACCGGCCCCCGTCTACCGGCGACCCGGAATATATTCTGCATAAGACGTGGTCCTGGCGGACACGGCCCGCGGTCACGGCCCGCGGGCGGACTTTGGGGGCCTGGCGCGGTGAACGTGCCAGGGATTGGGGGGGGGGGGCGGGAGAGTTGGGGGGGGGGGGGGCGTCGTTCGTTGAGGCCGCCGGGGGGCGCGGTTACTCCGGGCGGTAGAGCATGGTGAGCGTGACGGCGACCACCAGGCACATGACGGGAACAATCCTCGCCCAGGAGGTCTGCTGCTGACGAGAGGGGGCAACAGGTCACGTGCGCACTCGGCGCCCACTCTTTGTCATCATCGGTCAAGGTGACAACTCAGCTCCACGTTAACCACACAGCTGTCAACCCCTTGTCAGTGCTGCCCCTACCTTATTACAGACCGATTAAGACCTTGTCGGTCACCCCGTGCCCCTTGTAAATATCAACATTCATCAAGCCCCAGGGAGAAACACAAACAAATAGACAAAAACATGTTTTTACTCAATTTCCCTGTACGAGAATACGGGTAAACTGTATGGGTTGACAGATATGTAACCACAACACTCCCACACCCTAAACGCATGTACAAAGACAAAGATCCCCCACGTAGCCTTAAAACACTTGTGGGGCAAGTGATGTTAGCGTGCACCTACGAAGGCCTGCGGGGCACACGAGAGGGTGGGTGGCAGGCACCACGCCCGGCTGCCGTTGTCTCCCCAGTGGCGATGTTTATACACCACACGAGGTACTCATTTGAGGCTGAGTCAACCTAGGGGAGGCCGAGGACCAGTTCAGATAATCGTCACCGGGTGTTGGCCGTGAGCGAGAATCGACCTCGGGTCACCGGGTTCGTAGTGGAGCGCGCTAACCGCTGCGCTACCGCCCCCCGCAATGCATATTCACACACACACACACACGCCGCTTCATTGTTGTGTTTTTGCTGCGCAGAATCAACTGCGATGTTGACAGATGCAGCCGCCGTGCCTCACCTGTTGGGCTCGCTTGCGGGATTCATCCAGGGAGGTCTGGAAGTGCGAGATCTGGGTGCTGAGCTCTTCCTTCTGCTGCTGAGCCGTTGCGAACTTCCGCTGCCAGCATTCGGCCTCCTCCCGTACCTCCTCCACCTGTGACACCGAGCGGTCGTGGGTGGGTGGGTGGGCGGGCGACGAAGCAGGTGAGCGAGCGAGTGGGTGGGTGACAAGGTGGGCGAGTGGTTGATTGGGTAAAGGAGTGAGAGAGAGATTGGGTGAGCGAGCGTGTGAGCGGGGAGTGGGCGAGTGGGTAGGTGATTGGGTGAGCGAGCGAGTGAGTGGGCGAGTGAGTGCGTGAGCAAGCGGTCGTGTGATTGGCTACTTCTGGTGCTGTTGCTGAACACACGTGCTCAGGCGAGTATGAGTGTGCGCGCGCGTACGGGTGCACGCGTGCATTTGCGTGCGTGCGTACTTGGTCGAGCAGCGCTTGTGTGCGATCCTTGGCCTGGCCCAGCTCGGCCTCGAGTTCGCTCTGCAGCCGCTGCTGCTGCGCTGCCAGCTGAACCTCCAGGCTGCGCTCACGGACGCCAACGGAGAACCGCGAACAACCACCACACACCGGTCAGCAACCGTGGGCCCTCGGCAGCGAACTCGACAGACAGAACGGGCGACACGTCTCTGGCAGCGGCCCTTCCTCGCGGCACACAGGCACGCGGGGTATTCGCGCCGTAGGGAAATGGCGCGAGCGGCCATCGCCGGGGCCGTGATGCTGCGCGCGATCCCAACCGAGCCGACCGCGGCGGCGTTTGTCGAATTTGGCAAAACATTCCGACCGCGACGCCGGCTCGCGATGTCCAACTCGGCTGGAATGCCCGTCGCGGGATCCGTACCGGGCTGCCGCGAAGCTGACGGCGCCGTAGTAGTCTACGGTTCATGCGCACCGCGGTTTTAACCGGGAGCCCGAGGGGGATATGGAGGAGAGCGAGGACGAGGGGGAGGGTGACGAGGAGGGGGGGGCAAGGGGGGCAAGCGGGGGGAGGGCGAGGGGGAGGTGGGGCGTTGACGAGGGGGAGGAGGGTGGCGTCGGCTACCTGCGCAGCGCCTCCTCCCGTTCGGCGAGAGACACGCGGAGCTGGTGGCCGGACTCGAGCAAGGCCGCCCGGTGCTCCTCCTGGGCTCCGGCCAGATCGGCTGCACACAGACGCGGCACAGTCGCGGCACAGACGCGGCACAGACGCGGCACAGACGCGGCACAGACGCGGCACATGAGGCTTAGAGCGGCGCTCGCCCACCGGTCGCGCCCTCACGGCGAGGCACCGGCGACGCTGGTGCCACCGAGCCGCCCGTGCCACCCGGCGGCACGGCGGCACGGCGCGTTGTGATGGGGAGGTCGTGACAGGTGACGTTTATGGTGGCGGTGCCGCGGTGGCTGCACTGTGGTGGTGGCGTTGTGGCGTTGTGGCGGTGGTGGCAATGTGGTGGTGGCGTTGTGGTGGCACTGTGGTGGTGGCGTTGTGGCGGTGGTGGTGATGGTGCTGCCAAGCGCTCGCACCCCTGAGCTGCGCCATCTCCTGCTGGTGCTGCTGCTGCAGGGCGAGCGAGCGCGTCTCCACCTGCTGGCGCAGCGCCGCCAGTCTCGTTCCGGTGCCGCACGACCTCGGCCTGCAGCCTCTCCAGCTCCTCCCGTGCTCGCCTCAGATCCATCTGCTCGACATCAAACGCAAAGAGACCCGCAGACTCGCACAGAGACTCATAGACTCGCTTGGACTATCGCCGATTCGCCTCGACAACGGATCGGGCTGCGCGATGCCGATCGCAGCGATCGGAATCAACGTGGGGGAGAACTAAAGCCAAGACGGACGCAACGAGATGGAGCCACGCCGATGGCCCTTCCACGGATACGTGGCTGCGGCGGTGCTGGAGGTGGAACTCGTGATGGCGGTGGCAATGATGGCGGTGCTGTGGCGATACCTGTGAAGTTTGTAGTGGTAATGGTGGCCCTTGATGGTGATCGCGGTTCGTGCCGGTGGCTCTCGTAGCGGTGACAATAGTGCCGGCGCTCACACCTGCAGGGTGCGCGTACCTGCAGGGTGAGTGTACCTGCAGGGTGAGCGTACCTCCAGGGCGGCCGTCTGGTCGTGCTGTCCGGCCTGTGCAGGCCTCGACTGCGACGCTGCAGGTCGGCGTTGTCGCTGTGCGCACGCGCGAGGCGCGACTGAGCCTCCTCCCGCTCGCTCTTCTGCTGCGTATGCAACCCCGACAGCTCCTCCTGCGCCTGCACCAGGAGCTCTGCATCACCGCACAAAGACAAAAATCCCCCCGTGTAGCATAAACAGACTGTTGGGGCAAGCGAAGTTACCGAGCATCTGCGAAGGCCGGCACGGCGCACGAGGGGGTGGGTGGCCAGCACCACGCCTGGCCGCCTTTGGCTCCCCAGTGCTCACGTTTACACACTGCACCAGGTACTCATTTAGGGCCGAGTTGACCTAGGGAGAGGCCCGGGACCAGTTCCGATATTTGTTACCGATGTTGGCCGTGAGTGGGAATCGAACTCGAGTCGCCTGGTTCTCAGTGCAGTGCAGCGCTAACCACGACGCCACACACACGGACACACAAAGAAACGTGCAGACACAAAGAAGAAACAGACACAGAGATAGATATACATGCACACACACACGCGTGCAAACACAACAACATTCGCCATTAAGTGGCGGTGCTTTTGCCACGGTGCTTGTGCAGAATAGGTGAACTTTGAGGCCACGTGAAGTGTCGAAGGCTCGCTGGCAGGTTATGGTCCAGACCCAAATGCAATGGGTTGACTGAGATGATTGGTAGATGCACCAACTGTGATCCCCACTGTGCCAACTTAGTACAAACACACGCACGCACCTCCGGTTAGCGTGGTTGGCTACGGTGCGGAAGAAGTTACATATACACACACACACAAACAAAATAGACACAAAATAGACTAAACGGCAGCACTCGCTGAATTCATGCGCCTGTGCGCTGGCCTGGTCATTGTAAAAGGTCATGACCCCCCCCTCCCCACCGTGGCACAGGTGAAGTCACGCAAGTCACACAGGCAGCTAGGACTCACCCTGCAACCTTTGAATCTGCTTGAGGTACCCCTCCACCTTGGCCTTGCTCTCAAGCTGGTCCTTCTCCACGGTGGCTGTGGAACGACGAAGACAGAGCACGTTCACCATTTGTCACCACCGCCACCACCACCGCCACCACCACCGTCTCCGCCACCGTCACCCACCACCGTCACCACCACCGTCACCACCACCGTCTCCGCCACAATCACCGCCACCGTCACCGCCGCCAGCTTTTTTAACCACGACGACGCCGCTCCGTCTCCGCCGTGACGGCACAGCGGTAGAGCGAGCAACGCGCAGTTGGCAGTCGACTCAGCCCATCACCCCTACGGGGTAGATAAAATCAGCAACCAACTGTGTGGGGAAGTCAACAGTGGTTGTACTACGGATAGACCCGCCCCTCCCCCCGCCATAGCAATGAGGAATTTCCATCGCTGGCCCGTGGCTACAAACAGAGGACGAGCAACCCCTTCGGTGCTCGTTTGAGCAGCAGGAGATCGCTCCGAGTTCCTCCGCGGGGGAACGTCCCTTCGGCTGCCACCGTGGCCCAGGCGGACGCCCTCGCGCGTTCCTCTCCGTCCCCAGGCGGACGCGCGCCCCACACACGCCCCACACGCGCCCCACACGCGCCCCACGCGCGCCCCCTCCGCGTTGTCAGCGAGCGCCCGTGAGGAGCGGCGAAGGAGGGGCGTGCGCCGCTGCACGCTACGCATGCATGAACTCGTTTCACACCGTACGCAATCGGAGGTGCGGGGGAAGGATAGCAAACTAAACGCAAAAAAAGCCGTTCGAAAGAAACGGGGTTTCAATCGCCACGACTTAGAAGTTGCCATGGCTCCCAGTGGCGTCCTAATATCGGAAGGAAGAGCGTTCCAGACGGCCGCAGAAGCGCATCCCAAAGCGCTGGATGCGGTGGCCGTCTTTGCTCGACGGCCAGCAGCCAAAAATCCGCCGCCGCCGCGAGGTGCGATCGGTACCCAGCGTCTGCCGCATCTGCTCCTTGCCGGACTGCGCCGCGTCGCGCGCCCGGCTCAGCTCCTCCTGAAGCCGCTCCATCTCCCCGAGGGCGGTGCCCGGCTCCTCTGCGGCGACAAGACGTGGCACTCGGTCAGCGCGCCGTTGCTTTCCTCCCGTCCCTTCAGATTGTCCGAGACGGAGGCCGTCCCCGTTCTACGGGCGAGGTGAAACTTCCCTGCTGCGGACCAAGCCCCTTCCCCCCCCACCCCCCCCGATAGGAATCAGAGATGCGGGGAAGAAGCCGGAGGTGTGGAGGAAGGAATCGGAGATGCGGGGAAAGGAATCGGGATGGGCACGCAGGCCGCTCTGCCAGCCTTGCCCACATCCCAGAGAATCCATGAATACGTGTTTTTAATTGTGTGCACACGTAAGAGATAAAACAATAACGATGCTAGTAGCCCTTTGTGCTGTGCGCACGACATCCTTGGGAGCTCCCTGTACGCGGGGGCAGGACTCGAAGATGCGGGGGAAGGAATCGGAGGGGCGCAGGAAGAAGTCAGAGGTGCGGGGGAATGAATCGGAGATGTGGGGGAATGAATCGGAGGTGCGGGGGAATGAATCAGAGGTGCGGGGGAAGGAATCGGAGGGGCGCAGGAAGAAGTCGGAGATGTGGGGGAAGGAATCGAGGTGCAGGGGAATGAATCGGAGATGTGGGGGAATGAATCGGAGGTGCGGGGGAATGAATCAGAGGTGCGGAGGAAGGAATCAGAGGGGCGCAGGAAGAAGTCGAAATGTGGGGGAAGGAATCGAGGTGCAGGGGAATGAATTGGAGATGTGGGGGAATGAATCGGAGGTGCGGGGGAATGAATCAGAGGTGCGGAGGAAGGAATCAGAGGGGCGCAGGAAGAAGTCGAAATGTGGGGGAAGGAATCGAGGTGCAGGGGAATGAATCGGAGGTGCGGGGGCAGGAGTTTTCGCATGGAGGCGCGGGGAAGCGGCGGTGCGTCCAGAACCGGCGCTACCAGCAATGGGCCAAGCTCTGTGCTCTCGTAGTGGGAAATCTGGCCAACTCCATAAGAGTTTTTTAGGGTTAGATCGCGTAAATATATAAATTTGTCGTTAAAACCCGCCACCACCCGACACAGCCAACCAGTAAGGGTTGTCACGTAAACAGAACGTGGACAATTGACATGTTCTGTTTTTTTTACACGATCTAACCCCAAAAAAAACCTCTTATGGATGACATTGGTCGCGAAAGCCTACGTGTTCAACTAGCCAACTCCATTAACGACGGATTATAAACGAGGGAGAAAACCGGAGTGCCTGGAGAACACCCACGTGTGGAAGGGGGAGAGGCAGCTAACGCTCAATCCCTGTACAGATGGAATTTAACCCACTGGCTGCACTGCCATGGTGCGCCCTGGCAAGCCAGGAGATGACAGCAATGGCCACGTGGAGGGAGGGAGCTTTCCGAGCGGCCGAGCGATCCACCAACCCTCGCTGCTGCTGCCGCCGCCGCTGGGTCACGGTCCACGTGCAGCACCGCGACTCGCGCCCCGCTCAACCGGGGACCACATCGTACAACAACCGTACCGCGCGGAGCAATAACCGCGTGGCAACAATGTGGCAACTGCGTCGTGCCGCGTAGTAACCGTGGGGTCCCACGTGGTAAGCACGTGGCAGCGACACGGTGCCGCGTGGTAGGCCGTGCAGTGCCGCGTGGACTGCCGGGGACGTTACCGGCTATTGGCGCGAGTCTGTCCTGAGGTTCCGTGTCTTCACGTGAAGAACCTAGAGCAGCAGCAGCAGCGGGGTTGGAGACAGAGAGGGAGTCGGTTCTTTCCCTCCCATCGTGCTGTCAAGTGGGGCATGTTGCCCGAAACGTCGCCGATTGTACACGTTTCCTTAAGGCCACAGAGCCTTAAGGAAACGTGGACAGGGAACTCCCACGGATGCCGTGCGCACAGCACAAATGGCTCCGAGCATCGTTATTGTGTTATCTCTTACGTGCGCAGACAATAAAAAACACGTCTTCATTGATTCTCTGGGACGTGGGCAAGGCTGTCGGAGCGGCCTGCGTGTCCATCCCGAGCGGGGCTCTACCCGGCGGGGGGACGGCGCCAAGAGCTGCACAAGGACACCCCCCCCACGCCCCACCGGGGTGAGTTCGGTGGCGGCGGTCACGTGCAGTGAGAGCGGGATGGGAGGGGGCGGGAGGGGCGGGAGGGGCCGGGGGGAAGGAACGGGGTCCCGGCCGGCACTCGGAGCGGCCGCTTGGGACGGCGCAGGCGCAACTCACTTGAGCAGCTGGACACGGTGTCCTCCTCGCAGGCGGCGGCCTCGCGCTCCTCCAGTCGCCCTGCCGAGCGGCAACGGCGGCGTTCAACACCGCTCAACGCCGCTCAACGCCGCTCAACGCCGCTCAACGCCGCTCAACGCCGCTCAACGCCGCTCGTACGCACGGAAAGATCCTCCCCCCGGCACAGGCCGCGCACCCCGGCGGTGCCGTTAATGCGAGCGGCGCCTCCCAAGGCTGCCACGCCGTGGGGCGGTCCAGCCGACGCCACGCCCGGCCACCTTTGTCTCCCCAGTGCTGGTGTTTGCACACCGCCAGAGCCGCAGAGGCGGATCTCTCGAGGGAGAGTCCCCGAGAGCGACACAACTCGCTGGCTGGGCTCACGCTGGGTCATATATACTTTACGTTAATCGTGACCCCCGCTGCAGGCTGATAAACAGAGAGACAGACGGACTTGACAGATGACGGATAGATGGATAGACAGACAGATGGACGGACACAGACAGATGGACACAGATGGATGGACACAGACAGACGGATGGATATAGAGGGACAGTTGGCTGACAGATAGATGGATAGACAGACGAACGGACGGAGCGACAGACAGAGCTAAGCAACGAACGCCGTCACCTTCGTTGTGAGACGCGACCAAGGCCTCACCTTTGAGGCTCTGGATCTCCGAGTTGGCTTGGCACAGCTGCTGTCTCGTGTGGCCGAGCTCCTCTGCGGGTAAGAAAAAACAAAACAATCAACGCCACGGGGAACACGTCGGACACGGGGTCGGCGGAGCACACAAAGATCATCGATCGCACTGCGACTGTTTCGACGAGGCGGTGCCTTGGTAACGAGGCGGGACAGCAAAGGGGAGGTTGGCCTCTTCGCGTGTGCGCGCTCATTCTAAATGTGGAGTGAGAAACCGGAAGACCCGGAGAAAAAAATCCACGCGACCACGGGGAGAACACGCAACCTACAAATACACAGTTGGCGTCAGGCTCGGGATCGAACCCACGACCTCCTGTATACCAGGCGAGGGAGTTAACATCTCGCCACCCTACGTCACTCCACTGCTGGATGAGGGCCTCCCCACACATCGCCACACCGGTCAGCGCGGGCTGGCGGACGAGGCTCACCTCTCAGGGTCTCCACGGCTGCCGACTGGTCATTGGAGTGTGGCTCAGCTCCTGGGGTGCCCGGCTCTGAGCAGACTCCTGTGACGCAGCCACGCACGGCTCATCAGGGTGGGGTTGGGGGGGGGGGCAAGGTGCTACTCGGAAATGCGCCATTGACAGAGCTGGCTCACCTGAGATAAGATCTGCACTACCGGTGGGTCTGGCTCACCTGAGATTAGATCTGCACTACCGGTAGGCCTGGCTCATCTGAGCTAAGAGCAGCGCTACCAGTGGGCCTGGCTCACCTGAGATAAGGGCTGGGCTACCAGTAGGCCTGACTCACCTGGGCTACCAGTAGGCCTGACTCACCTGGGGCTCAGCCAATCCCCCGAGTGGCCTCCCAAAGATAACCAGTGCTCAGGAGTTAACGATGTTGCTTCGTTTGGGTTTTATTTCCAGACATGTAGACGTCGGTGCAGATTACTGTAGTGACATTCGTTTAATCGTTCTATTTTATTATCATCATCAACCCTGATCTATCTGCCGCTGGATGAAGGCCCCCCCCTCCCCCCCAACAAGCTGTTGACATCTCACGGAATTGCAGTGCCAGCGATCCACCTCGCACCTGCGCGAGAGCCGATCCCATCGCTCCACCTCCACGGTGGACGCCCCCATCGGGCGCGTCCCACACTGCCTCGGCCGTGTATCCCCAATCCCTTCCCTCACCTTCACCTCACCCCTGCCTTCCCCCTCGCCTTGTCCCCCGGCCCCCTCCCCCAACACAAATAACGTTGCGGCCATTCCCACTCCCATTGGGCCCACAACAAATGCCGAGTTGGTGGCAGCGGTGTCTTTGCGGCGCGACAGCGACGCCCAGCGGTAGCTCTCACCGTCCTGGGTGGACGGGACCAGCTTCCTCTGTGCGGCCTCCACCAGGGCCCTCAGCTTGGCTGGGCGGGCACAGGCGGCGGTGCACGCAGACGCACGCACGCAGACGCACGCACGCAGACACATGCATGCAGACGCACGCACGCAGACGCACGCACCCAGACGCGCCCACCCAGACACGCCCACGCATGCAGACACACGCACGCAGACACACGCACGCAGACACACGCACGCAGACGCACGCACGCAGACGCACGCACCCAGACACACGCACCCAGACACACGCACGCAGACGCACGCACGCAGACGCACGCACGCAGACGCACGCACGCAGACGCACGCACCCAGACACGCCCACGCATGCAGACACACGCACGCAGACACACGCACGCAGACACACGCACGCAGACACACGCACCCAGACACACGCACACAAACAAAGATAAAGATCCCCTTAACAGACTGTAGGGGCCAGTGCTGTTAGCGAGCACCTATGAAGGCCGGAACGGTACACGAGGGGGTGGGTGGCCAGCACCACGCCCGACCGCCTTTGTCTCCCCTGTGGCGATGTTTACACACCACACCAGGTACTCATTTGAGGCTGAGTCGACCTAGGGGAGGCCCGGGACCGGTTCAGATAATCGTCACTGGTGTTGGCCGTGAGCGAGAATCGAACCCATGTCGCCGGGTTCATAGCGCAGCGCGCTAATCGCTACACTATCGCTCCCCACTACAAACAAAGACACACACGCACACACACGCATCCCTGAAGCAGGCATAACACGGACCGGTTTCAACTTCTCTCCGTGTCTCCTCATCAGCAGTGGATTGACCGTGACTGATGATGACCATGCAGCAATTGGTGACTACCGGTCTTCCTCGGCGCACTGCGGCCTCTTAACACCGCTGCTGGACGACCTCCGTCCTCAGACGCGGGGATTCCGTCTCGACGCACGACGAGCCGTGGGTGGGAGTTGCGTAGCCAGCGTCGCGGCGCTCAGTCTTCGTTGGCGTCCACTCACAATCGTCGTCATCGTCACTCTCGTCCATTCACCGCCGTGCCACCGCGCTCTTACAGAAACTTCCTCGGCAAGCGTTTTCCCTGACCGATGTCGCGAAACGAGGCTCACGCCGACCGGCGCCACTCGGCTGCGGAGTCGGCGTGCGGCGGCGGTCATTAAGGCTCGCTTCAAAAACTCAAACTCTTCAAAGTTACCTTTCCCAGAGTGGGGGGCGAGGGGAGGGAGGATGGGCGGGGGGTGGGTCCACGTGGGGGCACGCGGGGTTCGCAACGTGGACGACGGGAGGAGTGGGGCGGGCGCGAGGTCACGGAGAGGCGCGGCGCCGGCGGTCGCGGCGCGCGCACACACGAACCTTGCAGGTCGTTCATCTCCGCCTCCATCGAAGGGTTCGAGTCGTTGGAGATTCCCAGCTTCACTGCAACGGGCACAGAGCGAACACGGCGTCACCCCGCGAGCCTCGCGCAACACGGGCAACTCGGGCAACTCGCGCAACCCGATGACGAGTGGCCAGCGACACGAGAGCGACGAGGGAGGCGACTGACCGCCGGTGAGCGGGTGACCGGAGTGAACCGGTGAGTGCCACACCGTGTAACGGACCGTGTAACTGCTTTTCGCCGAGTGCCGGGCACGGTGAAGGGAGCATTTAGGGGGGAGGCCGCTTTTAGGGGCATTGTTTGGGAGCCAAAGTCAAAGGGCCCCACTGCTCAAAAGAACACTGGCACATTGGGTGCTCCGTTTCCAGCGCTGCGGATTGAGCGGCGGAAATTCCACATTCCTATGGAGGGGGGGGGGGGGGGGAACCAATTTGGCGCATTCGTGGCGATTAGGCGGTTAGACAATGGGGGGGGTTGCGCTACGGAGAGTCGGGCCGGTGGAGCGCGAGGGTGTGAAGTCCGGAGTGCGGTGACGGGCGCTTACTCTGATGCTGTACGATCTGCTGCACCAGCTCCGTGAAGGAGTCCACGCCGGGTGGTGCTACGTGCTCTACACACGCGCACACACAACACACGCACAAAGAAAAAGACCCCCCCCCTTTAGCCTTAACAGACTGTTGGGGCAAGTGCTGTTAGCATACGCACACGCGGGCACACGTGAGATAGTGGGGTACGGGTGAGCCCCGGGTGCGGTTGAGCGCGGGGTGCCGCTCACCTTCGTCGATGCTGCCGTTGATTTTGGAGGAGAGGTCGTCCACCCGGTCGTCTATGAGGCAAGGGGGGAGGGGAGGAGGGCAGACAATCGGCCTCCGCACCTCTGAAGTAGGTAGCTGCCTATGTGTCGTGGGAAGCGTCAAGGGTTGGTGTGGCAGCTGCCCGCGTGAAGTTGAATTGGCAGCTGCCTATTTGAAGTGGGAAGTGGCAACGTTTTATTGCTGCTCTCCGGCGTCAGCCCTTCGTCACCAAGTGTGTGTGGTGCATGGCGAGGGTGATGGAAGTGTCACCTCGCCCCGCACATAGGGCGGGTCGAGCTGTTTGTAGCACGCGTGTGCGTGCGTGCGACACGCGTGGCGGTGAGTGTCGCTACTCACCGAGCGAGGCGCTCTCCTCCTTCAGGCTGCTCTTCTCCTGGATCTGCTCCAGTCGCGCTGAAACCAAACAGAGCTGCGAGTCAAGGGCGATGCAGTCCTTAGAACACTATATCCCGGACCCTATATCCCTTGCCCTATATCCCTTGCCCTATATCCTGGACCCCATGTCCCCTCGCCCTATAACACAAGAAATCCCGAACCATAACCCCAACCAGCGCACCAGTCACTCCGTCGCCAGGTGGCCATTCCAATACCCTACACCTATAACCCAAGCCAAAGTCACTAAAACAAATTTAAGTTAATAAAAAGAATAAAAATAAAATAATAAAAACAAAAAAACACTAATAGACTGTAATGTATAAACTGCCAGCACATTCACTCCGATTAACAACCAGGCTACAGTCTACATTAGTGTTTTTATTATTATTATTTTTATTCACTTATTTTTTTCTATCTCCGTGACTTTACCGAAAGAACCAAAGAATATGAATTCCTGCAGTCACGAAAGTTAAGTAAAAATTTAACCAAATCACTGATAAAAAGCCTTCCCCCACCGTCTCTACCCCCACGCCGAGTTGACCGTGTGGCGTAGGCGGTGGCGTTACCCTTGACGGAGGCGAGCTGCTGGCGCGTGAAGTCGTTGTCGGCGGTGAGGGCCTCGACGCGGGCCTGCAGGGCGCTCTCCTTCTGCTCCAGCTCCTCCAGCTGGGCCTGCAGCTCGCGCCGTTCCTCGCCGCCCCGCGCCACCGCCTCCTCCTGCCGCTCCTCCGACACCTGAGGTGGGGTGGGGGGGCGGCGACGTCGTCGTCGTCACGGCGAGGTTCGCGGCGCAGAGAAACCGTTCGTCGCACGGAATGGATTGCACCTCCGCCTCTCCCCGCCGTGGGTGGACGTAACGGCGTTCCGACCGCACCGGACGGTGGTGGGAACTGCCGGGATGGAGAGCGCCGCTCGGCTCCCTGTCAGCCGCCAACGTCCGGGATCGCGGCTCAACTCGCGCATTCGCCCGCGTTTTACCGTCTCTCCCTCCCGGTCGCGGCGACGGCGCCGGCGGGAACGGGGGCAGAGTGCGCCGCGCCGCGAGAGGCCGCGGCGGTGCCGCCTTGCGCGCGTGCGTGTGCCGAGAAGTCGCGTACCCGGAGTTTTTCCGTGAGCTCCTTGACGCTCTCCTGGGCGTCCGTGTGGCACCGGGCGATGTCGAGCACCTCCTCCTGGGACTTCTCGAACATCTCCTTGAGGTGCGAGCACTCGTCCTCCGTGTTGCTCAGCGCCCTCTGCGCGCGCAGGCGACCGCGGGGACAGAGAGGGGCGCACGCTCAGGGGGGGCCTTCGGGGGTGTGGGGGGGGGGACCGCGATCGCTCCGACTCTCTCGCGGACTCGGACCGTCGCTCCGTCACGTCGCCGGCGGCACGGCGTGTCGAGCCGGCGCACGGCGATCGCGCTCGAGGCCGGGCCCCCCACCTCGACGTCGGAGAGCTTGCGCACCACCTCCAGCTTCTCCTGCAGCACGCGGCGCAGTGACTCCTTCGCCGTCGTCTCGTAGCTCAGCTTGTCCTCCAGCAGCGACGTCAGCTCCTTGCGCAGGGACTCCTCCGTCTGGTTCTGCGGTCGTCGCGGGGACGGCCAGAGGGGCGCAGGGGTCGGGGCGAGGGGGACGGCAACGTCAGCATGGTCGGCAAGCTCGCACGGGGTCACCCTTACTTTACCGTGCTACCCGAGTAACTCTCGCCATCATCACTATCGCCAACCCTTGGGTCTCTGCCGCTCCCCTTCCCAGTGCCACCGACACGTGCGGCGGGGAGCGACGCTACTCGCCAAACCGATTCCCGCTGTTGTCTGGCGGCGCTCGCTCCACCCTCTCACTTTCCCACCGCTGCCGTGCCGCCACCACGGAGCGGGGTGAGAGGGGGGGGCGTGCGAGTGCAGGAGGAGGTACCTTGGCGTGCGCTTGCAGCTGACTCTCCAGGACCTCCAACCTGGACAGCAGCCGATCCTCGTCCATCAGCGCCTGCCGAGCGGTAACAGGGACGGCGCGCGGGGGTCATCGTCTCCGCACCTCCCACCCCACGGTCATCCCCACAGTGTCCGCGTGTACACTCCAGTGTGCCCGTGGGCCCCAGTGTGCCCGTGGGTCCGTGCGTGTGTGTTTCCACGTGCTCGTGCATTTGGGAACCCGCGTTCGTGCGCGTGTGTGCCTGCGCGTGTGTGCCTTCGACACTTCACGTGGCCTCGCAGTGCACCGCGGCTGGCACAAGTGCCGTAGTAGTAGCGAGTGGCGGTGGTTGTTGTTGTTGTGCGTGTGTGCACCTGTGCACGTGCGTGCTCCCGCGTTCCCGTATGTGCGGTCTTGTGTGATGCTGTGTGTGCGTAGATCTCTGCGGTCCAGTGCGTATCAATGCCCTGTGTCTGTGTGTACATGTGCGTGTTCCCGTGCGTGCCAACATATGTCCACGTGTCCGTCTGTGTGTCAGCTGACCTGCCAGCTGCTCTCGGATGCCTCCTGGGTGCTGGCCAGGATGCGCTGCAGCGTTGCCAGCTTCTGCTCCAGCATCTGCTCCCTGTGGAGGGCCTCCTGCACCAACACAACCACCACCAATCACCACCACCAAACACCACAAGCACCACAACCAGCACCATCATCACCACCACTACCACTGCCAGAGTGCTGCAATGGGCAGCAGAGGTCGCCGGGTCCATCTCCCGGCGTGGAAGATGAAGCGATGGGGCAAAATTGATAAACCGCCCCCCCCCACCCCCAGCCCCCAACCACCTGTCCCATCCAGCTGTGTAAACGGCTTCACCAGAGTTATGTTATCAGCAGGTCGCCTGCGGAGTAGCCCAATGAATGTTCCGCGGGGCGTTCCAGAGCTCGCTCGCGTGCAGGAGGCCCCCCTTGCCCCCTCCTCCCCCCCTCCGTAGCGCCGCTACCCTGACCATCGCGAGCATTACGACATCGTCGCCATCTCCATCTTACATCCCCTTTGTAAAGTCCGCAGCTGGATGAAGGCCACCGCAAGCCTTGCAGGTCATCGCGGTTGATCGACGGTGCCTCACCGCACTAGTCAGCACGGTGAGGCGGAGGGCGGCCCCCGGACCGATTCGGTCACCGCTCGCCACCGACGATACGCGCGGCTGGAAGTCGAACCCAGGATGTCTGGTTTGCGGCGCGGCGTGCTAACCGCTGCACCACCGTTCCCTCGCGTTACGGCGCGCGCACACGCAGACGCACGGCGGTGGTTGCGGCCGCGTCCCTTACCTTGAGGCACTGCGAAATCTGGTAGAGCTCTTGGGAGTAGGCATTGGCTTGCGACGCAGAGACCTGGAGAGGCACGGCAACGAAACTCAGAATCGTTCGGAGTAGGCCAAACATCCTGATGTAGGCCAACAGAGCTAGGGCAAAGCGTTGGCAGCACCGGATCTGGCTGCCTTCCCGCTTCGTCTGCGATTTCCCTCGAGCCTCCACGTCAAACGCCGCGCACCGTAACAAAAATCGCACGGCGCGCTCTCGCGTGCGTCGTGCGTGACACCGGGTACACGCAGGACACGTGGGCCCACCATGGGTGACCCCTGAGCTGCTCAGTCTTAGTTGCGGCTGTTGCTGAGCCCTGGTAACGAGGCACCCCTCCCGGGCTGTGCAGCAGGGTTGCTCCCCCTCTCCCCCTCTCAATCTCTCACACCGACGTTGCCCTCTGCCCTCCACCGCCTCCCCCAAAATCGATTGCACTGGAGACGCGGGGCGGAGCGGCTTCCAGCCGCGTGCCGCCCGCTCCGTGCCCGGCTCCCGGCGCCGCTTGGCACGAACCCAAGGCCCCGGCGCCGCCGCCGCTCGCGAAGTAGCAAGAGCTCCGCCGCCTGCGCCGCAGCGCAGCAGCCGGTCCAACGTAACCGCAACGACACCGGCCTAGCCGGAAATGCCCCTCTCGAGCCTCAGTGTTGCTGCTGTTGTGTCGGCACGATTGATCAATTCCATTTAAAATGGCGTTTAGTTTCCTGTGCGAGTAAACCTGACAGGCCGGAGATAGCCCACCAAACACAGCAGGAGATAACACTCAAACCCCGCACAGATGGATTCACAAACCGACCTATTCTGCGCTGCCACCTTCCGAGCCCCATCCCACAGCCAGGCACGTGTGGGAGTTATCTCTACGCGATCACCACAGCCGGCCCCGGCACGGGCGCGGTCACCCCGGTGTCACCCGCGCTCCCCGCGGAGCATCAGGTGACGTGAGGCAGCCTACGCGGGGGCGGCCCAGCGGCCTCCACTTCCTGCCGGCAGCCGGCCGCGGAAACGCGAGCAAAACAAATGAACGCAACGCGCGCGGCCTTGGGAGCGCTCACCTTTTCCAGCGTCATCGCGGAGACCGATACCCTGCACAGAGAGACACACGGGGGGGGGGGTGGGCGGGGGGGGGGGGGGTCGGGACGGGGGGACACGCGGACAGAGAGACAACGCTGCGTCAAGTCCCGCCGCGACGCCGGCACGGCCGTGGCGTTTACAGTTTTCACCGAGTCTCCGCGCCCCCTTCCCCTGGGCGACGCGCGATCTTTCAACTGCGCGCGGGCCAAATCTCGATCTTCGGGTTTGCTCGGTTCCCGCGAGCGAGCCGCGTCAGCGCCGCGGAATGCGCGCCGCTTGTTTACGCGCGCGGCAATTTTGCCGACGGGAGGTCAAGGTGCGCGGTGGGCGGGCGAGGCAGCCAGGTACGGGGGCCAGGCCGGGCGGCTCCCGCCGCCGCGATCGGCTGGGCTGCCAAGTTGTGGAAGTCGAGGTGAGCTCGAGGGCTACGCGGTGAGCGGGGGGCGGGGGACCGGAGGCAGCCCCAAGCCAACAGAGCAGAACCCCGCAACTCGCAACCAATCTGTTCTTTACCACGACCCACGTAATAGGGTGCTATACATTTCCAAACATCCTGATGTAGGCCAACAGAGCTAGGGCAAAGCGTTGGCAGCACCGGATCTGGCTGCCTTCCCGCTTCGTCTGCGATTTCCCTCGAGCCTCCACGTCAAACGCCGCGCACCGTGAGCTTCTGAAAAAGAAGCTAATATAGCTCAGTGGGCTTTACCTGATAAGATAAAAATAGTCGAGTTTCATTTATATTTTTGTGATTTGTTTACCTTTCTTATACATTGCACACTCCTATCCGTGTTTTTTGTATTGTATGTTCTGACCCCTTCCCCCTCAACTGTAAACTCATCGAATTCCTCCAAGATAAAAAAAATCAATATTCTGCTCCTGATCTGGCAATTCACCAGCACCAATTCAGGTGAGCCTCACTCTTCTGAATCTCAAAACCCATCTCACAGTTTTGCTTCCGGTGAAACCAGTGAAGATCCACTCCCAGAATGCCACGTGGTCGCCGATGGGAAGTACGCTTTTGTTTAAAACGTTTTGTGTGGGTAGACGACTCCGGGACGACGGGGGACGTTGTTTACGTCGGGGTTATTATTGGCATCTGGAGCCAGGGGGCGTTCTGGGGCTCGCTGATCGTCACACGGGGGGCGTCTCTTGTAGGGGTGGGCGATCTTGTTAAAGGGCTCGGTTATTGCTTCACGGGCCGGCTTTATTCAAGGCGTTGGGCGCGCGCGCGAGTGGAGCGGTGGCGCAGCGGTTAGCGCACTCGCACCGCTTTAAACATGGCGACGCAAGGTCAATTTTCGGTCACGGACAAAATCAATATTCGAGCGACACCGACACACCGGCTCCCCGTTCACCGACCCGCACTGATCAGCACGGTGAAGTACAGCCAACCAACAACCCCCGTGAGTGGCCCAGCGTGAGAGGATGCCTTAATGAAGCGCTCGTTATAATTAGAGAGAGCGGGAGCGATACGGCCACAGAAGTAACTGCACCCCCGCCCCCGCCTCCAACGCCTCCCCCCAGAGTTCTAGCAATGCACAGGACTCCCCGGTGGAGGGAGGGGGGGGCAATCACCGCTCCCCTAAGGCACGAGCCCGGTGGGAGGCGGCGGGGGGGGGGCGTCCAGATAGCTCAGCGTCCCCACCCCGGGCCGGTTTCTATTTGAGTAGGAACCACCACCCCCCCACCTCCCTCCCCCCCAGGACGCAGAGCGGCGCCGCAAGCGAGCGGAACCACGCGGCACAGGCAACGTGCGCGGTCGGGGCGGTGGCGCGTCACGCACTCGGTTCTCCTCCGCGTCTCCGCGCCGTCCGGCAGGAACAGCTTCACGGCCGAGATGATGCAGCTGTGCGTCACTGCAGCCACACACAAAGACAAAGATGCCCCCCGTGTGGCCTCAGCGGAGCGCGTGGCCAAGTGCCACACCTCGGCGAGCACCTGGGAAGGCCGACGACAGCGCACGAGGGGCTCAAGTGGCCAGCACCGTGCCTGGCCGCCCTTGTGTCCCCAATGCTGGCCAGGTACTTGTGTAAGGCTGAATCGACTGAGAGGAGGCCCAAAATTGGTTGAGATATGAGTCGCTGATGTTATGCTGCAGTGTGGATACTGCGCAGGAAAACAAAAGTGTGGATCAGGGAACACTTGCACCGTGTTGCGGTGACTACACTAACTAATACACAATGTGAAACACGCCTTACTAAACACAACAAAGACAAAGATCCCCCGTATAGCCTGTAACAGACTGTTGGGGCAAGTGCTGTTCTGGAGCACCTATGCAGGTCGGCACGGCACACGAGGGGGTGGGTGGCGAGGACCATGCCCGGCCGGCTTTGTCCAATCGGATCTCTCGCACGGCAAAGCAGCAGCGCTTCGCGTCCGAGAATGCCCCGCGGGAGGGGGGGTCCTCTTCCTGCGCGGCCACCTCGGGGTATTGCGTGCCCAGCGGTAGCGAGAACAGACCGCGCCGCGTGTTTTCCCGGTGGCCGGCAGGGTTCGAGCCACGAACTTCTGCAACAAGTGGCGGAAGCGCCACCAACCCGGTGGGTCGCCGTGAACCCCGAATCACGACCAACGATTGCCCCTCACCGCGACGACCCCCACCATCGGCCCCCCCCCCCACCACCGGCCCCCGTCGATCGCTCACCCCTCCGCGAGTTCTCCATGACGTCCACGCCGAACTGGATGACATCTCCGGAGAGGATCTCGTAGGGCGGGCTCTCCTCCGAGCCTTTGCTCAGCCGCTGGTTGTTAACGAACGTCCCGTTGCTGCTCTTGGTGTCTTGCAGGTAGAACTGTGCGCGCACGCGGAGAGCGAGCGAGAGGCACAGAGAGAGAGAGAGGAAATGGCACCACGTGCCGCACGGTGTTAGTTAATCCGCGGTAGTTCCCGCAGACGTCCATGTTGATGTAATCCGCACTGGGAAGACAAAGGCGGCCGGGCACGATGCTGGCCTGGCCTTCCCTTCGTGTGCCATGCTGGCCTTAATAGGTGCTCACCGACGCCACTTGCACCCACAGCTCTGTATAGCTCACGGGGGGAAGTGGTAAATTGCGCACACACACACAGGCGTGCCTTTTTTGGCGAGCAAGTGCTCGTGTCTGTCTGTGCGAACGACCGTGTGCACATTTGTACTCCCGTGTAGTTGTGCGAGTACAAATGTGTATTTGCCGGTGTGTCCGTGCGTGCATCGGTCTGGATTGCGGTTGTGCAGTGGTTATCGAACCCGACGACCAGAGTTTGATTCCTGCTCATGACTGACACCGGTGACAATTATCCGAACCGTTCCTGGGCACCTTGGTTCGGTGTGTAAACATCGCCACTGTGAAGGCAAAGGCGGTCGGGTGTGGTGCAGACCACCCACCCCCTCGTGCGCCGTGCGGACCTTCATAGGTGCTCGCTAACAACACTTGCGCCCCAACAGTGTGTAAAAGTATATGGAGGATCTTTGTCTTCATGTGCGTGCATCGCAACGATTGCACAACTGACACCAGCGTGACTTCCTGCGTAGGTACAGCGCACGCACGCGCTGCTACGCTCGAGACCGATAGACTCACCGAGAGAACCAGGAATTCACAGACACGAAAACTGCTTCTTTTCACGTAGGCTGCCAACGTACAGCGTGCTGAGATGTGGCCGCAAAGAGGTGCTACTACGCCAATTCGGAGACCCACATACGGGGAGAACGCAGAAAGTGCGCCCGAGCAATGAATGGAACCCGAACATTTCTCGCTGTGGGGCCCATGGTGCTGTCACCACTGATGCCCCAAATGCCCCCTTGTTGAGCCAGACGGCCGTCGAGATGAATCACTCGGAGAGATTCGTAGCGAGCCAAGTGGCGGGACCCACCACATGGTGAACACAGTGGACCTTAATAAACCTCCGCACACGAAAAGATACACGGGGCAAGGAACCTTTGAACCCAATTGACGCGGATGACATCTTTACTGCCTACTTATCAGACCGAGAGGACGGGTGGCTGAGCGAGTGTGCGAGCGGGGAGGTGGATGAGTGTTTGAGTGTTTGAGTGAATGGATGAGTGGGTGAATGGGCGAGGTCGACGATTATTTCAACCGGTCCTGGGCATCCCCTAGGTCGACTCAGCCTCAAATGAGTAGCTGGTGCGATGTGGAAACATCGCCACTAGGGACACAAAGGTAGTGCTGGCCACCCACTTCCTCGTGTGCCGTGACAGGCCGTCAAAGGTGCTTGCTAACAGTCTACTGTTTAGGCTATATGGAGGGGTCTTTGTCTTGAGTGACTGGGTGTGTGGGCGAGTGAGTATGTTAATAAGTGGGTGAATGAGCAGGTGTGCGAGTGAGGGGGGGGGTGGCGCAAGCGAGCAAGTGAATCAATGAGTGGGTTGGAGGTGAGCGAGTGTGTAAATAAGTAGGTGGGCGAGTGGCTGAGTGAGTGGGTATCTGAAAGAGTGATTACGTGAGTGGGTATGCAAGGAAGCGTGTGGGTCTATGGGTGATCATTATTTGAACGAGTGGGTGAACAAGTGGGCGAGCAAGTGGATAACTGTGTGGGTGGGCGGGTGAGTATCTGGGCGAGGTGGATAGGTGGGATGGTGGGTTGAGCTTGTATGTTAATGAGGGTGGGTGGATTGTTGAGTGACCGATGTATTGGGTAAATGAATGGGCACACATGGGCACAAACCCCACACAGACACATAAATCGGACACCAGGAGACACACACACGAACAACACACAATCAGGAAGAAGCACTGCTGTGCAGGGGCGCTGATCAAGGTGCTTATCAGCAGTGCGGTGACACTGCACCATAGCCGGCATGGCGTTACACATCGCTGTCATTTCGCCGCCGCGGCGGCGGCGAAACCACCCAGCGGGCAGACCGCGGGAACGGCGCAACACCCAACTTGCTTCTCAAGGACCGAACTCGTCGCCGGAACGTGCGGATTCTGCCGGAACGGTGCCGAAATTAAATCGCCGCTCGAAACGCGACCGTTCCCGGCTTGCGCCTTCGAACGCTGAAGTTGCGGTAGCAGCCCGGAGTGAAATATCTTGAAAAATCGGACGGCCCAGGGCTGGGCTCTACCGATTACAACCCAAGCAATCGATGACTCTGCTGACTATCGAACCCATTGCTCGACCCGTCAGAGAATGGAAAAATCATTGCATGGCTCATGAGCTGGAGGGAGGTGACGGTAAAGGCGCAGCCCTGCAATGGCTGGCCTCTGCTGGCGGAAGCAGTCTCCGCTGGAGGGAGCTATAGAAACGCTCTAAGAAGGCGTTTGGCCTACTCCTCCACCACGCTGGCCACACGGTTCGGGAGAGCTGGACGCACCCTCGCTTTACCCCCCAACCACGCGCGTCCTGCCGATCGTTTAAGAAAACTTGCCCCGCTGTGTCAACTGCCGCGCCGAACTGGCGACCTCTGGATTCATGAAAAAGGGCCTCCGCCAGAAACGTCGCCTATCGTACACTTTTCCTTGTAAGGCGACGCACAAAACAGTTGTTATCGTTGAAAGTGTCGAGTTGTTTTCGTTACGCTTGTGGACCGCTGCCAATGCAGCAGCGGCGGCGTTCCGGCGAGCGGACTGCTACACACCGCACCAGGTAATCATTTAAGGCCGAGTTAACTTAGGCGAGGCCCATGACCGGCTCAGACATTCGCGACTGTTATTGGTCGTGAGCGGCAAACGAACTTGGCTCGCAGGGTTGGTCGCGCAGTGCGTTAACTGCTGCGCCACCACTCCCCAAACTGACCTACACTGACTTACAGACACACACACGAACATTGACCTGCAACACACACAAACACTGACCAGCACACACACACAAACACTGACCAGCACACACACACAAACACTGACCTACACACAAAAGACAAAGATCCCCCGGATAGCCTTAACAGACTGTAGGAGCAAGTTCTGTTAGCGAGCACCTATCAACGCCGGCACGGCACACAAGGGGGTAGGTGGCCAGCAACATGCCCGGCCGCCTTTGTCTCCCCAGTGGCGATGTTTACACACCGCACCAGGTACTCATTTGAGTCCGAGTCGACATAGGGGAGAGGCACAGGACCAGTTCAGGTAATCGTCACCGGTGTTGGCCGTGAGCGGAATTCGAATTCGCCGGGGTTCGTAGCACAGTGCAGCGCTCACCGTTACACGACCGCTCCCCACACACACAAATACACAGAGACACACGCTGGCACACGCGGATACACGGTGACACACTGACACACGCTGGCACACGCTGACACACGGTGACACACTGACACACGCTGGCACACGCTGACACACGCGGACACACGCTGGCACACGCCGACACACGCCGACACACGCCGACACACACGCCGACACACACGCCGACACACACGCCGACACACACACCGACACACACGCCGACGCACACGCTGACACACACGGACACACGCGCAGACCAGCACAGGCGGGTGGCTACGAACACAGACGTGGCAGCGGCGATGCCGTGAGTCACGGGGTAGGAATGGTGCCCACACCTGGTGCCCATTGGCCGGTTTCACTACAAGTTTCTGCACTGGTCGAGCCAAATAAAGAGCCGGCGTCGGCCCGGCACGTGGGCGTTCGGTCTGGCATGGCCGCAGGATCGCCGATTGGTGAAGAAACACAACCGCGGTTGGGTGAACCCCCCCCCTCCCCCACCGAACCGCCGGTCAGAGTTCACTCGTTCCATTCCGCTGCTCCCGGCCTGCAACTCACTTTTGTTGGCGACACGATCATCGTCGGCGTCGTTATGGCTATGACGACGCACTGATTTCACAATCAAAACGTGTTTGTTTTGATGGCAGTGACTCGCTACACCGAGTCTCTACGCGAGTCGGTGGATCTTTATGCAAGGTCAATATGTGAGTCTGTGGATAGCTAAGAAAATGTACGAGTATTTATTCGAGTCCACTGGTCTCTATGTGGGTCTAAGGATCTATACGCGAGTCTATTGGTCTCAACGCAAGTCTACGAGTCTCTATGCGAGTCTACGGGTCTCTTTGAGAGTGGGGCGGCTGAAACCCAGATTCAAACCCGGGACTCTGGTTACGTGTCTGCGACGCATCGCTGCCCAGTTACCCAGCCACGTTCTTATCGCTAAACTCTATGAAGGTCAGATTTGCATCAGGACAAAACAGAGACAACATGTTGCCTGGAGATTTACCCGCATCGCTGGTGGAGACGCAAACACACACGCGCGCCTCTGATGAGCACGGTTGGCTACGTACGGTCAACGTACATGCATACAAAACATGCGCATACACACACAGGGCGCTTCTGCCGAAAAATCTGATGACGGGCTATATTCGCCTCGAAATTCTAGAACTGCAGCAGCGGCGCTTCCCCGTGACCTCAGCTGACGCCGAAACCAACGTCAGCGGACATCCTCTGTCATCATCAGCAGCCATGGTCGATCCACTGCCTTTCGAAGGCCTCCCTAGGTCGTCGCCACGGTCTCCCAACACGACCATCCCGCCTCTCGGCGCCTGCACGGCGAGCAGATTTACGGCTCCATCTCCGCGGGGCGCGTTCCTTTTGCCTTGGCTGCCGCTGCGACGTTCGCGTTGACCACGGCCACCGTCCCACCCCACGCGCCACTCTTCACAATCGCCCCATTTACTACTTTTGTTTTGCAAGGAAAGGCCCGCCGAGATAGTTTTGCTCGTTTTCAGAAGCGACCAGGCCACAAATGATTTCTCAACAAAGTGGATTACCGTGTGGAGATGTTTTAATCGGCCAGAGACTCTAAACGCACGTTGATTCTAAATGTGGAGAGAAAAACTGGAGGACCCGGAGAAAA